CTGAAATTTGAAATTCTAGAGACCCTTTTCTCACATTTCAATCCCCTAAACATATATTACTGAAATTCAAAATTACAACTATAAAGAAGATAGTTTTGATTTATTTTTGACAAATTTATTGTTGCTAAAAATAAAACTGAAAATAGAAAGCAGAACTATCAGAACTATCTAATTTAAAAATTTCTTACATCATATTACATGTATAAAAAATTTAATCAATTAAATTGATTGATATCAGAAGATACTAAGAATATTATTATTGAGTTAAAAGAATGATCTAGTAGCATGAAATATTGAAATACTCCTTAGATATATGATAGATAATATGAATTTGATTTTACAAATTTTCACTCATTATCTTGATAGGTAATATTTACTTTATGTGAAAATTTGATTGATCATTTGAGTTTAATGGAGATTTATGTACTTTGATCTATAGGACTTGTGAGGAGAAATCACTTATTTCGAAAAAAAAAGAGAGCAATGTGAAAATCTATAAACGAAGAGTATACATGGAGGGTGTGAGACATTCTCATTGTTGAAAATCATGCATAGAAAAATATTTACTGTAAAATAAGTGGATAAAATAAAAGCCCTGAAAATGAAGAGTACACATAGAGGGTGTGAGACATCATTCTTATTGTCAAAATTTGTGTATAGAAAAAGTTACTTATCTACTATATATATATATATAAAAGGAAGAAATATAGTACAAACTTCAAAAATCAAGTCATAGAAAAAGGGAAATGTAAGATCAATATTATTCTTGGATGAGTATTGATAATTAAAACATCTTGTAAATATATCTATGAGTGAAGAAGTGATAAAGATGTGAATAGAAGAAGTGAAGTCTAAATTGTTATTCTAAGGAGTGCTTAAACATTTAAGTGCTTGACATCATTTTTAAATACTTGATATAAAAATCTAAATTGTCTAAAGGTTCATCATTTCTAATTATTTTTTTTTATACACTGAAATATGATGTTTTAGATTTGTAAATTTTTATTTTCATAATTCTATTGCTAAGGGACTAGCAATGATTTAAATTGGAGGGTGTGATAAGTCTTCATTATCATGAGTTAATAATCAGTAAATAATATAGTTTTAGTCTTAAATCATGATAAATAGACTTATATTTATGTTAAAGTGTGAATAGTAGTTTTCAGTTGATTAACGTGAACTTTTGGCTAATTATGTGATTTTCTATGAATTTATATGATTTTTATAGTCTTATATTTAAGATAAATAAAGAAAAAGAAATAAAAATATTATAAAAATATAGTAAAATAGGGGAGACCTGCCAATCAGTTGGGCCCGCAAGCGGGTTCGAAAATACAGTCGAGGAGGAGCCACAAGTAAGGGCTCGAGTGGCTAGGACTAATAAGGGCACGTGTGTGCCACTCCCTTTTCACGTCACTAGTGGTCAACCAACTATGGGGCAAGAAGTGGTCATACATGCGGGGTAAAGGGACTCATTACTTCCAAATATGATATTATTATATATTTGCATAAAACTTCAACGCACAAGTAATGTGAGACTAAACCGGCGGTCGCATCTTCCCCGAAATGTTTTTGAAGATTTTAATACTTAAATTAGCCCTTAGTTATAACAGAGATATATTATGATGACGTCACTTGATAAGGGCATTAGAGTACTTATTTCAATCTCTCTCATGCAAGCGGGCAACTGTTACGAGTTCAAATCCTCCTAGAGCCAAAACTCATATTTTTATCTGATTATCACGACTTTTTTGTAGATCGCTAGTGAATGATTAAGCCGCCAGAATCGCTAGATCATCGACAAAAATCTTGTCAACACGATTCGTGGAGTATTGTTACTAAAATTGTTGAATGATTCGCGATAAAAAGATTGTAAATTTATTAAGTAAATCATCTCCAATTAATTGATGAACAAACTGTCGTTGGGAAGAGGATGATCTATCAAGAGACGAGTCGTCACCTCTTGAAAGCATACTAGATGTGATGAAGAGCCTCCTCTTACTGTGCAGACCTGAAAATGAAGCTCATTAACATGCGCCCCACCTTTATTCAGCTATTCTCTGTTGAGTGACAACCATCGGAGAGCCGCAAAGTTGTCGTTTTTCCGCTATATTAAGTAACAATTGTCAAAGACAATTCGATAATCTATTTCATTGATCTCTAAACTTCGCAAAGAGATCTAGAGATTGTCCATGTTGTTCTTGTCCAAAGAGAGCCTTTGAGGCTATAGACCTGCACGACAATCCTCCCAAATGTTCAAGATTTTAGTACATCACCGAGCATCGCCACTGCAACGTTGAAATTCTATTTTTTTACTTTTAACTTAATTTTCACTTCATTTAGTAATAATTTGTGTGATTTAAATTTATTAAACTATACTTTATTCAATCACGATTCTTTTGGCTTTTACAAATCTTAATTTGATCAATTAAATCGTCTATAATTACTTACGTAAGAATTGTCAGGCATAACTCTATTTTCACCCGATTCATGTTCGTCAGGCTCTTACGTCATTCTGACGTCCTCACCTTTATTTCCTTTTTTTGTAAATTTTAAATATATTTTATTTTTATTTCCTAATATAAAATTCATAGAAAATCATATTCTTTGAAGAAAAATCTAAATAATTACCCAATATTATATTACATTCTTGTGATCAACTTAGAAATTACCACTATTTTTGACAGTTTTGTTGAATTATAATTGATATATTTTTTCAGAAATACTTCTAAATATCTAAAAACTAGTATTTTCTAATTTTATAAATTTTAAATTTACGTGATTTACTATACAACGACTAATTTCAGATTTAGAGGTTCAAAGGAAAATTAGAAAAGGTTCGGGGGCTATGGAGAGAGATTAGGGAATTATGAAGGGGCATTTTAGTCATGCTTGCCCTTCTATAAATACTCTCTTCCTCCCTCTTTCCCGCCCCATTCTGGACGTGCTCTAGCAGTGGCTAGCCAGCAGGACAAGGCATTCTCCAGGATCCGGGGTATCCACCCTGATAGATGTAAGTCGCTTTAAAGCGTTCACTCTTGCTCTTCTCCTTCTTGCAGTGAAAAACGCCTGATCCGAGCGGAATATAAGGATCCAAGAAGAAGGAACCTTGAGGGCTCAAAGGACGAACATCAGCACCCATTTTCTGCTGTTTCCCATCGCTCTGTCTTCCATTCCCCCCCCTCCAGCTGCTCCACGTTTTCCTCTGTTTTCGCCCATCGTTCCTTCTCTCTCCGCCTTCTCCCGCAGCCTCCGTCTCTTCCCGCCGTCTCCCGTCGCTCCGTCTGCCGCCGCTTTTTGCCAGCCGGCGTGCGCTCGCTGCCGGTCGCTACGTACCCATCGCTCCTCGTCTCTCTCGTTCGCCGACCACCGCTGCCGCCTATCGCCAGCAGCCGCGCGTCCGCTGAGCACCGCCGCGTGCCCATCGCTAGCCGCCGCACGTCCGCCGACCACTGCCGCCGCCTTTCGCCAGCCGCCGTGCACTCGCTGCCGGTCGTTGCGAGCCCGTCACTCTCTCTCTCTACCCTTCCGGACGTAACCGAAAGTCCTAAATTTCGGTTAAGTCCGGAAACGGTCACGGGAGATCTGCGACCCGCGCAGCCCATCCTCTGACCCGACCGTCAACCGCCAAGGTAAGTTATTTTAGTATTATTTATTGTTGTTCTTCTGCATTAAAAAATATATATATAAAAATAAAAATAAAAAATAGATTAAAATTAGAAACAAATACTAAAAATTAAATTTCTAATCATTAGCTGTATTTTCTGCACAGGTTAATTCCAGAAAATTCTATTAAGCTTTCTAAAATCCTGAAATACTTCCAAAGAGTGAATTCCTAACATCTAAATCTATTTCTACCATTTTTAAGACTAAAAAAAATCTGAAATTGAACTCCTACCTCCCTGTGGATCAACCCCTCATTTGCCCTATGTTTGATATAGAGTAACGAAGTGGAAAATTTATTGTTGGTTAAGTCTGAATTAAAATAGCAACACAAAAACCCTTAAAATTTGACTTATCAACAAGCAGGAAACCCCTATAGCAAATTGGCAACTTATTGAGCTTGTCCAAAACGTGCATGTGGAAAGCCTCCACGGGACAAGTAGAAAATTCCATATTTGTGTTGCAATTGGGCCTTTCACTTTGTTGTGTAATATGATGTATCAAGAATGTGCCAAAGTTTAATACTCTTCTCCTCACAATTTCATTGATTGAGTTTCTATGACTTTAGTCAAACCAAGTGTTCGACAAGATTCTGTCATAGTAAAAAGATCATGAAAGTCAAGACTTGAATATAATTCTACAAGATCTACTCCATGCAACTTACCGTGTAACTCGAGAGCATTTTGATACAAACAATCTCTCTTCTTGCTACTAATCCAGCTGACTATCTTAACATGGTTAGGTCCAAAATCATTTCTACTACCTCAATTTGGCACCATCATATCATCAAAAAGAGTTTTTTTTAATATTATTATTATTATTTAGATATGTGAAAAATATGTATTTCGAAATTATCTGTGGGTTTGCAAACATGTGTGCAACATTTTGAAACGAATGCAGCATTCTGAAATCAATGGTATCAAATATGTGCAACATTCTGAAATCAGTGGTATCAAATATATGCAATATTTTGAAATCACTAGTATCAAATATGTGCAACATTCTGAAATTATCACCCCCCAACTTAGGACAACATTGTCCTCAATGGTATCAAATATGTTCATACTAGATGTGGAAAAAGGAAAAACAGGAATGAAGAAAAAAAAGTATGGGTATCAGAGAGATTACTATCGGCGATTATATGGAGATTATCGCAGCAATAATCATAAGCTTGTCAAAATTATGTTCTGGCTAAAAAGTTCTGCATTAACTAACAATGGCTGCTGGGATATGCAAAACAAGAACAGAACAAAAGAAACCAAATATTACTTGGGTTGCCTCCAAGTAAGCACTAAAGTTAACGTTATCAATTAAATAGATTCTATTTGTCAAAATCACTATAGGAAAATAAACTCTCGTTTCGGTTTAAGTTCATGCTCAAAGTAAGGTTTGAGTCTTTGGCTGTTAACTTTGAATGTTTGGCCTAACTTAAGATCATCAATGAGTATAGCTCCATGTTCTTCTATATTGATTATATTATATGGTCCGTCCCACCTAGATTTTAATTTTCTAGGAAAGAGATGAAGCCTAGAGTTATAAAGCCAAACTTTCTGATTCAAAGAGAAGTGTCGACGATGTATGTGTTGATCATTTTTTGCTTCACCCCATATTTCTTCAAGAGAGAGGAAAATTGGTTAGCTGTAAAATGTTTCCCTCTATCACTAATGATGGCTCGTGGGCAACCAAATTGAGAAAAAATATGACTTTGAATAAATCCAATAACTACTTTATGGTCATTGGTTCGAGTAGGTATTGCTTCCACCTACTTAGACACATAATCGACAATTAAAAGAATATATTCATATCTAAAAGATTGGGAAAAAGAGCCCATGAAATCAATGTCCCATACATCAAAGAATTCTACTACTAAAATCGGATTTAAAGACATAGCATCTCACTTGGAGATGTTAACATATGCTTGACACTTACTACAGGTTTTGCAATATTCAAATGAGTCTTTGAATAAAGTGGGTCAATAAAAGTCACTTTGCAAAACCTTGGTTGCAGTTCTGCGACCTGAAAAGTAAGCACCACAGGCTGAAGTATGACAAAAATTTATTATACTTTTATATTCTTCTTCAGGTGCACAGTGCCTGAAAATCTGATCATGTCCTAAATAAAATAATCTTGGATCATCCCATAAGTAATATTTCAATTTAGAAAAGAAGAAATCTTTGGCAGATTTCGACCAGTCAATGAGAAGTCATCTTGTGACCAGATAGTTGACAATCTAGGCATACCATGGTGGGCTTGTTTGTGCTATTGTCATTAGCTATTCGTCAGGGAAGAAATCATGCAATCGGGTGTTATTAGCATTGTTTAATCGTGATAAAAGGCCTGCTACTACATTTTCAAACCCTTTTTTATCTCGAATTTTAATATCAAATTCTTGTAATAGAAGGATCTAACGAATCAACCTAGGTTTGGTTTCTCACTTGGTGAGTAAATATTTCAATGTTGAATGGTCTAAATGAATGATGATTTTGGCTCCTAGAAGATATCATTGAAATTTCTCAAAGGCAAAAACAATAGCTAGTAGCTCTTTTTATGTGGTCGTATAGTTCAATTGTGCCTCAAATATGATTTGACTAGCATAATATATCACTACATGTTTTTTGTCAATTTGTTGACCTAACACTGCACCAATAGCATAATTGGAAGCATCGCACATAATCTCAAATGGCAATGACCAGTCAGGTGCACATAGAATAGGAGCTGTGATCAAGCTGTGATCAAGCTGTTTTCAATGTATTAAATGCTTTTAAACAGTGGTCACCTATCTGAAAATCAGCATCCTTAGCTAATAGTTGTGTTAATGGTTGTGTAATTTTAGAAAAAATATGTATAAACCTGTAGTAAAAACCTACGTGCCCAAGGAAAGATCTAATCTGCCTAATTGTAAGTGGTAGGGGTAATTTGTCTATGATATCTACTTTTGCTTTATCTACCTTTAATTCTCTCTCACTAACAATATGGCCCAACACTACTCCCTCAACCATAAAATAACTCTTCTCTCAACTTAGTATTAGTCTTTTTTCAACGCATCTAGCAAGCACTTTTTTTAAAATTCGTAAAACATTGATCAAAAGATGAACCAAATATTGAAAATCATCCATAAAGACTTCTAAGTATTCTCCTATCATATCAAAAAATATGACCATCATACACCGCTGGAAAGTGACAGGGGCATTACACAAGCCAAAGGGCATTAATCTAAATGCAAATGTCTCAAAAGGGCAGGTGAAGGTTGTCTTCTCCTAATCCTCAAGGTATATAGCTATCTGGTTATATCCTAAATACTCATATAGGAAGCAAAAATATTTTTTTCCTACCAATTCTTCTAGAATTTGGTCAATAAAAGAAAGGGAGAAATGATCCTTTTTAGTGATTGTATTTAGCTTTCGATAATCTATGCATACTCTCCATGTTGTAGGTAGTCTAGTCTGCAATTTCTCCCCTTTTTCATTTTGTACAATAGTAAGACTAGTCTTTTTAGGCACCACCTATGTAGGACTAACCCATTGGCTATCAAAAATCGCATAGGTAATATCTGAATCTAACCACTTAATTATTTCCTTCTTCATAACTTCTTGCATATTGGGGTTCAATCGCCTTTGCATCCCTTGACTTGGCCTAGAATTTTCTTCTACATAAATGTGGTGCATGCAAATATTCAGATCTATACCTTTGAAATTTGTCATGATCCATCCTATTTCCTCTCTATATTCTTTCAATACTTCAATAACTTGTTGTTCCTATTTCTTAGTCAAATCAAAAGCTATGATAATAGATAAGGTATCATTTTCTCCTAAATATGTATATTTCAAAGATTCTAGTAATAGTTTAAGCTCTATATTATGTGTATACAATGAAGATGGAACTACTTCAGCAATATTTCCATCATGTTGTGGGTTTGTGGTGGGTAAGGATCCTAATATGCTAGGTGTGTCAATCATTTGGCTAATATCTCTCTCATTTTGACATATGCATTCATTGATAATATCTAAAATATTACATTCTGCATCAACTTCTGAATCAAAACATTTTACAGCCTTAAATATATCAATCAATATCGTTCTACTTCCCACAGAAAAATCAACTACTCCATCTGCCCAATTAATATTTGCCTTGGCTGTCGCTAGAAAGAGGCATCCTAAAATAATTGGCATACAACAAATTTCACTTGATGATGGCATATCTACATCCTTTAATTTTTACAATCACATCTTCTACTAATCTTCTAGGTGTTTTGGCTGATCTGTCTACTAATTGTAAGATCACTGTTGTGGGTTTTAATTCCCCTAATTGAAACTGCTCATAAAGGGCAGCTAGCATAAGACTCACACTTGCTCCTAAGTCTAGTAATGCATTTTGAAATGAGATACCTCCTATTTTGCAAGTAATGAGTGGTGTGCCAGGATCTTTCATTTTCCTAGGAAGATCTATTTGAATTATGGCACTTGCATTTTCAGATAATTGAATCTTTCTAATTTTTCTATGTGGTGTGCATAGTTTCATAAGGAACTTAGCATAAGTTAGGACATGTCTAATGGCATCAGTAAGGAGAATGCTCAGTTGAACATTCCCAAAGATTTTCATTAGTTCCTCATTTTCAGTTGCTCTTTTTTTTTGTTTTGATTGTAAAGCCTTAGGAAAAGGGACTGGGATATGAGGATCAACAACAACTCCATCAAATATCTTCTAATTGCCCTTAGTACTATTATATTCTCTATTGTTTTCTACACTAGTATTTTCTACCATGAAGGAATTATGATCATCATCACTATCAAAATCGTCTATTAATTCTAAATTATGCTCCTTAGATGGACATCCTATCAATGTCTGTTCAGAATTATGAATAGCATGTGGATCATTTAATACTTTTCCATTACGAAGAGTGCTAACAACTTTTGCACTTTCATGTTTGGATATTCCTGAAAAATTAAGTGTAGAGTTTTGAGCTAACAATTGAGAGGTAAGAAGTGGTGAAATGTTCACCTGCTGTGGGACAAATCCAGGGGGTATAAATTCCTTGGATTACTTGTGGGTCGACTAGGAAGATGTCCTTCTTCCTTCCGTCCAGTGGCTTCTGCCACTCTTCCTAGTTCTCTTTCTACCTACTGGATGTTGTCTTGATTGTCTTTCACTAATTTCAGCATGCTCTGTTGAAAGTATCCTGTTGTTCCATTAATTGGGTCAAGAGCTGGTTTGTATTGAAATCATTTGACAATGAATTATAGCTCTAATGTGGGTTGGAATAATTTGAATTTCCTTTAAATTCTATTGGTAAGGTTGCTGTCTAGGGGTAAGATCATGGGGTATAAATGTATGGATGGGTTTTTGTTGTGTTTGAAAGTTTGGATGTGTAGTCATTCTATTGGGTTGCGGTTTCCAATTAGGATTTTGCTGAAATTTTATCCTTGGTTGGCATGGGTTTATATTCGAATTAATGGGGCTTTTGGCTGGATATATGTGACATTCACTTGTTCCTGTAGTTGAGCATTGTATTGATCTAAATATGGATAGTTTTGATCTAAATGTGTAGGGTCAACATAGATTGAGCATACTACTTGTAGTGTTTGAGATTGATATGAAGAGGAAGGTTTATGTATGGGTTCTTGTTGTGCTAAACGTTTTTCAATTTTTTCAGATATTCCTTCAAATTTCTCTAATTTTCTACTTAGCTCATGTACTTCAGATGTTAACACTTTATCTTGAAAAAAAGTTAACTCATATATCTCTTTCTTCACTCCTCTTTCACTCCTATCATATGTAGATGAAGAAGCATGATTCAATGAATTTCTACTAAGCTCTTGAAGTAATTGATAAGCTTCTTCCTCATCCTTAGTCATAGAAGTTCCTCCACATGAAGCATCAATCATTTGCCTATGAGTGTCGGTCAAGCTATCATAAAAAACTTCTACTAATTGTCATTTCAAAATTCCATGGTGAGGGCATTTTCTAATTAGTTCCTTTCATCTCGTCTAAGCCTCATGAAATGTCTCTCCTAAATTTTGGGTGAAGCTCATGATTGTTCTAATCATAGATTTAGTCTTACATCTAGATTAAAAAAATTGGAGAAATTCATTTTTCAAGGTTGGCCAAACTCTAATTCTCCCATCTATTGTGGCAAACCAATAGCTTGCCTCATCTTCAAGAGAGAAAGGAAAAAGGGTGTATCTCAAAGGGTCATCTGCTTCCTTTATTGTGGCCACTGCCGTCGTCGTGGTGGATATCGCTGCCGTGGTTTATAAATTCCTTTAGATGGGCATATCATGGTGGATAATTTATAATTTAAGAATTCCTTTAGATGGTCAAAGAATTCCTTTATTGTGGCACAAATTTTATAATTTAGGTTGGCCACTACCATCGTCGTGGTGGATATCGCTGCCGTGATTTCTTGTTCTTTCGCTAGTTGCCCTCCTCTATCTTCTCTCTCCTCTCTCTCCCTTTAAATACCCTCATTAGAATGGGCTGATATACAGCCTCTTAATAGGCTGACTATAATGGGTCTACTGGTCAACTTATTAAATACTTAAAACAAATATAGAGAATCCATTTTAAAACTCAAACTACCCTTCTTCTAATTTCCCTGCATGTAAATATAATTTTTTTCATCTATTAGAATACCCAGCATTGTATCAAAAATAACTTTTGATTCAATAGAATATGCATGTTATAAAAGATATAGAATTTAATACTTTTGTATGTAATTCAGTAAACAATACAAATTCAAGTAGAAAATATATTTACATTGAATGTAAGCTTTCATTAAGGGATTTAAACTATAATCATATAAACTATGCATATCCTATCATATAATATTGAGGCTTTATCAGTATTCAAGATCTATTTGTTGATTTCTTGGGTTGTTTATTTTTTTATTTCTTTTAGAACTTATTTTATCACTTAATAGAAAAAAAGCTTTGTCAACATTTGGAAGTTTAACAATGTGATACTACTCTGAACAAGATGCCAAGAGGGTTTCAAGTGCTTAACATTTGGTATCACTATGAACATAGACAAATGCACTACAACAAAAGCATAAGTATGTGAACTCACATACAATGAAAAATTTATAAGCAAGAGATTGCATGTAGCAGCCACGTGGAGCTTATTCTGATGAGTATCGTAGGCTTCACAATGTGAGATAAGGATGCAACAACCATAAAAAGAGAGATAGTGAGGGCCACCACTAGTATGTGTCATTAAATCAATATATTTGATAAGAAGGTTTAACCACTAGTTACTAGATGTGGTTAAGGGAAGGGACATTTATCATGTGTCATACTATGTAATGTCTCCTCAAGAGATAGGGACATTAAGGAGAGGTATTAATGAAAGACGAAATAGGCAAAAGTCAATGATGACTCTTCCTTGTAAATAAGAGGATCTTACAATTGTATTAGAGCAAAAAAAGGGTTGTTCTCTCTTCTAGGAGTGTTTTTCTCATTTGGTATAAAGATTATTGAAAGTTATATAACTTCAGAGGCTTGTTGTGGAGTCAAACAAACTACGTCATGCTATCTTCAAGAACTTGTGGCCCTAGGCATGAAGAAAAGCCATGGAAATGAGTATAAATTTTTGTACTAGTCAAAGTGCTGACTTAATAGATATAAAGATTACATGATCTAACTCAGACCTAGGGCTTACCGACTAGGAAGCAATAAACTATGGCAATCAACTTAAGTCAACTCTATTGAAGCATTAAATTCATGATATTTTGTTAATTAAAAACATATATATAAGATCAATTGAAAGATCAAATTATCAATTTAGATATTATTATTATTTACATGAAATATCTAAATGAGAAATTGAGCAATTGAGACAATCAAATCAATGAGAGGTCTTGAAGTAAAATATGAGTATGAAAATGTACTCCATCCACTATGCACCTATTGATTCAAATCTTCATATATAAATGTAAGTAAAAATGATTTAGTTGATTGAAGTCACATCTCTCTCTCTCTTCTCTCTCTCTCTCTCTCTCTCTCTCTCTCTCTCTCTCTCTCTCTCTCTCTCTCTCTCTCTCTCTCTCTCTCTCTCTCTCTCTCTCTATTTATCTATCTCTCTATCTCTCTTTTACTCACTCACATACTCACTTAGGGATACCACTAAGAAATTTTTTAGGCAAATCGACATAAATAAGCTTTTATTTTTTTATCTCTTCAAAGACTTAAATATAATGTCTCATTTAATTTATGGATGGGTCAATAAACTTGAATAGTAAGCTATTTCAACGCACCAAGACATTAATAAACTAAGGATTAAAAAATATGTGAAACAATTGTTGGTGATCCTTCCAACATAATAGACGACTTTAAGCTAGAGGAGACTAAAATATTTATTAATTCAACTAATAAATGATATGCTTTCGTCAAATGCTTATTGATATAAGAAACTATGCCATTGGCATTTTTTTTGATCTATCTCACCCTAATGTATTTCCCGATAAATTAAATGGTTTTCTAAATGGGCATAATTAGTGATCTCAACATCAAATGAAAGTTTGACTCAAATTATTCCTCTTTTGATGTTTGATAGTAAAGTCTTCAATTCTTTCATATTTTATGCATACCTTGACCAACTTCATTTCATACTATACTTCAATTCAACGAAATATACTTACCATAAATCCTCTGGTTCTGTAAATTACACATTTTCCGAAATTAAGAAAAATGTTTCCAACATTTTTTACATCAAAAAATTGTCAAAATGGTTACAAAAATCTCTCTCAACTTCTCCAATATGCCACGAGGAGAAACGATTTTACACATTTCATGAGGATCAGAGAGAAGATTGGTTCACACTTGATGGATCAACCTCAACCTAGTACTTTTTTTCAAGTGAAAAAAATAGTTTTCAAATCATTCGCTATATCTCAAGAGCCTTGTCAAAATCATTGTAAAAAATTCTAGTAGTTTTAAATATGCCGAACTGATGACCCAAGATGGCAACTTTGAGAGTCAACGAAGTCGTCATAAAGGCCCTCTACAACACCAGCGCGTCATCCAAAAGTAGAGAATTTTCAATCATATAGATGGCTGTTGATGCTCAAGGTGGTGATCAGGTCAAGCTTAGCTGGACCAACAAGGAATTCCGAGCAATGGCCTGGACTGGTCAGCATCTCTTGCACCAAGATAATCTAACCAAATCCTACAAGAGATCGAGGCAGAACAGCTGAAGGAAGAAGAAGAAGACCCATGAGCGGGGAAGGCCTTATGTGGGTGTAGCACGAGCTACCCATGGGCCAGCCTATACTCCCTCTTGATCCAAGCCGCCCGGCTCTCTGCATCTCCCAGCGCCAGGAACAGCTGCCGGACGGACTCATTTCGGAGCTTTGAGACAGCAAACAGCCACTCCTCGGAGTTCCTCTCCACTCCATAGGTTCCATTGAGGAGGGCCATGGCGTTTGCAATGGAAGCCGGGTCATCGGCCGGTGAGGAGGCCAGCAGCTTCGACCCGCCCAGGAGGATGTCGCAGACCTGCTTCATGCAGGCCTCCCACTTGGTGCCGTCGGATGGCCGCGGGCGCTTCTCCGGCCGCCCGGCCGTCTCCCCAGACTCCTCCACCCGCGCGGAGTTCTGCCGGACAACAATGAGCCCGTCAGGCTCCTCAGCCTCACCGTGGCTCTCCGGGGCGGGATCGGACTGTGAATCCCTGGTGGCGGCAGACGGGGTGGCATCAGACGATGGCGGCGACTGGGCGATACCGTCAGACCGGCCGGAGCCTTCCCCGAACAGGAGGTCCAGTTCCTCGGCGTGGTCCAGGGGGTGGTGAGCGAACTTGTCACCACCGGGGAACCTCTGCGAGCAGGCAAGGAAGAGATGGCGATCACTGACAGCGAAGAGGAGGACATGACGACTGCAGCATCACTGGTAGTACAAACCTTGGCAAAGCTCGCCCACCAATCCTCCGTCTGAGAATAAGTCCCCTTGGCATCATCCCATCCGACCCCCGCCTGGTTCCTCAGCGCAGTCCACGCCTGCCAGTCCCTCCTCGTGCTGTCCCAGTGGTTCTTCAGCTGGTCCTTGAAGTAGTAAAATCCCGTCTGCTTGTAGAACTCTCTCTCCAGATTCATGTAGCCCAGCTTGTTCAGGGTCTTGTGGGGCTTGTTGCCTGCCCGCATCTGATCCAAGCAGATCCTCACAAACACCGCGTGCTTCTTGTCGTCCCATATGGCCTTCACCCGGTCGCTCTTCAGCCTCTGTCTGACCTTGAGGTCTGGGCTCTTCACTGCAGAAAGAGGGACACTCGCATTAACTTTCTCATTCGCCATCTGCGATTTCCACAGAAGCACCCGTTAATAGCTCAGAATTATCAACAGCAACTAACCCACAAGAACATTAACATGAAGAACCCTAATGAACTGCAAGAAATTCCATGAATTCAGATAACACTTCCTTCGAATCCCTGAATTATGATTACTTTTTTAGAGAGAGAAAGAGCATTCTTCATACTAATTTACGTCATGTTGTCAAAACAAACTATGACGTTTCCTGTGCTCCCAAATTAGAGGAATTACCTCCTTCCTAATCGTAAAATAGCCTTATCCACTGTGCTTTGTCGTCACAGGTATAAAGAGAATAATTCGATCAACTGATGATCACGAGCACTCCTGATCCAGATTGCTCAAATAGTCAAATGACATTCAATTCACTATGCCTTGAAATACTGATGAACTGTTTTTGAGATCCGAAAATGGAAATATGCTCGACTATGGGTAATTTGTTAAAGAAAATCTTGAAATATTTAGGCCACAAGGGTTTCCAACAGGGTAATTTGCCTTTTTAATGGAGGCTTAAAGAGAAAATGAAGCATAGACGAGATCAGAAACACTGGAGCATTAGAAAGAAGAAAAATAATACTGCCTCTAGACAAGTTTTACTTAATGAGATACAGCCTCTTGATCACTTCACATCAGGAGAGTAAATAAATTCATTAGTTAAACTGCGCCTAGGATTTAACAGAGAACAGTAGAGGTCAAAAAAAGAAGGCAATTATTAATTTTAACCATAAAGTTATATTAGACCGGAAAATTATCTTACACTCAGGCGCATATTTGTATCCATGAGGAAATCCAGGATTCCAACGGTAGTTTGCTTCCTGTTCGGGCAGAGCTGGCACTTCCATCTCCATTCCAGCCTCGTCCCCTGCTTCTCAGAACTCCACGACAGCTGCATACCATCAACCATAAAAAGGGGAACCGTGTCAAAAAATATTTAAGCCCACAATATTTCCAAGAAAAAAAATTAAAATATCAAGTGAAGATATAAAAGTTATTCAGCATAGTTTATTCACTTAAGGAGCTGTTTTAATTGGTTGAAGTCAGCCCATATTTTACAAAGTTTAAAACATGAATAAGAATAAAAATAAGTGCTATAAATAGGAAAAAAACACAAAAGAAGATAGATGTAGACAGCATAAAAAACAAGAAAATATTTTTTTCTTATTGCACAAGATGATGATTTTCACAGCAATGCTGGTGGAACTAATATCATTTCAATTGTTTAGTTCAGAGTAGTTAAAAAAACAAAATGTATGCTACAAACATCATATAATTGGCATTATATTGATCATCTACCATTTATAGTCGCGATTACTATGAATATGAAAGGAAATAAAAGTACAATGTACCACATTTCAATTCGTGAATATGATAAATCGAAATACCACTATAATCTATATCTTCTGAGTTGAATAAAGGACCTGCCCACTAATTCAACCTAAAATACATCCCTCCTCTCCTTCCAGATTCAGGGCACTGAAATGATGTATATTGATGCTGCCACATGCATGTATATAATGGGTAAATGCTGACGTGAGTCGATTATATTTTCTCATTTCCCCGATTTTATCGGTTTTCTTTTTTTCAAAATTTTCTTCTTCCACGTGAACATCTGCATCTTTATTCCCCCTTCTTCTTCCTCCTCTCCTAATGATGGTATGCCAATCTTATTCCTTGATTTCCTTCTTCCTCTAGTCCTACTCAGAAGATTCACAAGACACATTCACGTTTTGGCGCGATTGTCACCTTTCTGAATGCCGAGTACACCAGAGGAATCGAAAAACACCGCGGAAACTGCGAGCAACTAATGCAGGGGATATGGAACGAAACAAAAAGCTGGGGGAGAAGAACCGCAGGTCCTCACTCTTCTCTGTCCATTGCCGGCATCCTCAAACTTGTAAAGGGAGCCTGGTTGCTGAAACCCCAGGTGCCTTTCAGTCACGGCCATGTACTCGGCCACCGGCTGATCCCACTGCGCCGCTCTCTGCCTCACCTCCGCCTCGGTCGCTGCGCAGCACCCCAAATAACAATGCTCAGGAAATCTAGCTCGGAAATACAAATTTCCAGGAGGAGCGAGGGAGCAAGGATGAGTTGGAGACGCAGAACGAGAGAGAGAGAGAGAGAGACCATTGCAGGTCCAGGCGTCGTAGCCGTCAGTGATGGAGAGGTCGAAGCGGAGGGCGAACCAGGTGCCCTTGATGAAGACCACGCCAGCGGCGGCGTCGGCGTCGGCGATGCGCAGCCTCAGGCAGGTGTGCCTGGCGGGGGGCGAATCCATGGCCACTCTCTCGAATCCCAAGGGACTCCACCTCCGCGGCACCCGGCGGGGGAGGGCGCGACCAGGCTAGGCGTCTCTCCAGAAACCGACTCCCCCCCGACGGTGGTGGGAATCGGATTCTCCTGAGTAATCGCTGCCAATCGCGGCTTCCGACGGCATCTGATTCTACAAACCGGAAGGGCATCTTCTTCACCTCTCTTCCCCCAAATCGTACCGCCCTTAAGTTCGTGTACCATTATTAAAACTTTTTACCAGACACGGAAAAAGATTTTATTTAAAATGACTGTCTTACATATAGGTATCCATTGACACTGTTTAAGAGAGAGAAATTGGGTATATTTCTTTTAGATAAACTCATATATATAGAGAGAATTGGGTATATTTCTTTTAGATAAACTCATATATATAGAGAGAGAGAGTTATATTGTCTATCATGAGTATTTATACTCATAAAAGATTTGATAGGTAGACAATATATATTTATAGAGAGAGAGAGAGAGAGAGAGAGAGAAGGGTAGAGAGATGATACCACTTCCCTGTCAATAGAAGAGAAGAGTACTGCTATTTTGTCAATAGAGAAGCACAGATGAAAGCTTAGGCACACAATCCACAGAATTGTATACTATATAACAGAAAAGAGGAAGTCTGTTTTTTCCGCCTTTATTTACTATGGGTTAGGATCATGCGGGTTACTTGTTCATCATCAGTTTTTCTGAACTTCTGACGGCTCCGCATGTCTACCAGCCCCCATCAGATCATCAAAGTGTTCTGCCTTCCCCAGTAGAATCTCAAGCTGTGGAAACAAAGAGAGCCAGAGGTAATAACAATTTGACAACAAAAGAAGTTTTCATCATGCGCAGAATGCGTACTCACCTTGGCTTTGTGGATGAGGCGGCCCCTATTCTCATCTTTCGATTCGATGGTTGATGTCGAGATCTCTGATCAGAAAAAAAGTTAAAAAAAAAATTACAAAATGGTTAAGAAATTGCAGATCCCTGCTTCTTGGAAGGTTATGTAAAAGTCTTCTTCTGTTCTTACTCTTCTCCGTGGCCCAGCCAGTAGCTTTCAAGATTTCAGAGATGCTGACGACTGTTCCAATTGCTGAGTTCAAGGTCACATGGAATCCATTAGGATTGTGATTAACATAAGCCGGGCTTCACATAAATAATCAAACCAGGACGTATGGTAATGTACTCACATTTATCTCTTCAACCTAAAATACTAGCTACACATCCCTTCCCATTCGTAGACATATTCATTGCTGTTTAAACAAACCATACAGACAAGAATAATGCAACAGCAAGAAAAACTAACCATACTACTCAACCTTGATTTAGCCTATTCACAGCGCGCATTCGACGAAAATGGAAGTTATAATTACCATTAAACGTAATGCAGGTCCCGGGAAAAGCCAAAAGAACCAAAAGAGAAAGATCTAGACACGAAATGGAAGACAAATTCGAGGGAAGAGCTGCCATATTCCAGTGTACCAAGATAGGTAAAAATGGAAGGAAAATAGGAATACATCCCTACCCTTCCCCAGAGCGGAGAGCACGACCTCGTTGTGCTGATGGATGATCCTCTGTAAAATCAGACACCAAGGGAATCAGCAATTCAAAAATGATTTCCACGAAATTCTCAGAAGACCGCCGACCAGTCGGTAACTGAAATCAAGAGGACGAAGCGAGAAAGACGAAAGACAAGAAAATCGAAGAAGTCTTCTCCAGTCAGATCCAGAGAACCGAACGGGATCAGAGTACACCTTGGCGAGGTTGACGTAGAAGCGTACGGGCTTCTTGCCGCTGGAAACCTGGATCCTGTTGCTGGGGATCACCAGGCCGATCCCGTTCTCTGGCGTCTCTTTCACATCGTCCACAACCTTTGCCGGACGATTCACCTCCTCTGCTACGACAACCACTTCCATCTCCTCTCTCTCCCTCTCTCTCTTTCTCTCGTGCGCGCGCCCAGTCGATCGAACAGACGCAGCGGTGCACAACGGCCAGTTAAGCAGAGAGGATGGTATATATAGAGGTGGAAAAGACAAGAAAGGCCGTTGAATGGCAGGACGCGGGGAAGGGACGCGTCGTTGCGTGGGCCCCTTTACCTTTCCTCGTACCATATATTCACGATTTTGCCATTCCATGCAAACTAGATGAGTATACAAGCATACCTCATGCTAAACACCAATTTAGCAAAAAACTAGTCGTTTAAATAGTCACTAAATATATATATATATATACGGTAGAAATCCTAATAAGGGAAATTTCATCATAATAAGGGAAATTTTGATGATATTTTTTTGTCATCAAAATTAGAGTTTTTTGTATCACAATTTACAAGGTATTTACAAAAAATAGCTGAAGTATCATTACGAGCATCATCCTTTTTTTGCTGAAAAAATAAATTTTATTATAATCATCACTTAAATAATATTTGTGTTTATAATATTTATCATATAACTAGATTTTGCAAACCAAGTTATGTTTTCAAAGCATCACACATAATATATTTATGTTTTGAAAAATTTATGCTTTGAGAAATACTTTTGCTTATTTTTTAATAATTTTTATGTAGTTCGTCCTATTAGGTTAAAGAATTTGATGTTGACAATTAATCAGATAAAGATGAAGGAAAATTTATTTTAGAATATGTTATCACTAACACTAATGCAAAAAGAAAGATATAAATTATTATATATAGTGATCTTTATTGCTCAAAAATATTTTTTCTAGAGAATAAAAACTGTGTGGGAAACTTTGGGAAATAGGTGTTGAAAAAATAAATGTGAAATTACCAGTAATCTCATTATTTTTCATACTCTCGCATGGGTAGGGTGTTGACATCAGATACATCAGAAATGTAAGGTTTGGGCTAGCTAGGAGGCTCAAGATCAAGCTCTTGTAAGATTTCTAGAGGACCATATATAATCATTTAGATCTTTATTTTTGTAGTGTTAGTGATAACATATTTATAATTATTTTTTTTCATCTTTGTGTGATTAATTGTCAAGATCAAGTTATTTAATCTAATAGGATGAACTGTTATGCTTTGCCTAAGCAAGTATAAATTTTATTAAAATTTTAAATAGATGTTTCTAAAAACCATATATTAAACACATTATGAGTGATGCTTTGAAAACATAATTTTGTTTGTGTAAGCTAGTTATGCGATGAATATTATAAAAAAAATATTTGAATATAAATTAAGATAATTTCAACATTAATTCCATCCACCTTGCACATGTCATGGGTCTCTCTCTCTCTCTCTCTCTACACCTATCTCTCGCCCTCTCTCATGAAATGATACTAAAATAATTGATCTCTATCCAAGTTTCAATAGAAAATGTTAGCGTTATTGTTTGAATGAATATAATCTAAGTTGAAATTCCATTCAATGAATATAATATTTAGGAAACAGCAACAAGCTATTTCAAAAGATTACTTAATTAAGTGAGAATAATGAGAACTATTTATAGAAGATCAGGAGAGAAATTAAGATCTGGCAATCATTCGCCAGGTGAAAGCATCCGTCGTCCCCACCATCTATTAATCGTCTCTGCTCGGGACTTCGCCTTCCTTCGGCCCCCAAGCAGGGCCGTGGCTCGTCCTCGGCAGTCCCGGAGGCTCTCGTCGTCGAAAATTGTCCTGATCGCCATTTCTGTTTTCTCTCTCTTCCTTTTCTGTCTCTTTGGGGTGGTTCCTCTTTTGGCCGGTGGTGGTGGGGGCTGCGGCGCCGGTCGGGTTTGACGACTTTCGGTGGTTCTTCGTCGGCTTGCGGCGGCCGATGCATTAGGAGCGGACGTTCGAGCTGCCCACGTCATCTGGGCAAGATTTACTGTTAGAATTCAGGAGATCGATTCACAGAGCGGAGGAAAGGGGAACGAAATCGGAATTCGTCCTGTCCGCGGAAGACGTCCCGCTCTACGGCTCCTTTGGCCCTCGCTTGTTGTTCAGCTGTCTCTGTTCATTGATCGCTAGGTTCCGAAACTTCACGGGGAGGTGTCGGCGCAAGTTTCGACAATTTTCAGGTGAATTGCATTCGAATATGAATTGCTCCCATTTCAGCACCCTTGAGATCCTGGGGTTGCATGATTACTCGGTAGATGGGTCCTCGTGATTTCTCTTGAAGATCGCTTTGAATTTGGCATTCCCTGCAAGGCATTGATTTCATTTTGTTCTTCCCTCGACGTTCTAATCGGTCGGTCGATTTGAGACAGTCCTGCAAAAATTTTAGAATATCTCCGATTTACTCATCATACTCATTCATTTTAGGATTCAGAGATTTCTTTGGTGGCCTGCTGCATCCTATAACGCGATCCTGTTATATTTAATTTGATATTTTAAGCTCGACTTGCTGACTAATCTTTCTCGATTTGGGTGCAATTTTTCGTTAATTTTTCTGGCTTTCATTCTCGGCTTTTGGAAGATGATTTGGGCGCGAAAACTTTCTTCTCTCAGGGGGATTTTTGATCTTCGCTTTTCGGATTGGAGAAGCTGTTCCACTGGTTCAGCGGATAATTTGAAGCTGCTTCTGCTTATGCATGGCTCCAAGAAACAGCGTTAGGGGGCAGAGCGTTCCGTCTCAGTCCATCTCAGCCGCCTTGTCATCTGCTGTCGCAGAGTGGCTGGTGATCTTCTTGCTCTTTCTCGATGGCTTGCTCTCATACCTGGTGAAGAGATTTGCCCGTTACTCAAATTTACAGACCCCATGCCTCTTGTGCTCTAGTCTTGACCGCATCTTGGCCGCGGAAAGGCCGGGATTCTGTCACGATTTAATATGCCAAGCGCATAAATTAGAGATTGCCTCAACTATCTCCAATGATCATCCGGAAGTTGGTGAGGCATCTCTTCTCTCACATGCTGCAGAGAGGGTGTCCAGCTCTGGGACCTTCAAGTCCCAGGTGGGGAAAATGGAGGGAACCACTGACAATCCAAAGAGATTATCCGCAGATACTGATTCTAACAGTTTTGAGGCTAAGATAGGGGGAGACGATTTGGCGAATCTGCCTCTACTTGAGAGGGAATACTCGTCTTACAATGTGCAGAGATCGCTCAAAAGCGAATTGATTTTTTCTGAGATCAATGAACTTGGTGTTGCTTCGAGTGTTCTTGCTGGGCATCATCTTCCATACCATGGGGACGGGTCTACCAAGAAAAAGGAGAAAGCTTCCGGGTCGCCAGTATCTTCTCGCATTGGAGATCACTTGCCCCACATTGGTTACACAGAAGTAAAGGTAACGTCAGATTCTGAGTCAGAAATGCTGCCTTCAGACGATGATGATGGAGGCGCTACGGTTGGAACCAATGATGTTGAGGAAGGTGTTTCATCACAGAGCCCGCAAGTAGAGGATGTTTTATCAAGAAGTCTCGAGGATGATGTGGTGTCGGAGAAACAGATGCATACAGTTCCTCTTTCGCCTGAGCATTCATGTCTGATTCCCATGGAGGAATCTGAAGTTTTGAAGCATGAGGAAGGTGCCCTTCTGGTCCGAAGAGCTGACCCTACACATGGTCTAGAGGAGCTTAATTGGACCCTTATAGGAGAGAAGGATCATAGCTCCTTACAACTCAAACCCACCTCTGAATCAACAGTATCAAAGGGTGAGTTCAAGATTCCTTTCCGTCTTTCTTTTTTTTTGTTTTCTTGCTTGTAGAGTCAAAGTGTGTTGGCTGTCCAACGCAGACAAGAAAAAATGTCAATCATCTATCTGTGGGTTTGGCCACCATCTTTATAAGAATTAATTTTTATTTATTATTCATTTCTAGACATCTTCTCATGTATCAGTCAACTGACTAATTGTGTCATATAGTCCAACTTAATTATTATTTTCTATGTAGGATTTTAATTACACTTGGATTGTTGCATATGGTATGCTTAAATGTAAATTAACCCTCTCTGGACGACTTTTCTGTTGCAGTGCCTGAAGTAGAAGTAGGTCGTATTATCCATGGCCCTTCCCCCTTGGAAGGGAATGTTTCAAGTCCCAAATGTAATCTCTAATCCTTGTTTTTTTTTTTCTTTCTATCATCTGATGTGTTCATGATTTTGGTGGCTAAATATTTCTTCTATTGGTTGACTTTTCTGGTGGATGAAGTGGTGATTCTTGGTGCTGGATCTGTTTCCCCTGCCCCAAGTGTGGAAGCAGCGAATGATTCGAATCCAACTGGAACAGAGTCGATACATGTCCCATCGGCAAAAGACCCTGGTTCATCGATGCTTAATCATATGGACCTCAATGATGCCTACAAGATGGCTATTGGATCCAGTATGAATCAGGGATCGCCGAGGGACTCTCATGGAGTCAGTGAAGAGTTGAGACTACTGATGTCCCACATATCTGCCTCCCGTGGACCTGAAATTTCTTGGGGTGAGATGAGCCCAAGTCCTCGTGTGTATGGACAAGGTGAGGATCTTAAGGTGTTTGATGCTTCGGTCGCTATTGTTCAGCGTAATCTTAGCAGGAAATTTTCTATCGAGAGAAATGAATCCAGTACTGAGTCACTGGATGGCGGCAGCATCATCAGCGAAATTGAAGGAGAGAGTCCAGTGGATCGTCTGAAACGCCAGATCGATTTCGACTGGAAGTCAATGACTCTCTTGTACAAAGAGTTGGAGGAAGAGAGAAATGCCTCTGCAATTGCTGCGAACCAGGCCATGGCCATGATCACTAGGCTACAAGAGGAGAAGGCGTCGATGCAAATGGAAGCTCTGCAATACCAGAGGATGATGGAAGAGCAGTCGGAGTATGACCAAGAAGCTCTGCAAAGGCTGAATGATGCCCTAACCCAAAAGGAAGTAGAACTAGAAGATCTGAAGGTAGAGCTTGAAAGATGCGGGAAATTGTTGAGGGATGAACCTTTGCCCCCCAAGGTTACAGACAATTCAGAGCAAACGGAAGGTAAATCTGTTGATATGGAGCTTTTCAAGGCATCTAATGGTGAGAAGACATTGGAGTGCAGTGGTAAAGACTCGAGGGATGTCGAAGGGGATGAGAGAGCAACACCTATGACCTCCACGTTCAGTTTTGATGACGAAAAACAGTACATCTCAGAATGCCTGCGAAGGTTGGAAAAGAAACTTCGCTCGTCCAATAATGACCCTCATGTTGATGCTTCAGGATCAAATGTGGGAGAAGATGGTCCACCTTATCACACAATAGAAAATAGTGATTTTTCTGTAGAAGGCGTAGGGGAGAGACATGATACAGAGCAAGGCCATTGGGATGAGAAGATCCAGAAAGATAGTAATTCAGGGGAGAATGTCCTCTGTGAGCAAGATGAATCCTCCTTTCCCGGTGAAAGCTCACAGACAAGTGGCCCAACCCTGGCAAACGTTAATGATATCTCCAAATTGCGTGAATTTGATAATGGAAGTGCACAATCCTCCGTGATTCAAAGGATTGACTTATCTTCTTTTGAGAATGAAGTTCTCCACCTGAATGAGAGGTTGAAGACCCTTGAAGCTGATAGAAGCTTCCTTGAGCATATTGTGAATTCCCTTAGGAATGAGAGTGGTGCAGTCCAATTTGTCCAAGAGATTGCTTGCCATCTTCGAGAGTTACGTCGAATTGGGGTCAGAAGAAGAGATCAGACGATGGTGTGATCTGTCCCGTGGTCATTCTAAAGGTGACTGTTTTTCAATTGATGTCTATTGTCAATTTTCTTTCTCATGCATACAAAGAAATGGCAAACTTTACTCGGTTTTATTTAATGGGTTTCTTCCTGTACATCTCCTTGATGGGAGAACAGAATTAATAAATAATATATTTACTCTCTAATTATCATTATTTACTTAGAAAAATGTTGTATAAATTTGAAGTCCTATTATTTTTGAATTATTGATCTGATACTATTCTACCCTTTTTACCCTGTTGCATTTCAATTTTTTAACACCTATTGTCCCTTTTATGCCGTCTTCTAAAGTTATAAACAAATAATATACACTTCTGTTGGGACCTGTGAGATTAGTAGGAATTTTCCAGCTGAAACTTTGGAGTAGGAGACTTTTCATTCGACACTCATCAGCATGCATCCCTTCGTGTTGCTTTCTTTTGGTTTATTTTTCCAGCTTTTGTTGTGCCGATCTATTCATTCGATCAAAGCATCATGTAATCTCGCGGTGAAGCCATTAGCATGCACAGCAGGCTGAATGAGGCCTTCCACTGCACTGGTTTTTTGGGTTAATAGTCTACATTCGGCTGAGATACTCCTTTCCAAGAATGATATTTTTTGTCAAGCTTCTTTCACGCCATTTTTAATGAATTTTACAAAACAGTTCTAAGCCCCTCCAGAAGGAATCATGAATCTTGAATATCCCCGTGAGTTTTTTTTTTTGCTTCCATCCAATCATCAATAAAAAAGCTTGACAGTGTTCTTGACAGTGTTCCCATTAAGGAACAGGAGATGATAACAACTTCACCTCACAAATTTCCTTTATTCGGTCTTTTTTTTTTTGGTCTACCCACTGAGAAATGATGTTCTTTGGTGGAAAATTCATAAATTATGAGTTGTATTCTGAGCATCCGAACCAATTAAAGTGAATAAATGTACTTAGATATTTGGACAGTGTCTAAACCTGAAATGGTGCTGCAGAAACATTCCCACACCAATTCCAGATCACTTGCATTGACGTGATCTTCTACCAATCTCAATGGCATCATTACTGCAAGGAATTGGAGACTGAGAGGAATTAAAACCGGGTTTTCAGATCAACAGGGGCTTTGTACAGACAGTACGGTTAAGTCTCAAGAACGTTGCAGATGGACTCCACAGGTTGAAGTTTTTTCCTTTTAATTTTTTTTTTGTCTGGGTTTTCTTTATTTTCACTTGTTTTGATGCTTTAGGGGAGCTGAATACGATTTTTATATGAATTTTTATTCTCTGGTTTCCCTTGGATGAATGCCCCATAATGATCGAGTAATGCTTCTCGTGATCTATCTGTAAAGATCGTTTCCTCCTCCTGATTCTTTGGATTTTATGTAAATCTCTCATGGATCAATCAGTGACTGAGCTCAGAGTCGATACCTGAATTTATGTGTATATATTATTTTTCGTACCATACGTTTAAGTGGTAGAAACCTTATTTGATGATCACATAATGTCATCACCATGAAATTATTAAGGAGATTTATTTTTTTTAATAACCTCAACAAGGGTCCAATTTTTATTACATCTTCACGTGAGCACATTCATGCGTCCTGCTCATAAATATTTTCATTTTTTCTAAGATTGGACTTTCGTCTGGTCAGTGACGGAGGATTTTGGGGCTGAATGAGATGTACTCGATCAATTTCTTACCCATATTTTCATTTTTTTTATGGTCTTATATTCCTAAGTGTATAGTATACGTTTATGCATTTTATTTGGCGTATTTATTGTATATGATTCCCCCCCCCCCATTATTTATGTCTAGTTATTTTTCAGTGGGAAAAATAGTATATATATATATATATTGTGCTTTCCTTAAACATGTTTTATTTTGGGAGAGAAAGAAACTGAGAAATAGTGAGGTAAATGACTGAAATATGGAAGAAAAATAATGCAAAGTATATGAGTTGGGTTTCGAGTCAATATAAGAATGCCTTTGCGATCTAATTGGGCTAGTATAATTAGGGGATAAAAAAATGGGAAAATTGATTTATCTCGATTTAATACCATATTTATAGTGTTAATTTTTTTTATAATTTATGAGAACGATTCTATTGATTTCAGAGCCATAGAATGATCTTTACTTGATCAGGCAAGTCTACTCCGTGGGAAGAACAAATCACCAAAATTTATCATTATATAAGTAACTATATTAATTAATTTAGCATGCTAACTACAAGATATTTTATATGGGCTTGAATAATTCCCCTTTATTTATTAATAAAAAATATATTTATATTTATTAATGATATATTTCATCGAACCTGAAGGTGCTATTAAAATATTAATGGTATAAATTCAAGATAATCCTCAAGGATTGCCCAAAAAAAAAAAAGTGTGGGAGAACCAATCGCCATAAACCTTGGTTCTTATTTAATATTATTTGGGATAATTGGAAAATATATAAAAAGGGCATTTAATTATATGGAAAATCGGGACTCGATGGCTCTTTATTTTCATTTTTTTAATAACCGATTTTTTTACTCGAGAGAATTTAAAAAAGTATGTGATGAGAATAAAAAAACATACTATAAATACTGACACAGCCGGCGGGATCCGCACCGGCCGGCGGTTGGGGGCCGGTGTGCTTCGCCAGCATTCTCTTCTTCTTCTTCTTCTTCCTGCTTCGGGGGCCGGACGGCGGCGGCGATTTGTTCGTGGCGCGGTGGTGGAGCCGGCGGTGAAAAAGGCGATTGGGCGAGATCAGATATGGCGTCAACGTCAGGTTGGAACCTCCGATCGCGTGATCGATGGTTTTTTGAATAAAAAAATTGTGATGTCACTCGTGGTGGCAAGGGGGAGCGTCCCTCGGCCATGAATGGCCCCGTGCGTGTGGCGGAGGGGCGGCCGACCGCAGCCGCCAGGGGCCACGCTTGCCGGCCCTTCGCGCGCCTCCTGATCTCCTCGAGTTCGTTATTTATGCGGATGAACGAAATGAGGCGGGGAGAGGCGGGGGATCGATGGCGATGGTGACGCCACTGCGTCTCCAGCTGCGGGTTCCCTCCGCCGCGGTGACGACGGCTGTCAGGAAGCCATCTCCTCTCGCTCCATTCCTCGATTTTCCCCCGATTCCGCGCGGCCTCCGCCTAGGGGCAGTATATTCCGGTTTCAGCGGCGGCGATCTTTTCCTAATTTCTCTCCGGGGGAGGCGGCGGCAATCCAGAGCAGCCGGCGCTCCGACGGACGCAAGGTGCTGTAGCACCACGGCTGGCAGTGGCAGCAGTTGGTGGGAGGACTTCCGGGTGTCCCGATCCGCATTTCCCGCCACTCGCCTCAGCGACGTCATATGGCCTTCTGCAGGTCTCCATTGCCTTTTTCTCCAATTCGATGCTTGTAATTCGGATCACCGGTCACATAAAATTTTGAAGGCGCCTGGGTTGTGCTTATCTTGTGCAGGTGCATTCCTGGCGATGGCGCTTCTTGGAAAAATGGACCAGATGATAGCCCCAACGGGCTTGTCGTTTACCATTGCACCCCTCGGTGCTGTATGTGCTGTGTTGTTCGCAACGCCCGCTACTCCAGGGGCGCGGGTATGGCTCTCTTTTTCTCTCTTTTTTTTGCTCATATATCTTATTGTGTCAGAAATGTTCCGATGCCCGTTGATGTGCCCTGCGTGCTGATATCTTCTTGGACATTGTTTTCTAGCTGTGATTAGATTTATTTTCGCCGAACATTTATTCCCTTCGTCAAAATGGATAGAACCCATGCTGAGTATGGGAGTAGATGGTTATAAGAGCTATGTGCTCCTACATGAATATCCATTGAGGTTCTGGAGTAACTAGTAAAATCGTTTTGTCGTTGCCTTATATTGTTGAACCAGAAAGATAAGTAGAGATTTTCATCATCATGTCATTTAAGTAAGCCTCCAATTATGTAGAGAAGAGGATTCATCCACCCATCGTATCTTGAAGAGTCTATCACTCATTTACTTCGTGAAAAACTTAATCACTCGGAATCTCATCTTATTCCTTATTCCGCATATTGTCTATAGAAGAACCTGAAGCAGCAAATGCCATCCTCAGTATAAACATAAAGAAGGCAAACCATGCTGTTCCACCAAACTCCGAACTGACCACCAGTTTTGGTGCTCTGTTTTGAATCTTGATCATGAGGCATCATCTTCCCTGTGATTTAATGCATTCTTTATAAGCTACTGCTGTAGTAGAAGGAAGTTATCCTGTGAGTACTCTTCTAAAATTCATTTGCTATCTTTCTGCGACGCCTGCCTAGATCACTGTTATTTATTTTACTGTTCGTTGATGATTAATAAATTTCTCCTGTCCAAGTCAGGGCTTATCCTGTCTACGATGTATCCTCTCACAGTCTCACATTAGTGAAGTGAATGAGAGAATTATATTACAGAGGAATTGTCTGATAACTCTTCATATTTTGTTAAAACAAGAAGCATGTTGTGGCATTATTTGAGGGAAGATTATGGGACAGATTACCTAAAAAAAAGCAATGTGCCATTCTCCTCATTATTAGGAATACTGGAAGATCTTAATTAAAATTTTGATTTAACAATTACACCCAGTTTCTGTAGCACATAATGACAAAGGAGAGATTTTGCAGAAATACAACATGTTCATGGCACAGATTGGATGTGCTGCTTTTGGTGTTTTAGCACTCTACCTATTTGGCCCAGGCTGGCTTGCTAGGAGCACCGCACTTGCTGCATCTGTGGCATTTATGATCGCTACACATTCAGTACATCCACCAGGTAATTTCATTTTCTAGCTGATGCTTTCTGTGTCAATGCAGATATATTGGTATCCATAAAGAGCATTTCTTTGTCAAAAGGGAACATGGATCTTAGTACATACTGAGAAGAATTTATAGCATTGAAGATGCAATTAACGAAGATAGACTAGTGGACTTATAGTTCGGTATAGGGCCTAACTTGTGTCAAATGAGTTGACTCGGTTGAGTTTCTTCAATGCCGAGTCCGTACAAGGATCATCACCCGAAATAGGCAAGAATCTCATTCTGAAGCAGCAGATGGACAAAGACCCTCTTCAGAAAAATCTGAACGGGATAGTTGATTTCCATTTATAGGTTGATCTTAACAGCTACTTTACATTACCAGTGAGCTTATTATTGGTTTTTATATCTTCCTGGTTGCAGCTGCGGGCTTGCCCATAATGTTCATTGACGGCGCAAAGTTCCACAGCCTTCACTTCTGGTATATATTGTTTCCTGGGGCGACTGGCTGCATACTCTTGTGCTTGATCGTAAGTAGTCCTGATTCCCAAAGCGTTGCAAAATATATCTTTCCTGAGTCGTCTGCCTGCTGAGCATTCACTTCCATTCATTTGCAGCAAGAATTGGTGGATTACCTGAAGGAGAACTACAAATTTTGAAGGGCTCTGCTCCCGCCTTCGGGATGTACTTCTCCGCAAGCTCAGGTAAGCATAGTGATGATATATAATTGCCTTTAAGAAAGACTTGCCTTTGGCAATGTCTTAAGATGTGCTTCTAGTATAAATTAAAACCTGCCTTTCAAAGGAGGAGGGGTGGCCACTTGATCTTTTTTAATGGAATTTCTGGCCGAGGGAAGAAGAAGAAGAAGAAGAAGAAGAGGTAGAGGTGATGGGTCTCCACTGGTTCCCCTTCTCGGATCCTTTCTCATGACAACATGGTGAAGATGCCCATTGCAAGATGGGTCCATCGGTCTTTTGAACCTGCGAAAAGGGGTCCAGTTCTTCCTCAAAGCTACAAAAAAGAAAAACACCAGATGACGAGGAGAACCTGCTTTAGGAGATAGAGGGGAAAAAATGAGGGGTCATTGGGCTTGCATTGAAGCCTTGGCCCTGTCCATTCCAATGAGTCCAAGCTTAAGCTTAGACTAGTTCGAGAAGCTCAGCCTTGTCTAATCTTAGCAGTTCCAAGTTCACTTAAGGGGACCATACAAAAATGGAAGTAAAACCTCATTGAAATCTTGTAAGCCTTCTAATCTAATGTGAACTTCATATCTGTTAGGGTGGCTGAACTCATGTGAACTTCATGTGTACTGGTGAAACATATTTGATAATATTATGAATGCGCATGACGATCTTCTGCTTGCCTTGTGCCTAGGAGTCCATTTCAATAGCAAAGAGCCCATATGACCACATCCTGACCTTGTGTCTAATGATCCAGCAAAACGATAAAGGAAGCTTGCCCAATAGCCCATTTGGTAGTTATGCAAGTAAAAGCCCAATTATCTAATGGGCCTCGTCCCATTAATTCGAAAATGGCTTTTCTCTTAGAGAGTTGTCAAATGGGCCTCATCACGTCATATTACGAGTGGACATTATCTAATAATGCATTATAAAAATGAGAATTATCCCAAAAATGTTCTTGAATGTGTTTTATTCTAGAGAGGTTCAAATTGGTGTCTTCTTATATTGTCCAATTGACTACATCTCAATATAATTATAAACTATGCTTCATTACGAAAAAGGTTGTCCAGTGGGTTTGTCCTACATACTTCCGAGATGGACTTAATCATTAAAAGTTATTAAATGAGTTTATGTCATAGACCCTCAAATGATCTTCATCTCAAATATTTCAATTCACTTGATCCTATAAATTCTAAAGTAGTGTACCCTTGGTCTTCTCAATTTTTTTTGTTGATATTATTGAAAGGTTTATCCTACAATGCTTCATCTCAAAACTTCAAAATGAGCTGACCCAAGTAACTTATTACATATGAATCACCTTATAAAATACAATGGGTCTTCACCCGTATCCAAAAGATTTCATTGACTTGCAATGAACTGGAGTGTATTTATTTATGCCATCATTTTATTAAAATTAATGGAATGCATGGCTCAATTATAAAGAAGTAATTTTGACATTTGACTCCAATTCACAAGGTGGATGCAAATTCCAAAAGAATTAAAAATGTGATAACATAAATGGGCCTAAACATAATGAATGTGGAACACATTGTATAAAGTTCATCTTAAGAGAGAAATATAACATTTTACTTTCAAGGGAAGAATAAAAATATGATGTCGTAATAGTTGTTAGTTGGGATTTTAAGTTGTTCTTGTACCTTAAAGATGTTGCAAGCTTGGATTTATTTGATTTTTTTTTAAAAGGGATATCTACAAATTGTGTGAACTGTATTGAGTCTTGTTAGATGCCTAGAATTTAATGTCTTGACGTATTTCAATATGAAGAGTTTGGGTAAACATTAATGAAGTGAAATTTATCGATGATGTTGTCATTTTGGTGCTTAAGACCTCTCTCTTTCATTATAATGCTAACAATCCTCTCTATCAAGTGAGGGAGTGAGAGGAGGGAAAGAGATAGATAGATAGATAGTGGGAGAGAGAGAGAGAAAGAGAGAGAGAGAGAGAGAGAGAGAGAGAGAGAACTAACAACAGGAGAAGGCTGTCCACATCTCAACGCCTTCAACATTTGTTGCCAGATGAAATGATGTCAGAAATTTAGCTTACACACAATGGCGAAATCTTCACTTGCTGGTTCCACATCAACACTCTTTAGACAGCAAGATTTGTGCTAACGTTATAATTTTTGAACGAGTATAATTTTTATGTTTGTACCACACCATTGAGTGTTGTCGTGAGCTAAACTGGTAGCACTTTACATGCCTCTATATGTTTCACTCTCTCCCTCTATATCTCTCTTCTACTACTTCGATCACCATCTCTCACTCCCCGTCTCTCTCCCTCTCTCTATCTCTATCTATCGCCGTCTCTACCTCTCCATTTCCTTATATATCTATATATATATATATATATATATACCATTTTGCCTCTGTATCTTTCCCTCTCTCCCTTCCACTTCTTCTATTGCCATCTCACTCTCTCTCTCTCTCTCTCTCTCTTCTTCTCCCTCTCTCCTTCTGCGGAAATTATGCAAAGTGACAATTTAATATCATTGAAACTTTAGATAGAGGTAGGGAACTATAGGTAAAGACATAGAGGGAGTGAGGGGAAGAGAGAGTGGCTACCCCCATTGTGATGATAATTTGATGCCCACAACGAATCATACTTGTAGCACTTGATTGATCAAACATTTAATTTACAATACATAAATAATTATGTTATCCTACAAAGATTAATGTCTAGTGTGTTTGGATGAGAGGAAACTCACTACTAGCAAAGCTCACAAAGTTGTAAGAATGTGCAAATGAATGACTACCCCATATCCACTAAAATATACATGGACATGTTTTTTCATTTTCTCTAATGACCACATATATTCCTCTTTGGTAACTCCTCACTTTTAGTATTAAATTTGTACCCAATTTGAGGTACTCTCTACCATAATAAGCCAAGAAATTTTGAAGTTGGGTACAGATCATTGGCTCAAGAATGAATTATCTTGTATGACAATAAATAATTTGTATGGTGATTAAGTCAAGTTCAATCTTACTCCACTTGCTTATATTTTTACCAAATTTATGATAAACCGTCTATAGATTGATTTTCCCATGTGTTTTAATTAGATTTTAATAAATAGTTACTTTTCCTAGGATATCAGCCAAATAGCCAAGCCTATTCTAAAGGTAATATGAAAGCAATAAAATATTTACATCACTTATTTGTTACAGGTATAACACTTCGAAAGGATTGGGAGGTGCAGCTCAAACCAGAAAGAGAGCTTCAACCTCATTGAGAGCATGCGTAAGAGTAGCTTTGAAGCATTTGAATCATAGATAAGTGGAAACCTGCAAAAAACATCATCTTGTTTAGCTCCAAATTACAAATCAACTATTGCCCATATTTCTTCATCAAACAATGCCCTTTCAGATCTTTTGCTTGTCTTTTTTAGAAATAGTATCATTTCATTGCGTGCAGGTATCAATAGATTACAGCTATGGTGTTGACATTGACGCCTTAGAGTCAACACCTAAGTTGAAACCCATCTATCTTTTGGCATATTTCTTTTGCTCTCTAGTATCGATGGTTCTAGAGTCAACATATGAGTTCTTGCCTAAATTTATGAGTTAAAAATAAGTTTTTTTTTTCACATCTTGTCTCATATCTTTATGAGATTAGTAAATAAATCATTGCCTTGTATTTTTATTTTTTTTTCAAAAAAAATATTTATTTAACTTCAGCTTATATGGCAATTGAACGATATATTTCTGAATAAGAGGAAACCCATCTACTTGGGGGAAAAAATATCCTCAACCTTACCACACCATATAGTTTACCACACTGTCCTCTAAAATTGAGAGATTTTAAAAAGTTTAGAGCTATATAAGTGTAAGACTTTGGCAATTTTATAACTATATTAAATAAAATTTTCATTTGATACCATTCCATCCCAAGAAATACCTCATCCATGTTTATGTATAGATGAGATGCGCAGCAAAAGGAGAGAACTCAAGATTAGCGAACTCTTCTCTAGTAGTCATCTAAAGCAGTTCTCGTCATTCAGCTTAGGGAATAAAATCTCATGAAACCTCATGTAAAGGCTTCTTGCACGATGAAGCATCGAGTCCGTGGAGGTGGCGTATAAGAAGTAAATGGAGTTTGTGGTGGAGTCCGACCACGTCAAGAACAGCAACGGAGTACAGACGAAGAAGGTCTGAGGAAGGTCAGCAATGGCGATACAATGGCAACGATGCCCTCCACTCTCTACGTTCCGCCGCCGATAGGTTTAGACAGGAATCCGACGGCGAAAGAATGGGGAACCAGATCTCCGGGTTTGACCGAGAAGAAGCAGGAGAAAAGCTCTCAACGATCGCTTCCGATGGTCTGGGAGACGCCCACCCGGGGGGACCATATCGGGTAAGATATCAGTTTTCCCGCGCCTAACTCCGCCGTCCCCTGTCATATCTCTTTTCGGCGGCGGTGGCGGCGGAGGCGAGGACCAGATGGCGTGCATGGTGAAGAGCCCACGTGATTCAAATTGCTCCGTCGCTGGTCTCCAGCGACGGCGTGTCGCCCTGGAAAACACCGCAAGTTGAGGAAGCAGAAGCGAAGGATGTCTCTGACTTTGGAGACCAATGGGGGAAGAACGAAGGTCTGTCAGCAGAGGTGAGCTGGATGAGCTTGTGGTGCCGGCTTCTCACCAGTGGGGCCCACTAGATTTCCGCTATTCAGCGTACGCACGTCTTCGTTTACGTCCAGAATACCTTCTTCTTCGTTGGGCGGCGAAGAGGATAAATGGATGAATGAATGAGGAAGAAAATGCTCGCTCTAACCAGACAATCCCGGGGAATCTTCTCTTGAGTTTCCGGGCAAGCTTACGACGCTCTTTCTTATATACTTCGCTCATTATCGTCCTCTCCACCTTCCGCCTCCATCAATCTCATCAGGAAACAGCGCTTTGCTAGCAGTTTAGCTCTCTCTCTCTCTCTCTCTCTCTCTCTACCCATCTTCGTATTGCACTGTTGCATGGCTGGGAAGGGGAGGAAATTCTTGGATAGCCTTCCCCTGATATGCTTGATGGGGATTATTATCCTCCTGAACCTGTCAGGGGAAGTTGCGGCGGCGAGGCCGCTCGGCGGAAGGTGGCGGGCGGCGGCGGGACAAGTCGGGAGCTTACTCTTCGAGGTTCTGCCGCAAGGGAGCGGCTCTGGTCCCGGGGCTTCGGGTTGCACCTACGGCTCCGTCCAGAACGGAGGGACGTGCCCTCCATAGTTGAAGCTACCTGGTCTGGCCTAGGACAGAGACCAAACCAGAACATGCACGATGAGATTTGCCTCAAGAACAGGCTCCATGGGTGGTGTGGTGCTCACAATCGTAGAACTCTGGAGGACTGAGTGTCTGTGATGTGATTTGCTTCACAGACCGATTGTTTCATTAATTCATTTGTACATGGGTCGAGTGGTTAATCGAGGAAAATCCATTCTTTACGTAGATCTTCCCACCTCTTTAGGGAAAAGTCAACGCATAAGTTGTTCCTACGCAATAAGTTCCCTGATTATTTCGTGTAATTAGCAAAAAACCCATTCTTCGTTATTTATGTAGGTCTTCGTGAGTATGAACTTCTCTTTGATTTTTAAAACTGTTAACAGATCATTTCCACTTACCTATTCATGGGTCATTACATTTAAGTGAGGAAAATTCAATTTTTGTTGGGATATTGTAATCCATATCCATTTTTTTTCATCTCTAGACTTTCCTTGTACAAACGCTTTTTACAGGTCTTGACATCAAAGTGGGAAAAGAAACTTGGTCTCTATATATTTACTTTGGAAGAATGAGCAACTTAGTGCATTATCCAAGCTGTCTCATTGATTAAATAGTATATTTTTAAAACATTTCTTCCTAAAATAAAACGTTATTTCAAGAATAATATGAAGAATATTGTTTAAGGGAGTTCTAAGACATTGCATGTGGGCCTTCCACATGGTAGTCATCTTTTAACCTTTTCCATAACTAGAATTTTCATTTAATTTAACATGCGACTTCTAGAAGAATATACTTCCAACTATTTAAATGTACAAGCAAAAATAAAGTTTTAACAGGCAAACAATCACTTTGGTTTGAACTTCCAATCGCCATGAGTTAGGATTGTTAGTATCAACAAGTAAGTTCCCTTAAGGACTTGAATTATAAGCCACAACCTACTGAAAACCTATTCATGTTTTTCATTATGCAAATCAATTTTTGGTAGGGAGAAGCTTTTTTCTACAAAGTAAGGTTGCATAAATTTGTGATAGTGAATTAGCTTAAAATCTGACTAACCATGTGTTGACATGTGAGCTGGAATTACACCTTTCATGGTTAATGTCTTGAACTTATGCACATTTTTCAAAACATTAATTCAATATGGGCAGAGAGAAAAGCCTTGAAAATGCATGTTCACTTGTAACCCCAACAAAGCTTGTTTAAAGCAATGAGAGGCATGATGGGACTGTTTTCTTAGGTTACCCTTCAAGAAGCAAGTTTTACTGGGGAGTGGGGAGGATGGTAGACAGGGGAAGCTACTAAGGAGAGGGTTTTTCATGAGGTTGGTATGACCTTGGGGAAGGTTGGAGGAGGAAACACATCCAGAAGTATGGAGGGTGGAGAGAGAGAGAGAGAGAGAGAGAGAGAGAGAGAGATGATGATGTAGGTGTATTTCCATGTATAAATACGTGCATATGGGTGACATGTGAAGCATGAAAAAAATGAGTTTGATATTAAAGATGATATAGTTTATGTTGTTTAACTATATTATCTTATAAGTAATATAAATAAGTTAATTTTTAAAGTTTTTTTGCTCAAATGTCATTTCATTACTTTATAAAGAAATATTAAAATTATAGGGATACTTTTGTAATACCATATTGTTGATGAACTTTTTGTTATACCAATAACATATCCCGACAAGGGGCCAGCTTGCAATTATTTATTTTCGAAATATTTTCGTGATGTCTGAAGCTACGAAACCCTTCTCTTTGAAGGTGACGGCTCTGCAAGACTCTCTGGAGGTCCGAAGCGTCTTGACGTCGACGGTTCCTGGAGATGGAAGAGAGAGGGAGAGACGGGTTCGAAAACCGAGGTTGGGAGGAGAGAGAGAGAGAAGGCGAGACGGAACGGGGAAAGCGAGAGAAAGCCAGAACAGTTTCTCTCGAACTTCCCCGGCTTCCCTGTGTTCTGTGATACAGCGTGCTTAAGCACAACTCTCTCTCTCTCTCTCTCCCTCTCTTCTCTTTTTCCGTTTCTGAGCGGAGAAAAAAGAAAAGAGGAGAAAATGAGGAGTCTCTTCGAATAAAGAGAGGGAGTCAAGTGAGGGACAGGCGGTGAGGACTGAGCAGGTGCAGATTGAAAGGCTCGAGGAAGAGCAGCAGTGTGTGTGAGAGAGAGAGAGAGAGAGAGAGTAAGAGAGGGGGAAGTGATAGAGGATGCAGCAGCATCAGCATCTCATGCAGCAGAACCCAATGATGGCCTTCAGCACGCACCCAAGCAACGTCACCAGCGATCTCATCCAGCAGGTTTAGCGTCGGCTATTTTTCTCTTCTTCCCTCTCCGTCTACCGGCTGCTCTGTCCCCCCTCGTTCTCTCTCTATGTGTCTCCCTTTCTCTGGTATTCTTTTGGGATGCTATTAGTTTGCCGTCGATTCGTTCATTCTGCTTCTTTAGGTGTGGGTAATGGTGATGCTTCCTCTTTCTCATATGCCTAGGGAGAAAGAGGGATGCCTGATCATATTTATTTTTCTGGAAGTGGGTTTGCTGTTTCACTTGTTTTCCCATTCTTCTGACAGTTTCTTTGTTTTACTATTCGTCTGCTGGCTTGGGGGCCTTTTTCTATCGCTCGTGGGTGAGCTCGTATCGAGCCTGCCCTCATCTCTTTCTGCCAATCGTCTCTCGTCTCTTCCTCGACCTTTTCATTGTTCTTTTCCTTTTGAGCTTGTGACTTTTAACCTTTGAACCTCATGAACCTTTGACCTTCTAACCCTTAGAGTGCGTGTCGTTGACAGATTCATTGAAGTGTTGACTTGTCTCTAGAATATCAGAAATGTGTTCCCACTTTTTACTTAAAATCTCTAGCGCATGTATATTTTTTTTCAATATTTCCTTCGTTCTATTGTGATGCTTATTTTTTCTATTTATCTTAATGTTTCTGATGTTATTTGTGCCTGTGGATCTTCAACGGAATGCATGTTGGATTAAGATCTCACATATGCCAATATTCTTGATCTAATCATCTGCGTAATGGGTCCGACGTTTCCTTTCATCTATTTTGTTTTTCATTTCGCATTCTTTTAGTAAAGTTCTCTGGGTTGGTGAGAAGGCATGTGGTTGAGCTCTAGGGGATGAAGAAGAGGAAATGAATGTGCTTGCCCTCATACCAAGTTTTCGCGTTTCCTTTATTCTTTTCATTATTATAGTTTGTTTAACATTTGTCTCAGTACTATGGGAGATATGTAATGAAATCTTACATTGAAGTTAAACTATATTGAATTAGGAATTCATGCATAACATGTTAAGCATTTCTAGTTGTTGGTCCGCAGCAGTTGGATCATTTCATGAAATGAGGGTTCTTATCTTTCCTTTTAATCTAGTTTGGGTTAATGGCTTTGTGAGCATGATTAGAGTTGTCATCATTGTTGTTGTTAAGGCCTGTAATAGAAGACACTTTATCATCTTGAATGGACCGTACCTTTAGGAATTTTTGTGGGTCAAGGTGTGTCTAGAATACTGTTTTTCCATTAAATGAACCACAAAACGAGGCTGGACCAAGCTGTTAAATCTGGGAGATCGAAAGGAGTTGACATGCCAAAAGTATTGTCAAATAGTTCCTTTGCTATCCATTAATTACTATGACTGCTGAATTGTTCCAAAGCTTCTTATTTCGATACTAGTGACATGACATGTTTACCTGTTCATTTCCTTCATTGGCCATAAAATGAAAAAGGTTCTTGAATAATTATGTTGGTGTAAGTTTGTTTGTAAGCCAGCTAATTTTTTAATCCCTTCTTGCCAATGAATATATATCAATGTCTAGCCTGATGTATTTTGCATCTAATCATAACTTTCCCTTGCATATTATGCGGCCAGTATTTGGATGAGAACAAGCAGCTGATACTTGCAATTCTTGAGAACCAAAACTCGGGCAAAGTGGATGAGTGTGCTGCGTAAGTACATGTTATCTTAGTTTATTCAATGATGATGGAAGCGATTGGCACCAAAGATAACTGGCTTCCTCTTGAAGCACTGCAATGCCTCGCAAATTATTTATTTTTCTTCATGTATCTGCCTATGGGCTGGTTGTCTTCTGGTTGAATGTTAAAAATAAAAATAGCTCTCCAAATCATGTCGTATTCAATCTGAAAGAAAGGTCTTCTCTGGTACTTCTTAATGGCAAATGCATTATGTTGTAGCTATCATTGTAATTTTATTTCGTTCAGCAGCACAGCTTAGTTAAGCTGGAGGTTTATGTTCATCACGCTATCATAAATATAACTTAACCCTTACTACTGAACGTGGTGAATTTTGACACCCAGAAAAGTATGTTTCACTAAGATGCCTTCTTTTGACAAAGATCAACGCTTTGTTCTATCTTTCCCTTCTCATTTTCTCAGCATATTACTTTTCTGCCGTGAATCAAGCTCTGTAGGAGTGATGATCTAAGCTTGAGCCGAATTTCTTGTCTCCTCACAAGGCTGAACCAATTGAGATCCCGATTTTCACAAGTCTTAGCAGTTTGACGTTCGTAATCATTGCTGAAGTTCCAACTATACTGCCACAAGGATCATGATGCTTTGTTTAATCCTTTTTCCTCTCTTTTGTCGGATTGGTCGGTCTACCTTCTACTCATTGCATTCGGTCCATTGATCCGCTGTTAAGAAAGACAAATCGGTACCTATGTGGCCGGATGATGTATTTTTGGATATCTCCTCTGTCTCAGGCAAATTCTTTGCATTATTGACCCAGAATCGCAATTAATGGAGTTCAATATATCAGCCACCACATCTTCTGGGCCTTATTTTAGTCATCCTCCATCTCATGACATTGGGCACTGAGATTTGTGCGACTTGTTTATGTGCATTGATTGGTCATTTGGGTTATCTGAAAATTAACTGAAGAAGGCGGCTTAGGTTCATCTCATTTGTCTTTACGTATGCTTGGCATCTATGTTTCTTGTTGAACATGTAATAATAGAATGCATATTTAGCCTAAGATCTTGAGGATAATCTTACGTGACCATGAAAATGTGAGCAAATTTTTAATCAGGTTTGACATTGCAGGAATCAAGCAAAGCTCCAAAGGAATCTCATGTACCTGGCTGCTGTTGCAGATTCTCAGCCCCAGGCACCAACAATGTCACAGGTAAAAACACTTAATTTTCTTCTAATTTTACGAACTTATCTGGTCAGATTCTTGTAAGCCTCCTTTAATCCGGAATGCTCCCTTCTCATTCTCCTGTACTTTTTTATAAATAAAGTAGAGTGGGATAGCCAGGTGTTAGGCATACTTGTCCAATCCTTATCATCATTCTTCATGTTCTTACTAATTGGCGTCTATTTCTCCTTCTCTCCGCCATCGTGGTTCCTTTGTCATCATCTTTCATATCTTCATTCATAATCATAGTGGCTCATAAAGTAGAGCTAAGGCAGACAAGTCATCATTCTTATGATCACAGATATTTTTTAGCTCAATCATCGTATCTCACTCTTTCTTTTTCTTTTTTTAATCGTAGTCTTGCCTTACTGGTTCAGATTGTTTGTGCTGTGATGGGTTTGTCTCGCACTACTCTCAAGTCTTTTATCATTTTTTTAGTTCCATGAAGCCAGATCATTCACCAGCTTCGTCTAGAATTAGAATGCTCATGGTCTATGAAACCCATCAAAGAGTCATCAAAGGCATAGAAATCCTGGCCTCTCTTGTTGAGTCCTCTTATTTCCTGATAGAATAAAACACATGGTTGAACTAATAATGGTAAGGCACAATCTGACCCTTAAATAAGCATGTGGAAATAGCTCAGAGAACCCAAGATTTTGTTTATTCATCGGTTTCAGTTTGACAAATCTTGAGGATAATATATTATTAGATGGTTTATAGTTATTTCATTTAGAAAATATTCAATCTCTTTCCACGTCTGAACAAAGGTGAATATGCTCTATAATTTACTCAATAATTGCCTGATGTCACATCGAATAACAAGTCTAGGAAGATAGTGTAGGGGCATTATTCCTCACTTGAGAACCGTCTCTGCAGCAGTTTCCTTCCAACACAATGGCGCAGTCAGGTGGCCGCTACATACAGCCCCAGCAAGCTCAGGTGGCTCTGCAGACAAACCCTGAGTCCCTCATGGTGGCACGCTCCCCCATGCAATATTCCCAGTCGTCCATGCCCACATTCCAGCAGCAGGCCCTCCATAGCCAGCTGGGGATGAGCTCCGGCGGCAACAACGGCCTCCACATGCTCTACGGCGACGCTGGGATGGTGAGTGGCGGCGGCAGTGGTGGGGCGCTAGGAGGCTTCCCCGACTTCAGCCGCGGCCGAACCGCCGCCAAGCAAGAGATGCCCGGGTCAGTCGAGGGGCGAGGCGGAAGCTCCGGCGGGCAGAGTGGGGATGGAACCGAGCCTCTGTACATGAAAGGCTCTGAAGACAGAGGAAATTGAGTAGAGGCTACTTCGGCCCGTCCCCAAGCTGCATTTTTTTTTTTCTTTCACTGCTTCAGGCTTCACCAGCCTACGTTGGTGAACGTATCAACTCTCTTGTGCTGCTGAAAGTGGTTTAGTTTATTTACTCTTCAAGCACTTGTTTCATCTGGAGTCTGGGGTGTGTGGATGAGCGTAGAGCTCGGCCCGCCTGGTCCCAATCATTTCGGAATGTCAACTAAGGGAGGGGATTCGCTCTAGCCCAAGCCCTGTTGGCATGGAGCTGGCACAGTAAGTAGATGAGTATCATCTCAATAAGGTCTGGTCTGCGTACTGATGAGATCATCTACTGGGTGCAAACCTGTGCACAAGCTCATGCGAGTGATGATCTTGGATGATGTTAGCGGTGGGGATACATAATGTTCCGAATTATTTAATTTAGGAATGGAGGGGCCCAATACCTCTATATAAAAGGGGTTTAGGGGTCTAGTGTAAGATACACTTTTGAGTAATATCATATCAGAATATGACTGGCTTTGCCGCAGCCATGGAAGCCCTCGAGTTCTTGAGAGTAGTCTGCCTACAAGAAAATGGGAGGCATTGGCCGCATATTTCATCATAATTTGGTATCGATTGTAAGGTATATATGGTGGCTACACGATAGCTTACTCTCCATGTGAGAGGCAACCTGACTAAAATAGGAGCTAGCATGAAGAGACACCCCATCAAGGTTGTGAACTCAGAGTTATGCACCCTTACATGGTGGGGCTGTCAGAAGAGCAGGTAGATTTCTTTTGCCTTCAAGATGATGATCATCTCTGACCTCAACTTCCTCCCTATTCGAGAGATAGCATGTGTCTTTTCACACTGCAATAGAATGTCAAAGGTGATGGATATTTAGCTGTATCTCTGAATGATTTTGGTTCACTGTAATTTCAGTGCTAACATATGTTTTCTCACACAACGATAGAGTGTTATTTGGAAGAGATGAGTTTTCTTATTTCATGTCAAGGGTGATAAGCATTTGAACAGATCTTCGAATGATTTCATGATAGCATCAGACATGTCGAGAAGACTTGTATGATTATCTTGTGGGAGATAAATAGAGAGGTTGGGATGCAATAGATGATGACGTTGGCGGTAGGCACTATAAGTGTCATCACCGTAGAAGGGGTAACACAAATAGACGGGGACAGAGGCGACTCCTAGAAATCACACACCTACTACAGGAGTTTTAGGAAGTTGTGCCAAAAATTTTCCTTGGTAACATGATGGGTAGGTATAAAGGATGAGTGGATGGTAACAAGATCTAGGCCATAGATGAATGTCCAACATCTCATGAGATATGGAGCTAAAATATTGATTAGGCTTAACCACTTACTGCCACAAATTCATTTGTAAAATTGTCTCAATTGGTAGTTTCATTGATGGAGTTACTGTAGTTCATGAACAAAGGAGAGAGCTTGGTTGCAACATATGATCACCATTTTTTTTCTGACTGAGGACTACTTCAGCATCTTTTCAAAAGCATCAACTTCTAATTCAATGTTCAAAGAAACATTTGAAAGAAAAGATGTTGGTGCTGAAATAGGGATGATTTTGAATTGTTAGAATGCCATTTTTATCTGAAGCCCCCAACATAAGATATACTTTTTAAGTTATTGTGTGAGAGGCCACACAAGTGTCTCGTAGTTTGTGATGAATTGTCAATAATATTTAGTTAGTCTAAAAAGCCTCTTAATGCTCGAAAGTTAGTGGATGAGGGCTAATGAATAATTGTGTTCACTACCACTCTATTAGTTAATACCCAATGACTTATGAAAGTCTTCTTTATTTTTTTTTAGGTGAGGAGAGTGAAGGAGGGTGTTGACCACCTAAGTGTTCCATGCGCATTTAGTAGTTTAAATTTTAAATAAATATATTATAAAAGAAATCAGCATGAACCTTTGGAAGAATTTATTGAAAAGTTAATCAGTCTGTATTTATTTGTACGATTCAAGGTTAAGGTTGATAGTGGTGAAGTTATCAACCAATGTAAGTTTATAAATATAAAAAATATAACTCCACATAGAAAACTCATCCCTCAAAACTTGATTGTTGAAATGAGCATTTCAAGCTTTTTACTGTCTTACTACAACATATACGGCAATGGGGAGTTACTTGGCTTATGTGGATCACCATGATGAATATATGTCCATTTTGTCAAGGCTTACATTTCCTCCCTCCCCTTGGAAGTGAGTTGCCTAAGTTGACTTGTTGTGCTTGGAACCATGTCTTCAAGGTGAGCTGCATAAAACTGTGACCATTGCCTAGAGACATTCAACTATTGACATTGATCTTCAAAGTTGTTGCTTGATTATTGAGATCTCACAATGGGGTCTTCTTATCATTTGTTAAAATATCGTGGAGATGTCCTTTCGAAAGATGAGAAAATCTTGACTTAGCTCCTCCAACTATTTCTCAACAAACTCTATTCTTGCATTATTGGTTTTTGGTAGCATGATTCAAACTAATTTGATAGGATTCCCTTAACTAGATAGGAGAAAGTTAAAAGTTCACTAAGATGATGGTCAGTCTTCTACTTGGAAGCATAATACAATAGCTTTCTCTTACTAATTATTGCTTTCTTTATATAAGCCAAAAGTGCCTCTAATTTGATATCCTCCTTCAATGTTAATGACTTCTTCATTTGCATATGTATCCTTTTTTGATATTTGTGAACATCCTTTTTGTCTCTAAAATCTCCCCTAAGACTTCCTCAAGTCAACCCCTATATAAATAGGGTTAGAGACATCATAAGTTGTGTAATACAAAGATTTCTTGTAAGAGACATCTAGTGTTAGTTTGATTGAGGTCACAAGGACACCCAATGTCAATGCAATGTTGTAGTTTTGGTAGGCAGAATCATAGAAAAAGGGTTGGATTGTCTAGTTGCTTATACCTGTTCCTAAAGAGTGGACTTCAAGACATTTTGGATACAAATATAAACCTTGTTAATAACTAAATATTTTTTCCTTTATAAGGTAGACTCTGAAGCCTAAATTCAAAAAAAATGTGAAACTATGGTTTTTATTAGCACAAAATATTTAGACTTTAATTGGATAGAGAGAGAGAGAGAGAGAGAGAGAGAGAGAGATAGAGAGCCTGCAGTCGTATGGCCACCTTAACATTCTTGCATATAATTCTAAACAATTTAACTTAAGAGGTCATATAATTTATTTTTAGATATTTAAATAATAAAAATTAAAAATCTGTATTAAGAGAGTAAGATGACGACAATATGGGACAAAATAGTCTCCATTATTCTCCATTATTTACAAATATGACCATTTGATTCTTAAAAAAGAAATATGAAATGGAGATTTTGCGCGGGAAGCGTCCACATTTCCTCCTGTTCTTCGCGTACTAGCGGGTGACTGGGGAACGCGAATCCAGACGGGGAAGGGCGCAGCCAGTGCCATGTTTTCCGGCGGAAGCGGCGGCGGCAGGCCCATCCGGGTTCTGAACGTCGCGGAGAAGCCCTCGGTGGCCAAGTCGGTGGCGGAGATACTGTCTCGGCGCGGCGGAGGATTCAGGTCTCGGGAGGGGCGGTCCCGCTACAACAGAGTGTTCGAGTTTGATTATACTATCCGCGGGCAGGCCTGCCACATGCTGATGACATCTGTCACTGGCCATCTTATGGAACTTGACTTCGACGAACGATACCGCCGGTGGCACTCCTGTGACCCGGCCGACCTCTACAACGCCCCCGTCCGCAAGTATGTTCCGCAGGTTAGCTTCCCTACTATTTTCTTCTGTGTTTTGTCACTCCAATTCGGCTGTTTGTTTTTGATTCTTTGTTCTCTTCTTTACGCCCGCAATTGGTGATTCTCGAGTATAAGAAGTCATTTGACTTAAGATCTTCATCACAAGAAAGGGACTTGATAAGAGGAATCCTGATTGTTTCATTTCCTCTTTTGGTTGCTTTGCCTTTTTATGTGAGCAGTGGTTCAATTAGAATCAGTTAACATATGTGAGGAATTCGAAGAAAAGTCATTCAAGAGTGGGCTGACACAATCTTGTGCATGAATATGATATGCCATTAGACAGTTTCGGAATGTGAAATCTGTCTTATCAAAGGTTTCCATTAACTCCTACTAATAAGGGAAAAACTCTGAGCACGATCTCATTTTTTTATTTTGTGTTCAAGCATGTTATATTCATGGTCGTTTTAAGATGAATTTTGCAAAAATTCTTTTGGATTGTTAGTGTGGAAGTTTTACGTTTTGCATGACAATCTTTACTTGTGGAAAATGTAGGACAAATTGGATATCAAAAGAACATTGGAAGAGGAATCCAGGAGTTGTCACTGGCTTATATTGTGGTTAGATTGTGACACAGAAGGCGAGAACATTGCATTTGAAGTGCTAGATGTTTGCGCAGCAGTTAACAACCATCTAGACGTGTGGAGAGCTCGTTTCTCTGCACTTATTGATAGGTAGTAAAGTTGTGCAGTTTTTCAATCTCATTTTATGATGCTTATTTTTTTCTAATTCAGTGCCTTTGATTTGGATGGCAGGGAGATACACCAATCGGTGCAGAATCTTGTTCGGCCTAATAAACTACTGGCGGATGCTGTAGACGCTAGGCAGGTAATTTGGACTCAGACGTTTCATTATTTTCCAGAACTTTTGTGCCTGTTTCATTATGATGCCTCACTTCCATCAAATTACTAATGGCCGAAAAGGTTCCTCCTATTTAGTTTTACGTTTTAACCAAGTGATAGCTTGACGATTTGTGAAATTTTCTGCAGGAAATTGACCTCAGAATTGGTGCCTCCTTTACCAGATTCCAAACCATGTTGCTGAAAGATGCATTTGTTTTAGATTTTCTAGACGAGGACAGGAATTTGGTTTTGAGTTATGGTCCTTGTCAGGTTCTAACTTTTGTCAGGATTTCCCAAGTGGTTCTTTCTCTTTGATTTTTTATTATCTTTGATATTAGCTACTCATACGAGAGTTTCTTTTTTGCCTTTTGCAGTTTCCAACTCTTGGGTTTATTGTTGAGCGTTATTGGGAAATACAGTCACACGAGCCTGAAGAATTTTGGACAATTAACTGTTCTCATATGTCTGACAATGGGACAGCTGCTTTCAATTGGATGTATGATTTTTAATCCGTTCGTAGATTTATTCTATTTTCACCATCTGTGGTCTGTCCTTATGGAGATAATCTTTATTTAGGCGAGGCCGTTTGTTTGATTACACTTGCTCAGTTATCATTTATGAGATGTGTGTTGAACAACCGATTGCAACAGTAAGTCTTCTCTTTACCCTTATTTTTTTTGTTGCTGGCTTTGGTTATAGGTTCTTCGATTGTTTGAAACCTTTAAATTTTAGGTCAAGAATGTTAAACAGCAGCAGAAGTTGAAGTATCCTCCCTTTCCACTAAGTACAGTTGAACTTCAAAAACGGGCATCTCGATATTTTAGAATAAGCTCTGAACGTACTATGAAGGTGATAAACTTCCAGCTCTTTTGTGTGATCTCACATTTTACATGCTCTCATTCATTGAACTGAAGTACAGCGCTCATACATTAAATCTTCTGAGTTAATCTCATACATTTAAGGGTCTCCTGATTGCTTGAAACCTTTATAAAACTTAATTAATTTTAGTCACATTGAAAGGTTTTCTGACTTAATTAATTGTAATCACATTTGGTGTTCCTGATTTTTCTCTTTATCCATTTGTTAGATTCATGCCATCACCACAGCAACCATTAGATAATTACTACAGCACTGACTCGTAAACACTAGCATCGAGTTGGATCAAAGTGTGTGAGTTGAACTGGTGACCTGCATGTGTCAGGTCTAGGATCAAAAAATTTAACAGTTTTAGACGTATATATCCTTTTTTAACGTTAGATCATTACATTTACACTCATATTTTCTTGCCTTTTAGTTTCTTATGGCTATCATAATTGTTTTTTCACTCTTCAAATATAAATTCTTTTATTTTGACTAGGTATATTTTTGTGCGTACACTTGTAAATTATACTATACATTGTATTCGGATTAGCAAAAATGTCAATTTGAATGTTTTTTTTTACTTTTTATTATGAAATCACCCTTTTATATTGTCAGCCTACCTTATGGCATGCTTGTAAAACATGCAAACATATACACTGAGGATACCCTCCATGAGATGCAATACCTCTGATCTAGAAACAAGAATAAATGAAACATTGTATCCACTCAACCCACACCATCCTATCCTCCATGTCTTCTTAATCTTGAGCCTTCCTCATCACCCCTAGCAATGGTTGGGAGAGCCCTCTTCTTTTTAAGCCAACTTTTTCCCATGCCATGATGTTAATTTTCATTATGAAGAAAATTCTTCATGGTATTTGGCGATTTCCTGAGCAGCAATATGTGACCGAGATGAAGATTGGCAAATTTAGATGGTCTTAGATGAACTTTGCAGAGAGAGTTGAGTATTGAGTTGAGTTATCTTTTCCATGAGATTTTATTTTGAAAATTTTCTTGGTTGTCTTCTTAATTAAGAAAAATACCAGAGAAGGTTGAATGTTTCATAAAGTTTGTGTCACTATAAAAGAGTGAGGATGCTGAGTTTAAACACTGAATCCTTAAATCATTTTGATGAGCCATAAATGTTTAGAAAATATATCATGTTAAAACTAAGAAATTTTGAGTGATAGTAACTAAAAGTTGACACTTGAAATTAAACAGAAAATAGACAAGGATCGACGGCAACTAAGATTTGGCACTAGACAGGGTTGTCTTAGGTGCCAGTTCTTGTAACTTAGGAGTTGATAGTAATGAATAATGAATTTGAGGATGAAGATATAACTAATTTTTTGGTCGACCCTCGAAGCACCTATTATAGAAACATCAACACAGCATAAAATGTCAATACTTAACACAAAAGGATGGAGATTTGTTAGAAATACTTTTTCCATTTATTGTTTTAGACCTTTATTTTCCTGTCCATCGTACCTTGTAATAAAACAATAGACTGAACCGGTTCAAATTGAATTGGACCAGCTTACCTTCTCTCATTTCATAACAGCTGGTCGGTGTAAAATACCAACCAGCATGTAAGCATTAGTGTGTGATGAAATTTAGGGCTTTAGCCTTCTTCTTTTTCGTGTCTCTCTCTCGTGTTCACTACTGGCACAAAAAGATAGGAAGGGAAGCATTTAGAGATGATCAATGCCCAACACGATTTCTAACATGGTATCAGAGCACAAGTGTGAACAGTTTAAGTCTCCTCTGATCTTTTGAGTTCTTCTTGAACAACAGTTTCTTATTTTCATGAGAAAACATATTTTTTCATAACTTGTTAGAACAAGTCCCTAGTTCGCTGATTCTTCACTATCTAGGTGAGAATCTAGTGCTATTGACCTACAAAATACGAACTGTGGATTCATGTCTGATTTGTAGATTGACTCCTTTCTAAAACAAACATACCTAATTCTTGAGTTCTAAAGAATGTGTGGAGTGACTTCTATGGCAGAACAAGAACAATCCCAATTTGTGAGGGTGGAACCTAGTCAGATCTATGGAGATTTGCCAATTATATCATAAACAGATCATCTAGATGATAGGGATTACTTTGGATGGTCTCAGCAAATTCGAGTTGTTCTTAAAGAATGCGGAATGGCTAATCATTTAGCTCATCCAAGCATGAAGGTTGGAGATCCGGGATTTGAAGCATGGGATCAAAAAGACTTAAAAATTGTGGGTTGGATGTGGACAATCATGGTTCCTGAGATCTGTAGAACATGTTTGTATCTTCTTACAGCTATAGCAATTTTGAAAAATTTATATCAGACATTCAAGAGCAAGAGATGCTGCACATCTTTATGAATTAAAGTTAAAGATGATGACCATGAGGCAAGGGGAAAAATCAGTGACATAATACACTCATGAAGTAAGAATATTATGGCAAGAATTTGATCAATATAAAATTGTTGATATGAGAGATTCATTTGATGCAGCTTTGTATAGAGAGGAAACAGAAAGGGATAGAATGTATAACTATCTTGTGGGACTGAACTCTAAATATGATCTAATCAGAATTCAGATCTTAGGAAGAGAGAAATTACCTCCTCTCAATGAAGTAATCTTCCTGGTGAGAGGAGAAGAAAGTTGTCGGAACCTAATGCTTGGTTCCTAGAATGCGGAAAATTCAGCATATATGGCTAGAAATGAAAAACATTATGGCAATAAGAGTACCAAAACAAGGGGTGAACCTTTAAGACAAGAGAAGACTTCTAACAATGATTTTAGAGACGAGTTATGGTGTACATATTGCAAGAAGTCAAGGCACATGATTGACATGTGTTATAAATTACATAGGAGGCCTCGAAATTATGAATGGGCACAAAACAAGAGACAACAAAAGAATGAAAGTCAACCACATATATTTGTTGCCCAACAAAAGGAAGTAAATTCTTCAAATCATAGACAAGCTGCAAAGAAGTTTCACAAGCCTAAGTAATACAAGCTCCGTGTTCACTTATTTATTCAAGTAAGTCTCTAACTTTTATTTAGTTGAATGCCTCAATAAATAGTAAATCTTCACCTTAGATTGTCGATTCAGGGGCCACATAACATATGACCTATGCTCCTTGTCCAAGTAATAGAAAAATTACCACAGATGTTGGCTCCTCAGTCACTATTGCTAGGATAGGAAACATTTGCCTATCACCTTATATTACCTTGAAAAATATACTTCATGTTCCTATGTTGACCACCAACCTCATTTTTGTTAGCAAACTTACATGAGAGCTAGGAAATGTTGTGTTTGATCCTAATATTTATCTATTTTTTGACAAGATGTATGGGAGGACGATTGAATGTGCTAGAGAATGGAGTTGACTCTATTATTTGGAGCTTCCAAGCCAATCAAACATTGCAGTAGATCAAAACAACATTCTCAAGAACCCTAACCTGTCAAATAGTGAAAAAAATTAGCTTCAACATCAAAGATTGAGACATCCCTCATTTTCGATTCTGAAAAATTGATTTCTTTCTTTGTTTCACAACTTGAATATCTCTGAATTTAAGTGTGAAGTATGTGAATTTGCCAAATATTGAAAAATACCTTTCCCTAAAAATAATATGAAACGTTCAATATCTTTTTTCCATGTTTATAGCGATGTATGGGAGCCTACACCAACACCTAGCACAAGTGGAGTTAGGTGGTTTATCACCTTTATTGATGATTGTACAAGAATGATTTGGATTTATTTGCTTAAAAATAAATCTAACATAAGTATGGCACTCGTACAATTCTGTTCTTTGATTAAAACATGGTTTGAGACAACAATTTAGATGTTTAGATCTGATAACACTAAATATTACATCAATCATACCTTAATCTCTTATTTCCAAAAATAAGGTATAGTACATGAATCGTCATGTGTCTATACACCCCAACAAAATGGGGTGGCTAAACAGAAAATGATCATCTGTTAGAGATGACCAGAGTTCTCATTATTCAAAACAATGTATCAAAATATTTTTGGGGTGAGGGAGTTTTTATGGTTGCCCACCTTATAAATCGTCTACCAATTAAATCTTTGAATTCTAAAAGTTCAATTGACATGTTATCTTTCTTTTATCCTCATATTCTATTAAAAACGAATCTCATACCTAAAATATTTGGGTGTACAACATTTGTTCCTATTCATGAACAACATAGAGATAAATTAGATCCTAGAGCTCTAAAATGTATTTTTGTAGGATATTTCCAAACATAGAAATGATATTTTTGTTATTATCCTCCAACAATTTTTTTTTCATCTCAAGGGATATTACCTTCAATGAGAAGGAAGCATACTAGAACACATCAAATCATCATGATAAGATTCAAATATTAGAGGATCCAGAATTAAGTTTTTTACTTCCTACTACTGATTCATTACTAGACCTCCCTATGGCTCCCATTGAACCACCTATTATTGAATCTACTCCTAACATAAACCTCGAAAGAGGAAGATTTGGTCTAAGTATATTTCAAAGAAAAAAAGAAATACTCCAGAATCTGTGCATGTTCAAGAATCCTCCCAAGATGAGTCAAATGATACATCCCAGATCAGGACCTTACTTATTGATGAAGACCTACCTATTGCCCTTCGAAAGGGGCTAAGAGAATGTACTCAAAACCATTATATTTTATGGCAATTGTTTTGTCATATAATAGATTATCACCTTCACACAAAGCCCGTGTATCTAACTTAAGTTCTACCTCAATCTCAAATACTGTTTTTGAGGCTTTAACTCATGAGAAACTATGAATGAGGAGATGGAAGCTTTGAAAAAAAATGACACTTGGGAACTTGTATGTCTGCCAATGGGGAAGAAAGTTGTTGGGGGCAAATGAGTGTATACAATTAAATATCATTTAGATGGATCCATAGAAAGACACAAAGCTAGGCTGGTTGCAAAAGATATACACAAACTTATATAATTGATTATCTTGAAACATTTGAACTAGTAGAAAAAGTGAATACAACCAGTATACTTGTCATTGACAATTAAGTCTAATTGGGATCGTCAGCAATTTGATGTTAAGAATGTATTTTTACATGGTGAATTAAAAGAGAAAATATATATGTAGGTACCACATGGATATGAGGAATTTAGATGCTAATATTGTGTGCAAGCTGAAGAAAGCATTGTATGGACTGAAACAATCTCCTTGGGCTTGGTTTGGTAAATTCATAAAAGTTATGCTCAAGATGGGATACAAACAAAGTCAAGCTGATCACAATTTATTTGTCAAACATTCTTCTTCAGGGGATATATGTGGACGATATTATTGTGACTAGAAATGATGATGTAGAAAAAAGATTTCTAAGTCACTATTTATCTCAAGAATTCGAGATGAAAATTCTAGAAAGATTAAAATACTTCCTAAGTATTGAAGTTGCTTATCATAAGAATTCTATTTTTCTATCTCAACAAAAATATGTGGTAGATTTTTTACAAGAAACTAGAAAAATAGCCTACAAACCAATTAATTCTCCAATTGATCCTAATCTCAAGTTAGTGGAGGAAGACATTGCTGTGGATAAAAGGATGTATCAATGACTAGTAGGTAAATTGATTTATCTATCATATACATGGTCAGACATAGCATATGTAATCAGTGTCATTAGTTAATTCATGCACAATCTGAAATAAGTATATTTCTAAGCAACATGTTGTGCTCCACACTTTTTAAAAGGAACACCAGGAAAATGTCTTTTATTCAAAAAATATGATTATCTAATCCTTGAAATGTACACAGATGCAGATTATGCTAGATCTATTATAGATCAACGATCAACATTAAGATATTGTACATTTCTTAGAGGTAATCTTATTACTTAGAGAAGTAAGAAACTATTACAAACCTCTTGAGATTTGGGCGAATCTTCACCCTAATCTTACCTTAGACGTGGCTCACTCAGGAAATCAACTCTTTGTTGTATAGAAGAACTAGATTGAATAATTAAAAATGGAAATTGGAAAGACAATAGAGGTTCGCAGACAGTAGGGTGAGTTCCTCAGGTTGGATCAATCCTCAAGAATAGGAGAGCCCAAATCAGACATCCCTAGGGACAGATCTCCCTCTCCACTCTCTGTTTTCTCCTCCTCTTTCTTATTTTGGCCTCTTCTATATTTATAGACCCCAGTACATTATTCTGTTGTGGTCCCCCTTTCACATGGGGGTCTAGGTCATCTTGTGTAGATGATAGTTGGCTTTATAACATTACTTCCCCCCATGAGTTTCACCTTGTCCACAAGGTGAGATGTAGGAAATTGTCGAAGGAATGTTGATACTGTCATCCATAACGATTCAAACTTTGGAAGATGTTTCCATGAAACTAAAATCTTTGTGTCTTGAGGAGTTGACCTATGAGCTTTTATGCCATCTAGAATTAGTATCCATTCTTGTTCTTCTGATAGTGTTGGGGGAATTGGTTAACTTATGCTGTGTGTTCTGAGTGTCTTCTTGAGCTGGGATATATGGAACACCGGATGAATAACTGAATGGTTGGGCAATTGGAGTTTATATGCCACTGGTCCAATTCTTTCCATAATAGGATATGGATCAAAATAGTGAGGGTTTATCTTCTTGATTTCCTTTTTTGCCAGAGATTTCATTTGGTATGGTTTGATTTTGAGGAAGACCATATCACCCACCTCTAATTCAACTTCTCAACGATGCTTATTTGTATTAAATTTCATCCTCACTTGTGCCTTGTGCAAGTTGAATTTCAAAATCTTAAGGATAGCATTCTGTTCCGAGAGTAGTTGATGATCGATAGCATCAAGTGGTGAAGGGGATGTTCCATATTTGATAAGTTTCCACGGGTCCCTGCCATATGCTGCTCGAAAAGGAGTCATTTTAGTGGAAGAATGATATGAAGTATCGTAATTATATTCTGCCCAATGAAACCATAATTTTCATTGCTTCGGTTTATCAAATACTGCACATCTCATGTAATTTTCTAAGCACTTGTTGACAACTTCAGTTTGTCCATCTATTTGAGGGTGGTAAGAAGAGCTGAATTTGAGTTCAGTCCCTTGTAGTGTGTAGTTCATGCCAAAATGCACTTAAAAATATTTGTCCCTTATCAGAGACCACTGTTTTTGAAACCCATGGAGTCATACGATTTCCTTGATGAATAGTTGAGCGACCTCCTTGGCTGAGAATGGATGATGTAGGGCAATGAAATGACTGTTCTTGCTGAATCTATCCACTACTACTAATATGGCATTCGATTCATATGATTTGGGTAAGGCTTCAATAAAATCCATTGAAAAGTCTTCTCATATTTGGGTAGGTATAGGCAAATGGTTGTAGAAGTCCTGTCGGAGATAGTGAAGAAGATTTGCACTGTAAACAAGTAGGGTAATTGTTGATATATGCCTTTATATCTTTCTTCATTCTTTGCCAATAGAATTGTTGCGAAATTCTATGGTATGTCTTTTGAAACCCCGAATGACCCCTCACCAAGCTGTCATAAATTAATTGTAACACTCTGATAATTAAACGAGAATGTGTTGGCAGAACCAACCTTTCTTTATATAGCAAAGATCCATCCTTCAAAGAATATAATTTGTTTGCTGTATCTCCTTTAGACAAGGAGGTTTTAATCTCTGCAAACCTAGTGTCTTGGTCCGCTATTAGTCAGACAGCTTCGAGATCAATGCAGTGATGTGCTATTGGCTCATTTAGTTCAGCCTGCAGTAATAATGGACATCGGGATAATGCATATGCGGCCTAATTGTTTTTCCCTTCATTATATTTAATTTCAAAACTATAGCCCATCAATTTCACCAACCATTTATGATATTCAACATGGATTTCCTTCTATTCAAGTAAGAATTTAAGACTGTACTGATCTATTTTGATGATAAAATGTTGATACATAAGATAATGTCTCTATTTTCTTACTACCAACATTAGAGCCATCAACTCCCATTCATAGGCTGATTTCAATTTGGCTCTCATTGAAAGTGTTTGACTGAAATAAGCTATTGGGCGCCCTTGTTATATGAGAATGGCCCCAACACTTGATCTAAAAGCGTCAGTTTTCACAATAAATTCTTATGAAAAAATTGGTAATGCTAATATCGGAGCCATAGTCATTACTTGTTTAAGGGTAGAAAAAGCTGCTTGTGCTTCTCTTGACCAATAGAATACATCTTTTCTTAATAATTGTGTTAGTGGCCACGCAATTAAAGCATAGTTGGCTATAAATTTTCTATAATTCTAGTGAGCCTTAGGAACCCACAGAGTTCCTTAAGATTTTTAGGAATTGGCCAATTAGTCATGGCAGATATCTTCCCCTTATTGACTTCTACTCCTTCTGCCGACACCTAGTGGCCCAAATACTCTAGTTTACTTTCTCTAAATCTGCATTTCTTGACATTAATTTGAAGAGAATTTGCTGGAGAATGAAAAATACCGTCCTCATATGATGCTAGTGTTCAGCAGCAGTGACGCTGTACACAAGTATATCATCAAAGAAAACCAGTACGAATCACCTCAATTGATGTTGAAATATTTGGTTCATTAGTGATTGAAAGGTTGCTGGTGCATTTGACAATTCGCAAGGCATGACTTTAAATTCATAATGGCCATGATGAGTCTTGAATACAGTCTTAGGTACATCTTTCTTTTTCATTTTGATTTGATAATATCCTGACTTTAAATCAAGTTTTGAAAAAACTGATTTCCCAGATAATTCATCTAGCAGCTCATCTACAACTAGAATGGGGTATTGGTCAGGAATTGTAGCTCGGTTCAATGCTCTATAATCTGTACAAAATCTCTATCCGCCATTTTTTTTCTTGACTAATAATGCAGGGCTCACATAAGGACTATGTGAAGGTTGTATGACTTCTGTTGATATGAGTTCTTGGACGAGTGTCTCAATTTTATTTTTCTAAAAATGAGAGTATTTATAAGGCCTCAAGTTAATAGGTTTTGTTCCTGGTAATAGATGAATGGCATAGTCAACAGGGCGCTTGAGTGACATTCCTATCACTACTTCAAAAACCTTTAGAAATTCTTGTTTTAGACTGATTTCTAAATCGTTGGGTGCATTAGGGTCTCTATGTGAGTGAATGTGATGCAATTCAACCACATATGCCTTCCTACTCTTAAGTTCCTTCTTTACTTTTCTTGGTGATGTATTGATTTTGATAATACTAGGGTCTTCTTTGAAGATGTGAATTTTGCCTCCTATCATGAACCTCATTATGAACTTATCATAGTTGGAAAGGATCCACCCCCAAGTTTTCAACCACTGTATGCCTAGGATCACATCCGTGTCACTCAATTTTAGTGGTAAGGAATATTGTACTATCAAAACACCTTGCACATGGAGAAGAATAGCCTTGCAAATTGCTGCACCTGCCACTATGTTGCCGTTGCTCATAACTATGCTGTAGCCATTTAGCTTCTCCATTTGTAAGGATAAGTTATCAATTATTTTGGTGTACAAGAAATTGTGAGTTGCCCCACTATCAATGATATTGACACCTTGGTGTCATGAATTTTGCCCCAGAATTTCATAGTCCCTTGCTGAATAATTCTCATGACTGAATTTAAGGACATGTGTGCAGTAAAAGCCTTCTCATCCATGTTGGATATAATCTGATCAAATAGTTCCCACCCTTCATTGGTGCTATCATCTTCTGCACTCTTCTGGTCTTCATCCACAACAATAATATCCAACTCCTTTTTCCAGCGATGCCCTAGAGTGAATTTTTCATTGTAGTAATAGCATAATCCTTTATCTTTTCTTTTTTGAAATTCCTGATCTGTCAACTTGAGTATCTTGCGGTTACTCAAAGGTGGCTTGGATGTCATGGAATTTTCCTTTGATGTGCCTTCAACTGAATCTTGATAATCCTTCTTGAAATTACCTTTTTTAGTTGTATTCTGGAATTCTCTTTTGCAAGAATCATAACGAGGTTGAGGTGGTTTAGGCTTTGTAATCACTTGTTTTCCAAAGAATTTATTTCTGCTATTTCGGATTTCTCAAAGACGAATCTTCACTTGGATTGATAAATTCATTGTTTCTCTGAGTCCCAAGGGCTCATGCATTGCCAATTCCGATCTGATATCTGATTTCAAGCCCCTCAAATATGCATCTTTTAATACTTCTGTGTTTATATGAGGTAGAAAGGTTACAATTTGTTCAAATTCGGCCTTGTATTCTCTTAGTGATGTGGCTTGTTGTAAGCTCATTAGTTGTTGCAGTGAACTCCCCATCTCAAATGTCTTGAATTGTTTCCCCAATTGACTCTTAAAGTCATGGCAATCTCGAAATGGAAACCTCTCTTTCATCCATATATATCATTCCAGGGCTTCCCCCTCCATACTCAACATAATTTGCTTGAGTCTATCATGTTTTGACATAGGGTTTAGGCAGAAATATCTCTCAGCACGCTTGATCCATTCTTCAGGGCCATATCCTTGGAAAATTATTAACTCTATCCCCTGATTTATCTATGTTTGGCCATCTTGTGAAGCTTGACTTGAATTAGTGGTGCCATTATATGGTTGCCTCGGTTCCTCTCTTGGATCTTCATTTGGATGCGAGTTGGAGTGTGGATCCCTTGTGGATAATTTTTGGAGAATTTGGTTGAGTTTTCTCTTTGCTCGATTAAGGATTGTTCTTGCTTAGCATATCCTTGTTTCAGAGATGCAACCTCTTCTTCTAACGAAGCCATCTGATGTGCCTTAGATCTGGTGAACATCCGCCGATCAAGATAGGTTCCAGGCTATATTAGATCTTTCTTCTTGCCGTAGATCTGCCAATCTTCTTCCAACATTTTGACTCTCTGGAATTACGGTCAAATAATTCGTTGTAAGAATTACCTTCGTCTCTTGAATTCATCGTAGTTCGATCTTGGAAGGAATTTCTGCTTTAACTTGTTAATTTGATCCTCATTAAGCCCCGAACAGAATCTTGCTCCTGTAATCTTGTGCTTGCGGTAATTTCTCTGAGCTCTCGCAAAAGGACCAGAATGTCTGCTCTGATACCAGTGTTACGAACCTCTTGAGGCTTGGGCGAAACTTCACCCCAATCTTACCTTAGACATGGCTCACTCAGGAAATCAACTCTCTCTTGTATAGAAGAACTAAACTGAACAATTGAAAATAGAAATTGGAAAGACCATAGAGGTTCTCAGACAGTAGGGTGAATTCCTGAGGTCGGATCGATCCTCAAGAACAGGAGAGCCCGAATCGGACTTCCCCAGGGACAAATCTCCCTCTCTACTCTCTGTTTTTTGCCCCCATTTCTTATTTCGGCCTCTTCTATATTTATAGGCCCCAATACATTATTCTGTTGTGGTCCCCCCTCAATGTGGGGGTCTAGGTCGTCTTGTGTAAATGACGGTTGACTTCGTAATAGAAACAAAATGTCGTAGCTAGATCAAGTGCAGAAGTTGAATTTCGTGTTATGGCACAAGGCATTTGTGAGACTCTATGGGTCAATATCATTTTGAAGGATTTGAAGATCAATATAGATGGTCCAAAGAAGCTTTGTTGTGATAATAAATTGGCGATTAATATTGTTCACAACTTTGTTCAGTATGAAGAACTAAACACAGAGATTGATTGCCACTTTATAAAGGAGAAGATAGATAGTGGACGGATGTACTCTATATCTGCTTGCAACTGACCAAATCACAAATATATTTACAACAACATATTCTATCATCTTGTGTCCCGTTCACCAACTTGAGGGTGAGTGTCAAAAATATTTTTTTCATTTACTGTTTTAGTCCTTTATTTTCTTGTCCATCACACCTCGTAATAAAACAATAAACTGAACCGGTTCAAATTGAACCGGACCAGTTTACCCTCTCCCATTTCATAACAGCTGGTCGGTATAAATACCAACCGGCATGTGTGATGAAATTTAGGCCTTCAGTCTTTTTCTTTTCCGTGTCTCTCTCTTGTGTTCATTGCTGGTGCAGAAAGGAAGGAATGGAGGCATTTGGAGATGATCAAAGTCCAACACGATTTCTGACAAGATTTACAAAGTCATATCAACTATCACTTAAAACTATAACCAAAATGAAAAATAATTAACTATTATCCTGCTTGTTAGAGAGAAACCCAATTAAATGGAGTTTATCATGTCTAAATATTCATTATAACCTAAATTTGTAATGTGCATTTCTATCGTACAATTTCTTAAGATATTTTACTAAGCTTCATGATTGTATTAGTTTGCAGTAGTGGTTGTATTAGTTTGTAATAAAGCGTGTATTATCATCCACCTTTATTTGAATTTGTACCACTTATTAAATTTAAATTTATACTATTCTTGAATACACAGTCAGCATATTTACATCATGCTTTTAAATTTGTATTGGGTGCTCGTGTTACTGGAAAATGTGTGGTTAACATTTAAGGTGGGCAACTTGTAAACGAAGGTTAAATGTTAACCTAGTGGAATGCTTGAGGAAACGGTCAAGGAGTAAAGAAGGCCTTGCATTAAAGAAAACCCCTTCAAAATTTCTTGTATTCTGTGTGTGAAGCTTACATAAATAGTTGTAGACTCATATTGAAGCTTAAACCAAAAAAAATGACTTGCAATGGTGTCACTAAAAGAGATTGTTGGGTGTTGTGTTTGTTGAGCTGTCAGCAACCAGTTTAGTCGTACAAGAGCTGTTAGTTTACATGGACAAACTTTATCTTGCCTGCCGAGGATAACAACCAGTGTGAGTTACTCAAATTAAAAAAGAATTGGTTTACTAACTGAGAAGAAAATCATTATTCATAGGTAAGAAGAAAATCAATATTTTTTAGACAAATATGTGGATGAAGTTCAAATAAAAGATAAGTTATATCTCGAAGAGGATTTCTACAATGACACTGACAAATATAGTATCACCTTTACTAGTGGGAAATCGAATAGTTGATGCGTCTTGCATTGTTGTATGCAGAGTACTCATAACCCATGGTAGATGTTTTAGAAGAATAGTGGAGAATAATATTTCTAAGTTGCTCTTTGAGTCTCTAAGCATTCCGGAAACTACACTGTGAACTAGATGACTACAGCTGCAAAACATTTGAATGTTAACAAATGCAACTAATTTATGCTATATCTCAATCAAATAAATCAAAACTGAATTTATATATTTAAAATTTTCTGTCTTAATCACTTGACAGTTCATCATTTAGATGGAAAATTAATTTCTTAAAGTTTTTGAGTCTGATAGATAGTTGACTACTCACATAATTACCTTTATCTTTGTTCCAAGTGTATTCATTTAAAACCTTGAAAAAAATAGTTCTTAAAAATTATGGATGATAAATTATAAAATAAATGTATGAATAGAATTTTTTGATTAATAATAATTGCTCAAATTTGAAGTCCTCTGGGACTTGGCTTCAATTCCTTAGAACGATGGTTCCAAATGTTTGAAAATCGTTTCTGCCTATTTGATTTTTTGGTTACTGTGAAAAGTTAGAAAGAAAATAACCTATATATATTAACGAATGTAATATTATACATCTTATTTCTGACCCTGTAAGATTTGTTGACAAGGGTTCTATGCCATAACTTGAGCAAGTTTGATTCTGCAATAAGTTGGTTTAGAACACTTAATGAGTTGTTATATGGTTTTCAGTAGAAATTCAAAAGGTTTAGGTGCCATCTCCTTTTCATATGCAGTTGAGTGGCACACCTTGCACTGTTTTGAGCATGACATGGAAACCATAGGAATAATCTAGTAAAAATTGATATTAGTCAAGCTGCTAGGATTCATGTTGTGAGTCGCAGTACAACAGTCTTGAAGAGTCTACTGCAATTTAACTTGGTGATGGTTATTGTAAGAGCTGTGTTAAGGATGTTGATAACACTGTTGATCCACGATCTGGATCAATATTTGGGAAGTCTTGAGTCAACTTGAGTCAGCAAATTGTGCTTTACCCATAGAGTACAGTGAACTATATTTGTATAAAATAAACAGTATAAGGCAGAACACCAGTTAATATGCTGTCAGATGGTGAAAATTTTCCTTTTGCTTCTTGTTTTTCTTGCATAAAAAATACTGAATGTTTTTGAATTTAGGACATTTTTACTCGATATTTTAATCCCTTTTCAATCACGTTGTCAGCTTTCTGATCTGCCTTTTTTCTTTTGGATTGTCTACTAGTTGCAATACTGTCTTCTGTCCTATTGATGTCATATATATGATTGTTCTTTTATCTACAGGTAGCTGAAGAACTTTACCAGGCTGGATTCATTAGTTATCCTCGAACAGAGACAGATAGCTTTTCTGTTAACACGGATTTGCACGTATGTCTTTTGTGTTCAGTCATCATGCGGCCACTTCGCCAATTTTTACTATTCTTGTCAACTGTGCTTTCATGGTTCTCATGCTTCTATAGCTTTTTCTTCATTTGGTTGTCTTCCATCTCTATCAATGGAAACTGAGAAGATGGTTATATGTGTTTTGGTATTACATGATTATTCTTCTGTTGTTGGATCATGTAATATTAATACTCTCAGCTGTTATCTCTCGGAGATTGTTGAATTAAATGGATTCAATACAATGATGAGCTCATGGTTTGCAAATGGAAAAGCTATTACAGATGAAATATAGGCTAGGTGCGAGTGGACGTAGCTCAATGGGCTGTGAATTTTTCTGGCCGGGAATCGGTTTTAATTTTAAATTCTTTTCTTGATTTGAGCTTTGAGTTTGTAGTTAGCTTTGACTCTGATGCTGCTGTAATCTATTCTGTGGGGTTCATCTTCATGGTGCTGTTAAAACCTTATTCATTTCCAGTTGAGAAATATATCTGAAACTATTGCAATTGTTGATTGACACTTGAGTGACTCATGCTCAGTGCAAGAGATATGGTTTACCCACGATTTAAAACGTGGAATCAGAAATATTAGTTGCTTTATGTGTGCTTGTACTATGATCTACTGTTAAGGTCCCTTGTAAAATAACATTAGCTCTATTGACTCAGAAACTTTTTTAAGTTTTCTGAAGCTCTATTGTCATGAATGGTTCCGTGTTGTTTACTCCATAAGAAAAGCTTTGGAAGTATGTGTCTACTCTCTTCATAGCCACTAACTAATCTTAACATGGTATTAGAGGTAATGGCTTCTGTTTGATTGCTTGCAACCTTTTTATGTCGTTCACCTGAGAAAGACCAGAAATTGACTTCCGTATGAGATTGGATATTAAGAATAGTCCCGTAATGGTTACAACAAAATGCCTTTAATATTGCTGCAATAAACATGGCTGTAAATGGTCACGAGAGAGGTGAGCACAGAATGTATCTATTTAATTATTGGACTAGATAATTTTCTATTCTAAGAAATGTGGTTCTGAGTTAACTCTATTTAATGCTGGTCGGGTTGGTTTTTCGATTGACCAGCATCACTTATTTCTTAAAGCTTCAGCACAACTTCCTAGGCCGGTGTCTGGTAACATTCTAATCTTACTATCCATGGCAATCAAAACGTCATTTAATGTCTCAGATGCGAAATGACTGAAGGTGGAATAGAGCTGTGAAGTGGATGACGGTGAGACAATGACCCAATAGGAAATATGGATGGTTGGATATATCAAGAAAACGAAGGGAATATCATAAATGTGTCAACCTAAGAGAAAACTAGAAGCATAGAATCAGAGGGGAGTGAGTTAGCATAGGAAAAGATAATCCATCGTTTCCTTTGATATTTTGGACAGGATTTAAATACTATTGAAGGCTATTCCGAAGTTTGAAGAATTTTTTTTGAGACCTTAAGCTTAATTTGAAGATGTCAGACTAAGCATTCTTCCAAAATGGGCTCAACTTATGCTTCAGCATGTGCATGCATGTTCACACAGCATTGAGCAAAGCACAACACAAAGCAGCACAGGCGTGTTTGTGTGTGGCAAATTCACAGAGGCATATGACGCGCATGTGCAGCACATAGCAGGCATGGAAAGAGGTAAACAGATGTGCCTGTTAACCTCATTCTGCCACATGCATACTGTTAACCTTGCTGGCAGGTCGCACTTTGGGAACTTGCGTTGTCATTTGAATTCTCTTAAGAGGATGGCCACACTACCCTACCAGGGAGGTGGTTAGCAGCCAACCCTCGTGTCACATGCAGTCAAGTTGTCACGTCATGGTTAAGCTGAGTTAACCTCGGGAAAAATAGGAAAAGCCACGGGATGCTCTTCGGTATGAATATTTGGGGCGTTTTTCTGATGTTGTCTTATGAATCACAATTGGTGAGACATTTAAAATGTTAAATCTAGTGAAGCTAAAATTTGCAGAGGCAAATAGTAGCTCTAAATATTGGCAAGGTATGCTTCTTTTGTTCCGTTCAATTGATCCTTGTTCTCCCTTCTGCGCTGTCTTTGACTGTTGTACCAATCATTTATGTTATGTGTGGAAAGAATTCGTGGAATTTTTTTCGTAAAGCATAATTTATCATTTTATTACTCGTATATGCAGGCAATTGTGCAAGAGCAAGTAGCACATCGTGAATGGGGTGCATATGCTCAAAGGCTTTTAGATCCCGAAGCAAGGCTCTGGAGAAACCCTCAGAATGGTGGGCATGATGACAAGGCACATCCACCCATCCATCCTACAAAATTTTCTTCTGGGGAATCCAATTGGAGTGAAGATCACAAAGTATGTAACCTTTTATTTGTGTCAAGTGTTAATGTTGACAAGTTTTGTGAAAAATGAGGTATATTAGCCATTTGTTGTTGCCATCATTGTCATTTTTGTGCAAACATTATGTAAATTTAGTAGCAAATACTGCAGACTGTAAAAGAGTATCTCATGCAGGGGATGTCAGAAGGTAAATTCTAAATATCAGAATTCCTCACTTCTAGTTGAGATGTGAGAAATTAATTTCAAGGTGTCATCTAGTGCTTACCTCTATCTGCCTTGATATGGTAATAGCACTACAAGCTAATTCTTACTCTGTTCTTCTGTCTTGAGGAGTCTACCTCTTACCTTGTCATGGATCTTTCTGCAAGTCGACCCAGGATAACTTGAAGAAACTGGATTTCTTCTTCTGTCATTTTTCTTTTGAATCTTGCATCAACCTCCTCTGGTTGTCTTTGAACAAAAAAAAATAAAATTCACCGTGGCATGATGGTCATCAGATGCCCTCTAATGAACTGGGAGGCTGTTCGTTAGGAGATCATTCATGACACTACCTTTTCTGCAACATAAAATGCTTTTGGTATTCCTTGGTGAAAGCTAGAGAACATCAATCATCATATCCTACCTTGCAAGATGCTTAATCTCGCCTTAAAAGATTATTAGAAGCTCTATGTCCTATGTTTCTTTCCTTTAGAAGTATGTTTGACGGTCATGGGTGCTTATGCCCAATTTCCAAAACCTACTGCCCAGTAATGTCAGGTTACAGTTTCTGCTATTAGAAAAAACCAATGCATACTTCACCTATCTAATCTCAGGCAATCCTTTGCACCCATCTTCACTTTCGTTCCAGATAAATCTGGCTTGTATGTACCTCAGCTTTTATGAAAAAGAAAGGTAGGTTGGGAGATACACTTTTACATAAAACCAGCTTCTCACATTAAGAAAAAAGCTTTCTTATTGTGAATGATATCGTATATTAGGTTAAATGATGCTATTATTCATTCCAGTTTTGTACATTCGTTGTCATTTTGCATGTAGAGTACCCTAGTTTTCTGAAAATATGTGGTACTTGAGATAGGATACGATCACATTTTCTGGTTTCTGTTCTTTGTGGAATCTATATCTATTTGCATGTAGGGTAACCCAAAACAACAAAAATTGTGGATACAACGGAAAGCAGAATTTGTGATCATACCATACACCAGGTGTCACTTACTCTGAGGAACCTAAGGTATCCTTAAACAACAATGAATATATGCAATATCAAGGCATATTCCCAACTGAGAGGGCACCGTCCTATTTCAAACCCTAATGTTTTTTCCTGCCTTCCCTTGTGTTCACACCCACAATACCTTTTTTTTTCTGAGATATGAGTTTGCCTGGGTCTTTAAACAGTTTTAGAATCGCCTAGTCACATCTTGACACTGTTTCACCATGGAAAAGATGGTCTTTCTAGGATAATAGAATTCTGTTCCCTTAGAATACCTTCCAAGAATTTAGCCTTCTACCACAGTCTGTTTGACAGCTTTGTCACAAGAATATTGAGGAACAAAGGAGCTCATTGCTTGATACCTGGCCTAATATAAAAGAATCACAAAGGCCCTTCACTGATCACCACACAACTGAAGTGCTACAAACAGAGATCCTATTGATCTATCACAGATGAATGTTAATGTGACTGAATACTTGAAAAACAGTCCCATCCCTGTGTTCATCTGTGTTGCTATAAACTTGACCAAAATTTGGTGTTCTTTGACGAAAGCTCTTTAATTTCCCTGTATTTTTGTAAGAAATGTTGAAAATATTTTTTACATTTTGTTAAACAAGCTGCTGAGCCCGAAATCCTATGGCCTATTTGCTTTCTGCCTGTGTCTGCAGTAACATCATGGCAGCATTATTTATTTTAGACCTTCCTTTCCTTTTTAACACTTTGTCACTGTAGGTGGAAATCTTGATTCCATGAACTAATGTTGGCGATCTAGGGTTTATATCCTAACCCAAGAAGCAGCATAATGGGCCACGACATGTCTGGCCCATTACCACTAGATGATGGCCCGCTAGATGGGCCATGACATAGGGAAGCCTAATAGGAATGACCCATTACATTTAAGGCCCCCCCTCAAGTTGGAGCATAGATATATATGCACCAAGCTTGGTACAAATGGCCGTCACTTGTAGAGATTTTGTGAAAATATTTGCAAGTTGGTCTTTAGATGACATGTTGGCAATAGTGATGTGTTGAGCTTGAAGTTGCTCTCGAATGAAATAATAGTCAACTTTGATATGGTTGTGTGCTCGTGGAAGAAAGGATTAGATGTAATGTGGATGGCAGCTTGATTGTCACATCAAAGTTCCATAGGGCCAAGAGGAGGAAGCTTGAGTGCCTCTAAAAAATTTCAAATCCAAATGAGCTCACATGTGGTACTCTGTATTTAGACTCCACATTGGATCATGAGACTGATTGTTTATAGCTCTTTCAAGAAATAAGATTGCCATCAAGTGAAATGCAATAACCAATTATAGATGTCTTGTCTGTATTGCTTTTAGCCCAATCGCCATAAAAAAACCCTGGATGTTAAGATGACCATGGTGCTTGTACAATAATCCTTGGCTTGGATTTGTTTTTCAGATATCGTAGAATTTGTTTAATGGTTGCGAAGTGCCCACTATGAGGTCGATCACTAAACTGACTTACAAGACTTGTAGCAAATGAGATATTTGGTCGAGTGATAGTTTAGTAGAGTTTCCCAACAAGGCACCAATATCTTCTTGGATCGTCTAATAGTTCTCCTTCTATATGAGATGACTTTAAGTGGGGATCTATACGAGTGGTCGTTAGTTTTGCTCCAATCATACTTGTCTCTTCAAGTAGATCATGTATACACTTCTATTGATTAATCACAATGCCTTCCTTATAACATGCAACCTCTATACCAAGAAAGAACTTGAGATTATCTAGACGTTTGGTAGCAAACTGGCCTACAAAAAGGTCTTGAGTTGAGATATATCAATAGAATCACTCATAGTGATAACTATGTCATCAACATAGACAAGTAATAAGATACACTTGGTTGAGGAGTGTTGATAAAAGAAAGAGTGGCCAACACCACATCTTTGAAAACCAAACTCACTCATAGTATTGTTAAATCAACTGAACCATGCTCGAGGAGATTGCTTCAAATCATAAAGGGACTTCTACAATATAGATCCTAAACTTGTGACAAGTGTGGTAGAATCATTCATTAGGGTGATAGTACAAACACCAGGATGACTAGAATAAAGATATAAAATTATTAGATATAATTTTATTATGGTCAATAGCACCTGAGTCAAGAATCCAATAGGGCAATTCACCTTAAGAGGATGTAGATGTGTGAGAGAGTGACATTGCAGATGTCTTAGTTGTGTCTAAGGCAATAATTGGTTCTGATGCTTGTTGGACAATTTGAAATTAGAGTATGTGAGCATACTCATCAGAAAGTGGCATGTGATGTATGACTCGAGATCCTCCCTGCTATGACAATGTTAGCAGTCTGGGGAGGACGGCCATGAAGTGCATAACACTTGTCCCTTGTGTGACCCTTTTTCCCGAAATATGTGCACTCATATTTCTGGCAATTTCCAAGTGCTCTACCTCCACTTCTCCCTCTCTAAGAGTGACCACCATGAGTATGCCCATGAGGATTGTTGAGCAGACACATACTGTGTTCTCCACAATGGGTGTGGTCTTTGAAATTCCTTGACCCAGAGAAGCACGGGAGATATGTTAATAGGCATCAATAAGTGTTGGCAGCTCATTCTTTGCTAGGATCTGAGAATGAACTCTATCACACTAAGAATGAAGCACATCAAGAAATTTAACTATTGTTAGTTAATCTTGTTATTTATGTATCACTTGGAGATTAGTAGATAATGAAAATAAGGAGTGAAAATTTGAGTAAGACGAGCGATCTCACCGAAGTATTGACTTATGTCTCTTTCACCTTATTTCAGCCAGTAATACTCCACAGTCATACAATAGATCTCAGAGATGTTGTTGGTGTACATTAGTGTAAGATGATCTCACATTGTCTTGTATGTGTCTAGATACTCAATAGAGGCAGAAGACCTCTCTATAAAGAAGTATAGTAGAGGTAGAAAATCTCGCCAGAAAGATAATCAGCGGAAGTGGAAGACCTTGTCAAAAAGAAGCATGATGCCAATGGCGACATGGTGGCAGAGGACATTGGCGACAGCGGGGTCAACTTGGAATGGTGCCAGAGAAGGGTTTGAAATCCTAACCTGGCTCTGATACCATGTAGAAGGTGGAAATCTTGATGGCATGAATTAATGATGGCAGTCTAGGGTTTATATCCTAACCCTAGAGGCAGCATAATGGGCCACAACATTTTTGGCCTATCACCACTAGATGACGATCCATTAAATCGGCTGCAACATAGGAAAGACCAATAGGAATGAACAATTACATTTAACAGTCACCAACTGCAGATGATACGCTTTCATATTTTTCGTGAGCCTGAAAAGAGTAAATAGTTTTACTCTGGTTCAAAATTATTGAAGTTTTTGTTGGGCTCTTGTGTGTATGTCATAAAGATCATCCTAGAAAACTGTAGCATAATTAAACTGTTTATACTTTAGTTATCTCATGAAGTTTAGATTTTTATGGCTTTAAATTTCAAGATGACAAACTTGATCCTTATTACATATTTTTAGTAAATTACCCTCGTTTTAAAAGCCAACATGAGCCCTATTAGATCTATAACAGTTTCTAATATGAATTTTCATGATTTTATTCAGCGTCTATATGGATTTGTTGTACGCCACTTCCTTGCATGTGTCTCCCAGCCCGCTGTAGGGGCTGAAACTTCTGTTGAAATTGACATAGCTGGGGAACAGTTTTCTGCATCTGGGCGTGCAATCATTTCTGTGAGTACTTGGCTGCTTCACTAAGCTGTTATTTAAACTTTCATGTTTCACATTGTCATATGTTCTCTTGCTCATTGGCCAGGAAAGTTGTGCTCTCACATTCACCCTAGATCACCTAGTGGAATCTCGTGGGTTTTTGTGATACATAAATCAAACTTTCAGTGGAGCACTGGTGCTCATACGCTTTGGCCATTTCATTTGTTGTAATAACATGTTATGATTCTTGGCCGAAAGTACTATTAAGCTATCTCACCTCCTCATTGAAAATTCATCTCTTACTTGACAATTTAACTAGATGCCAAGGTGGTAGGCCACAGTCAGTCGAAATGATGTCAATAGTCGGCAGTTTCACTCAACAAAATCTCCACCTTTCAAATTTATGTATTTAATCCTTTTAATCTTGTAATGTGAGTGATTTGATTCATGATCCAGAAAAATTACCTTGAGGTTTATCACTTTGAAACATGGGGAGGTTCAATTATTCCAACCTACGACATTGGGCAACAGGTTTGTTCTTTTTCTCTTCCATTTTATAGATTGAAGTGCACTATTGGATCCGTGCTTGCTGATAGCTATTGTTTACGTTTCCATTCTTCTTCACAGATTTTCATTTGCATGTGTTATATTGCCGTTTTTCAACGTTTCAACTTTATCTTTATCTGATATATAGAATAAGCGTCTCAGGAAATTTTACAATGAGGTCCAAATGCTGTGGACAGTTTGAAATGTTGAATCAGATTTCAAAAGTTGTGTTTCAAAAGGAATTTCGTACAGAAAGACCTACGGTCGAAATCAAGTCTGGAATCAATTTTTGTTAAATATCATCTTCTAAATAGAAGTAATATTGTTCTAGTTTCCTAGAAATCAACTGATTAGTGACCTTGAGTTCAGGTTTTCTTATTTATACATTTTTAAGAAGGCACTGAAAGCAGTTGAATGGTTGTTGCGAGGAAATTTTCAATTTTTATTGCAACAAATAATTGAGCTGTTTTTATGAAAGTATAAGCATCAAATATTTATCATACCGCATTTTTGCTTTAAGGAATAATTCACAATACTTCAGTGATCATGTTCATTTATCATGGTCATCTGTAATCCTGATTTATTTGCCTTTTCAGTTTTTGCCAACAACATTGACACTGGATTCAGGTGTGACACGGCCACCTCCTCTTCTAAGTGAATCTGATTTGTTAAGCTGCATGGACAAGGTTGAAATAATTATCATACTGAAGATTCCTTTTACATTTCATATTATGTGAAACTTTTCTCTTTACTTTTTCATAGTTTTTTCTTGTTTGATTATGAAATAGTCCCATAATTTGTCTTTTTTTTATGATGTTTCTAGGAGGGCATTGGCACTGATGCAACTATGCATGATCACATAAAAAAACTGCTGGATCGTTGCTACGCGACTAAAGATGCGAACACCCGCTTTTCACCTACAAATCTTGTACGTAGTTGCCTAGACCTTCTCATTTAATTGTGTTTCACAGTTGTTTTTTGTTCTTTAAATAGCTGGACGTTTATTGTGGTAGTATGAACGAGATAACTGAAAAGGTTTTAATGCAGTGCCCTAACGTGGGATTCTAGAGTCTTCTTATACATGTTGTAACATACAAGAAAGAGTAGAAAATCAGTTTAACATTGCGTAATGATAGAATGTAGTTGGGATCTAATTATGGGGTATAACTCTACTTACATGGCGAAGATTAGAATAAGGAAATAAATAGCTGCTGGGTGTCAACAATAGAAGATTTTATTTTCTGCCTCATTTTGTTGGGGACGCTGTTTACATATCTTGTTTCAGGTTAATTAAACATAACGAAAAACGGTTGACACGCAGTACTGATGGAGTTTTCTAAGCTTTGAGTGTTTGGATGCTTCTCATCTACCTGTAATTGGATACTCATTGTATTTATGTTCTTCTTAGTTTTAAATCAGGTTCAAGCATTAATCCTGCAAAAGATTTGTATGCCCCTTTAAAACGTATGATTTTGTGCTTACCATTATGTTGACTAATTTCAGGGAGAAGCCTTGGTGATTGGGTACGATGGCATGGGGTAAAATATTTATCTCTATTTCATATAATTTTCTCCCTAGAATTATATATTTATTTCTTTTCTTAGCGGTCATAGATTTGAGTAATAGCCAATATCTTTCCTGTTATGGTTTTATATCGTAGTTTCATATTGTTTTTTTCTATTCATCTCCGAATCTACTGCTCCTCTCCTTTTTATTTTTTAACATTAGTTTGCAGCTGACATAGGGATGCTAAGTAATGGAGCATACAAAGATGCCCAAAGTCTCTTGATGAGGGTTAAAAGGAGATGACAAGTTGAGATGGCTGGGGTGTTGAATGAATGACATGATTTAAGAGATAAAAAAATTGAAAGAGAAGAGTTGTTGAGTGGGACTGAGGAGAAAGGGAGAGGAGGGAGGGTACTTTGCTAGAAGCATGTCGATCCGTACGTGGAATACAAGGGAACTGGTAGTGTGCGAGCAAGGTAGATGTCCTTCGCTTGGAACAGGCTAAATCCTTCGGGAGGGAAGAAGATATAATGAGTGAGATTGGTGGATTCATCTGCCCAAAGGAGTATCTTCTCTGAAAGTTTGAAGATCAAGATGTACAATGTTCTTACATAATGTTTATGCATTAGAAGATGTGGTGGAACAACAACAGGTGGGGAGGTATGATTTCTCCTAGTTCTTTAGGAACATAATAGATGAATTGGTATGTTGTTTTTCTGGTCCTTAACAAGAGCACAGGAAAAGGATTTTTTAAAGATTTATTGGCTCTTAGCAGGGTTCACAGACATTGGTGTGGAAGAGAGTACTGTGATGCTGCTACAGAGGATAAGGACAGGAAATGTGGTGTTTATGAACCATTATTGAGTACAGGTGAACCTCCTATTGTATGCACCCTTATTGTCTGCGGAATGGGAGGATCAATAACCAAGATTGGAAGCTACATCTTTGCCTACCGCAGTATCTGAATACAAACCTCCTTTCGTTATGGCCATATGTTATAATTTAATAGCGTGCCAACTCAAGCAATCATCTCGTTTAGCAACTATCCAATTCAAGATTTTTCTGTTAGGTTAAGTTCCAAAATATTATAACATGCAGGTTTTAGGATACTGTTGAAATGTACTAGAAGCAACCATAGGTTTCTTGTTTACAATACCATTGTACTTGTTCATTTACGTACCCATTACCCAAAATCAAACTTAAAGTATCTATTGTATCTGATATCAAAGCTCTCATTGCCTCTTTCAAATGGTGGACGTAGCTCTGTTTCTGCAATTAGAAGGCCTAGAAGTTTCATAAAAAAATGATAGGAATCACACGTACCCATTAGCCAAGCACACACCTTATAGGTACAATCAAAGAATGGTTATTGAATAAGAGACATTAATTAACAAGAACTTTATCATGAACGATGGATCTGAGTAGAAAACACTTAAATCATTCCAGCATACTAATTTATTGAATAGGATCTTATGAATGTCGGTAGATATTTTCAGAGATATATTCATAAATATATCTCTTTTCCTTTGTGTATATTCTTCCTTCTACTGAGGGCTGTCATTAATTTTTTAGGAGGTTATATTTTCCTGTAACTATGTTTACCCTTTTCTTTTTTTGTAAGACCTTCTATCAAGCATCTAATTTAAGTGCACTTGAAGAAGACGGAGTGTTTAAGTTTCTTGCTGGCCTAAAGAATGATTATGAGTATGACCAAGATTTCTTTGACATATGAGATTGTAGTGTGCATGTAGTTTCCAAGAGGTGTCTATTTTTCCTTTCTACAAGACCATTTTGTTGAGGTTTATAGGGGCAAGATTACTCATGAATGATACCATCATCATTCATAAGGATGGTTATATTTCATTCAAAATACTCTTTGGTATTGTCAAAACGAAATATTTTTACACATTTTTCAAATTAATTTTTATTATGTTACAAAATACTTTGACAATTCTAGGGACCTCTCATGTGTCAAAATACTTTTTCGGATGTAATACCCCACAATATTCTGCACTATGGTTCGTCCTCCCACAATGTGTATATTTCTTTTCTGATTTTTCTTTGGCTGGTGCTTGACCTTTTGTTGTTTTAATTATACAACCATGGCTAACTAAGGCCAAGTGTTCCCCCACTTCAGGCTCAACAGACTTAGGAGTGTTGTTCATCATTTGTCTTCTCCCTTTTTCATTCAACACTTTATAATATACTTGTTCAATTGTGAGAATAGGATCTAGGTTTAAGAATGATATTAATTTATTTTTAAATTTTTATAATTACATTTCTATTTTTAAAAACTGAAGAGAGTGTTTAAGTTTCTTGCTGGCTTTAACAATGGATATGAAACATTGAAGAGTCAAATCTTAAATCTAAATCCTATTCCCATAATTGAACAAGTATATTATAAAGTGTGGAGTGAAAAAGGTAGAAGAGCCTGAAGTGGGAGAGCACTTGGCCTTTGTTAGCCATGGTGGTAAAATTAAAATAGCATAAAGTCAAGGACTAGCCAAAGGAAAGTCAGAAAATAAATATACACATTGTGGGAGGACAAATCATAGTGTAGAATATTGGGTATTACATCTGAAAAAGATGTCAACAGAATTTAAGTCTGAGGGGAGGGGATGACTGATATCTGTTAGAAATAGGTTTTTCGATTTACTGTGCTAGTCCTTTACTTTCTTGTCCACTGTACCTTGTAATAAAATCATAAGCTGAACCGGTTCAAACGGAATCAGACCGATTCAGCCTCTCCCATTTCGTAACAGCTGGTTGGTATAGATACCAATCAGCATGTAAGCATTTGAATAATTTGAGTTTGGGGCTTCGGCCTTCTATTTCGTGTATCTCTCTCGTGTACGCTGCTGGTGCAGAAAGGAAAGAAGGGAGGTGTTCAGAGATGATAAAAGATAAACACGATTTTTAACATGGTATCAGAGCACAGGTTTGATGACTCCAGTCTTCTCTGATCTTCTGAATTCTTCTTGAACGACGGTTTCTTGTTTTTTCAGGAGAGAACATATTTTTTCGTGACTTGTTAGAACAAGTCACTGGTTATTCGCTGATTCTGAACTTTATAGGTCAGAATCTAACACAATTGAACTATAGAACATGAACTGTGGATTCGTGTCTTGATCTGTAGATTAAGACTTTTTTTCTGAAACAAACAGACCTGATCCTTGAGTTTTCAAGAATGTCTGAAGTGACTTCTATGGCAGAATAAGAAGGGTCCCGATCTGTGAGGGTGGAACCTATCCCAATCTATGGAGATCTGCCAATCATACCACAAGCAGATCATCTAGATGGTAGGAATTACTTTGGGTGGTTTCAACAAAATCGAGTTGTTCTTAAAGGACAAGGGATGGGTAATCATTTAGCTCATCCAAATCTGAAAACTGGAGACCCAGGATTTGAAGCATGGGATCAAAAAGACTCAAGAATCATGGCTTGGATGTGGACAACCATGATTCCAGAGATCCGTAGAACCTGTTTGTATCTTTCTAGAGCTAGAGCAATTTGGGAAAATTTATATCAGACTTATTCAAGAGCAAGAGATGCTGCACAGCTTTATGAATTAAAGTTAAAGACGATGACTACGAGGCAAGGGGAAAAATCAATGACAGAATACACGCATAAAGTAAGAACATTATGGCAAGAATTTTATCAATACAAAATTGCTGATAACACAATTGATTTTCATCTCACGTAAATTTAATGTTTTATCTTTTTTAACGTCACAATGTTTCATATTCCGTAGATATGAGCTTTGGAAACCATACCTTCGGTCCAAGATGGAATCTGACACCAAGGAAGTTTGTGTGGGCTCGAAAACAAAATCTGAGGTTTTAGAGACTTGCTTGCAGCAGATGAAAGCTTGTTTCTTAGATGTAAGCTTATGAATTTATTATCGTATATATTATTTCATTAAATGTGTTATACCGTGGATCTTAAAGCTTATAGCCTCATGGGCATATCAGTCATGTAAGTGAGACCTATAAGGCTGATACTTTTTTGCGTTGATGTCAGAAAATAGCTGGTTTCCTTACAGAAAATCTCACTAATCTAGTGATTGCGGTTTTTAACTCATTATCCAGTTTTGGTTTATTCTCATTCCATTATTTCTCATAATGCCTGCTTTTGACTCTAGAAATGGGATTTTTTTCGATCATAGTTTTGATCCACCTTCACTGACACACGGTTTGATCAAGGTAATCCGGGTTGACCTACCTATAGTTAAAGGCGATATGTTCTGCTGTGCAACATCATTTGATGACTGAGGACTAGATCATCTTTTAATGGGGTTGCTTTCACCATTTGTTTTCTTCATCCCTCGTTTCGTCCTTCATGGTACATTGTACGGATGCTATGTTACCGGACGAGATGCATTGCCAAGAGTAAGAGCTTTACGTCTTGGATGTGAACATCTTTGTTCATGAACAGCTTGTCTGTATTTTGCCTCAATCTTGCAGCAAATTTCATCTATTTCGAGAACCAAATTCAAGGATAATCTTCTATTTTAGTTCTTGATTCGATACACGGATACTAATCAGAATAGGAATCCTCCATGGATCCATAGCCATCTTAGGATCGACATTGTCATGTTTGAAATAAGAGAAAGAAAGAGGAAACGCAGAAGTAGACATTTCCTATATGTTTTCTCTTTCCAGCACTGCAAATATAGATGATCGTAGCTGCACTCCAGGTTGTCTTAATCTCATCTTGTCCGTTGTTTTTCTTGTTTTCCCTAAAGATATATGCATACCTTTAAGAAATTGAAGAGCTAGGTTTTAGACTATCACTCAATTCTCCAGTCTCAATTTTACGCCATGGAGCAACATAATTCACTATCAGCTAGAAATGACAAGGGAGCAACGTAATTCACTATCAGCTTTGTAAACATTCTGTTAATATATTTTCAGGCAAGGCAAAACAAAGGGAAACTATTTCAAGCCATGGAGATTTTCTTTGAAAGGTATGTGCCTACGCTTAAAAATGGACTCTATACCTTCCTGCTGAGTACCTTTTTTTGTTCTAGGTCAAATAGAGCTGGTGATACACAGCAAAGTCTCACAGAGAATGTGTGCCCCTGCAAAATGTGCCAAGAGTCTAATATGGTGCTGAGGCAGAGACCGGTAAAACTTATTAAATACACCTTTAATAACCTTACCAATGGTTACCATTTGCTGGAATAGTTGTTATTAAGTTTATTTTGTCATCCAGGAATGACTGGTATGACTGGCTATTAATCATTGTTTGCTTTGACATATAACCATTTGAAATCCTGTAAGTTTGGGGGTCTAAGCTTTTCTGCAGTGCATTAGGGTGAACACTTTGGTCTGATATTCACGTTTAAACCTAAGTGGTTTACTGTACAAATTTTGGGAGAATGAAGTGGTGAGTTAGAAACCCACTAGTAAATTCTGCAATCTGAATGGAAGGTTTAAACTATCTCGAGTATGTATGAACATTAACAATTTTCCTTAAAGGTAAATTAAATGCGAACTTTGCAATTAATCGATACTATTATCACTTGACTTAAAATAACTATTATGCTGTCTTTTTCTTCGGATATATGTAATCTTTTGTTGCTATAATAGTCAATATAAGTTTGTTGAATTAATATATGATAATTTCAGAAGGTTGTAATAACGTACAGACATGATTACTAAACATAGTATGCCCTTTTTGTCTCACTAGTTATGCTGATGGACACTATTTTAGTATCACATTTGTTTCGTACACAAACAATCCATCCATCTCTTAAATGTATTTTTTGAAACCAACTGTGTCCTTTTTTATTTTCTCTCTCTACTGTACTCATATTGTGAACATATGACTATGTGAATGCTTCTCTTCATATTTGCATTTTGATGATGAAAATCTGCTCTATTTTCATAATTCACAGGATGGCAATTTTATGGTTGGATGCATACGCTTCCCACAGGTGATTTCCTAATGATAAGCTTTATGCATTCTCATAACGGTGTTTCGCTTTACTTTCCCCACGGGTTACTTGGTTACGTTTATAAAGTTATTACATGAGGACGAAAAGTGTCTTCGCATTAGCTAGGGTGAAATAAAATAATATATGCTAGTGGTACGTCTGGGGACAGTTTTCTAAAGTGTCCATTTTCTTTTACATGCCTATGCGGAATAATGTGTGAGATGTTTTGTTCATCATTTTGTTCCCATTTTTAGAAAGATCACTTGTATATTTTTCTTCAAAGAAAAACCCAGCTTACCAATTTAATTGATATCCAGGAAAAAGATTGTGAGGGATGGCTTCCTGCCCAATCCCTGGACACAGTAAGGATCAATGAGGACTCTCTCGGGAAATTATACCTAAGTTAAATCCCATTGTAGTGCAACAAATCTAATATGAGATGTTTGTTGTGTTGCCACAGAAGTTCCTAGGAAATTGTTCACATCTGACGGTATGATCACCTTTTGTCTCGCAGCTGAAATTGAGTTTATCTTTAACCCTGTATTCGTGGTGAAGATTATAGAAAAATATTCGGATGTAGAGGATATAGCCCCAGACGTTGACAAATTAGATGAGTTAAACTTTAGATAAAAAATGATATATAAAATTTGGTAATGACTGTATAACATTTATTCTTAAAGTAGCCTTTTACTTGTATTTTATTTTTTGGTTTTTTGTTGGAATAAATAACCCCGATAAGTTATCGTTTTTGTGGGTATCTTGGGCAATTTATAAATGCTAATATACATCTGAAATTTTCCCCACAACTGCGAGGGTTTCATTTCCCCAGGTTCTGACTTTGTACATTGCACTCCATAGTGGAGTTTTATAGTTATATCTAGTGACATAGACAAGATAAATCCAAAACTATCCACATCAAATCTAAACTCTTGATGAGCATTATGCAGTTTATAATAGGGTGTTTTCATATTTTGAGAACATGAGCATTAACAGTTCATAATAGGGTGTTCTCTTGATGAGCTATAACAGTAATAATAATATAGGGTGTTCTCATATTTTGATGAGCATAATGCAGTTCATAAGACTCAAGTGTTGATGGATGGAATCAACATTGCTTCATATTTTCCTGTCTTGAATTGTATTAAATTTAAAAATATTTTTTTTAATCCAACGCTGGCCTCGTATTATTTGTTCCACAGTGTAGAAATGTTGTTTGGCTTCCAGGGGCAACATCAGAAGCAACCGTTACCAGCAATATTTGTAATACCTGTGGCCCAGGTTTGATAGAATTGATCACTCTTATCGCTTAATTAACGAAATATGCTTATGCCAAACCCAAAGATAGCTACCTTTATGTTGCATTCATAGTATTTGCTTTGTTTGCATGTAGGACCTGTTTTCATGATCCAATTTAAGTTTCGTCGATTAGAGATACCAGCAAACTACGAAGTTAACCATTTAGGTACGTATATTTTCCATTGAGAATGAACATTTCTTTTAAATAAATCGAATTATGACTGCTTAACCTATTCAGGCTTTCTTGCAGTACTATAGAGAGTTGCCAATCAAGGAAAGAGACGAATTGTCACAGTTGATTTTAGGTTGCATTATATACTATGTTGCCATAATCACCTTGCATTTTAGTCTCAGTTCGTTCTGGGAGATTGGTGGCACTATAGTGGTTTTTATGTTGGAATGAGCTCAGAAGGTCCACTTGAATCTATTGCTGAATACTTAAAAGTAATATTTTCCATGTCGTGCCTTGTTACTTACAATGATAGGACTTTATTCTATTGCTTTCATTTGGACATTTTTGGCTGTAAATTTCAATTTTTTGCTTAAAACTCATTTTCATGATCGATAATAGCTGGTAAAGTAATTTTTACTTAGTAAACATCAAATCAATCTACTAGGTGCTGTCTCATCTCAATGCCATATTTAACCCGGGTTTAGCAAATTTTCAGAATCATAATAGATAATTGTTATTTAATTTTTTTGAGTTTCTTCGCCCATAGTTGATCCAAGTTGGTCACATTATAATCATGTTAACGGATTCATTAGTTCTGGAAGTACCATTGTTTCTGTCAATGGCCTGGTTTCTTGAATCAAATTTGAAGAGGCCGTGCCAACTATCAATCTATAGACCTGTTAGTTCTTAAACAGCCGTTAATTTCATGCTAACGTAATGTAGTTGTATGCTTAAAGTGTTGTTGATGCCATCAGAACGTTCAATTTTGATGACGTTCAAAACTATCTGCCATCAAAACGTTATTAATATGTCAATTTAGAAATTACTGTCTCCCTGAAATTCAGAAATTAATTTGGATATATTTTTTCAGGTTGTATTGGTGGTTGTGATAGCGTACTTAGAGATCTTATTGAGATTTGTGGAACTGGATCCCGCAATCTTTCAAGCGCAACAGGTTTCTTAATGCAGGCTCTAACATGATGTTTTCCATGAAATATACTCTCAATTTATTTATTTATTTTTGTAGAAAAGGCTATGCCCTTGTAAACCTACAACAGTTTTCTCTAAACTTTTTTTTATCGAACTATGATAAAAGTTTTTACATGTAATCTTGCTCATTTACTTGTTCCTGTACGCTTTTGGAGTCGAAAAGTTATGGCTCAAGATATTCAAAAGTTCATGTAACCAAACACTAAATTATTTTCAATGCTTCTTTTAAAGGGATTTATTTCCGACATTTTCTTAAGTATATGTCCTCGTAGAATCATGTGCTTACGGCTTTTAGTAAATGTACTTATATCAAAATGCGATTGTTGATTTGATCTAAATCTGATTCGAACGAGTCCATTTTGAACTGAAGTTGTCACTTAGGAGGTCATCAGAATTAGATGTACACCCAAAGTCAAATCTGAAATCCAGTTGTTTCCTCTTCAGTGTATTTGAGTGAATTTGCATCTACATTTTTCTGCTTTTGCAGTTGTTGTGGTTTACCAGAAAAACCGCTTGTTAATGGGGGCCAGGGGGATGGTCTATTAAAAACCCTGCCAAGCCCTGCCTAATATTTCAGTAGCTTGGTCAGAAAAATATGTTTATTTAGTTTCTTTGCCGGAAAAAACCAGGGCTCAGACCCATCTGCTTGGAAGACCAAGAAGGGTAGGAACATATACCAGCATCTTTCATGCCTGAGCCTCTTCTAAGATTATTTTAGTTAATGATATTCAGAAATAATTCCCTCTCATGTACAAATATAAGCGTATAACATATTAGATTTTAAAGTCTATTAAATATTTTATCATTATATTTCATGCACCGTTACCATGATAGTTATTGATTTCTTTGTTTGTCTTATTGTGTCTATGATAAAAGAATCTTCGAGAATTCACAATGTAGTAATAGCGTATTAGTATTTCGTTTTGTCAAATAGGAATCCCGATTGAGTACTGTGCACAAATAAGGCTAAGGCAAGACCTAGTTAACCCAGGCAAACACATTTCATATTTGTAAAAATCCATTGTCATCCTCGGTAAAGGTCAGAAAATGATGTTACGGAAGAAGGATTCAATAATCTCACGAGTATTTCCCTTGTAGATGAAAAGTGCGTGCACTCATTGCATGTGCCCAGCATCATCCATTTCTTCCTGATTAGAGAATGAATTAACGACATAGATAGAGAATGTTCTTGTTGATGAAAACGTCTTATTTTCCCAATTTTTAGTGAATTGATCAAAAGTTATCTCACCTATTATTTCATTGACCTGAAGGAAAACAGAAGGTTAGGGTATATCCCGCTGTCATATTTAATTGAGTTCATTGGCTGTTTGTAATCACCGATGCATCTGCATATTACTCTTTTGACTTATTTATTCAACACCAGTCTAGCAAGTACTCGATTCTAACATGGAAAATAATTTCGAAATAAAAAATAATGAAATTATCTCAACTAAATCTTGATCTCTTTTGCCAAATCAGCAGGTAGAGGGTCTCGGACTACAGAGCCTCAGAGTAGTGCCCAAAGAAGAAACTCCAGGTCAGAATCTCATGCCCCTCGTTCACAAGATTCTCAAAATTCGAGAGTCCAAAGACCGCAAAATGGTATGTTTGTCTTTGTACCCGCTAATATGTTTCAATTCTTTTGCTTGTATGATTATATAACAATGCCTGGCACTAAAAGAAGAAAGTTTATCAGAAACTGAATATAGGCCAGTAGGAGAGCCACTTATTTAAGTCACCAGAAAACTGTCGTTTCCCCCTCTCAGTAATAAACTTGAAATTGTTAGATTGCATACCATGCATTAGAAGACTGCTTCTTATGCTGCTTGGTCATTCTTTCTGTTAATTAGAAGAAAAAACCCACCCTGCATTAGCATGAATTAGTAAATGTCGGGGATTAAATGGAAGAAATATGGATGAGTGAACTTATTCATGGATTAATGGAAGAATTATGGATGGCTATGACGTATCAAGTGACATCATGATTAACGATGTACATAATTTCAAATACCAGAGACTCCACAATTAGATCTAGCTAACTGTTTCTTTTCCTCTGTCGAGAATTTAATCCAACAGATTTGTGGCAATGTAGGAAGGCTGTCAATCGCTTGTGATAACTGTGGTGCTACATGTGCATTGCGAACTGCTAACACAGCCAATAACAGAGGAAGAAAGTTTTACTCCTGCCAGTCTCAAGAATGCAATTTTTTCAAGTACGTTTGATTAGATATTTGGATTATTTATCTTAAGATCCGCACTTTCCTTATTTGTGTGCTATATCTTTTTAATATGGCTAATTGCCCAGTCATTTCCATGAAACTCATTTATTTTTTCACGTGCTTCCATCAACTTTCCTGTATCACTCAAGTGTCTCTAGAAAGTTACTGCAGAATTTCTTGCTTAGTTTATTTATCAAGTTCGATATCTGCTGGCCATAAAGCATATGTTTCTTGTTTCTATTAAAAATCCTGAGGGAGGAACACTTCTGTCTTGTTGCCTTTTTCATTCAAGAAAGAGCAGGTAAATCAAATTCTGGCATCTCTTCTTAAGAAGGGTGAAATAGAGCGTATGTCAACGAAACCCTTTTTTTTTAAAATTTTTAATTCGAGATTGATATATCTGCTCAGGATATTCTCTTTCTATCTCTGAAACACTCATGAAAGATCATCTTCGTGGTGTATTAGGACAATGTGCACAGGCAAATTGCTTGCAGAAAAAATTAAGGAAACTAAAAAATTTGATGTATGCTGTGAATGTGCTTCGCAGATGGGAAGATGAATTGGAAAGTGCTGGAACAGAAGGCCGAGGTGCATCCCATAGGAGTAGTAGGTCGTCTTCTGCCAACAGGAGAGGTGGTCAAGGCCGGAGACAAGGTAGAGAGGCCGTCAATGCAGATGTCACATTTGTTACTGCCACTGGTGACCCTGTTTCTGGTCGATGTTATGTCTGTGGTGATCCCTCACACTTTGCTAATGCTTGCCCAAGTAGACGCAGATAGACCGCTACATATAATCTAGGGTTCCTTATACGTCCATATATAATGAGAGGGAACGTGATAATTTTCGGTCAACCCACCCACCCCTCATTTTTCTGTGAAAGTTAGACATTGTAACGAGATTTTGGCGGTTCCACCTTTAGACTGACCTCAGAAGTAAGTAGAGGAAGGCATGATAGAATAGCTTGAGAAAGAATCTCAAATTTTGAGAATTGCCAAGATAGATTTTTCATGTTATTTTTCTTAATTGAGCAACTGTACATCCAAAATCTTGAAATTTTTTAGCTATCTACTACTTTTTCTGCAGACACCTTTTCTACATAGCATTCGAAAGGTTTCATTGAAATGTCGTTCTAAGCTTTCCTACTTAGCCATTGCATTAAGAAATCACTAGAATTGGTCGTATTTTTTATGCAAATTATCTCTTAAATAATAGTGGATATAAGTGGAATTCCCTCATGCAACCTTTGTGAGGCAATGTACATGAAAGGTCATAAAAGAAATAAGCTTGGAGAGGATCAAACTGATGGAATCACGTTTAGAATCAGATCAGGTCGTCTTCTAATATCAAATGGAAGTTTTGTCATAGTTTGATTTTCTTTTTGAGATTTAATCGAGCTTCATATTCACTTTAGTCAACTTTGTAGGATTACACTGGTATTATAGTCTTATTTGCTTCTTTTTTTTGTTAGGGGAACAGTTGTGGTAAGTTAGGTTTGTCTTGTATAGAATTTGGTTCGTTGGTTGCCATATCTAATTTTTATAATTTAAAAAGTTGAGTTCCTAGAGTGTACTTGGATGCAAAGTTCTCATGTTCATTATGGCTGTTAAACTACTCAAAATGTCTACAGCTGTAAATGTGATTATTTTGTTTTAACTATTTATCCACATCTTAGCGCATGCCCTTATGACTTTAAAGACTATTTGCAAAAGCAAAGTTTCATTCTTTATTTTCTTATCTAATTCTTATAAGTAGATAGGTATATTTGAGTTATTTTTTGAACCGTTTTTAACAGTTACCTAATTATTGACTTCTTATATTTAAAGGAAAAACTGCATTTAGTTAAAAAAATATAATTTGAGAATTCTTGGGGTTTATCAATGTAATGTAAGCATAAGTACATCAATACTAATAAACTTATGCATTTAACTGTATTGCAAAGGAGATGATAAATCTATGATTAGGATAAAATAATTGTTGAAGTTTGACGAACAACATATATGCATTTCATTGCTCTAGTTTGTAGCCTCATAGAGTGGATTTTTAGTCGCTTTTAAGATTTGCTTGGTTTAAAGATTGAAACTTTATCAAATACATTAAGAAGGGCCTTAATATAATAATTATGTAGGATCCTTATGGTTGTTTTCTCTTAAAGCATAATTGATTAAAGACCTTTTTTAGCTCTTGATTATGGTAAAAGCTGGTTAATATTATTTTTTTATTAGTGGTGTGTTTGATTTCTAAATAAACTAACCAACTAATTTCATCAGAAAAAGGATAAGTAAATGTATGCAAGTACCAAAGTCACTTATGAAAGAGCATTTCTAAGTATGATATAGAGCACAATTTCCTAGTCCAAAGATATGAGTTAATCCATATGAATTATTCAAAGACAATGAAAGTTCTTGAAAAGATTCAATACTATATACCAAAGACAAAAGGAGTCGTTTTTTTAATCAGAAATTCATCCATTGTGATTGGATCCACTATCATTTTCACTAAACATAGATGAGTTGCCAAGCCAATGTAAAATATATTACTTAATTATTATGTCATCCGGCTTTGTATATTTGTTGTAAACTAATTAAATTTATAAATTTCATTTAATTACATAAGAAAGCAATATTGACATGAAGTCAGTAAATCTTAAATCTTTTTGTAGTGACAAGAATATATGTTTTGTTGTTCCCATGAAACTTAAGAAACTTAAAGTTATTTGGGTTTCGGTCCGTACAAATCACAAGGGTTATTTGGGTTAAGGATAGATCCTGAATCTTTTCATTTACTATTCCAAGTCTTTATAAAGTACAACGAAATTATGAATACCTGGTCTATATACACATCTCTCCTTTACCCTTGTCTACCTGCTACAATTCAGCCAATCCACAAACTCCTAACCGTACACACCCTTGTCTTTCTTCCATGCGGCCGAAAGTGCCATAATTATCTTTGTAAATGTCCTTGTACCTCTCCCACACCCCTCCAGGTGCAACTTGGCCTCTCCACCAGCCCTGGCCCTTAGTGTGTCATTCCTCTCTCTCTCTCTCTCTCTCTCTCTCTCCACATGGTATTATAATATTTTAAGAAAAATTACCTCATTTTCCAATGGCCACATGATCTTTTAAAGAATATTTTGTTCAATTAATTTCATAACAAACTACAACAAGTGGACAAAAGACACCAGTTTAAATAACCAAAACTAATCGACCCAGATTTAAATGTTTTAAAAGTTTTTATATAATCAGATATTTCAGACTCCTTGATATTGGCAACAAGTCATTGGCATACTAAAACAATATGATCTATCCGTGATTAATGCACCAAGTATTTCCACATTATAAATCATTTGCGTAAAACATTTGCTGAACTAACTTTCAAGAACTTTACAAAACAAAGAAAGTCAACGAATTATGAATTAGAAAAGAAAATTCAGGAATTTATCTTTCTAATTTTTATTCTGAGAAGACAACTTGGAGGTTATGTTTTGAATATAAGATATCTTTATGAAAAGTAACAATATGTTTATTTCCAAGAATCAAAGATAGATATAAATTAATTTCCTGAAACTTATAGTTGTAGAATTATTCCTCTGTTTTAAAAATTTATAAGAAAAAGAGAAAATAAAAACATGACCAAATAACATACTCTGAATTCAAAACGATACTACAAAAAAGATGGCAAACACTCAATAACTATTTGAGTTTGGAAAGTGAAAGACTGAGATCGTAGGTGTCACACGGTGGTCAGCCTTGCTTACCTCTGCTTGCTCCACCGTATGCCCACCACGTGATAGTAGGGTCTAGGGCAAGAGGCAAACCATGAAATGAAGGATGCTGAAGACAGAGAGGCAGTATGTGTGGAGTACTCTAGTGAGTAGAAAACCTTACAGGGGGGTATAATGTGTAATCAACCATAATAATTTACACAATTTAATTTTTCTTCACATAATCACAGCATAGATTGATTTATGTTGACACCAGAGGTGTCTAGAGTCTCTCCTCTATTAGAATTTTGAGAGACAAGTTGAAAGCGTTAGGGGAGAGAGAGAGAGAGAGAATTGGCAGGGCTTTGGCCAACCCCACATCATGATATTTCTGAAATAATCGCTCATGATATTTCTCTAATCGCCCACATCAGACTAAGTCCATCCAGCGAGGCTCAGACTTGAAATCCTGTAAATTCTGAGAAATTCCAATGCACCAAGGAGAAGCAAAGGAAGGGGGTCAAAAAAAGATACTGAGAAAGAAAGAAAAAAAAATAGAGAATTGGATCTCTCCTCCTTCATTCCCCTTTCTAAAACAAAAGCCATTACATCACTGCAGAAGGGAAATCGAAGCCTCCCTGTCTTCATCCCCACAGAGGGCTGAAGAGGTGATATACAGCAGTACCATTAAACGCTGCCGCCAGCCAGCAAACAAACAGAAGCAAGCAGAAGAAAAGGCTTTACAAAGTCAACCCCATACAATGCCAGCATTACACCACTCAAAAGACAAGGCCCTCGGATGTTATTTGTGGTAAATTCTCCATGATTCAGAGCCCATTTGCAGGTCGATACATCCCATATCCATTTAGCCCACAAGCCAAATCTGGAGAATCAGGATGCTGATAAGGATACCCATTGGCGTCCATTGGCGGATGATCTGCGGCACCACCCATCGGCCACTGGCCCTGGCCAACCCCATCCAGCCGACCATTCACATAGGCGGAGTAGTCCAACAGGTCAGAGGAGTAGCCCCCTCGCTGCCCATCAAAATGGCTGCTGGGCGAGCCATACATCCTCTGGATTCCATCATCATAGCACTGACCCATCTGGTTGAAGTAGCGGCTGCCGTTTGACGCACCCACGTCGATGGAACTTGAAATCTCGCGAGGAAATGTGTACTGCCGATTGAGGGTGGGATGATGCTGATGCGGGTATCCATTCAATCCCTGCCTCCCAACAGTCTGCTCTTCATCAAGCAGATCATTTATAATGTCAAGGTGGGGAAACTCATCTTGGGTGACGCCCACAGGCTGGCGGGCCGGCAATGGCAGAGCCGCTTCGTCGAAGAAGTATGAACGAGAAACAGACCCACTGATGTCGAGCGCCCGGATGCTGCTGACAAGATTCGTATCCTGCATCCTCCCCCTCGATGTGGCCTGCAGCTGCTGTAATGGCTCCTCTGCCCACTGATGCCTGTTCTGCAAAGCCTCTGGATTTACGGACCCAAAGGTGAGCCCTGGCCTTACCGAACTTTGTTCCACCCTAGCAGATTTCTGAAGAAGAGTCACGGGTGAAGATGGCACAAATGACGGCAAGGACTGAGAGTATGTAACATTATGGCTTGCCAGGCTTGGAGATGGACGAGGGGTATAGCTGGGAGCACCGGCGCCCATGGTCGTCTTGCCCATTATAGCATTTCTGTAGGACTGTAGGACATTACCATGGGTTGTTGGCACAGTTGAATCGGCTCCCAGACGGCCAGCTGCGCTCACAGACCGTGACAATAGAGGACCTTGCTGGACTGTCGAGACAAGGGGTGCTGTTGGTCTTGGGCCAGGGATGAGGGGAGCACTCGGTGGCCTTGTCAATCCTGAGACTTGCTGTGCTGTTATAATCTTCGTAGGGTTTACTGGCTTTGCCTCCGGTTTGTAGATCAATGGTAACTTTGCAGCAGCAGAAACCGGTTTCTCAGTCAGGCTCTGGATATTGTCAGATGGCTCTCTAATGGGCACTACCGTCTCTGCTGTGGACATACTACTTTCTCCTGTCTGCTTCGCCGGTTGTTGAATCGGGGTTCTCGTGGAGCTACCAGGTGAGGGCATTTCAGTGGTATTTGGTTTGGAGGGTCTATCCTGATCTACCCGGTCCTTGACCGTTCCTTTCCTTTGGGCAGTTGCAAACGCTTCCTGGAGTCAACAAAATACTTAGCGTAAGGCGAGAATTTCTTGACAGTGTTCAAATGCTTCAACTGAGATGCTAAATGAAAAAACTCCCAGTGATATACAAGACAGTTCTCAGTGATTGATAATAGGACCTCCACACTAGTGGAGATTAAAAGGGTACCAACGAACGACGACGATGTGATTGCAGAGAAACCAGAATTCACAAAAATTCAGGTAAACGGATTGTGGGAAAAAAATACCTTGGTAATGTTCAAATCGAAATCAGGAGCTAAAAAAGGCAAGTCTCAAACAGAAAAAAGAAACATGAGGCTATGAAGCTACAGCACAAATGTTAAACTTGATAAATATTCAAATAAGCGTGTGAATTTCAGACCAGGATGGTTTCCTAGTCAGAAAAATAGCAGATTCAATTTTCAAGTAAAAGTGTTGGCGCTATCTGAAGAATCCAGAGAAGCTAAATCGAAAAACCTTTTTTTTCTTTTTTCAGAAAAATGGGTTCCAATGTACACATTCTAATCATAGGCAACAAAGGAAGAAGAGGCTTATACAAAGAAAAACCTGTAAGAGCTCTACCTTCTCCACATTCTGTTGCTCAAGGCGTTGTACTATGTCTGTTGGAGAGGGAATAACGACCTTTGATTCCGCTGCAGTTTCTCTACAAGTAATGGACACATCACGCAGACGACTAGCATCAGTTGAAGCTTCAGATTGCATTTTATCTGTGTGGCCTTGGCTGGCCCGATCACGTGCACTTTTATTCTGCTGAATTTTCCCCCTGGAAAAGATCATCCCATATAAGATAAAGATATGAGTGCTTACAGAGGAACCAGAAATAGGAATGCACTTGATATATATACCTGATAGGTGAGCTTGATGTTTTAGTCACTGAGAAGGCATTCTTCTTGTAAGGCCCATTCGTCACAACAGAAGGAATCGAATCTGATGAGCATGTAAATGAACCGTCGTCCAAAGCAGATGAACTCCTTTTCTCGAAATGCTCACTCTGTACCTCACGGATAGCAGCGTCAATTGGAGGCGGAATTTCTAATGCATCTGTGTCCCAGGCAAGAGGACTAGAATCTCTCTCATCTAAATCAGGCTGAAGCGTCTCCGCAACATCATCTAAAGTGTCAGACACATCAGAAACCTCCCCCACGGTCCCAATCTTGTCCAAAACAGTCACAGACTGATATTCGGAAAGCTCTTCCAATATTCGTTCACCGGAGATGTTCTCCATCTGGCTTTTCTCATGCATCATTGCATCAAGTTTCTCATCCCGAACCCTCTCTTTACCCTTGCGAGTACTGCGCTTTTGTTTCGCCTGCAGAAAAATTGGCAAAGATTTGTAACGATTTTCAACGCGAAATTTCATAAATGCCAAACGATGAATCCAATGAACTAATGACATCTTCACACAGAGCATTACAGAGAATCCACGTTTACTTTACTGCTGTCAGATGATCCGACATACACAGAAAGATTACGAATAAATATATGAAGAGGAAATTCGTAGATGTAGATCATTGGATACATTAGAATCTGGACGCATAGATCAGTAGAAAATTTAGCAACTACTTAAGCATGATATCAAAGCCAATTGTTGAGCTTAGATGATGTGCACCCCATTACTGTTGCTCATGTAACAAATCTCAAACACCGGGATGCAAATAAGGGAGATGGAAGAGCAGTTTGTATCTGTTAGAAAGAAATAAACCGGCAGTAATGAAAACATGAGCCTACTTCTAATCAATTGGCTTAGAGTTTGACGGTACAATTATTTCAACGGGCTGTAGTTGTGGGACAACTGATAAACCCAATTCATCAAAACGAAGAAAAAGCACATGCATGAACATAGCACATAGACGAGTGCATGTGCACATATTTTGCCACCCCAATGCCAGCTGTTCGCTACGAAAGAAAGCACTTGAACGGTTTTTACACCTGAACTATGAAAGATTTAGTTAAAATGACTATTGGTCCATCATATGTTTAGCTCTGTATAGAAGCTAATAACAGTGTCCTCAAAAGGTTGCAGTCACAAGCACACAAATTATTAAAATCAACCAATCACTTAATAGTGACAATGTAAAGAGAAATGATTTGAGCTATCAACCTGCTTCTTTTTGGCTCTCTTCTCCTTTTCAGCAGCAAGACGCCTAGACCTAAGTTCGATTTCAGCTTGTCCCGCAGCTTCCTCTTCACGAATAAGCTCTTCTTGTCTCTTCAAGGCAACTGCCTCCTGGTAGGCAACCTCTATCCTGCTGCTGGTACATTAAATAACCTTAAACACTTCAGCAAATCTCAATTGAGCACTTGAAAAGACGCAAAAACAAAAGGAACAATGACCATAATAGAGCAGTAAAGCCCTGCTATAGTAAGTTACATAAATTTCACATAAAAATTTATTTTTCTTTAAGATTCATTTATTTCAGAGATAATAGATATGCATAAATATAATTTCAACATGTGCCCTCATAGAGGTTAATAGTTAGACAGATCAGTCTACAATAAGCCCAGAAACCATTCATTTAACCGAATAGGAATGGGGTGAGTAGCAGGCCATCTTTTCATTGACCACGGCAGTTATGTGTAATAAGCTGACTAATGCATCTGTAGCTTGCATACAGATAGATATTTGTACCCATAGAAGAGTCGTCATAGTAGTACTATGAGGGCCAGAAAACTTATTTATTACTCCAGAGCGTACACTTTATCATCTTGCAACCATATTAGCGTTGACAGTTAAATGCATATACAGCATAAATATAGATGCTCTCTTCTTCAGACCAAAATATCGTGCCATTCGAACGTGCACATAAAATGGATTTCATTTCAAACAACAGATATCCTAGAGGCAAACTCAGCATATGCTTCATGCCTTATGGCAAGATTTCTGCACTCATCAGAATGCTGATTCAAGATGCCAATGACTTTTTCAAAATTTCGCATTAAAGAAGAAACAAATATAGATGTCATCTACCACAACTTGAAATAACTCATGATAAATGATCAATAAGCACTTGTTAAAAGGTTTTCCGGGGCCATGTATACAATCAAAGTCGTTCAATACAACGTGGGGGGATGGGATATCTTTTGCACTTGGTCTCCTCATTCTTGGTTCCATAACAAAAGACTGCTCCAATATGATTTCCAATATTAATAAAAGACGAACCCTGAGATTTCTAGATCTATTTTTCATCAGATCAACATGACATTTTAACAGGATATAACAGAGGACCAGTAAAGGACACTAATGGCAATTATAGTTGAACTCAGGTTTAGCAAGGTATACCAAATCCATTAAGATTCTCTTCCAGTACACTGGACAAGAAATTCGGTGAGAAAATCAGGGGCTCAACAAACTTTTCAGCAGATGTAGTACAATTACGATTTGTAACACGATTTGTAAGAAAGGACAAATAGGACATCACAGAAAAAAACCGGGAAATTAAATTGCTTTGCAATAAGCATGCTACGATTTCCATTTGGTTGAATGCTGTTGAGCATATTGCCACCATATCATTAACTTTTAAGAACTGAACTGCACAAGAAACGACTGGATTCTATAATCAACTACTCTTCTATTATATGTCAGGATTTCCCGCATCATACATTATTTCTACCAAAACAGTTCGTTCTACTTCATACCCTTAAATTCAAGCCTAACTTCTGACTCAACCCTTCCATCTTCGCTTCCAGCACTTCTTGAGAACTGACGGTCGTCAAATTACCCTTAATAACAAATCTAGTCATCCCCTAGAAAGTCAAAGATCAATTGCTTGTAAAGCTCTGCTTCCAAATCCAATTTTCTTTCTAATGGTTGGCGTTTTCTCTTGTCGAATACACAATTCAAGGGCCTCCAGTCTTTATGGATCTTATCAATGAAAGAGATCAATCCTCCAATCTGTCAAAGCATCTTCAATTAAACATACCTCATCATAAGGTTAACAAATAATAACACAAGAACATATGCCCATGCTAAAGGCAGAATAACACCGAGACTATAAAAATGCAAACACCACCAATCCCAACTATTTCAAAGTCCAGAGCACAGATAACATGCAATTACCTACTTCTAATGCGAGACAAATGAAAGAGTTAGCTTATGGGTCAGCCAAGACGACAGACAATGAGATACACACGAGTAGAATTCCTTAAGGATTATTTGAAGAGATTAGAAAAGTAATGAAAACACGAACAGAAGAAACCAACCCACCTAAAAATATGATTCAGGATGAATATCTCCACCGTTCTGCGTCCAAGCTCTGTAAGCCGCCTTTCATCACGCTCAATAGAATCTTTACTGAATTCTTCTCCAGAACTGCTATCCTGTAAGAATGACATAATCATGGATACTGTAGTTCTAAGAACTAATTTCAGGCTATATATTAAAGGCTCCTCTCAACAATATGGACTTTTGAAACAGTCGTGAAGTGGTATTATAATACAATTGATTAAAATTTTCCATAACCATAGTTCACATTATCTTCGTTGATAGATAAATGACCTCAATAACCTCAAAAAGACCGGTTCTAAAAATTTAGGTAGTAGACACAATGATGATCATTACTGTCGGAGTAAGAACACGAACTATCACCATATGAAATATGGATGAACAAAACTCATCGATATTGAGAAGAGTGGGTTTTACAATTTTCTTAACTGTCTTGGTTCTAACTCTGGAGATTACGCACAGCGTTTGCTAAAAGAACATGTACGTATACTTGTGAGTCTCTTCCCTTTTAACATTTCATGAATGCTTGCTAGCATCCACATCCAAAAAAAAGCAAAACTAGCTTTGGAGTTGTTTACACAATTGAATAAAAAGACAAGGCAAAACATAAACCATATAATATATTCCCCTCAGCGTCCTTTACTTTGCATACAATTCAAACAATGTATATCAATATATAGTTTTATCGAATAATTCAAGTAATGGTTAGTCAGAATCAAGGAAGCCATAGCACCAGGATGACCTAGGCCAGTAGTTCTTAGCTTCCTCGCATATGTGCCCAAAAGTGTTGCCTCCTAGAATGCCCTGTTCTGTTGGCAACACCATGGTGGCCACCTAGAAAACTATGGAGAAACCTCCCAGAACAAAAAAGCCTTTCAATCAAACAACATAAGTTATACGGGAGAATTCACTTAATACCTTTGTCCGGTTTTGATTTTGGTTTTGCGAGCTCTTCTCATCCTTAGGCAGTATAGGTTCTAAAGCAACTCTCTCAAGCAGCAACAGCACATCATCTGTCAAACTGAACGTATCTTTCTCAACATGGACAAAGGGCATGGATAGTTCCTCCACTTCCAGTAATTTAGTTGACCCTTTATTCTTGCTCTGGCATTCAAGAGCCTTCAAACCACTATAGAGAGAATCCATTACCAAAGTAGATGTAACCTCTTTTTCAATGAAAAAGTGCTTAACAACTACTTTTAGTATGGCTTCAGTTTTGTCTCTGGACATCCACCTCCTGCCATTTTGATCAACTCCTAACCAGAAGGTACGAAAACTGAAAAAATGAAAATGGAATCAATAGCTAAATGAAACTTCAAACAGCGACAGAAGTTGATGATCAATTTGCAGGGCATTTAAAACAACGAAAAAAGAAATGGTTTCATAAATGTGTCAGCTAGTGAAAGCTTAACTCTACCTTGACCACCTGACTTTATCCTCTATCATTTTGCTAAATTTTCCTCTCTTCTCTTCAACATAACGTCTACATAGTTGCTCTACATTTGATAAATATACCCGAACAAGCTCTCTCCTGTACTGACAGTCAAGGCAACGAAATGGTCGATGTGCTTTTTCCCTGAATCGAGAAGCAATGGGAAAGGTTACGGATCAAGGATAACAAACAAGCACCACTCTCCTTAGTTATCAACATATATAAATTATTTATAACTTATGTATTTAACATAGAAAGCAACTTAAGCGTGAGAATTCAACAAAAAATGGCAAACACATTTTTTTTTAATCAAGTGGAAATTTTGAATTCAGTAAGTTACAATAATAAGTGCGAGCTACCCTATCTATTAAAAACTCCTGTAAAAGCTCTCTATCAATGAAGCAGAAAAATCCCACATTCCCTCAAAACCTGCATATTAGACTCATTATCATCCATAAATGTAACAAAAAATAATAAGTAACATATGATAAAGAGACCAAGAATTTTATGAAGCAGATTTGAGGCTATTTAGCAGAAATTCAAACTCCTAGATAAGATTGCATGAGGTTTTGACCTCAAAGATAAATAAAAACTTTTGTACTTAAAAATCCTGTCCTTGCCCCATTTTTTATCATCCGTGACCTGTGATATTAACCAATATCCTTTGTTTTTACAACTTTATAACCAAGAATATGCTTTAGTATCTTTTTTCTTAATACTTCATCGTTAATTTTCTCTAGCAAGATTAACAAAAAAGAAGCTAAAACGGTATGAGAGCCACCTAAGAAACCTGGTCCAACATAAAGTTTCCACCTGAGTTTATAACGTCAAACTCAGGTGATTAACGCCAAAAAGAAAGAAATTTGTAATGTATTGTATGAATAACATCCATCATGATTCTTCTTATATGGTGATGCAAGTAAAGCATGTGAACCCATCTTCCAATTCTAGTATGACAGTATAACACATTATATTTGAATGGATAAGCATATCAATGTACTTGGAAACCCAGATCACTTAATTAGATTGTTTCAGCTAACGAATTCTAAAGAGTAGATCAAAATTTTAGCACTTCAAACTCAAGTAAAAATACCCCAGGCAAAGCCATTTCGTAAGGTGACTTATAACCCTATGCCATGAAAACAAACGAACATTGCAAGTTAGATTTCGATTTCCTTCATACGAAAGTGTTTCCCTTTCATCAACAAAAGTTAACAAGAAGCCATACATATAACCAAATAGAAAGGCTAAAATTAAGAAGAAGATTAGAATCTACATGACTTCTCTGCGACTTTCAAATACCGCAACTGAAATATCCATACCTAATTACTTGAACCTGGGCCTTGATCACAAGAGCATCAGCAACAATAAAGCCGTCAGACAATTTTGACAATTCCATAAACTTTTTCCATCCCCAATCATGCTCTTTCTTCCAAAATCGGTGTAACGTATCTGCAATTTTTTGTTCATAAACTCTTATGAGCATGAAATAGTCAACCACAGTAAAGATTGTAGAAACATCAAATATAACATGAAATGCCAGTTTTGACTGACCAGAATATTTGGATTTCTTTGAATCTTTGTTTACCACAGCTATCGTAAATTGTGCAAAATGGCTCCAACCTATAAAACTTGCAAACTTAATAAAAGCAGCATTACTGAACAACAACAACATTAACAACAAGGATACATATGCGAACCTGGAAGTAATTTGTCATGATTAGCAACACACAGAAAAAGAGAGAGATGATTGCACACGTCACATCCTTGTGGGTAGATTAAAATATACCTGCAAATCCAAGACCATTTTTCGTGATCCAAAGTATACTTGCCATAAAAAATACAATGAAGTGCATTATCGCATATCCATGTAGATGTTGCATGTCACATTTACCAATATGATTAGCAATGTATCAGGTGCCACATCCTAAATCTAGAACTTAAATCTGCAATAAAAGATCTTGAAACCTGAAAAAAATAGTGGGACAAACAGCAGCCACACCAGCACATATTCTCATAATAAAAGACAAATAAAGCTCCACAGTCTGTTGAGCCTCTCAGTAAGGTGATGTAATATTACAAATCATTACGAATTTTAATTCAAAGAGAAATTGATCATCAAAAGGGTATATGGCTAAAGCACTCACTACAAAATATTTTTCATAAATATAAATATTTCTTCTGATTTCCATGCTAACCTGTGAGCAATTTCCATCAAGACAAGTACTCACAATTATTAACTGCAATAAAAAAAATGCTGTAATAGTGAAGAGTGAGTGACAAAACAAATGCACAATATTATCGACACAGAAGAAAAAGACAACAAGCAGGTACTTTGTATCCGCAAACTTTTAATTTCTTTGACTTCTCTCATTCTTGACCCATTTGGATCCATAACTAGGAGGTTTCAAACCTTTAAAACTAGATCTATGTTTCAATCAATGCTTTAGAAGTTTTAAATTAGGCGTTCAACATGAGCTCATGTCATACAGACAAACATGCTACACAAACACTGGCAAGATTTTTTCCCAACATATTAGAGACTTACGTGCATCATCTCAGACTTTTAAAAAGCAATACTCACCTCCTCCATTGATAGAAAACACTTACAAGATGAAGCTCACCCTCTCTGCATGTATATCTTAGAGGGAATGAGTATGTGCATCTATGTAAAAAGAAAAACCCATCTCATCCTTGAATGTGCAAGTTAAACGAATTAGTGACTTCAATTTGCAACACATGAAAATATGCACCTCAGTCTCTCTTATAGGGATCCGAATCTAGCTCACCACGGATCAAACCTTCCTAAGTCGTTTGAAAGCCATTACGTTTCTGTTTTTGGTTTCCCGTAGTTTCCAATTTTTTTCTCGAAAGTCAGAAATTCTGACCAAGGCAAAGTCTGGTAAACTAAGGTACTATGTCTCCTTGAATCCCATCGTCAGCCCGCCACAATGCCAGTACCATCCTGATAAGGGACCTCAGTGAAGTGCAAACAAGCTGGAGTACAGTGAAGCTTAGTAGGAAAGAGCTCGAAAGGGTATGACCATTGAAGTATACTATCTCCAAAGAAACAAAATATCAATTTAAAATGGCACAAACACTATGTTCATAAAAAGAGACTTACGTCAATTACCTGCCTCAACCTTTCTCCAAAAATAATTAACTTAAATGTCCATGCCTCATAAATAAAGCAAGGCGGGAACTGCTAGCAAATACTGCAGATATAGCTTTCTAGCATTATGCAAAAGAAGACTCACACCACAAAGAGAGAGGACAATGAGAAGAAAGATGAAGATCCCGAGTTGAATATGTATATTTTTTAAGTGTAAACACAGGAGACTCTTACCACTTGTAGCCACCAACTTCGAATACGTTACTTCGTAGCTCTCTTTTGCTAATCTGAGAAAAGTTTTCAATTTTCCAGGTAAACTTCCCGTATAGATCAGAAGGTTTCGGTCCTACAAAAGGAATCACTCATGTAAGGTTAAAAAGGTTAAAGAAAATGATAGACTGCACCAAATCAGTAGCCAACTGGTAGAAAAGGAGAAGATAATCTTGAAAAAAATTAATGGAAACGGTATAAATTTCACTCAAATGTCATGCAAGAATAACACAAACAAGATAATACAAGAACAGGTCAATCAGAGAATATAATGAGCGAAACGAACTTACCAAAATCATCCTCGTCATCAGTGTCCCAGTAAGGGGGAGAGGTGGACGGAGTCCCATTCTCAACCTGCTCAGATGATCGCCATTCTCCGACAGAATCGCTAGTCTGGCAGACCTGCCCAGTTGATATAACCTCCGCTGATGAAGACAAACTTTCAAGACTGGAGTCATCACTTGTACTGCCGGCCATCACCCTCTCCACCAACAGTCAAAAGCACAGCCCTCAGGAAAAGCCACCTTCCTCCTGTTCTGCACCAGCACACATGAAGGAAACATAAGAATTCTTGTCCAGCTCAAATAATTCCAATCATCTATTTTTTGTCAAGATTACCATAAAACAAACGAACCGATTGAGAAACATCTCGAAAATTTTAAGTCTTAGAACAGAAAATCTACTTGAAATCCCCCCTTTTGGCAATCAAAGGAACTTTCCTATCCGAAAATTTTTAATCCCAAACAAGCAAGAAACACAAAAAAGAGGGTAATCAGTTTCCAGAGACCTCCACCCTATACAGAGGCAAGCAATCTGACAGACCATCCGACCCTCCCAGAGAAAAGGGAATGCCAAAAACCCTAGAAGAATATTCACACACCGCATCTACTCCCCCAAATGGATATCTACTTCAATAAAACGTGCACTGCAAAGCCATGCAAAGAGCGATAGTCAACCGATCTATGCACTCGCTCGACCCATTATCCACCATAGAATCGGGTCCTACCTACACCGAGGAAGAAGCGATGCCAACGACCGCGGCAGATAGCGGCGGCGGGCAGCGAAGGTTGCAGCAATCGGAAACCCGAAGGACAACAGACCGACCCAGACGATATCAATTAAAAAGATTGAAATAAAGTCTACCTTTGTCCCTCTTGCATAAGCCCTGCCCCCAATCTATCTCTTCTTCTCTCTTCTCTCTCTCTCTTGTTCTCTACGCGCCCACAGGAGATAGCCCCCGATTGTAATCTATTCGCATCCTTCATCCAGCGACGAGAGGGCAGGGGCAGGAGCAGGAAGACCAGCCATGGAGACAGGGGGGAGGAGAGGACAGAGAGCAGCGATGGAGGAGGGGGGCAAAGAGAGGGGAGAACTCAGGGAGGATGGGATCCGTAAAAGGATACCGAAGCGCAGTCGGCCACTCGGAGGTCAGAAAGGAGAGAGAAAATTTACTTATTTTTAATTTCTTTAATTTATTTCTTCTTCTATTTTATTCTGAACAGGGCACAGATATTCCGAAAAGGATATCGTGGACGTATCCCGCGCGTCAAAAATGACCATCTACGAGAACCATCTTAGACTAGGCCCAATGAGATCTAGGCCCATTCTTCTCTGGACCACAACAGTCGGCCCAAAATACCAAAGGCCCTGCCCATTCGGCCCAAATATAATTCGGGCTAGTGTTTTTATATCTCGAAAATTAATAATATTTGTTGAGCTCTGTAAAAGTCAATTTTATAAATATAGAAAACATGTTTTTAATAATTTTATTTTATTAATTTACTGATAGACAGAGAGAGAAAGAGAAGGGCAACTAATTTTCGTGGGCCGCCGTGCTTTATAATAATTATTTATTTTACTTAAATATTTTTCGTTGCATACCTTATGAATATTATGGGAGACAGAGAAAAATGGGCAACAAAGTCCCCAAATTCGTGTGAAGACCGTTGCGACCTGGGGAAGCCCTTTTACCCAAGCGGGGTTGACCATCCTCCCGCATAACGGTGGTGGAGGTCAAAGGGCGGACAATCTTCGTTCCATTCTTAGCCGACTTTGACTCTCCTACTCTGGGTCAACGCCCCTGGTGGGAAGAGACTGGCTTTTGATGGAGTTGACCGTTCTTTTAGACACGCTGATGGAAGCGTACTCCTTCTCGGTTGAACAGAGAGAGGAGACGCAGCATGTCCTCATCAGAAAGCTTCGTGGGCCTCGCCTCCAGGAGACCTCCGTCTTTGAGGACGCTCAGAAGCTTCTGCTTGAATTTCCCTGCCATTTCCGCCGGCTTTCCCTCGTCCTCTTGATCAGATTCTCCTCCTCCTCCTTGTTCTTCCTCTTCTTCTTCTTCTTCTTCTTCTTCTTCTTGTACTTCGTCTTCTTCTTCTTCCTTCGATCTGGCGGTGGCGAAGTTGCAGGAGCTCTTGAGCAGCTGCTGGAGCATCCGCTTCTGCTTGAAGATGGCGCCGAGGGTCTTCCTCTTCTGGCAGAAGCAGACTCTGGTGAGAGCCCGCCATTCATCCAGATCGACCTCCGGGACGGCGGGCTTGGGCCGGATCTTGACGAGGGAGGAGTCCACCCGCGGGGGAGGCACAAAGTCCCTCCTGCTCACGTCCATGAGCAGCTCCACAGTCGAGACCAAGCTCACATTCATGGCGAGTCGGTTGCGCTCCGAGTCCCCCGGCTTGGCGACCAGCCGCCGGGCGAACTCCTTCTGGAGCAGGAGCGTGGCGCTGCGGAAGCCCCGCCGTGGCCCGCCACCGGCGAAGAGGAGTTTCGCCACCAGAGGGGAGGAGATCCCGTAGGGGATGTTCGCCACGCAGAGGTCGAACTCCGGGAACTCCGTCTTCAGCGCGTCGCCGCAGATCACCTGAAACAGCGGAACCCCATAACCACCATCATCATCATCGTCACCTCTCAGTGGAATTAACGCGAGCAGCTGGCCGGCGGCGGGGACTGACATGGAGCTTGTCGCTGAGGCCCTGGTGGGAGACGCGATGGCGGAGGGCGGCCACCATGCGGTGGTCGATCTCGACGGCGACGACGCGCTGGGCGGCGCTGAGGAGCCGCAGGGTGAGGTTACCGGTGCCGGGGCCGATCTCGAGGACGGTGTCGCCAGGGAGGACACCGGCGTTTCGCACTATAGCGTCCAGCGCGCGCGGGTTGGTGAGGATGTGCTGCCCCCTGCTCTTGTAGAACTGGAAGCTTCGCCGCCCCTCTTCTTCCTCCTCCGGCAACCCGTCCCACGCCCCCGTGCTGTTGCCGGCGCGCGGCTGTGCGCGCACGGCGCGGCACTCGGCGCCACGAGGGACGGCCGCTGCGCGCAGGATCGCCCTGACGGTGGCGCGCAGCATGCCAAATCTCCGGCGTTTGAAGCGCCGGCGTGTGGCCTTATAGGGAAGGAAGAAACAGAAACGTCTGCAAAACAAAATCTTGGTCAGCGCAAGGGACCGGCTGTTGTTTTGTTGATGATGATGGGAATGAATCAGCTAATTGAACTCCAACTGAATGAATCACACAATCGAGAAAAACAGAAAAACAGTAAGAAATGTACGCCCAGTTGAACATAGCTGACCAAATCATTGGCTTCCTCACAGAACACAGTCAAACGTGACGTTGACCGATTTGGGAGAGTGAGGTCGCGAAGAAGTCAAAAGGTCCAGATCTAAATGTACTTATAAATCTCTCTCTATATGTATCTCTCTATCTCCCATCTTTCTACCTCTCTCTCTCTCTCTCTCTCGCTCTCTCGCTCTAGTCCCGGTGGGCTGGGCTTTTCCGTGAGCGGAAATCGAGCTCGGGCCCAATACAGTTGGCCATGTAGGCACAAAGAAGGAACTAGGGTTCCTAGAGACCGCGGTCTGGAGTTGGAACTCGCAGGGGACGTAGAGGAGGAAGAGGTGGCCATGGAAGGCGCCGGCGGAGGAGGGAGTGGAGGGGGCAGCGGGGTCTCTTACCAGCGCTTCCCCCGGGTGCGGATCAGGGAGATGAAGGATGAATACATGAAGTTCGAGCTGCGGGACACCGACGCCAGCATGGCGAACGCCCTCCGTCGGGTTATGCTGTCGGAGGTGCCCACCATCGCCATTGATCTGGTGGAGATCGAGGTCAACTCCTCAGTGCTCAACGACGAGTTTATTGCTCACCGTCTGGGCCTGATCCCGCTCTGCTCGGAGCGCGCCATGGAGATGCGTTTCTCCCGCGACTGTGACGCCTGCGACGGCGACGGCGAGTGCCCTTACTGCTCCATAGAGTTCCAGCTCAACGTCCGTTGCGACTCTGATCAGACTCTCGATGTGACCAGCGCCGACCTCCACTGTCACGACCACAGGTTCCTTCCCGTCGATGTCGCACAGCGCGCCCTGGCTGCTGAAGCTGCTGGTGGATACGACGCCCCTGAGCAGAGGTGGTGGCGTTTTGTCGATCCTCCCTCGCACCTTCTCTTGCATCCAGCTTATAATTTGCCATCGCTACGAGTCTCCTGACGCTTTGAATCAGATTTATTATCTGTGATCCGCCTCCCTCCATTTCCTCAATGGTCTGGTCGCCATGTCTGATCTGAATGCCATCTCGATTTGTACATCATTCATACTACGATGATTGTTTCTGTGATCGGCCTTGTGTTGGTGTTGCTTTAATTATTATGTTTTCCTGACAACAGGGGCATAATTATTGTTAAGCTACGGCGTGGGCAAGAACTAAGGCTTAGAGCCATAGCAAGAAAGGGGATCGGCAAGGACCATGCAAAATGGTCTCCTGGTGCAACCGTTACCTTTATGTATGAACCAGAAATTCATATCAACGAGGAACTGATGGAGACTCTGACTCACAATGAGAAACTGAGCTGGATTGAAAGTAGCCCTACGAAAGTGTTTGATCTTGATCCGAAAACCGACCAGGTAAGTGCCCTCATCGTTCGGTCAAGGAGTCTAAATTAAACAGGAATAATCCCACTTGCATTCAGATAGTCCCACATCTGCTGATGGGAAAAGTAAGATTGTGAGTAAAAAATATGTGGGCCTGCTCCGCTCATTAGAAATTGGCTTTGAAATGGATGACCTGATTCTTTCTGTGTTCATGCATTGGAGAGGGGTGCGAGACACCCTTGACTTGAATTGATTGTTACCTGCTAAGCTATCAGACTTGTAAAAAATGTCCATTTCCACCGCATTGAACTGTGCCTGTATCGCCAGTACTCCCTCCTAGAAACCCATTTACTGCTTCCAGAGATAAAAAGCTATCATCTCCAGCAATCACCAAGACTCTATGCTTCTGATTTCATGGTCCCCTCGTAGGTGATTGTGGCCGACCCTGAAGCCTACACCTACGATGAAGAGGTCATCAAGAAAGCAGAAGCCATCGGAAAGCCAGGGCTTGTTGAGATCTACGCCAGAGAAGACAGCTTTATTTTCACAGTTGAATCCACCGGGGCCATCCCCGCTTACCAAATGGTGATGAACGCCATAGAAGTCCTGAAGCAGAAGCTGGATGCAGTCCGCCTCTCTGACGATATCCAAGACAATGACGACCAGTTTGGCGACTTGACCCGGAATATCCAAGGGGCAGCCCTTTGATTTGGGCCCTTATGAGGAAGGTATCCTATTGTTGCTACTTCTCCTGACTGCTCTTGATGCTGCTGAATATTAGCCTTCTGCTAGAATTTATGAGGATTTAATTCTCCATGTCGTAAGTTTTCTTCGCTGTTCTCTATGCTTGAAGATCCATGCTATAACAACCGTGGATTAGAGAGTGTTTGTGGGTGGGAGAGATTCTTCCAAGATGTGGATCGTTTATGTTTAGTTTTTTTCTATTAAACAATTCAACGGATCTTCAGTCATGATCCCCCAAGCCTCTCCATGTGGTGATCTATGCTCTTGAATCATGTGTGGTGTTGATTTTATGTTTAAAATATTATATCATATAGTAGTTTGCGTCTTCTCTAGTGTGGCTTCTATGTTGTTCACAGTATCCTTCTTCTGAATTGCAGGCTGCAAAAAGAAAACCCGCACTGGAGTTCAGACAGAAGATGTGGCCTCTGCTCTAAACTTTTGTATCAGAAAGTGCCCAGGCGAGTGAATTTGGGTTCGAGAATGCATGGCGTGGGCCTTTTCAGGGCGAGCTCCTCCTACAAGAAGAACCAATGAGTTGTTGCGTAAGAAGATCATGCTCTCTTAGGAATAGCAAAACCAGGGGAATTGAATGAAGGCTGTCTGCCCCCTCTCTCTCACAGTGCACATTTTATTCCGCCTTCCATTTCCTTTTGCAGTCGCTGAACGATGAGCTGCTTCGGGTGGGAATCAACACCTGACGAAATTATCCTTTATATTATATAGCAGACTTTTATGAGACCCGACTACCTGCCCACCGTCTGTAATGCTCCTGCAAATCCTGTGAACTTTCTGAAAAGTTGTATATGAACCGGTATTTTGCATCAAATTCGTGTTCATAACTTCGCATGGATGAGGACCCATCAGGTAATTCCCAACCTGATCACATCCCATTAACTTTCTCTCTCTTCTCTCTCTTATTTATTCGCACTATAACATTTTATTACGATGATTTATTCCCAACTTGATTAAATCCCAGTAACCTCTCTCTCTCTCTCTCTCTCTCTCTCTCTCTCTCTCTCTCTCTCTCTCTCTCTCTCTCTCTCTCTCCCTCTCTCTTTCTTATTCTCACTATAACATTTTATTACGATGATTTATTCCATGAATTTTCCAGGCCCGGATATACAAAATTTCGAATGTGATATACATGGAATCCTTTCAATTCTTCAGCCTCCAGCTCCCCTCCATTTTTCTTGTCTAAAAACTTAGTAGGAAATCATATATCCTGATAACTGTTAACTACCACCTGTGCCCATCATTCTCCTGCATGGAAACCTGCCAGCCTCCACAGATATTGCCAAAAAGGGGTGGGGGGGAGACTAAAATCGCAAGAACCCTTTGACCCATGCAATGCTCAGAGAGGGCATCTTCATCTTCAGGCTTCTATCCACCGAAGGGCCCATCTCTTTGACGAATTTAACCGACTCCGAGAGTCTGTTCAGAAGGTTGACCAGTGCAATGACCTCGTTCCGCTGCAGCTGGAGCTGAGCACCGCAAACAAGGTCAACCAGTTATTTTTTTGCAGACGATGATCGAACTAAGATAAGTTATATGAGCTTCGATTTCACCCAAATCATGGGAGAAAAAAAAAGAAAAAGAAAAAGAAAACATGGGAGAAGCTTACCTGATGATCTGGATGGGTTTGACCATCTACGGAGAAGAGGATCTTCAGAGCCGTTCCGAGACCAAGAACCTGGAGCTTACCCCACAGCCGACACTTCTCGCACCCAACGCAATCCATTATAGCACTGCAGCATGCCGATGTACAGATAAGGACTTCAATATATATATATATATTCGAATGAATTATATAGTGATGTGAAATCAGAGATTTTGTGATGATGATGCAGATGTGTTTACTATTAATAGAAAGAAATTTACCTGATATTTCTGAATTGCTTCTGAATCTGGTGCATCAATTCCGGGCCGCTCTGGCCTTTCCAAAGCTTGGCTTCATCGAAGGGAAGCGGACATGCGGCCTGTAATTTAGGGTTATAGAGAAGCTCTTTCACCAGAGACTGCGCTCTCAGATCCTCCACAGAGCTCCCAGTACTATACTCCGCCTGCTCCAGGTAGTCTTTCGCCTGGAGGACCAGAAACACAGAGTCAATTCATGACACCGCCGGAAGAATGAACAAGAATCATTCCAAAAATAGTACTTAACATTGTTGATGCTGGAAGCTAATAGATAATGTGGGGAAGAAGGAGCTGCCCACCTTGGTGACTGCTCGAAGAACGAAGAGGAAGGTGAAGTACAAGTTTCTAACGCGTTCCGGGTGCCTCAAAACCCGATCGTTCAGCAGCTCCAGGTTATGGCCCCACTGAAACCGGTGAAACATGACAGGTTCAGAGAACGCCACAGGATATGAAAGGCGAGTGCTTTTGTGAAGACGACCGACCAAGTTACTGGCTTCCTCCACGAGATAGTCTGAAGCGATGTGGACCGAAATGGAAGAGTGCAGGCCTGAAATGAGCTTATACAGCACCTTCTTCTCTGGGCAAGTCTCTCCAGAAGGGTCTGCAGAAGTAAAAGGTTTCCCTCTTGATCATGAGACAGATACAATGGCCACAGGGAGTTTCATATCCATGCTCAACCTTTGGAAAGATTGTGCTCTAGAGCACATAAAATGCATCCATGATCAGAAAAGAATCAAGAATGATTACATTTGTATTATCATGCATTTATGGAAGTGATTGTTCTACTCATAAGAGAATAAACACTACAGCAGAAAAATGGATCTCAAACAAGATTAAAAAAAAAAACAAAAAAATTGACTTCGATGAGTGCGGTTTACAAGAGGGTTTACAAGAACAAAAAGATATGTTCGTAAAAGATAAATAACACAATAATTCGCCCAAAATGCGGGTCAAAAAGATCGAAGTTATGGGAACCACGAACATAATATGTGTCAGATGCAAACCGAACAAAGTCAATGACTTTAAGACATTTGTCAAACAAAGCTTGACTTTGTTCTTTCACATTTGAGGGGAAAATGTCAAACGTTAGATTCTTTCACATTTTTTCAATCATTTTCTTAGAATGGACTTGAGGCATGCAGCGTAGTCCATGGAGACTTCTGGTAAACTCCAATCACTCCCAAACTTATCCTTGCCTGATCCTGAATTATCAAATTCTAGATGCACCAGAAATGATTAACATAAAAATCACATTCAAGCACATTCTGAATGACATTCCTATGCTTACAGGTTTAATGTAAGCCATTGTAGCCAGTCAATAATATCAAAAAGTTAGTACTGATGAACAATAAGAAATGAGGAACTGACAGTCCGGGTCCAATTCACACTGTGTAGAAATGTGCACCACACCTTGGGAAAAATGTAATCATAGTTTTAGTTTGACCCTGTTCAACCATTGAAAGTTGGAGAAGCAAAAATTCGAACAATGCACAAAGACAATGCGATCAGTCAAGTTAATAATGATGCATCAAATCAACCTAATCAGATAGCTTGACCTTTTGTCAAATTCACACCCGTTGAAGAGTCGGAGAAGAGGGGCGCAATCATATTTCAAAGCTCAAAGAATACAGTCTGAAATTGAGGGTGTCACAATGACGAACCAAACCTATCCAGGTAACCAGTCTGAAATCAAGCGAGTGGGATCCACTGCCTTGCAGTCTATGCAATAATGCGCCATACTTTATGGTACTATTTCACATGCCACATAATTCTTCTCATGTTCGTTAGCAATTTGGTTTAATGGCGTATCACTCGCCCTTTGCATACCTTGAATTTCAATGGGAAAGTGAAATAAGTGTTCTGAAAAGCCTTCCCTTTAGTTTACAAGGCAAACTTCTGGGAGTTTTCAATGTAATTCATTTAATCATATTCTATAACATCAACTTCTGTGGTGCTCGTATCATTTTGGAAACGGTGCTTACATTGGAAAAAAATAGAAGAAATGGGAGAAGAGGATCAAAATGATCAAACTAAGGCAAAGAACTGCAAAGATGGCTGAATGAATCTAGGTACAAACATAAAAGTAGGATAAATTTGTTGACCGTTGAAGTTATTGGGTAATGAGGGATGTAGCTTTATGGATCATCTTTCTTACCACAGCAACACTTTTGCACCAACCAACACAGGGCTATTCTTAACGTTGACTTTTCTTCTTTCTCTAACCTATTACTTCTATTTATGAGGAATCAAAGTGACGACCATTAAGGCTGCTGTGCACGGGTGTAAGATCATAGGGTCACTTTGTGCCTTCCAAACACTCACTGACATCACCTGATTAATCCTCCCAGGGCTAACCTAACAAAATAATTGAAAATAAACCACCAAAAAAACACTAATTTCTCTTCTAGAAGCAGTAATACCGGTGAACAATATAGCAGAATGAAAAATAAATAGTGCATAAACAAGGAAATTAAATTACAACTACTATAATATCAGCGTCGTTCATTAACCTCATAGTATTAGGATTGAGTTACTGACATTTTGGGCAATTTTCTGCGTAGATGGCTTCCCATATTCTTCTAGCTGAAGGACCAGAGTAGCCAGTGTAACGCTCAGGATTTAGTTGTAGGTTAACATATGTCATCTCCTCTGCAATGAAAAGAGATGATCATTTACACACTGCTTTGTTAAGCACAAATATCATCCCTCACGAACAGCAGAAGTGGTGGTCAGGAAGATCAGTGAGTTATACCGTTGTCAGTTTCATCGTCATTTGTCCACGGATTATCAACTACTCTCCACCCTCTAAACACTTTTGTGTCAATTGTGCGGTCAACAGCAGCCTGTGGTTTCCCCTCCTGACACATCATGTCATCAGCAGAAAGCCCAGAGACGGGCTTCTTGAAGGGCTCCGGGAATTCACCTTCTGGACACTCACAGACACTACAGTCTCGGAGACGGCACATTCCATCATCAGGCCAGAATGGGCAATCGCACCATAACTTAACCTGAAATGAAAAGCTATCTATGTTAAGAAACATAATTATTTCACCCATTGTATATTGTGCCAAAGTCACGTCCAATGGAGGATCTGATGAAGAGTATTTCAAAATAAGAAGACATGGTACACCGTAGAGAAATCGTTAATCAGCAAGCCATAATATAAAGTGAAGCAAAAGAACACATGTTCAACTTTCATGATGAGAGAAACTGAAATCCCAGCATGCTGCTAAGATGCAAATATGGTTGAACATGGATATTAGATAGCCAAGTCCTTAGATGACACTTCAACCCAGTCACCCGAAAAATGACTATTGTATAATTAGAAAGCTGAAAGCCCCAAACCTGATGGAAAATGTGCTTTGAGAGTTCAGATATTTGCATATGTGATTTGAGAAGCTGCGACCTGACCAAATTACATCCAGCTTCGACAAAGCAAGATAGAAAGAAACAGTTTCGGTTCATTTATTTAGTTATTTATACATGTTGACCAAGATGGAACATTATGGAGAACTCACTACATGGAAAACACTCACACAGTATTTTCAGAAAGAACGGAAGATGAAACCAGGCGATCATGCATACCTTAAAATATCGGAAGAAGGGGGTTGTTACAAGCTTCTGCAGTATTGGGTGAAGGACTTCCTTGTTTAGAGAATCAACCGTCTCATAATCACAGCAGCAGTCCTCCACAATGCCAGTGTACTTCTGGGAACCCTGTAGACCAGATGAATGCACTCAATTGCCGTTGGGAAATTGTATTTAGGGCAAATATTGCATTCAATTTCAAAGGCAATCATCGACCAATTCCACAGCCGGAAATAACAATTCAAACAAAATCCCGCAAACATGGCTCAACGGGAGATGCCCTCAATTCATCCACCGCACCAGAGAGAAAAAGAAGGGAAGAAGAACGGAACTCAACCAATGATAAGCAGAAGTAAAGCAGGAACGAACCTTGCAAGGGCAAGAGCTGATGGTGCTCCCCAAAAGGGTCATCCCAGGGGCGATGCGCCCCGACGCCACTGCCACCGCGAGGAACACAACCAAAAGGGCCCCCACCGCAGGGACCCACCGCCACCGCCATCGCGCCCCCATTACCGTTCTAACCCCCACTACCCCCGCTCCATCGCCGCCATCTCCCTTCACCCCGTTCATCAAAGCTCACCTCCCAAGCCCTCCGTCAGCTGCAGAGAATCCAAAGAAGAAAAACCCAGATAGACCTCCCCCACCTCCGAGCGAGAAGATTTCGATGCTAAATGGGATCGCACACCTGGGTTTCCTCCCCCGTCCCTCTCCTTGACGTGGAACAATTCGAAACAAGGACCGAACAGGTCTCGGAGGTAGCACACAGGAAAATGCCTCCCGGTGACAGGGAAAAAGGAAAGAAGAAAGATTTAAAGGGGAGCCGTTGGGAGTCGCCGTCTGACCGCCGACGAAGACCGTTGACATCCAGCAGCCGTCGATTCTATTGGAGCCTCTCCGATGGACGGCAGCGATCAGCTCGCCGCTCTACGGCCTCGCCTGGTCCCCTCTTGGAGAACGGAGAAGAGAGAGAATTTCCGGCATTCCGCCGCGTAAGACTCTCCAATGAGGCCACTACACGTATGGTCAAAGGGCCGGCGCCACCGTCGGACCAAATATCATAAAATTAAATATTTCCGTTTCCGTTTAGAAACGAGAGACAATGCCTAATTTTTTCATTAATGAAATAAACTTAAACTGGCTAAGCATAGTGAAAAGATGGGCTTCCCAATCAAGGCTAAGGATATAACCCAGATCAGAAAGTCAACCTTTTAGAAGATAGAATCACTTCCATTGACAATTGGCCTCATGGCTGAGGACAAGAACATTTTTTCTATGTTAGATACCTAATATAATTAATATTATATGAAATCCTTCTAACTTGGCCACTGAACCCTATCAAATGGCTTCTTAAGAGAGTAGGGCTACTCATGACAGCTTCTTAACTTGTCCAGTTAACGTTCAATGGGAAACTCAAGCATCCATCATTATAACATTTGCTACCAGAATGACAGCTTTGAAGACCTTTGATAATTTAAAAAAAAAAATAAGGAACACATAAGGAAATTAGATTAGACTCATTATAATTTTAAAAAAGTTATAATAAAGAAATGTTACAAACTACATGGTTATCCACAAAGTTACAAATAAAGATTAATATATTGTAAGGCTAATGTTAATTAAATCACCTCAACTAAGAATCCTCTAGCTTCAATCATTAGTAGGACATTGATGATGCTGATAATCCTCTAAAAAATGAACTCAACTAAGAATCAACAAATATCTATATTTTCTAAATATTTGCAAACAGCAAAAACATTTCTCCTCATCTCTTGTAGGTATATGCTCTTTAATTTCATTGGATCCAACCTTATCTTCCACCTCTCATTGGATAGTCAATATTATAACATTAAAATATATATGTTTAAAGGCAAGTATATTCATTTTGTTATGTCTAATTTGAATTCAAAAGCAATATTACCTAATAATGTGTACATTTCAATTGACTTACATGGTAATGTGAGACTGATTTCACAATTCATTCTCAAGGATACATTCATTATTATTCTCACATTACCAATGAGTGCTATGATAAGTGATTCTCACATTTGACTCTTGTTTTTCCCTTAATATTTTGTGATTTAAGATATCTTTGCAAGATTGATTGAGAATGGTAAAAGAGTCAATAACCTTTATACTTCAATGCTAGTAGATCTTTTTACACTTGATGGTAACAAAATGATTCAAAATTTTGCCAAAAGTGACTCAATTCAGCATTGACATGACAAATTTAGATATCTATCATCAATCATTTTTGATATGATAAATAATCAGTTATCTTCTACTAGTTTCTTATGCTCACCAACAAAACAAAGAGGTTTCTCTTTTGTATGTCACGATAATATTTTTGAGCATCCACTCAATTTAATATATTGTGATATATGGGGTTTGTGTCATATTTTCAATTATTCTGGTAATAATAATTTCTTACATTCATGGAAGATCATGGTTAATTTGGTTGGATATTTCTTATGAAGTATAAAGATGTTTTAATATGGATGATCATGGATGATCATTGTTAGCAATTGATCATGAATGATCATGAATGATCAACTACTAACTTTATATCCCAACCTTTTTTAATATGTTTCAAACTTAATATGCACATAATATCAAAAATTGTTATATGACAATGCCAAGTAATATGCACCTTTTTTGTGCTATTTTAGTTCAATTAGTTTAATAAATAGTTATATGACAATGTCATGAATAAAACTTAATATGCACATAATTTTTGGTGATTAAAAATGAAAATGTATTATAAAGTCATAGATTCCTATTTTAGATTGAGAAATGATGAAATTGATTTTTGATTTATATGTTTAATTTATGATTTAGTGTTCTACATATTCAATAATTTGATCATATTCATCATATATAAAATTATTAGTGAAACTATTATGATTTAGTCGTAGCCTTTAAATCTAAGATTTTTAGAGTTGAGACTAAGTTTTATTCTATCTCTGCAATGTTTGAAAATAAAGAATTACCAATTGAAAAAAGATTCGCAAACAAAAAGTTAAAGACATACCAACACCGATTGTAACACTTTTTTCTGTCTTGACAAATATGAAAAAGTAGCATTTGCATATTTATTATATTTAAAAAAATTTAACCAGTGTAAAATATATATGTTTTTTCTATATTATTTTTACTTGATGTTAGACAAGTTCTCCAAATTATTATGAATATCAAATCATTAATAAAATAAAGAATAGATTCAAATGATATATTAGACTAATATGTGGATGAAAAATAGATCAAGCCAATATAGGTACCAAGTTGTTCTTCATCAAGTTAGGAAGCATTGGTTCAAATCTAAATTCAAATGATTGTAATAATAAGAAATGTCAAAGATTGAAAGGTCAACTTATAAAAGCTGCTATTAAGGTCAACTTGAACATTATACATTTGAGATAATTAGAAAAGTTGTTCAAGAATTAATGATCAGAAATTCCTTTTTTAGTCTATCAAGATCTTTACATCACATGCTTCAACAACAAAAAAACTACAACATCTTTTTCATCAACTTAATTCTAAAATTAAATGACTATTTAATTAAAATTGGTGTTTTCTATGATATAAGTAGGTTTTGGCAAAAGTACTCAGTATTTGTAACTATATTTGATCTTAGAGAGGTTAGTGTGTCAAAAGGTGTAAGTGGAGACAAATTTGAGAGATTTGGGCCATTGGTTCACTTAATTTCAACCTGAATACTTGAGGAGAATTTTAAAATTCAGAGGATAGTTGACTTTGAGATTGAAATTTATAGATGAATTAATATAAGAATTATGCATTAGTGATCAAAAAGTGTTGATAAATCATACTATTATGAACATCCCTTTATAAGAGTGCTAATGTATACTTTATGTTGGCACACATACTGATTATATCAACACAAAAAAATATAAGAAAACTTGTGTGTCAACGCAACTTGACTTATATACTAAATTATCATAGAATAAAAAATTCATCAAAGCAATTACAAACCTTAATTTACTTGTCCCTCTTGGTATACTAACTAGGCATATCATTTAAATAAAATACTCCAAACAAAATTATGTGGCTGAATGTAAACATCAACCCCTATTGATTGTGATATGAGATTTATATTTTCACTCCAATATTCTAACACAATTTCAGTTTTTTTTTTTTTATCAATTGACATACAACTCCATTTTTCAATAATAGAACTCCATACAAACTATTACATCAGATCTTTATAGATTGCACCACTTTTCAAATAACTATTTAATATTGACCTCAACCTTCTAGGCTAATTAACTTAAATTTCATCAATTTGGAAGAAAATATGTATTCCTTAGACATATACCAAGCATGAAAGGTAAAGGATTTTATAATCTTGAGATGAAAAAAAATCTTTATCTCACCTAATATTGTCTTTTATAAAGATACATTTCCATTTTATTCAGTTATTAGTCCAAACATGGATTTTATGATCAACTTTGTTACTTTAATATGGATTTATTCATCCTAAATATGATTATTCTTTATTCACTAAAGGAAATTATTTTTTTTTCATAGTTTTACTTGTTTATACAGATGACATCATCTTAGTATGTCATTAATTTTCAATTATTGATGTTTTGAAAATTTTATTGCCTACTTAATTTAAAGTTAAAAATATTGAATCTTTTAGATTTTTGGGGCTTATGACTTATCTGCTATGGTTTCTTTAGATCCTTGACTAAAAATTTATCATATAATGTATATTATTTTATTTATTTTATTTATATTATGCGATTAACCTCATTTGACTTTTATGAAGTCAAGTGGTGATTCTCTCATATTTTTTTAATAATTATTTGATTGCAAAGACTTAAGTAAGCTTTTATTATAAGTTGAAAGTAATATAAGAAGTCTAAATCTTCAACCCAATGAAAAGCCTAAGTCTTATAAAGATGGCCAGCTTAATATGTTTATAGGCCCAAGAGAAGGCGTCACCTTGGCTTAACCTATTTAGACCTAAAAAAACTATCAAGAGATGAGATATAGGTCGCTCATCTTAGGATGTCTTAAGATGAGAATAAAAAAATAATTGGAGTGTCGCTTTTATAGAAAAATATGGGTCATTCACCAAGAGAGTTGGTCATTAATCATAATCGTCTATTGGAGGGGTTGAATTTTCGAGAGGATTAAGGCATCTCGCCCCCCTCTTACAAGAGGTTTTTTGGCTCTCTCTAGTAGTAATTAGTCGAAGAAAATAAGAAGGAAATCAAAGCCTAATCAACGACATTCTCATGCCCAAAATGATCGTGGAGAAGCGATTACTTAAAGTGCATCAAGATTATCATGAATCAAGCATCACTCGGCCTAGGACTGACGCATAATAAAGTTTGTACAAGTTCAAATTTAGGGTCTTTGTAATCATCTTTATAGATAGATTAACTTTTAATTCAAACTAGTTTTATCATTTATTTTATCATTCTATTACATTAAATCTATTTTCTCTCTTTTGTCACACTTTTCATAACTCTTATCTTCACCTTTTTACATTTAATTATGTCATTCACAATCTCAAGTATAAATATATATATAAGAATTAAAATAAATAGAATTCTTACTTTCATTACTCATGTTTTCTGAAGATCGACCTTTACTTATCTTAAATAGAAGAGTGAGGTTTTATAAATATTATTTGCATCAACTTGGTTGCACCACGATGATATATTTAACCTCCAATTCGAGTTCATCAGTAGTCTAGAAAGTAAATTATTATATGACTCAACCATGACTTTCATCCTTATAATGTATTAGTGACCTTATCACTTGAAATTAACACTCAATCAAGGAATATTATTTATCACTTCATCTTCTTTACATCTTTCAACTTTCTCTAATGCAAAATGGGCCATGTTCCCTAACTCTTGTAAATCAATTATTAAATTTTGTAAATTTCTTGATAACTAAATAATCAACCATATCTTATTCATCAACTGATGTCGAATATTATACATTAACAATCACGATTGCCAAAATTAGTTTGATACAATAATTAATACATGACTTTGACATTAAAATACATTTTTCAGTTCTTTTATTATGTGAGAATTAGGTGGCTATTTAGATTGTGTTAAATCCTAGCTTTTATGAGTGCAAGAAACATATTGAGATTGATTGTAACTTCATATGTGTAAAATAGATCAATGGTGTTGTGAAGCTTGTTATTAATCCTTTATGTAATATTTTATTAAAAATATTTATAACTCATCTTGAAGGAGAAACTTAGTTCTTCCACATGTGTGTTTCTACACGTATTCTTTTTTATGAAACAATGTTATTTATCTCTCTCTCTCTCTCTTGCCATTTCCTCTTGCTATAGGGCTTCCTATTATTGAGTGTTGCATCAAGTTTTAATTAAGGTAATATTTTATGATACATTAAAAGCAAGAGGTGTCCAATATTTTCAAATAATTTGTGTGAAAGTTCTGAAAAAATGAATTTTGGTGTGCAATAAGTAAATAATTAGCCTCAATTCATTGCTTCTACAATGGTCACTTAATGTTCATAAATGACCATACTATAGATAGTAAATAATGGATTAAATTCCCCTCAATCACTACATTGAATAGTTGGGAAGTCAGCTAGTTGGGCTGTCTTAAAGCTTGAGAGCAGCAACCAAAAATTGGACCATTTTCTTATCCCAATCACGATTTTAAGGCCCAAACCCAAAAATAATTGGATGCGTACGTTCGTTGGGCCCCACCATCGGGTTTTTAAAGTGGACCATACAAAGCATGTCGGTTTACCGTGTAATAAACGGAATCCAGAGCTCAGCTCAGATCGGACGCTCTCTCAGGTCAACGGGATTTTTCACAATTAGAACACGTGGTGGTGGTCTTTCAGCTCAACGGAACGGGCTCTCGGACGATTTGAGGACCCGGAGCTCACCTCGGCCCACAGAGTAAACCACCGCTGCAGCAAGTCGACCCACAGAATGTGCCGCCACCTGTTCTCCCATTCAGCTTACCGCCAACAGCTGTCCTTATCCAGAGATAATTGCCGACACGTGCCATTGCTCAATTGATGGATCGCGGACCTGTCTTCCCACAGAATGGACGTAGCAGCTGCCGGAAAAGTGCAAAAGTGCGCCGGATTTGGATGGTCGTCTAGAGGTCAAAGTGGTGGGCTCCACGTGGCACTTTCCTCTTTCTCTATCCCTCTCTCGGTTTTTTGATCCTCTGAGCTTGGACGTCTATAGACAAGTGGATTCTACGTGGCAATCTTCTCTCAGTCTCTCTCTCTCTCTCTCTCTCTCTCTCTCTCGGATTTTCGATCCACTGCGCATAGATAAGTTGTAGGCTCCACGTGGCAGCCCCTCTCTTACGCTCTCCTGTATTCGATCATTACTGGACGGCATCGCCTTCTGTGTGGATACGTGTCCTTGCGGAGGGATGCCTGCCTACCTGTCGACCAAAAAGCACGCAACTCAGCTCCTCGGACTGTCCACGCGAGCAATTTCGATCGACGGCTAGCGGATAATCTTGGGACCGATAAGGATCCGGTTGGAGGTGGAGGTGGAGGGTCGTGGGGGCCCAATTTGAGCCCACGATTCTCGAGCGGGGGTGGGGGAGGGGACTCTCCGATTTCCCCTCGCGTTCTTATCCCCTGAATTTTCCGTATAAAGCGGGAAGTCGCACCCGCCTCCTCCCTCATTCTATCTTCCTTCCTTTCTTTCGTCCTTGGTCCTGTTTCTTCCCGCCATTAGCCATCTCTCCCCATCGTAGGTAGCTCAGATTTTGATCCTCCGCCATGGCAGGACATGCGCCGGACTCCGCCGACGATGAGAACCGGGAGGTCTTCGACATGATCTCCCTCAGCGCGCATCTCCCCCGCAAGTAAGATCTCTCTCTTCTTCATTTCTTCTTCTTATTCTTCTTCTTGGTCTCCCAGAGACCTCTCTGGATTGTGCTAGTCTTGATTGTGTTCTTCTCTCTCTCTCTCTCCTCTGGCAGAAGGAACGGGCTGTCTCTGCACTTCTCCGGCAAGTCGCGGTCGTTCACCAGCATCGCGGAGGCGAAGAGCGTCGGCGATCTGAAGAAGCCGGAGATTCCGGAGGCGAAGAGAAGAAAGTACGTCGATCGGGAAGCTCGGATCCTCTCTCTGGTCCCTTGCCGCGCCGCGCCCAGCGCCTCGCATTGCAGCCCCTGCGTCGGCGTCTAGAAGAACATTTTTCCGGTCGTAATCATTGGAGCCAGCTTCCTCCATCAACGCCTCCTTCCCTTCCCCCAGCTGTACAGAAAAGTCCGGATCCTCCCCTCTCCCTCCCGAATCTTCTTCCCTTGACATAATCGAGCCTCTGAAACCCGGAACGGCTCGGAGCCTGCATCACCGCATTAGCCAGCGGACTCTACACTCTTCTTCGCTGGATCAGATTGATGGTCGAGGAAATGTAACTAGATCTGACGCAGAGAATATGCACGAACGTCTGAACCCGTTAGACAATGGCCACAGCACTGTAAATAGTATGAATAATTGACAGTGGTGCACGTGCATGACAGCCAATGGGTCAGCCCAAACTGGGCTCCGTAGATAACTTCCGGAATGTGTGGACGAACACATAAAAAACTTATCTCAAGGGGAAAATAGCTTGCCATCAATTTTATTTCATTTTTATGTTTTAAAAATAAAAATGTTCAGACCGGTGCCCGTACATGAATATCACAGCGATGACCACCCGAATGACATCTTGTCTCCAATGGAATTGGCCAAGTAAGAGAGAGAGAGAGAGAGACAGCCCGGGCACTGAGTCGACGAATCAAGAGAAAACTTACGTATATGATTTTTTTTCTGGCCTATTAAATGAGTAAAACTCTGTTAATGTGGTCCATGAATCACCCTTAACGGGCCGGATCGGGCCCAGTTCTCATGAGCCTAGGCCCGGCCCAGTAAGTCGAGATGGGTAGCCCAAGATAGGATTTTGAACTTAGCAGGGCTCATCGCAGGGCTGCAGCGATGCCCCCTCCACACAGCCAACGTCATGAAACTACTGATCAAAGCATTTTTCCGATAAAAGTAAATAAACACTGCATATTTATCCACCAAGGATCTGGGCATTACTATGCTCTATCTTCGGGGGGGGGGGGGGGAGGGGGGCTCTCAGAGTTGACTAGTCATAAGGAGCTAAATCCTTAGCTCCAATGCCAAGAAAAGCGGAAATACCACATAATTGGCAACAAACGATGATCGATGTGGAAGAAAAAAATATTCATAGGATGAATTAAATTACTAAAACCAGAAATCTATAAAAAGCACTAAAGATAACAACGGCACCAAGAAGAAAGCTCCAGGGGAAAGGAAGAAGTCACGTGCCCCGTAGATATTCCAGTTTTTTTGTGTTCTCGAGAAGCACCTGAATCAAAAATAAAAATAAATAAATAAAAAAAATTCTAAACTTGGGAAAGATCAGCCATCAGGCAGCTCTGAAGACTGCGTCGGGGTTGACCCACTGATAAAATCGTACGAGAAAACCCATGAAACCATTCAAAGCTGTAATCTGCTCGCCAGGAGGGTGATGCAGAGGAGATTCACTCTACTACTATCCATAAATAGAAACATTACCTGTCGAATCAGATTCGCTATAGCCTTGCATCCCTCTATGGCAAGTTGCATGACATTTTCAAATATGTCCAACGGTAGCTTCGCATCCATCTGGCATTAACATAACAAGTCAGAAACACATGGAATCATACAGCCAAGCATTCATGTAAGAGGCGTATCAACGACCTGAAGAAGGGTCACTTTGTCTAGCTTTGATAACAAGCCTACTGTGACGTCTGGACCACCGGCACTGTCTTCCAGATAGTTCAAGTCTGCAGACAATATTATGGCTGAGAACGTCTGGACATGATAAAATCAGGCATTTATTATGGGTTGTGCAAGAGATAAATTTAGCAGGATCAAAGAGGGATTTTTAACCCAATAAGGGAGTGCTGTTGAGATATCCTGCGGCACATGAAGTGACAAGATCACACATTGGAATCCCAGCATCTGCAAGGGCCAGTGTTGCAGCATTGATGCAAGCCGATCTCGTCCCTACAAGGATGAAATATTACAAAAGAGTTCAACGTTGAGTAAACGGTAGAAACCCAAATGGTAGTATAAACGAATGGGAATGGTCAAAACCCATCACATATCTGATAAAAGTTTTACTGCATTTTTATGAACATTACACAAGAGAGAGAAAGAGAGAGAGAGAGAGAGAGTCGGTTTACCACCATCAGCTTGGAGAACTTGGACATAAATATCAATCTGTATGAAACATTAGAGGTATCATAAGAGAAATTGGTACCCAGTTTTTTTACCAAACTAGAAGAAGAATATCACACTGGAGACCTGAGATCGTGGCATCAAATGTGTCAAAATACAGGCCTCCATGGTTTGCCGAATGACTAGAGATAATTCTGTTGAACGTCTGTTAAAACAGAAATCAATCAGATCAGGAAATATCTTTGATCACAAAGAGTTACTACATTTCAGTCTAAAGATAGGAGGTTATAAACAAACAAACGATGAGATGATTTCCTTAATTCCTCGAATTCAATAGGATCTGGCATAGCCATCGGGTTTTAGCAGACAATAAATGAAGCAAAATGTGACATCCCACTTTGTTAGAAAATGTGAAAGCAAAATCGTCAAGGATCTTGCTACTTTGGTTATGCCTACCACACCTGATCAACTGAGCACCGCAGTTTTGCCTTGAGAGGCTTTACTAGTCATTGTACTTGAATGGTTCCCCCCAATCACATGCACAGGTTTACAAAAGTTAAACTGGCACGACATTGACTTCTCAGAATGTGCGGATAATGATTAAATAAAATGCGAACAGAGAGGTAAAATGGAACAATCGTTTGTGATGAATCACCGCTGGATAAGGTTCCAGACTCAGCTAAAAAAGAGGCAATTATATGCATATGCATTGGCCTTCTTAACTCCATTGTTGGTTATTCGAGAGCCATATCAGACTTTTATTTCAACGCTGGGGAAAGAGAAATTATCCTGACCAAAATCATACACAATGAAAGCTAGAAGGACGAAAAGTTTTGATAAAATTGCACGTGGATGCAGTATCGTAAAATTGATGAACGCAGAAAAGCATGAAGCCGACCAGGCCAGAGGTGCTGACCACAGAATAGAACCAGACAGATTTCTCGGAATTTTATCTTCCTCTTTCACTTTGACTGAAGATTTCATCCATGCCACAGAGAAAGAACCATTAATGACCTAGATGATTCCTCATCTGAGTCAGTGATCACGACTAACAGTGTCAACCAGACATCTCTCTGTACTAGATCTAGAATCAGATAGGATAGTTGGACACGTCAGGTCTGATCGAATCCCAATCCACAAGTCCAACCTGATCCAATTTGAACAGAGTGATCCAGGTAAAAAAGGGTAAGGTTTACCCGCAATTTTTCTACAATATATATAAGTTCACAAACTAAAAAAGTGTACAACAGGATTCACATTAGGACCTTTGTATAAAGATAAATAACAACCTCCTTATCATCTTCTAGGGAGAAGGAATACGGCCATACCTTTCCCTTATTCTCTCACGTCTAAGGTTGTCAGAATCACCAAAACATCAATCGATCACACTCCAAAATCAGACTTTTTTTACGTCAACTCGCTCCATGTCAGCCTATTGAAAAAATATTTAGGGTAGGGATCTGATATTTTCCCCAATTTGGATCGGATACAAACAATCCTGCTCGACAATAGAATCAGACGAGTCCAAGTACCGCGTCTCTCAACAGGTTTAAACAATATGGATTTGGAAGGGGATTTACCGATCACCATGCCTTTCTTGAACTATCACCAGTTTGGATTCCCAACTCACCGGTTTCCCAGGCACAATTTGGTCATCCCCGACAGAAAGACCCAAGATGGGTTGCCATAGTAACGAGCCCAAGCCACCAGTCCTTCGTATGATCACATTCATCCATGGAAACTACTCGTGTGATGCCCATAGGACAAAAGTATAATTGAGAAGGGTTCTACAGAACTTTTCGTACACTATGAATATAATAATGATCAATAACAAACGAATATTCTGTCGAACAGCGCGAACTGTCTTTTATGATAGTGAAAGACACAATCTTATACTAACTTGTGTTCATTTTGTACATTAAGTATAAGCATAAAAATGCAAACTTAGAGAGCCACAATGTCCTAAAAAGAAGCCAAAAATAGGAAAAAAATTAAAACCCAAAATTTCTTGTTTGGAACTGTTGGAGTACCGCGACTTAATGCATCTCACGTGCCTCCCTTTAGTGTCTCAGTGTATCTCTTTAGTGTCTCACGGTTCATGTGTCTAGAACCTTCCGGGAGGGTCTGCTATAAATACCAGTTGAATAAGGAGAATATGATTCCTCATTTTTTTAATTCAAAAACTCCACTCGTCTTGAACACACAGATTCTTTCTCAAGTGCTCCAAGAAAGTCAAGGAGGTTCGACAGGAACTATCTATAGTTTTCTCAAGGAACGACTAAATTGTCCTTTGTATTAGATACGATTCACTGCGCAGAGTAGCCTAATATAAAGGGAAAAATCTAAGATATCACGACTCTAAGTTCTGATTTCTTCATGTATCCCTTGCTCAAACTAAAGCGCGATTGTGGTTGATAGGCTCAGGCCTATCAATAGACAAAGTTTCCGATGCACTTAAATCATTTCTGTAACCTTGCTAAAGTAGTTCGTAAGTTGTTACTCTTGTTTTCTCGTGTTCTTTACATTTTAAGAGCAAGCTTGATATAGAAGAAATTTTGGCATGTGAAGAAGACATTACATTTGGAAAGTTTAGTATGTTGAGTAATTTTTGGAAATTTTTGCTGTATCGTTGTTTCTCATTTCATCACGTTGTATTTTTGGAAAGTTAGCATGTTGATTAGTTCTCAACCAGTTGCCACCCTCTCTAGTTAACTCCTATGAGAACATCATTCTTATGCACTGAGGTGGAAACTTTGTAGGTATCTCCTTTTCCAATATAGACAGACTAATTCTTGGAATCCTAAGCGTTGAAACCAAGTCTCCATTTAATACTGCAGAAGACGGGTGAGAACGAATTAGATCAATTGATTCTCAGAAAAGCAGAGCATCTTAAAAAGGGCACGTGCCTTCTTAGATGTGGATCACATGTATAGTATTCTAGGGTTGACCTCCAAGGACCCATCAAAGAGTAAGAGGGCCCATCAATATAGCTTATTACTTTTTAATCAAATACTATACATGTGATCCACATCCAGAAATATCTTGTAACAAGACAGTACATAAACCCAAACAATGTAAATTTCCTTCCAATCAGTAATCTACTCGTTTTATCTATGTTCGCTCATTTAGCACCACATTAAACTACCCGTCCAACCAATTAGCACCACCCTCTTTTCCAATATATCATTTCCTACTTCAGGTCTCTGTTATGGACATTTTCGTCTAGGTTCTGAACTGTGACAAGTACTGAAATTATAAAAAATTAGTTCCCCAGACAGTACAGATGACTTATCAACTCTTAAAAACAAGTTTAAGCTGTAACAAGTTCGCGGCACCAATAACCAAATAAGCATACAAAACAGCATTTAAATGAAATGAAACTCATCATATGATATATAATTCTTTGAATCTGATTGTAACAATAAATTACCCAAAAATTTAGTAGCATATGTTCATTTAAAATATTCAGTATGAAGACTGTCATCCACTGGAAAGTAAATTAGAATAAAGAAGAAATCTATTTACTCTTTTACACAAAAATTAGTTTGCTTGAAGGTAGAAAGATCTTGTATCTTAAAAGCTAAGAACTTTAATGACTAAAGATCATCTTGTTTCATAATAGTGAACAGCGTGAACAATATTTCAATGATTTCTGAGGAAAATGCACCTATCACCCTTTGGTCTTCTTGCACGGTCTCCAGTGCTGAAATTGGCCATGCTATACTCGCACCTTACCTGTAACACAACAGTTAAATGGAATGAAGCAAAAACATCAAAAGGAATTGGCATATATAGATAAATTAGAGTGCTGCCATAATTTCAATGAAATAAAAAAACTGCAAAAAAAGAACATAGCTTCATAATTTTAAAGAGAAAAAGTTTACCAATGCTTTGTTGCCGATCTGCTGACCTTTATTCTCCACCTAGAAAGAGAAATGGGAGACTAGCAATTAAATACAAATATAAAATGCAGCAACTCTTGTACTATTCAATTTGAAGTAGAAATAACAGTTAAACTGACTGTTTAACTAGTTAGAATCCTTACACATGAGTCGTATCTTTGTGTAAATTCTTATAAAAAATAACATTGATAAATTTTTGCAGGGTATTCACTAGTAAAGGGTGAAGCATAAGTTGAAGCGTGATGATGAGATCATAAAGTGGAAAGCAATCATGCATAAACACAGGCCATCTAAATGCTATGAATCTTCGCACATCTATTTTCTGAACCTGGATTGCACGATAAAATATTGAAAGCAGAGAATAAAAAAACATAAGAAACCTCTGGCACTCACAAAAGTGGCACAACCAGAACAGCAAAACACAGAGAAGAAGAAAAACAAACCATAATAACTTCTGAAAAGACAAATTAATGACGATAAAGAAGAATACCAGCGTATAGCATGGCCAATTAATTTCGCTCCTCTAATCTTAAACTTCTCATTGGAACTATCTCATATCAAGAAGACATTAAGTTAATTTTCATTGTTCTTTAATTACCCAATACAGTCATTAATAACCTTCTTGATAGACAAACACCATCATCATCAACATCATAAAGCCTTGCGAACTCCATTGTGGGTCTAAGACCATAACCCAAAGAACTGGGCTGACAACCTCCTATTTGTTATACCATCCGCATATTGGTGAAGCAATTTCCTGACATTTTTCCTGAACACCTAGTCATTATAAACTTTCATACAACCAAAAACGTCATGGAAAAGGAAACTGTCACTAATTAGGTCCAATGGTTTTCCGTTGAGACTCTCTCAATGAAACACGTGAAGACGATAGCGAAGTCCCCAGTCCCCCAAAGATTTCTTCCAAACAAATCCATGTTCGTTGTTGTTTAGTAACATTTTTAATGAGGACATGAGAGTCAACCATGCACCGGTCAACGCCAATTCTTGAAGGAGGTCGTGGCTGGACTTGGTGAATAATATAATAGGAATTTATTTTGCTGATTTTCGTAGGTCATTAAGTCCAAGTTAATCTCTGATTGGCCATTTCTAGAAGTGTTTACGGCCTATTAAAGACCTTACAGTATCCCAACGGTTTTGACTATTTTTCGAACCATTTAGGGTCGAAATTCAAACCCATTTTTTATGGGAGCTGTTGCGATTCCTAGGCCAGATCTAAGAGCGTTCTGCTCCTTCAAAAAGGCCTCATGTTGCTCCTCTGAATAGAAGACTAAAAGTTGAGGCCTAAAAAAGCATAAAAGTCTTTTGAATGAAAATGTTGCTCTTAGCTCTTTCTCAAGGAGGGTCGTGAAGGTCCTCCAATGTGAAACCAGGGGCCCAATGTGTGAAGCTGAGCGTTACTTCGTCTTATTTGATTCCCAGCATCCTTTAAGATGTGTGGGATCTCTAAACCTTCAAGAAGAGTATAGTTACCTGGCTGTCTGCGCCAAGAATGGCAGCTACAAGTTTCTCTTCATGGGGTCAAAGTACAATCATTGTGGATCCTATTCTGAACCTTTCACCAAATTTGCTATCAAACATCTTTTATTGATGGCTATACTCGTTTCTAGGTCCCCACTGGCCCTACCTCCTTATCCCCTGTTCTAGCTTACCCTTAATATAGCATAAAGAATTACTTTAGTTAGAAAAAAATTCCATACTTCCTACAATCTAAGTCTAGTTTTGAACGCAAGTCACCCTGCAAGTAATACTAAATACAAACATAAACCTACTATGACTACTCAATGAGGATATTGATTGGTTGGACAACCATCATTAAAATCGACATTTCTCTTAAAGTCAGTCACATGCATGTCGTGTCCCACATAAATGTTCCTCACTCTCTAATAGCACAAAGGACAATGAGAAAATTTTAAAACATGTTGATTGTTTCTTTTAGGTAATTTGCAGAAAGTGGGATGAGCAACGAAACAATTAAGAAATACTTACAGGCACCGTAAGAAAGTTTAATATGTTTTGGACGTAATCCATATCTTATCCTATTGAATCATACAAATAAAAATAAATAGAATATAATAAAAAGTAAGATCATAAAAATAATTAAATAACATAAAATAAATAAAAGCTAAAAGAGAAACATAGAAGATCAAGGAGAAAGCAAAAGCTCCAAATCCAACCTCCTTAGGCCCATACACAGCAGCGATGACCTTGGTGTTTCCCATTTCAAAACTAGCAGACCTACATTTTTGTCAAGCAAGAAAACAAAAAAATCATGACTCTTTTCCAGACTAACGTAACCAACCATCTATGTATACTACTGATGTGAGAGGGAGTACCCATCAGCGTTGGCAACAGCACCAACTTCAGCATGGATATGCCTCATCTGCAGATTTATAAAATCAAGGCTCAAAAGGATGAAATAAAAATAATAATCATAAATAGGAAACTCCTTCAAAGTGAAATATTTGCAATGCCTACTTCAGTGGGACGCCGACCATCTAATCGAAATCCACTCAGCTTTACATACTCCATAATCTCTGCATAGATGGCAAAGAAAAAAGATGATCAGGAAGAAAGCACCTGAAAACCCAAATTGCGTTTGAGAGTGCATTTGAAGGTTTCACTATTGTCCAATGACCACTCAGAATGTCAACTAGTAAGACACAATCAACGGCTACGAGCTACAAAACTGTATTGTATTTAATATTCAAATTGTAACGAGTCCAGTGTGCACCACAGAAAACTTTGGACATCTTGGAGTTGTGAAAGAAAATCAAGCACAAAAATCAAAGCATACGTGAAATGAATTTCAGCGTTTAAAATGCATCAAGATATGACAAGGCATCGGTTAAACGATACAGTTTTGGTTAAATGACATCAAGTGCTCTAAATTGGTTAAAAGATGCAGCAGAAGAGGAACAGGGGATGTGATAGATCAATCCTAGCCAACTTGCAGAGGAAAAAGTTAAAATAAAGACCCCACGCTAGATTCCCATAAGCTGCTGATCAACTTGAAATGAAAGACTAAACAGAAGTGAAACAAGTAAGAATACTGCGTTCTTAGGGTATGGAGAACACTTCGTGGGTTTCCAACGAGGAATCTACAAATAAAGATTTTTGAACATAAGAACCTGGAGTAGTTGCCAAGCGTCAGGAAACACAAGCGCCAGGGAACAAGCAGTCACCCAAAGTAATGTGAAAAATTCCGGATAAAAAAATAATTCTTCATAAAAAATCATTTCTATTTTGAAAAAATCTATCTTAAGCGTCCAGTTGATTCACACAAATACTACTGAACATCAGAGAGACAGTGACCGTGCACGAAATAAAGATCCAAGACAAGTTTGCAGAGCATTTCCTCCTGGAAGGATCTAATCATGGCAAGCCCTCTCTGCTTCGATAAATTTTGAGTAAAAATCATTCAATCATAGACGAAAATTAATTTGAAATGATACTGAACCAGAAGGCGAACAGCAGCCCCACAAAAACATAGGCGCAGTTAGAAACTAACTCGTCTGCAGGTGAAGCTATTGATGTTGATAGGGGGCGCCTACTTCTCCGTCTTCTTCTGCTAAACACAACAACAAGGGGGAGCAAGGAAAATGTAAGCAGAAGGGGGAACGAGAGGCTGCTGCGGGTCGAATGAGCTCAGACATGAGAAAAAGGCTCTCGGAGGCCCAAGTTCGCGTAGTTTCTCACCAGGTGGCGTTGAGGGACGGCCGGCACCGGAGGAGAAGAAGCTCACTGCACCTGCCAGAGCCGGAGAGGGAGAGCACCAGAGAACCACCGTAGGAGAGAGAGAGAGAGTTGGCGCCTTCCCGCGAGGGTTCAACCATTTCTTTCTTTCTTTCTTTCTCCTTTTGTGGTTGACTGGTCCACCCTTATTGGGCCAGGCCCCGATTTAAGCCCATTTATAGATTCGTGGGTGATTGTAGGCCTTGTAATGGGCTATATGGACCTACCTTGGACCATTATCGGTGGGATGAATATTTCTGGGGAGCTGATCTCCTCTCCGTCTGATGGAGGAGGGTTCACCGGATCTCGTTAGGGTTTCGTCGTCTTCTTCCTCTCGAGGGCTCGCTGAAATGCCACGGGATGCCTGAACCTCGATGAGAAATGTAGACGCAGGCGAGAGCACAGTTCGAGGTTTACTCTCCCCTCCTCTCTCTCTCCGAGCTGTTGACCATCTCCGCGACTTTTCCTTCTCTCTGTGTGTCTGAGAATGAGGCGTCTACTACTTCGTTCGCTTTTCGGCATCCGCCATCAACTCTGTTCATCAAAACTCAAAGGCTTGCATGGCACTGGGGCACCTCCACATCCCACGGCCCTACGATCTGGGTCGTGGAAGGTCCTTGTCTCCGCCCGAGAGTTCGCCTCTGCAGCAGCGGCGGCGGCTCAGAGCGATCCGCCGCCTGCTTCCGCTTCTGCACCTCCGTGCCCCACCGAGAGGGTCTCATCGATCGTGGACGAGATATCGGGGCTCACTCTGCTCGAGGTCGCCGACCTGACGGAGCTTCTGAGGAGTAAGCTGGGGATAGACGAGATGCCGGCAATGGCAGTTATGATGCCCGGGATGGGGATGGGCGGCGGAGCTATGCGGGGGCGGGGAGCGGGGGCGACGGCGGGGGCCAAGGCTGAGGAGAAGAAGGAGAAGACGGCGTTCGACCTGAAGCTAGAGAGCTTCGACGCTGCGGCCAAGATCAAGATCATCAAAGAGGTGAGAACGTTTACGGACCTTGGGCTGAAGGAGGCCAAAGAGCTAGTGGAGAAGGCACCGGCCCTGCTGAAAAAAGGCGTTCTCAAGGAGGAGGCCGAGAAGATCGTGGAGAAGATGAAGGCGATAGGTGCCAAGGTTGTCATGGAATGAGAAGAGATGAGGTACAGGAGTTTGCCCTCTGAGAGGATGGGCGCCAAGATCGTGCTCTCTGAGAAGTTTCCTCCCCGAGTCTCAAGGGTTTTGGTAAACTCGAAGGGGGAGTATTTCATCACAATGCAGTCCAGAAATTCCTCAGGTTCTTGTGAGGGCACTGCTCAAAGGTTTTGGAAAATGTTTTGAAAAAATTGTTTCGAATAGAATTAGCGCGGAGCAGAAATGATAATGGAATAGTTCCCTCATTGATTAACCAAGAGAGAGATCTTGGATTTATTTTTTCTCCATTGGATAGAAACCTCACAATATAATAATGTCTGCGTTTGCCTGGGAGAGCTGGTTCTATTTCCTAGTTTCTACTTATGTTTTCCTTTCTTTTATGATCTCCGGCTATGTCATTTCACCTAGATAGAAATCATGGATTGGATTGGCGAAAAGACTATTTAAACATTAAATTACTTCATTTTATTATTATAATTCTGTATCTTGTCATGTTCCTTCTAAGCAAGTCGATGGAGTAGTCAGCATTCGGCTGTATTCATCTGGGTTTGTTGACAGATCTTCACGATGTCCATTGGTGCTTGCCATCCTAAGTGACTGGATGTCTGCCCATAATGGCAAATGGGACTACATTGGATTTCATTATTCTGATTTGGAGCTGTAGGAGCAAGCGAAATAATTTACTGGAAGTGGTTCCTCCGATTTAGGTGTGTTGAACTCAGATATTCTATTGTAAGATTTGCTCTTCCCAATCTAAGATCCCATCTTCATTTCATCCCATTGATGGCTTGCAGTTTGGAGTCATAACCTGGTAATTTTCCCGTTTCCAAATACTTCTATTTTATTTTATTTTATTTTAATTAAGTTGATTTAAGTGTCATTTTCCTTGCCACCAGAAATGGATTATCCATGTCCGCTTGACCTTGTTTCACCAGTCTCTGAAGCATATCTATAATTCAAGTAAACTCTTTCGAAAATTTTCTCATTGTTTTCATCGGTGGTGCTGTGTATAAGTCACCTCCGATTGACTCGGGATGTACCTGAGGTACATACTAACTTTCAAAGTATGGATTGGGAGTCTACAATTAACTATGGTACTTGTGAAAACTATAGAATTTGGTTGATTCAGATTATTTTTCTCATAGCTAGCCTTTTTTTCTGTAGCTACCTTCGTCAATGAAATGATTGGGCTAATGGTAAAACAAAAATTCTTGAGCACTCTGATGTTCTGTCTATTGTATCTATCAGTCTTTTGTATGCCAGAATTCTATGGCTCGACTGTTATCTGTTGGTTGTAGATGGTTTTCATTTGACTTTCTGTCACTCTTGGAGTTCTGAACCAATCAAAGTGGAGAAGAAATTAAAGTGTGGAGTTTTTTCATTCTTGAATGAGACGAACAAGGCAAAGGAGGGCTCCACAGGGTCCGAAATAATGCTCTGCTAAGAAATTAAGTTTTTTTCTCCTGGACAGCACGGAAAGTGTCAGCAGATTTTCTTTGGGTTGGAGCAGGGGACGGTTCATTTCTGTACAGATGACTATGTTAGATTTGCATGCTAATCTAGTTTCATGCTAATGCTTGAAAGCTCTCTTCTTCCTTGATGTTTTGTACCCAAGTGAATTTTTTGAGGTTTAAATTTCCATGTAGAGTCTATGGAGATGGTTGGTCTTTAGTCTGAGCGCATATCTTTGACTCGGCCAATTCAGGTTTGACATAAAACCCAACTTGGTTGACTAATTTCTTCAAACTTTACAAATGGTACATTGAGAATTGCAATCAAGTGGACACAACGATGATGATCAGCCTGACAAAATGTTTAGTGACCGTTTCAACCACCATTTCGCCAGTTGATCAAAGCAGGGCAAGCATCATTGAGATTGAAACTCTAATAAATGGCGACTTGGCGGTTACGTTGCTGAAGAAATGACTGCTTGGAATGGAAAAATGCTCTCCCTGATTCACATTGCTCCTCTCGTGCCCTGTAGGTCTGCAATCCTTGCACACTTGTGTAAATTCAAGCATTTATGTCTGCCTTCGAGGGTTCTGTTTTCTCAAGGAACTGATCGGCGAACTATGAGTTGGACAAAATGATAAATGAGTTAAAAAAAAAACAAAGAGGGAAAGAATTTACATACTACAAGATCCTGGCAAGGAATCATGATGGGTTTCAATTTTTTCCGTTGTTTGAGAATGATCCAATGGGTTTTATGGTAAGTTAATAACACTTGCATTGCCACATAAAATAAGAACATGATCAAAAATTATTCCAAGGTCTACTCTGAAATTAAGTGAAGATTTATGGCATGGAAAATTACTACAAGAAGTGGAGTGCATTGCCTATTTTGAAGTAGAATATTATCCTCATTTAGGTAAAGACAATATGCTGTGCAAAATAAATTTTAAAAATGTTTGTTCAATTCTCAATCTTCTCCTCTTCCCCTATGCATTCCTTATAGGATCCCACTTGCCTTCACCTAGAACTATTACACTTCATGACTTTGTAAGGTGTCACTACACCTGAACACTAGAAAGTCTTATCCAAAGGTAATATTGTCTATGAGAAAAATAGAATTTAAATATTAAACACTTAGAGAACTTGTCATGGACACGAAATTGAGCTTGTGAGGGATGTAGCTCAAGAACAAAGGACTTTTCAAGTAACTTTTGGGTTAAAGAATGAGATGCCTCTAGGCACTTTTTTATTTGAAGAAGTATACCTTTTGAAGATTTGCCTTTGTTTTCTGATAGTTCAAAACTCTTTACTATTATTACACATGATTGAGAGTGTTTGGTTAGCTCACCAATTAGAAGAATTGACTCTTTCCAAATGTAGCCTACATTTAATAATTGAAAAAATATATCTTTGCATATTTTTCAAATTATATATAAGTCAAATAAGACTAGCTAACTTTTCTGTACACATGATACAACTCTTGTGCATATGATCATCCTCCATGTGTCCCATGCCATATCATGATTGTGCCGATGCACCTATGACACATGCATGCACAGACCACCACACAGCCTTATGCCAAAAGTATAATTCCACACCCCATATATCATTCTTTCACACTAGGGGTGTCATATCTTACCTCACATGAGGAATCTAATATCTTTGACAAAGGGTCTGTGATAAGATATATGTTTATCAGGTATTTTAAGTGTGTCACACTTTCCTATTACATCTTCCTCCAAAGCTCTCCTTCTATAACACAGGTAGATGTAACAATTTGTGCATAACTATCCACCCCAGTTTATATATAATGCCATAATTACTTCTGCCATAAGTATAGCAACAAATTATTTTTACTACTCTAAGATGATGCACTATAAGACTATATTTCGGAAATTATACATTATTGAAAATATATATTTGGCATAATTTGAGTTCAATATTATTCAAATCATGATCCAAACATTCACAAAAATACTCATCTATCCTTATAATATTATCATCAATACATAATTTTTCATTGCACAATAATAACTTCACTCTTTGATAGTAGATTCATCAACTTAAATGTGTTTCTTTTTTCAACTAATGTAATTTCTTCTTCCATAATTTTATCTTGTTTTTTTGTCTTGGACCTCTTCATAGCTCGTTGGTTGTGCAGTGCAACCAGTAAAACAAAAATATATTAGTCAAAAATTTAATTAAAGGATTGTAGAGTTCTTGAAAAAGTTGTTGACTCAACTAAATGTCTTGGAGTTTCTTTCCAAGAAGAGTTTGATGTTGAGAATGCATCAAACATTATCCCTTATCCTTATGATGTCATTTTCTGTACATTTTCAGAAAAGTACAATAAATGAATTAGGTCATTGCTCTAATTTTAGCATGTTCATAAAAATAACATCTTAATAGATAACTAAATTCATTATTTTAAGATTATAAAAATGATAACCTTTGATCTCATCATTAGAATCAATAAAGATATATTTTTCACTTTCATCTTTATTTTTCTATGATTATCAAAATTAATTAGAGCATAAACTATGAAATCAACTCCTTTCAAGTGACTAACATATGGTTTTCATTGATACTATGCTTTGTAAGAAGTTGTATTCATGACTACCTTTGTAGGAAAAAAATTGAGAAGATAATGTTACCACTACTTCAACCAAAAAATCATTTTAAAAAGGATTCTCACTTAATATGCTTTTTGCTACTTCTTGCACTATTTTTTTTTCTTTTAGAAATATCACTTTAATCTAAATCTTTTCTAATAATAAATTATCTAAAAATTTCATAGTATTTATAAAAAGAAATAAATTAGTATGATAAAAATTCTCCCCCTCTATTTTTCTGGAGGGTATTTATATCAAAACCACAAATGGTTTCAATCATTACCTTAAATAAATTTATCCAATGCCTCTTAATTTTGATTCAAAAAGTATACAAAACTCATATGAGTAAACAACAAATTATTAGTAAAACACTATCCAATATTTTTCAATCAAAGCGTACATATTAGACAAAAAATAATAGCATAAATTAATTAAAGGGGTGACCTTACTTTTCAAGTTTTTTCAAATAAAAATGGTTATCAATGCTATTTTCTATAGATACATCATTCGTAGGTATCCCTAGTAGTTTAATTACAAGACAAAATAAAAACTACATTCTTTTAATTATAAAACTTAATACACTAAAATGTAAATGATCATATGATATATGCTAAAGCCACAAATTACCAAAACCTTTGGTAATTGTAGCAAACTCAATCAACCTTGAAATCTCAAGAGAAAACATCATTTTTCTTAGTTGTGAAATTGATTTGGGCAACATATTTCTTGTCTTCCTTTCAATGACACACGTTATTTTTATTTTTGAAATGAAATGTATATTCTTATTCCATCAATTTATTATGTGACAATTTGTGAATAAATAAATACTAATTTTTAGCTTTCTATACTTGATTTTATTTATGGTAAGATGGTTCCAATATCTTCGATTTGAAGATTTTTTCCATCTCCCACTAGGACTCAACATTTCTATGATATATCCAAACTTTGAAATAATTATTTTTCAAATGTCACATGATTAACGCATACACCATTAAAAACCATACATCATCATTATTCATCATTGGAGTCATATGAGCAAGGAATATATTACCTTCCCTCTTCAGTTTTATTATATTTGGCATGTTATTTTAGCTTTTCCTAAGAGTAGAATGTCAATATTTCTTGTAGTATCAATCTTGTATCGACTTGTAATCTGACTTTCGTTTTTTACCTTCACCTCCATCATGGCTTTGTCGTCCAAGAATAGATATATTGTAACCTCTTATACACCCACGATCATAATGAACTCATCCTCAACCCCAATTACCTTGATGTTGATTAGATATGACTTTAGCATTTATTTCACTTTTTGAAATTTTAACTTTAGTTTGAAATGTTTCCTCAAAATATTTTTCAAAAAGTCCATTCATTTACTCTTCATGTGTCAAGAGTGAATCCATCAACTCATTTTGTAAATAAATAAATATATATTTAGATTTTTCAATCAATGGACATTTTTAAAATCTTCTCAATAATGTTCTATTTTAAGATTTCTTATTGAAAAAATCTAATTGGATAACAACAGAAATTTGAGAAAATAAATCCTCAATTGATTTACTTGATTTCATTAGACAAGGTCTGAAACTCTATTGAGAGTGCTTGAAGTTTCATCACTGTAACTATGTTGCTACTATGAAATTCTTCTTTTAGAATCCCTCACACCTAGGTGAATATCCTAGCATTAGTGATTTTCAAAAAAGTCACATTTGAAATCACTTGCTATAACACTAGAACCTTCACATCACTTTTGTGAAGCTCCTTTAATTATGATCTTCTAGTCTTTTCCTCAAAATCATTTCTACAAGATTCAAAAGATCTTGTGAAATAAAAGTGTCATCAATTTGATACTCCAAAATTCGTATTTCCCCCTATTAAAGGATGGCATGATATATTGAGAATTTTTTTTAATTTTTGTCACCATTCAACACATTTCCTTTTGAAATATATTCTCCATGAACAAAAGCATCTTTTGAAGGCTTCCTTTTGAAGATCTACACCATGACAAAAAAAAAGGTAGCACTTAGAAGTCATTCACATGTCTCTGGTTTCAACAAGATCCATCTAGTAGTAAACACCTAATACACAATGAACTTGACTTTGATACCACTTTCTCAGAAGAGAAAACTTGAAAGAGGCAAGAAAATGCTACAAAATCTGATCCAAAAATGGCTAGAGCAAAAGACATAGGAGACAATGTCATCATAGAGTTGTGAGCCTTAATATATGAGAACAAAAAATTCTACCATTCTATGAAAGTTAAAAAAAAGATTTATATAGTTGAGATAAGAGATAGATGGGAGAAAGGGTAATAATAATAATAAAATAAAGCTAAAAGTGGGTCTGCCCCATTCAGTAGACAAGAGGCTGCCACCCAATACTCCTAAGTCCTAGGAGTGGACTTTTTCTACCGATGCCATCTTCAATAGCACAACATCATCAGCATCTACACCACTTACCCCACTGCCTTTATTCCCTTCTCCATCCTCCCCATATCCAACAATCATCTGCATGCAGCCTTTTGATCTCCTAGGCACAACTACTGGTCACACAGAGCCTAACTTCTTTGAATTTCAAGACACCAAAATGCTCAACAAGTGGATGTCATGTCCTCGTTGTGATCTTTCATCTCCTTCCACCAACAACACTGGTGTCTGGAGCAATGTGACCACTGAGTCCCTATTGGTTGGGTTCATCAAGGAAGATCCAGCCAATGCTAGGACACTTTATTGCTACTGATGGTTCCGGGGTCTTTGGAAATAACATTGAAATGAAAACCTTGATGGCTGACTGAGAAAACTTTAATTTTGACACAAGGTGTGGGAGGATTGTGCATGTAAAGATCTTGAGAAGAACTGAATCAGGGATTGCATTTTTCATTTAGAGGATAGGCAAGGAATATGCAAATGAGGACGAGTTGATGTTGTTGAGCACACTATATAAAGTTGTGCAATTACACTAATGTTAGCTGTAAGTGAAAAGATTCAATTATTCTACAGAGTTTATAGAGTTTGAGCTACCAAGACAGGTCAATGTTGAAAAGGTATGCTTCTTTGAATAAAAAAGAGCAAGGCCTAGAAGCATCTCATTCATTAGTTCATAAGGTACTTGAAGAATATTTTGTTCTTGAACTAAATCTCTCACATGCGCAAAGGCATGTAAATGACAAGTAATGTAAGTGTTTAATATTTAAAATTTATTTCTCACGTAAACAATATTAGTTTTAGTGTTAAAGTGAAATGACACCTTCCAAAGTCATCAAGTGTAATAGTTTTAGCCAAAGTTAAGTTAAATAATGTTGAATTTCCTTCAGTTCCTTTGTGACTTGAGGAATAAGAAATTTTCTCATGGAATGGAGGAAAAACAAAACTTCTATTGAACATAAGGGAAGGAAATTAGTTTTCTAAACTGTACATCGTGACAAAGGATATATTATTTATGTCTGGGGAAGGTTCTAGACACAAAAACCTTACAATCTAAGACATTAAGATAAGTATGTGATATGCATGTGTTCCCTAAGTGAAGCACATGATATACTCCCCCTCAAGCTGGTGAGTAGATATCATCCATTCTCAACTTGGAGGGTATTTGTTGTAGTCGAGTGCTAGAGACAACCTTCATCAGCAAATGAGTCAATTGTATCAAGTAGAGATATAGGAGATAAAAATTACTTTGGCCTTTAATTTTTCCTTGATAAAATGATGACCAATCTCCATATGCTTTGTACAATCATGTTGAATCATATTTTGACTGTACATTTATTGTCACTATAGAGCTTTATAAAACCTGAAAGATGAATCTTTTGGTTAGTGAGTAAAATCTCTACTCAAAGCAATGCACATATCCTAGGCACAAGTGCTCTGAATTCTACTTCAGCACTTGAGTGAGCAACAACACTTTGTTTCTTGCTGCACCAAGTCACAAAATTACCTCCTAAAAATATTATAAAACCCAAAGTTAATTAGTGATCCAAGGGAGAACCAACATCATTAGCATTTGTATATATGTCAACTAATATATTATCACCATGTTTGATGATTTTTTTTCTAAGAGTAACTTTCAAGCAATATAGCACCCGATAGACAACATGAAGATGTGATTTAGTTGCTTGACGTATGAACCAACTTAGGAGACTAATTGCATGAGAAATGTCATGTCTAGTATGTGTGAGATATACCAACCATCAAATGAGAAGTTGATACATCTCTTGATCAATATACTTCTCCTATTCACCGAAACAAAGTTTGTGAGTAGGATCAAGAGGGGTGCTGGTTTGTTTATGTGTAGACTTTTCAATATTCTTTAGAAGATCTACAACATACTTTTGTTGAGAGATGAAGATGCCCTTGGAAGAATGGACCACCTCAATACTCAAAAGGTATTTAACGTGACCTAGAGTCTTGATGACAAACTCTTTGACAAGATATTTGCTCAAATGATCTTGTTCAATAGCACAACTTTCTATAATTATGTTATTATCAACATAAACTAAAGTATAATAACTCTCCCTAATGAAATAGGTATAAAAAAACAAAGTATGATCAAATATCCTAGCCACATTGGCGAACATTGACAAATATTCTAGCCACACATTGGCAAACACAAACATGAGTAGATCATGTCCTACAAGATAAACATGAAAAAAATGACCCCATTTGTGATAATTCTCAACACCCAAAAAGTGTGAGTGACAATTATCACAACTCCCGATAAAGAAGGTGCTGGATGCACTGTAGGCACAGTAGGAATAGTACCCCCACTCATAGATGTCTTGGAACTCCCCAGGTCATTAGACATGTCATTGAAGAAGTAACGTATGGGGGAGTCAAACACACGAATAAGCCACTGCTGGAGATGTACAACTAGGATGCCCTAGGACAGAAATAAGGGTAGACACGCCTGGAGATGTGCCCCAGGGCACGGAAGAGGACAGGCAGACCCCTACAATGGTGCTAAGGCACAAAAGAGCACGGAAGAGTGTCAACCAATCAGAGGGCATTGGTGGGCACTATTGGGCATGCTGGCCAGTCCTAGCAGGTGCACTAGCATGTGCCCTGGCGTGCCAATGCGCACAGGCCGCTGCACGTAGAGGCATGGGTGCGTCAAAGCACGTATGTCATGCATAGCATGTCGTACTACATGCTGTTATGTATGACAATGCACAGTGGTGGCACCACCATGCCCTAGGGCCGGTGGATGGCACCAACGATATACCATGCGACGACGACGCACAGTGCTGCTGCATGCGATGATGCACAGTGCATGCAACCGTGTGTAGTGGTGGGCCGGCACTTGGCAGTGCTGAAGAATAGGAGAGCAGCGCTGCAAGGTGGCTATGCCTAAGGTGCCAAGGAGACCTATATAAAGGATACAAATGTTATGATCCAATATCAAGAAAATTGTTCATTTCAGCTAATGTTACTTTCGATGAAGGATGATTTTTTTTCCATAAATCTTCCATATGCAGGTCAAAGTTACCATATTAAGGGGATAACACCCTCGAACCAAATTTAATTCTTCTAATGGTATCAAGTGAAGGAGTTAGTTCTAACCAAAATGAAGCTCCTATTGATGAGTCAATAAGGAAATACAAGTATATCGCAGGAGGATCAAGAATGATTCAGAAAAAAACAGAGATAGTAATTTTCCAATCTCAGACCTTTTTGAGTCTAATGATCTCTATTTTAAAATCAATAAATCATCATCAAGGAGTGGACCCATAAAATTTTATAGTAGATGCCAAATATGATCTTATTGCATTGTGAAAGGGAGTGAGGAAGTGTAGGATACCACCAAAGTATTAGATTAAAAATTATCTCAACTATACTCATTTCTCACCTTTGTATAGAACCTTTTTGACTAATCTTGATTCTTATCATGTTCCTCACACAGTGGAAGAAGCTATGGCTGATAAGAGATGGAGATAAGCTATGCTACTTGTGATGAAAGTATTATACAAGTATGAAACATAGCAATTAGTTAATCTTCCTCCAAGAAAGAAAACCGTGCGCTGTAAGTGGGTGTACACTGCGAACTATAAAGTAGATGGATCAATTGAATGCTATAATGCAAGATTAGTTGCTAAAGGCTTGCCCCAATTGCAAAGTTAAAGCTAGTAAGATTTTTTATTTCACTTGCAGCTCACTTTCATTGACCTTTTTACATGGTAACTTAGAAGAAGAAATTTATATGGAGCCTCCGCCCAAGATTAGAGAGTCATACACACCACGAATAGTGTCAACTAAAAAGGACATTATATAGACTTAAATACACCCCTGGAGCGTTGTATAAAAAATTCACACAAACTATGAAGGAAATGGGATATTTAAATGCAATGGAGACTAAACAAGATTTATCAAGCATTCTAAGATAGGGGGAGCTACTCTCCTTGTAGATGTGGATGATATTATAATTACAAGCAATGATCCAGAAGAAATCGAAGCACTTGGCCCAAATTTATCTCAAAGATTTGAAGTCAAAGCTTTGGGCATATTAAAATATTTTCTGGGTATTGAAGTGGCTTGCTTATGTCAAAGAATTTTTATATCACATCAAAAATATATTCTAGATTTATGTCAAGAGACAAGCAAGACTAATTGTAAACCAACCAACACTCCTCTAAAAGCTAATGTGCAGCTCAAACTAGGCAAAGATAGTCCTTCGATTGATAAAGAATAGTATCAATGCTTAATTGAAAAATGAATATATTAAAATCACACTATGCCAAATATTGTCTTTGTTGTGGGACTATTAAGTCAATTTATACACGATCCTAAAGACATTCATCTTTAAGCCACATATAGAGTATTGGCTTATCTTAAAGGTACAATTGACTTGGGTCTTTTATAAAATTGCAAAGGTGACAAACTAGTTAAAGTCTATATGGATGTTGACTATGTGAACTCTATCATAGATTTAAGATCCACGGCATGTAACTATTTTATTAGAGGGAATTTAGTTACATGGAGATATAAGGAACAGGAAGTTGTTGCAAGATTTAGTGCTTAAGTAGCATTTAAAGCAATGGTTCAAAATATTTGTGAGGCTCTATGGATTAGAAGCCTACCAGAAGAGTCTAAAGTTGATTTTTCACTAACAATTGGACTGTATTGTGACCACAAATCAGTCATTGACATTACACGTAATCTTGTGTAACATGATCAGACAAAACATATTAAGCTTGTTCGACATTTCATTAAAGAAAAGATTGAGGAGAAAACCATCTCTATCTCTCATGTGAGATTGACAGAACTAGTAGATATCTCCACAAACGGATTAATAGGGACATCATTGTAGAAACTTACATATAATTTGGGCATGGATGACCCCAATATGCCAACTTGAAGGGGAGTGTCAACACTCATTAGATCTCATCTTTTTTTTTTACTTTCTTACTTTCCTTTATTTATATTATGTCCCTATGAGATCCGATATGAATTCATGGGGTCCTGTTAGAACCATTAACATCTATACTTAAGTGCATCACGATTAGGAATGAAACTTACTTTGCCTGCACATATTTTATGTTGCACTCTCAGCAGGATTGTTGGAACCCTAACACTAGAGTTAAAGATTGACAAATATAGATGAGGATAAGTTGGATTTGATATCCTAAGGCATCATTTCTGTTGGCAAGAAAACTTCCCAAGGAGATCCGGAGGATTCACATGTGCTAGACTCATCAGATCCACGAACTTTTGGAGCTGCATCTTCCTCCCACCTTTTTTCTTTGATTCCAAAAAAAAGGAAGAAATGTAATATTTCATAGAACAGGGGGAGAGAAATATTTATTAGAGAAACAGGAAAAGAAAACTGTTATAAAATTATGCTTTATCCCTCAAAGGCAGTTCACAAGTAGGGGGCAGTTCGTCGTTATGGAAGAATATTGTTATCCCCCCTACTGTTTTCAGTGCAATACAACTTTTAGTAATGTATGATATATGCATATGCTCTCTTTTTCATTAGTTGCTCTGATTACATAGCTGACTGAATACAGGAACCTAAGTTATAAATTTGAAAGGCAAAAAAATGAACTCAAGTTTTTTTTTTTTCAGACCTGTCAAGCACATTTTTGAAATTTTGTAAAATTTCTAAACTATTGAGAGTTTTCCGAAACAAGTTTTATAGATCAACGATCCTATGGGCAATATTTTCCAACTAGCTTTACAGTTTTTTACAACTGTTTTGAAAGCACCTTCGAAAACAAGTCGACTGTCTCTAGTGCTGTCATGGACATTGTTCGAAAACCAGTTTGCAGGTTTTCGAAATTATCAATACCATTTTCTCAAAAACTATGATAAGAACAGAATTTCAATGCAATTTTCCTGTTTAACAAAATTCAATGCAACAAGTCTATGTAACAAAATTCCTTCTGTTTTCTGGTCAAAATGATATAAGAAATTGAGTTATTTGGTAGTCCAATCTATCCATGAATCACTTGTTGCATGCGTTGATCCAAACTTGATCCGAATTTTGAAGGAATCAAAATTAAATTTTATCCATTCTCAAATAAATCATGATTATCATGCTCTTATTACAAAAAAATACGTATAAGCTGTGATAAAGCCTTCTCATCTCATCAATGCTTTATATAGAGTTGTCCCACATATTTACAAAACAAACAATTTCAAAATTGCTCTTACTGTAAAAACGAGTGTTCTGACAGCTATCTTCTGTATGCTTTGATAAAAGTTGCATCATTTATTTGCATGAAAAATCATTATTTCACATGCTATGATCAGTTATTTTCTCAACGTTCTAATTTAAAACATCTCTCAACGCTGCACGATAAACCATCTAACAAATGGCTTGATAAAAACTTTCTAGTGGCTACTTTTTACTAAGAAATCTGAATATGCTTTCTTTAGTGAATCTCATTTACATTGCTATGATTTCCAGTTTGATTTTACTCCCAATGATTTCAATGAAAAGTTTATAATTATTGCTCATGAACCACATCTCGCTTATGTAAGTTTTGCACCATAAAAAGGGGAGAAACTGTTAGTTTTTAGGGCCCTTCCTGTTTAAATGTTCATAAAATGGGCATCAGGGTAAAATAACAATTTTAGATTTCTAATTTATGTTATGTGAGTATTAAATGTCAACAGTACTCTATACTGCCTCTTTGCGAACTGCCAGAAGAGTTAGGAATCGATTGCAAGTAAAATTGCCTTTTTTCTTATTTTAAGAAAGCTGAGTGTACATAAAGATGTTTGTACTTGAACTCACACTTGCACTGCAAGATAAAATAAAGAAAAGACAATGAGCTGTAGCAGCCGCAAACAAACTATTGAGAACTTGAGACTAATCACTAAAACAGCTGTTGTCAATTGTTGTCAATCGTTGAGATTACAACAGCTATTGTCAATCACAGAAACACTCTTGATTGTTTTATGCTCCAAAAATTGAGAAAACAATGTAATATATAAAGATTAACCACAACATCCACACGAAAGCCCTTGAAACAAAAGTTTCATACCAATGAATGGCATATTATCTATGAAAACTAGCAACTGCAATTCAAGTTTCTACATTGAATGAATGTTTACTCACATTCACAGATATTATATACTAAATTCTCTCTTTTAATTTAAATTCTTGGAAAGGGTTCGTAGTTGTCAAAAGAGAACACTAAACCAAATCTAGAGTCATGAATTTAGGAGACGCATCTGAAAAACTTAAGAGTAGAGAATTTGGAAGAAGCATTTGGAAAACCAATGAGGCTAACCCAGAGCAGTAATTTTAAAAGAGGCTTGCTGAAGACTTAGTAATCAGAGTTTCCATTAACATGGAATTAGTCAAACTTAGGGACAAGGCCTTTAGAGAGTAAAGTAAGCTAAAAGTCTATATCGCTATAAATAAAAAGTTTCACGTTTTATCTACCTCAGTTAATTCACTTTGCCTATATAGACTAATATTGAACACAATATGTGATAAGTATCTAAAAAGGACCAGTTCTTTCTCCCACCTGGGTCTTCTTTTAGCTTCCAAAACACAACATATAACTAATTCATTGAGTTGCATTGGGACAAGTTCATACCTGTGTGTCAGTAGATCTATCTTACACACTTTTTTTATTTGAAAAGTCCCTGCATAAATAATCTCAAGTTTATCTCAAATTTCCTTAGTTGTTTCACAACTTGATATGTGACGTGTGAAACCAATTTGACCCTCCATTTGTCTAAGAGATGATCTTTCAATATTTTTTGCCTGCACTGATATTCAGATGGGTCGGTTGTAAAGTCAAATCCTTCCATATTGGTTCACTGATTTTCACATGAGTCTACTACTTTAGTGTCAACTCCTATGAAGCTAATTTACTGGTCTCCGTATGGGACAAATGCAAAGTTGGCTTTTGCGGTACCAGTGCACTAATTTTTCATTGGTCAATTGAAACATTGACTCATGGAAAATTGTTGGTTACTTCTTGCAGATAGAAGTTGTCCTCAGGGTGAATTTTATTTGATAACTGTGAAGATTGACCTTATGACAAAGAAGTTCAGCTCTAACTCCATACCGACTTGAAGAATCAACTATGTCCGCTGGTCACTAAAATTAGAGTGTGACTCGTCCACTCTATGTAATGCTCAATAAAAGATAAAGATTAGCTCACTAAAAACATGATATATAACAACCAGCATTTAAACTCAACGATTTTTAGGTTTTTGATGGGACGAAAATTCAGGCAATATAAGTTGTCAGTTTCTTTCACGTAGTCGATTCAAGGAGTATTTCATTTGTTCCTTGTGGATTGAAGCTTAGATTTTTCTGTTGCCATCCGCTATGTCTAGGCAGATACACACCGGCAATTGGTTGCCACAGATGATCATCCAATTTTCCCTTCTAGTTAGAAGTCATCAAAATAGCACTTTTATTTGATTCCAACCATAGCTAATTTCACCTGTTCGCTGAGAAAAATAAGTGCTGGAATAAAATAATTTCATTATCTGAGACAAGAAATCTGGTACAGCCCCAATCCAATCACAGAAAATTAACAACTACAGTGAAGACCGGGATTAATTGTGCATATTTGTGGTGATTAATGTCTGATCGAATATACAGCCTCTTTTGTTCTTGTGATTGTATAGCATGGCATACAAGGACTGGACGTCTCAAAAGGTGCTATAGCTGGTGCGGATGCACCCATTCAATAGTAATATAAGGAAAGACAGCAATAAGAAATCATGGACAGATGTGGCGGTTACCTCGAAAAGCTTTATTCTCGTTACAAGCATGTCTTCGCCAAGTTGATATTTTCGAACAAGCACTTGTGCAAGAGGAGATGACCAAATCATGTATCATAACCTAAAGCATCAAGCAGTTGAACGACGTGCCAGCGACAAGGAAGATAAACCTTCTACGTTAATCATTATTGAAAGAACTGGCTCATCAGAATGAACATCAGAATTGTCTGCTGTTGCGTTGGCCATTCAATTTCTTTGCAGTGACACCCTGCTCGCTGCTCTCCAATAAGACCTCGTAATGATTCTTGGCGAAGCAGCAGGCATTCCGAATAAGGAAGCGAAGCCCAATCATCATTATAGTTTTCACTGAGTATTAGAGAGTTCCAATTAAATCAGATAACTTTTGCTCTCTTCCAAACGATCACTGACCCATCAGAATCCGATGAGGCCAAGAAGTTCTCTCCATGATTCCAAGCAATCCCAATGACTGGAGAAACATGCCCCTGGCATTCAAGAGAAGAACGATAATAAATAATCTTATGCAAAACAGACGATTCTCTCAAATTAAAATATTTGGAACACAAACCTGCAACTTATTCACATATGTATGCGTTGGGCGAGTCAAATCATAGAAGTACACACTTGAATCCTCACTGCCACAAACTTACATTCAACAAAAGAACTATTGATTAATTCTCACTAAGAATACGAACAATATCTAGGGCAAAAACTCAGTTTAAAAAACTTTTACTCTGACGGGACGATCTTATACGGTAAAATGCTGAATAAGTTATCGATAGAGATGCTTGACCAACACAACTAAGAGCAAGTCATGACACAATACCGTACACCCCCAACAACCCCCCCCTCCCCCCCCCAAAAAAAAAAGACAGCGTTGACTGAATGCCTGAATGCTAAATGTGTGATAGATCGTAGCAGACCGTAGGAATGTACAGGAAAAACGATATTTCCCTGCAAACATGGTTAGCACAGATATTTCTGTGGAAAACCGCTATTTCTGTGAATAGATTAGACTAGAAGGACCAAGTTTGTTGGAATCAAAGGCATTCCATCACTGTGGTTTAGGTTCTAACCACTGAACTACAGAGATAAAATTTTAAAACATAACCAGTTTCGATATTAGAAAACAAATACGTTCATAATGACAAAAACCTATAGCCATTCTAACAAAATAACTCGCTTGAAACTATTGCTTTCTCACCAAGAAAATTTGAATCAAATGGCTTCCATTGAGACGTTATAATCGAACACCTAATCTACACTCTGTTTCAAATAGGGATATCTGTCTCAGCAGTGAGATGAATAACTGAGGATAACCTAAACGATGTATACATGCTTCAGATGCTTGTGAGAATATTAAAAGGTGCTGGATAAGCCTTTCAATGTAATCAGAAATAACTTATGGACATTGATGTATTCATAACCATAGCTGGCAGTCGAAGAATTCCAAGAATCCGAAATGTGTGTTTATCCTTAGTTAAAAACCAAAAAGAACAAATCGGTTTTGACATCTTTCTGGAAGGAAATGGTCGACGCTCCCATGTTACAAAAGGTTAAAGGCATTTCGCATTCCCATGCTTCAATACGTGAAACAAATGACAAAAGCAAAGAATGTAACAATCAACATAACAGAATCTTACAGACGGAATCTGCTATTACAGTCATTTAAGCGGCAGAGATAATCTGCTTTTCCGCTACTACGGAAGCAGAACTGGAATCCAACGGCTAATAATAAACGTAACATGAATCATTAGGAACCTCTTAATAATTTCACTTAACCCGCGCAGGTTGTCTCATTTCAGAAATTATTGAATCAGAACTGTAACCCTATAACAAGTTAGCTTTATTTCTCGCGAAATTTATAAAGCAATGCATATATAAGCCATTGTTATTCCTGATGATGATGCTGTTGGTGCCTCGATCGGGGAGACAGTCTTCCGTGTAGCACAGTTGCTTCCACTACTGACGTTCGCTAAAACTGCTGTGGCTAATGCGCTACTATTGCTTTTGGCCCTGATGCAGTCCACAGAGTGAAATGAAAGTGATAGGGGCAGGTCACTACATCGTCTACATTCCAGGCAAGTGATAAAGTTGGGTAAAGGGAAGAAGAAATTGATTTTTCCAATATCAAGCAAAAGGTTCCCTGGGTGATCTTGTCTGAAAAAAGCAGTGGTGATCTCGTCGGATGAGAGGGAATAGGAAGTGATGGACTGGGAGCAAGTATACACGATCCCCACAATATTTCCACAACAGACAGAGTTAAGGAATGGGCAGCGATGTCAGGAAAGATACATAGCAACATCCGAAATAAATATCCTTTCACAATGATCAGTAGATTTTGGGCAGAAAAATGAGAGTCTGTAACACAGCCACACTAGTAGTCATAATGACAACAAACAAACAACAACACGATTACCAAACGTCAAATCACGCAAATAATATTCATTTTCCAACTAAAGGCTTTGAAAACGCACGAACAATGTCTATTGAGTCACCTAATCAACATTGAAATAAGGTACACACATTGTCTACCAATAGGCTTATCTTCTCATTCTGAGAAGCATCATTTATTTTCGTGCATAAAAAGATCACCAAGACAAAAGAAGTTTTACCTATGAACTCTCCCTTTTCAAGTGAAAGTAGTGGACAGAAAGACGCACGAACACTGTGCACTCGAGGAGCTAATTTGAGTGAGCAACGTAAAGTCAAATAGCCTCGTATTTCTGGAGCCACACTGAATGCAACAACATCTTGAGTAAAAGAGAGTCCCAAATCAATTAAAAATGAAGAAACACCTAACACATATATTCAATAAACAGGAATGCATGTTTACCTTAAGAAAGAAAGATTTCCATCTTGAGAACAAACAAGCAGCACAGGACCATGCGCCAGAAGAGAGAAGGTACGGTACTGGACAGTTGTTATTGGAGATTTTTTCTTGCTGCTTCGATGACGATGAGACCTAGACAGTGAGCCAGTATGTGAAGATATGTTGACAGAGGAGACATATCCCTGCAAGCTTGCCGGAGAGTGCACACAATCAGAACAATAGGTTTAAGTGATCAAAGAGAAAAAATAACTTAATTCACAACAATAAACCTGTGAATCCCCAGCAAAGAGTAATTGACCAGTATGATCATTATCCATTGCAGTAACTTCATTCTCAAATGAAGCTTTATTAATGATCCTTCCTGTGCTAAAATTGATAACCTGCAGTTGAAGCCAAACCAATGAGGCCAACAAAGAACTATTATTTCGTGATATATCTGATATACGCCCCATAGAAATCCTACAATTTTTTTAAGATGTTAAGTTTCTTATTACAGCTTTGGAATATCTGTATGTGTAATACTCAGCAGAAACCCACCAGAAGTTAACATCAATACCCTGGTTTGTATTTTCTATGTCAATCTATGTATAAGGGTCACTAAAAATTCCATGAACATATATAACTGAAAAAAATTAGAATCTCAATTTCATCAATATGTGCGCAAAGAAGAATGAGAATACTTCAAAACAAAGTTAAGCAGAGAAAAAAAGAGTTACATTTATTTCTCTTTTTCCATTGCCAACAGAAAGAAAATTATTGTTCACCTGCACAATGCACAAATTCACAAAAAATCAATAAATAATTTTCTTCATGTAAAACCTTTACTATAACATCAGACAGAAAGCATAAACCTGGAAACACACGCAACTTAAGTTTATTTATATATATATATATATTACATACTGAAAGTATGGCAACACTTCAAGGAAAATCTGATAATGTAAATTTCTCCTTAGATTCTCTCAGAATGTAAGATATATCAAATATTTATGGAGGCATATGCAAATCCTAGTCTACTTGTAAACCTAGCAACAAATTTTAATATGAAAAATTATAACGGAAAGTATTTACAAGAAGTACTGAATATTACACAAAGTAATACTTGGAGCAAGAATATTGTATTAACTCGCTCTGCATATGCAACATATAGAAACACTTCGAAGCATCTATCCTCTTATTTACGAACTCTTAATTCATGGGTTGCGTAGAATAACACTAGAAGGAACAAAAGAAGTAGAAGGCTAAAAACATACCACGGCACAGGAGATCTTTACTTTTCGTAGCTTTAGATATCATTTTCCTATTTATTGAGATAACCTTTATTTTAGCAATTTTTGTCAACAACTTATTCCTCATAGGAGATCCAGAACAAAGTTTATCCTTTAAATGATGATGATTTGTCAAAGGGCATGAGTTCACACCATACCAACTTAGTTTCATTTTTTCCTATGAATTCAAGGTTCCTAACGTTCCTTCCTTGAGAGCAAGGTTTCAAATCCGATACTTACTCTCATGAAAATGATTCACACGTTAGATAGAACAAGTTCTACCAATGATATAGTTTGTAAGAGAGTGAATCTCTCAGAAATCCACTTTCTGCAATTTCAAAACCATGAAAGTCAAAGAATAGTTGTTGTAACAAATAACTGTTATTGATGACAGTTGTAAATGCCCTATTTATGGGAACCCACATCCACCACATAAGGAGCCAACTTTTGAGGAAAATTTTACAAGTACCAATAATCATTTGTTCTTTTTATCAGGAAACAACAGAAATATTTTGAAGATGAGGATCTAAACGGCATTCAAATGAAGATCGGTTTACTCAATTTTTACGGTCATCATTATATTAAAGAACTTTTCAACTGATTGATAGGGAAAGAAAGACATCTAAAGCATATGAATATTTAAGAGGTTATTGCCTAGAAGTTAAAGTGGGCACGTGCATGGTGGAAGCACCTACAAGCCAACGATGCAAGAAAAATAAATTATTGGTACGTACAGGGACTAAAAGGACTGTTTCATGCCCCTTTGATTTATATGAAAATTAGCTTCTAATTATTTTGCAAGTGTATGGATAGTATGCAGGATGGCTGATAACACTGTCAGATTTCATCATCAATGTAATTTTTTAAAGAGATTTAGAACTAATACTTATTATTTAAATGGGGAACTATAAAAGCAGACGTTTTCACCCCATATTAACTTGTTCCCTATGATTTAATGATTTGATGGACTTCTAGGCTTCCACCATGTCATGGAAGAATACAATTATTGGCCTTAAGTAAAAAGAGGTGTAGACTGGTAATTTTTTAATCCATTTATTTCAATGAAATGAAATGAGGTTTACATCCGTTTTTTTTTTGGGAAAGGGGAATAGCAAAGATCTACGGATTTCTTAATTAGAACGAACCCACCCCAGTATTTCAGCTATCATTAAAATTAGTCTGAAATGTACCCAAATCACCTGAGACAGGTATTTCTTAAAATTGACAGCCTGCCTTGATGACAAGACCAGCCCCATTAAATGTTGCCTCTGGCTAGTGACATCTGGATTATGGACATCAATCCCTTGCATCAGTTATTCTGCCCCATCTGATTCCTTTACCTTTATTAAATTCTCATTACGGATCTAAACAATAACGTATCAGTTTGGACAGCAATGGAAACACCAAAATATTTGGTCATGGAGCAACCGATTTGTAGATATTTCCAAATTAGAAATGACATGGTCTTTGTAGAGACTGAGATAAAACCCCCTCTACAGATTACATCGACGCCAATTGGTTTGCAAGGAAAGAATATTCTGGTCTTTCCATGATATTTCCACTTTTTTTGTAAGATATGCAATGCATGGGAACAAGACTGGCAGACAGAATCACGAATGTAAACACCCTGATGACTAAATCTGTGGTTCATATCCTTTCACATGATATAAATTACACATTTTCTGAATTAGCAGGACAGTCCCTAAAACCTCATAGAGAGGAAAACCATCCTCATACATTATACCGACACACTACCTTCACCCTAAAAGATAAGGAGAGAATAAATTCACATGCCAGAGTTTTTCTGTAATTTGATTTGTGGGATGAGTACGCAAAAATTTATAATTTGAATAGCTTTGTTTTTAATGCTTTCTTTATTAATGATGAACCATAATAAAAGCATCCATTTGGTTTCCCTTTTGTACTTAGCAGGGAGTTAAGGAAGAAACTTGTTAGAAATATTTTCAGCAAGAACTTTAGTGGAGGAAAAACCGCAACCTACCGGGTGGAAACGAATGCATAGCTGAGAAGACATTCCATATATCACTCGAATGCAAATTCCCTTGGATATGTCCCACACGCGCACGGTTTTATCCATTGAGGATGAAGCAAGATACTGATTATTTGATGAAAAATCAAAATCTGTAATTTAGTTAGCATTCATAAAACAAGTAGGAACCTTCAGAAACATGGCTAGAAAAGCTGACATTAGAACACGACTCAAACCAAAATGGAAAATTCTACGTGGGAAAATTTTTTAGACAGAGCTAAGTAAAACAGGATGTGAAGGAAATAAGCTGAAGATCTCTCTATCCTCCTCTCTGACTGTGTTTCTTTTATTTTTTTTGCCTACATGATCATAGAATACAGCATTTGGCATATCATGAATACAATCATCATGCTTCCTTCTTGTACAACATGATGTACTATGCTTGAATGACAGGATAGGATAATCTCTACAATGTCAAGAAACAAACCATTTTCCTGAAAAGATTAGAGAAGCAATAGTAGGTTTATGGCAGAGTTTTTTTGAGACTTCAGACCAGATTCATGAGCTTGTCAGGAGCTTTAATAGACGCACATGTACAGACATTTGGGAATATGTAATGACTTATCTATGATCCAAAGTATTTCGCATTAGGTTTCATCTGCTTATGAGATATATTTGGCCCTATGTAACGCATAAACTACACCTTGTCTAATTTTTTAGAATAAGAGTTTTATGTGTCCGATTACCATTGGTTGACTTTGCTGAAAAGGCAATGTCTAAACAAGAACAGGGAAATGACAATTAATGAATAGGATAACCAGTAGTCTTTCCAATAATAGCCCCAAAAAAGTAAAGAGATGATCAAACCTGTAATATCTTTTGAATGCCCTTTCAGTTGTACGAGTATTGAAGGTGTTTCAGAGACATGGAAAACTGTCAGGCTTCCATCAGATGCACCACACGCAAGCAGATCAGAGCTCATGTGACCAAACCTTATAATTGTAACTGTATGAGCAATATGCACCGTATAAAATTCTCAATGTCAATGAAAAAAATGTTTAGAAAAAGAAAATTGTGAAAAAAATTTAGTCAAGAAGCTAAGACAGAACCTGAAGCTTTGCAGCTATCAAAAATACAGTGTACCCCAACAAATGAGTATCCAGGCTCAGCAGCAGGAATTGGGGGACTAAAATCCGTCATACTGGAGCTAAGACTTGTACCATGACCTAGGTCAAAATTGACGCCTCGGAAATCCTGTCAAAGAATCGTCCATCAAGGTGTGCAAACTGTTTGTGTCATAATTCAAGCATAAATATCTATGTTGATTAAAAAAGTAGAAATCTTGATGATTTCTATAAGGAATTTTTATCCTGGTGTATAATCGTATAATGGATGCAAACTCTGATATAATATGAATCTGAAAGAAAAAAAATTGATTATGTCATTCGTACCCTGCTTGAGTTCAGAGTCTCAACGTCAAAGAGAACGGACTGCGAACCAGTTGATGAAGCCCAACGCCCACTGAAGAAAGCCAGGCATATGTGAGGAATTTATGAGCATTGTTTAAGATTTAAACAGAAACAGAATTTTCGTCAGATCCAGTCAACATGAACTTCCCATTATTAAGGTATTTTCAGTTAGAAAAAAAACATAAACCAACTGCTCGGCAGATGTACAGTAGCAATTCTTCTGTTTGTTCACCATAGTTACATATCTAGTTCTGCGTCCAAAATTTTCATAACAGAAGCGAGTTCATTTTGCCCACTGATAGATGGCAATGACGCATGATATCAAATACCAAAGAAACCTTACAAGATGTAAGAATGACTAGTGTAATCAAAGTGTCACCACACATTTCATACAAGGCTCATACTTTTAATGAACCATCCTTCACTAGTGACTCCTATTTTACCATCATTTTAATACTTGTCCCAAGATATTCACTATAAGAAACAAAGACATTTTTCAAGTCGATCTAACTCAATGCTCTTCCTGTTCTATGCTTCAGTCATAAAAGGTTGCACTGGTTCACATCCTACCTGAGGCTGGACGAGACTCCCAAGGTCGTCAGAAACAGGAGCTTTAAAACTGCCCCTTCCCACCAAAAGGAAACAAAAAAATATGCTAAAGCCCTAGTTTAGATTAATATTAGCCGAGTCTTCAGAATGTAGACAATTAAAATATCTATAAATGTCAACAGCAAGCTTAACCAACCACAACATCACGCACTAGTTTAGATTTAGAAGCATAATATGCATTCGGTTTTCTTAGGGTAGAGTAGAGTCGAATTTAGGAGTATCAACATCTTTGTTACAGTATATCCCAGGTTACCAACTTTAATGAATGGTCCTCAAAATCAATATATGATCAGCTGGCAGAAGGATGATCTTCAAGAAAGAGCAAAAATTGACCAAGTTTTATCCCAATGCATTCAAGATACAAAACCTGAAGCAATTTTAAACTCTCTAATAAGAAGCTAGAAGTAGTGACAGTGCTCATGAAATTTTGCAACAGACAGAAGAAAGGTGGAAAACTAATAATATGGAATTGCATTCTTTTATAAAAGAAAGAATCTTTAAAAGGAGCCTTGATTGAATTATTCGAGTCAGTAAACAATGGCATCCCATGGCTTTTCACCTCTGTATTTAGCCCCCATGATGACTCATCTACAGACTATTTCTTGTTTCGTAACTCGTGTAAATTAAACATGGTTATGGATTGAAACCCTGAAAGAGAAAGAAATCCTAAATAGGAGGAAGAAACAAACAATAATGAGAGGAAACTGCTAACATTCATCAGACCTTTTCTTACTTGAGTTTTGTTTTTACTTCCCTTTGTTTTTGTTATGATGCCCTGGTGAGATCCGATATGGATCCATTGGGTCATGTCGGGATCATGAACCTTTCTACTTAAATACCGTAACACTAGGAACGAAAAGTAACCCTTTCCTGGAAACCTTTTTCTGTTCTCCTAATGGCAGAGGTGCCGTCACCCTAGGGCTGGATCAAACGATTTAACAGAAACTATTTCCATTTGAACTAGCAGGCTTCTTCGTCATCAAAATAGAGATGGTTAAGAGGACAAATGAGGGAGCAGAACAATGAGCAGATAGCGGTACTAAAATCAGACGAGAAACCATGAAAAACATAGAATTCGTCAGTAAAAACATTGAAAATGTCTTGGAAGCACCTGAAGACAGATGCTATGCAACTCTGTAATAAAGGATACAATAAATGGATATTTCAGGAAGAAATGAATTGAGACAGACAAAGTAAAATGACTGAAAAAAGGAGATCAAAAAACACAACATATTTTCATGTTGTGAATAATCACATGGAAAACGAGACTTATGACTTATTACATCAGAAATAAAGAACAGATGGTAGATGGATCACCAAAGTAAAAGAAACTTGTCCACCAAAACATGTTTAAGGACGAACTATGGAGGACTAGACTAGACGAAAATATCTTACTTAAAATTCAATGAAGTCATGATAAAAGATAACTCAAAGATTTTCTATGAAAGAAGATAAAAAAGGGTATTTAAATTCAAACCCAAACGGGCATTTCAATTTTATATGTGTCTTCATCAACATTTTCAGAGATTGGAGAACGACCTTATGGAGGTTTTAGAAGAATTTCAGAAGAGAGCCTAGTTAATAAAAATTTCAGCGCATGTTTTCTCACTGATACCGAAAAAAAGTAGCAGAACAGGCAACATGTCCCAGATACGTGGGTCTGTTAAAGGATTGTCAGAGAATTCTTGTGGGACAAAACTTGACTTCAATATGGGGCAAGCTGCAATTGGAGAATTAATGGCAAGAATTTAAAGAGGAGAAAATTCAACCATAAAAATGGCTTCTGATTTTGCCAGAAGTGTTTGTAGGATTGTAAATAAATTTTCACCACCAGAGATTATTGTAACTGGAGTTCGATAAATTTTCAACCATGTTGATTTATTGCAATGAGAGCTAAATTGCATGAATATAGGTGTGGACAGAATTGATTATGATGTTTGAGTCCAGATCTTGATGGAGGAAAAAACACTCTTAGTTGAAGGAAGATGGATCTTTTTCGAAACTAATCTAGCTCCTTTCACCCAATATCTGATATCAATCTTCAAGATACAGAAATTTAAAGAAGAAAATTCTTTTGAGGGGAACAAATAGCAATACTAAGGGTGTTACCAAGTCAAATAGAATAGAGTGTGTAGAATAGAGATTAACAAAAGAAGAAATGGATGTTATCAATGAGACAATTCTTTCTAAAAGTTTGTAGAAAACAACTCCTTACGGGCTGACATCAACAGAGAAACTTCGAAAATTGGAATGCTCAGAGATTTTCCATAATGAGCAGCTCTAGGTTGTCTCTAATTTTGAACGACATCTTCCAAAATATTTCTACAGGTTTTCAGACAGGCATTATACCGAAGCTGAAATTTTGGGATTACAATCAGGTTTTAGATTTCAGCAACGATACAAAGCATCTCAACACAAGGGTAATCAAACTCATGAGGTTCAGGTGAATAAACCACATACTAGAAAGAATCTTGTTAGAGAGAGAAATCACGGAATACTTCCAAACTCGTTAAAATCCTTCACTAAACCATTTGTAAAAGAGTGAGAAAGAGATATTGGAGATGGAATGAATGAGTATTCACTGTTTATTCCTTCTGAAAAACGTAAAGTGATGGAACATGTATAGTTGGGTATAGGAAAATGATTTGGAAGAATAAAGCTTCATAAAAAACATCATTTTTTTATTAAAAATAAACCGGTCAAGTGTATCAGAATCCAAACCCTCCCATCCAATATCCAAAAAAAACTTTTATGAGGTTAGCAAAAGGACATCATCAATCATCTCTTTTTGAGATGGGCAATTATTAATAAGTGTTAAAAGATTCTTCGTTTGCAAAAAAAATAGTTTTTCTAATGTCTGATAATCTTGATCAATGGCACGTACACAAACCAGCTATCTTAAGGATCGTAAGAAGGGAGAAAAATATACGAGATACAATTGACATGGCTATAATGCACGAATCAAACTGTCTAAGACCAATGGAAATGGGAAATGAACAACAATTCTCCAAAAAAAATATGATTCGTGCATTATTGCTCTAGTTTATGAGAAAGATGTTTTGTTCTAGTTTATTGCTCTTCACATTTACCAAAGCCTATCTAAACGGAGTAGATCTCTTCTGATCTTTCTATCTTATTGGAGTATTTTTTCTGCTCTTACTTTTCCCATTTTTAATTTAATTGTGTACCTTTCACTTATGATTTTTTTACAACTGTGGGCACGCCACTTCGACAGGACTTTTTCAGTAAAAAATAGTAAGGAGACTAGATAAGTGTGTATAAAGCCGCTGAACAGAAAGATCCCTTCATGAGTGTGGATAAACGAGGTTAAACTCAAGTGCAGCAGGGCGTGGTATTGGAGGGGTAATTGATTACCATAGCTTAAAATCTTTTGTTCGTAATTCAGTGATCGTTTATACTTTCAACCATTAGATGTTCGGATCAGAAATAATCACCATCCTCTTTATCAAATTATCAGATTGGGTTCTGATGTGATCTGTGACTGATCTGATTTTATGTTCACGGCTTAGTAAATTCTGTAAAAAGACTAACTTGCGCTGCTTGACTGGCATCCCCTTTTTACCTCCTTATCCTGCAATGGAGTCAACAGACTATAAAATAAAATAAATTAAATTTTTCCGACCCTAATATGTGAAATATCCACCACTATCGAAAATTGGAATATATGACTCAAATTTAAAGCTTTTATCTGAGGAGATCCATTCTCCATTCCGGGCCTCCCAAAAATGAATCAATTATCCTCCTCCCGAAGGCATTTCTATAGATGCAGAATCAAAGATGGAAAAACCAATCATTTGTGCTCGGAACTATGCAGTCATCCTTCATGTTCAGGGATACACAATTAACTTCTCTAAGTTTTATGTCTTCTGTAATTCTAGGTCCCAAAACTGCATCCCCTCAGGACAGGTTGACGCTTCCGAGGAGCGAAATTTCCTTCAAAGATTGGAGATACACTTTCCTACAAGAGATTGAATACCCTTCCCATCTTTTCGCATTAGCCCCTATGAGAGTTGTGCCGTTTCTCTCGTATCATGCGTCAGGGTTCATCAGTACGGTCCAATTAGATTGGGATCATCTTCTACCAACTGGCTGATTAAGATCAACTGCCTCCACCTTTGGTGATTCTTCATCTTAATCTCTTAGGCTTGGCCTCGACAAAAGCAGATGATGGTCAATTTCTGTTACCACTCCCTATGTTTCAGCATTCGTCTAGATTGCTCTGGGACAGGGTTCTATACCAGCTTGATCAGGCAAAGGGAGGAGGAGAAGGGGAGGGCAAGGATTGAAGAGGAATCCAGTCCTCGTAACTTGACGATTAGATCTGGACACTTTGGATAGAAGACACAAAAGAGCATAAAACCCACATCCCAAGGGGTAAGCAGCCAGAAAAAGGAGAAAGTTCCACGCAGGGGAATTTGAGCACCGACCTGTGCCCGGGAGTGCTCGACTGGCTCTCCTGGTTCCTTGGCCGGCGGATAAAATTCCGATAAGCCGTATAACCTCTGCCATTGCATTTCCATTCCTGTGAAACCACGTTTCCAACAGCAAATCAGGAAAAGAGATGCAAGTGAAACATGAGTAGATGAATCGGACAACATCTCCGTTCCTCGATCCTTGCTCCGCCTCTTACACTTTCTTTCAGGCATTTACCTTCCTGCGCTCTATAGCAGCCGGAAAGACCTCGGCCTTGCGACAGAGAAGGAGACGTCGCATGCCGATGTAGCTTCCCATTTCGGAGACCACGCCACCGTTGTCCGCGGCATCCTGCTTGGACAGAGGCTGGAGCAGACAGCAGAGAAATTCCCGGTGGTTCTTCGAGGCACTTTCCCCTTCACCTCTCCCCTCTTCTGCATTCTCCTCTGCCGGCATCTCCTCCATCTCCCTGCGGATCCAAGCCCCGCGCTTTGTCGCGCGTTCAGAGAAACAGAAGGAAGAGAAAAAGCCGACTTAACCGTTTGACGGCTAACTTTTAAAGGCCTGGCTGGTCTCCGTTGACCGTGGCGTTGACTAAAATCAGTAGATTTCTTGCTTTCATTCTCTCCATTATTATCGAAAGCAGCTCTATTTAAGCATCTCCACAAAACTTGATTCAAACACTTGCAGCTGACTTATATGCACCAGGTCAACGAAAGCCGCAATGAACGTGTTTCACGTGTTGGAGCTCCAGTCAACTCACACTAGCTAATGGTGATTACCTCACCTCTCCTTTCATCACCACCTATGATCATTCATGGTGTAAGAGCAAACGGCGTCATTGAACCCGGATCTCAGTACTGTTCGTCCACTTTCACACGTTTTTTTGCCAAAAAAACTCAGATTTCGACCAAGTTTTGTCCACTCCCTCGTATGATGCCTAAATATGGTCAATTTCTCAACCTGGTTTCACCATGGTTGACCTTAGGTTGTCAGTTGATGAATTATCTATTTTAATTAAATTCGTAAAAAATCATGGGATTATGTTGCTTCTTTTTCAATCATTTATTAAAATTTATATAATTTGCACACTTCTAATTAATAACTCTAAATATATGGATTTAAATCCCCATTCAATCACCTTGTTTCGTCTCTCTATGATAGGATTCTTGATGAAGCATAATAACCTTAGAACCTTATATAGAAACATATATATATATATATGAAATACTTTTAATAAGTTAAATCATATAAGAAATTACATGCAATAAAGAAATTATGCATTAACTCCCATGAAATATTTTGGTATTAAAAATTAATTGTGCAAAAGAATATTAGTTCACATGTTGAAAAACTTCCTCCATTCTCCAACTAAATGCAAAAATGGCAAAAGTGGTCAACCACCAAGCGTAAGAAAAAATTTATAGTCCTAATAATTATTTCATTATTTGTGTCAAGAAAAATAGAAAGTTTGATGATAATTAATTTAAAAGGCTTCAATATTAGGATTGGACGACTCAACTTTCTTGGATATTTTAATAATGATGAATTTTTTGGATCAGTTGACAAAGTTTGGATGATTTTTCAGAAATGTGAGAAAAATTGGTAGGATCAACAAGAGATGTGAAACAAAGGTGACAAAAGTAGTCTTTTGGAGTTCCAAAACTCTCTTTTTTTCTATTAAAAGGAAACATTCTGAACCCAATTCATCAACCTTCGAACCTTGCAGAAGGGAGGAGAGTATGTGAATGGAAGATTGAAGTATCAACGTCTGATAATGGAATAGAGTGTCAGGCATAACACCACTGCTCATGGAGAATCTTCCTGTGCATATATTCCAGTGGCTGGAGAAGAAGAGCAACCTCTTTCTCGCAGCAGCCTTCATTATTTAAAGAACACCACCATCCAAGATACTTGGAAGCAGGTCTTCTTTCTCTCATCATCCAAGAACATCATTCTGGTTTACAGAGACTGACTGATATGGCGAGGAGGACTCAAGGATCTACAGACGCAGGCAAGATAAGATGTCGACAGAAATATTGAGAACTGCAAGGTACCCATTTATTAGAGTAGCTACCTCGTAGCGTTGAGTAACAATGGCAGGTTGGCTGATGAACCCAAGTGAAAATGCTGAGCATGTGGCAGTGCCTGTTAGCTACAGGTGCCACTGTCCAACATCCTTCTCAAAGAATGTACACTCTGACTGCACCACCACCGGGAAATATAATGAATGCCCAACATTCTGCCAATCTGTTCCTCCCCACCACGCAAGTTAACATCCTAATCGAGGTCCAGCCCAACCACTAAAAAGGAGTTTGGATGAAACCAATTATCAGTGATGATGAAGAACACCACTGAGATCCGAAGATGAAACCTCTACAGACTCGAGGAAGAACGAATAAAGGAACCGAATAGATCCTTGGTTAGGGTTTGGAAAGGAAAGAAAGTAGTTTAATGCAATAACACGTATCACGAAAGTACAGAAGAGTAACTCCACATTATTTTGCTTGAAAAGCATTTACAATCGGTCGTTTTCCAAGTATGCACATTAATGAATGGGCATTATCTTGTCACCAGGTATACATCAAGAAAGAATGGAAACGATATGCTTATATATCATGTTTGTTACAAGACCATATGTAAAATACAAGAGCACAGCCCACTGTCATGATATTAAAGAACGCCCTTAAGGAAGAGCAACCACTCATACTCAGCTGCCCAGCATTAATAACATCATTCTTGCTAGATGATGAAGAGACATTAACAGGAAGAGAGCCTGCAGAAAAAAAATGTTTACAGGGAAAAAAAACTCAATATTCTTACTTGACAAGAGAAAAACAGTATCATCAATACTAGACTTACAGTCATAGTTAGTCCATCCAAGGCGCTGCCTCACAAGATCGTAAACAAATATCTTATCTTTAAGAACAATATCTGCATTGAAAAAATGATTTATAAAAAAAACTAACTTTATGGCATAATCTAGCGGACATTATTACCCAGAAAAATGAAAAATCCAATCTGATGTGGGTTTTGCTAGAAAATAAAATTGGCAAGAGACTATGCATCATACAGAGAAAAATCAATCTATTTGCAGCTAAGATTTAGATAAGGGACCATTTGGATCCAGTAACATCAACACTCCACACCAGCATCAATTGTCAAACCTGGTGTATTCACATCTGTGAAACATATAAAGGCACTACAATAAAATTACAAGTTGATAACGTGAACCCATAAGCAATTTTACTGAAATAGAATAAAAATGTAATGAAAATATTGCATGGTCGTGCAATAAAATTGCCGGCAATGTTAAACTCCTTTCCCATTGAACACAGTGCCTCATATTCTGATAGACAGGTAAGCATCCAAATCAGAGCCCGGCACAAGCAGTAAGCAGCATGACTTCTTTTTGCATGTTTCAACTCTAGATCTGTTCATAGAACTTGTCATCCTTTTTCTTTTTAGCAGAGTTGAGATACATTCTTCTTATTCGACCTATTCATGGGATTCATACGTTTTGTTAAATTATAACTTCCTGATGAAGGAACACTGGAGATCAACTGTTCCAAAATAGTGTCACCACTAAATAAGTTTATTTCATGCAATAATGTGGATGAAATAAGATCATGGTATGAAGCCCATTTGGAAGTTATACAGAACAAATCTCATGTGACAATATCCCCGGATGGAGCCTACTGGATAATGGATAAGGCCCAATCGGATGTCCATGAGATACATTATGTTTGATCAATTATGAGATGAAGCACATTTGGACATATTTGTGAAATAAGATATATTAAACAAGCTTCTAGGAAGAAACCCCTTTAAAAATCTACAGAATAAGAGCCAATTTGGCAATTTCTTAACATAAATCCAAAAAGAGTCTATGAGACATAATCAAACGATTATATACATTTGAGACCCCAAGCGATAAATTCCATTTGACATGTCTACGAGATGGAGTCCATTCGACTAGTCTAAGTGAAAGAGATCATTTGAACATTTACCAGATAAGGTCAATAGGCACAAGGTCCACATAAGATTTCCTGGGCCTATTTCTATTGGGCTTGGTCAGTAAAGACAGGATCTACATAAAGCCAACTTATGTGGGTCCAAGCTGCTGAAGGTCAGGGCTTGGGCTTTTGAAATAGGTTAACCTTTATAGTCCATCCTATATGGAGTTCGTGGAACGGGCTTTAGCTTCTTGAGATATGCCCAAGTATGGGCTTTTGAAATAGGGTACAATTGGTCTTCTTAAGGTGCTTAGCCTAACCTCTTTTCACTCCTTTCCCTTAAGCAGGGCACAAACAAAACCTTCTCAAGGTAACTATGGAGTCTTCTTTATTCTCGGTTCTCTCCCCTAGGATAGGATCATACTCCTTTTAAAGGTCCTAAGACTGTTAAAAAGACAAAGATGGCCTTTGATGATATTGTCATACCACTTGCAATTTTATCTTGGAATCATTTTTCTTCCAATTATTGGCTAGACTTGCAGATCAACTGAACTGCACCTTCCCAAAATGATTCGGTGGAATTTTGAGAAGGTGAACAACCTTTTATCTTCCTGAGCGTTTCAACCTGCGGCCCTTCAACAGCTTTAGCTGGCATTGGATGACAGGCTGGTGGTTCTTTTCTTCCACCTACCCATTGAATCATTATAATGGGGCCTTTATGGACATCAGACAACAAATAGGTTATGCACATGAAGACAGAGCATGACTGCCCCTTTGATGTCCTTCGGTCAATCAGTGGATGAGAATGGGGTGTTTCTCATGGGCTCGACAGACTATTCATTCTGACTGGCCCGTCATCTGTAACCTTTTCTGTTCCACTGTACTCACAAAGTAAAATAACTGTCTCCTACTTCGTGAATACATACAGCCAGGCATGCTCCTTCAATACTTCAATTTTTTTTATCAATGAAAACTGATTTTCGTATCCAGAAATGTTCAAAAATAATAAATAAAAACAGAATATCGATTTATGAAACACAAATAGTGCATAGGAACTCTGCCAATTAATTTATTAAAAGCACAAAGGATGTTAAAACAAGGCATACTTTTTATACAGGAGTCAGTCGACAGATAGACTTAGTCCCCATTATTTTCCATAAACGACACTGCAGAAATATAGTATAAAGCTAATCACAGATTGTTTTAGGTTCCCCAACAGCCCGTGCAGGTTAATGTCACTGAAATCAGATAAATTATCCAGAAGATGCTGCCAACCAACACGTCCAGTAAAAATAAGGCAACACAAAGAAAAAACGACGAACAGATTTCTGGTACACAGCTAAATGATCCAATTGCATTATACAATAAATATTATGCACAAACCTCCTAAAATTGTAACGCCTTGACCCTGGCTCTTTTGCCAGCCAATGCACCAAATTACAGCATCTCCCTGTAAAAAAAACAAAGGAATTAAAGACAGCTAATTAACGTATTCACAGCGAAATAATCGTGATCATTGCTTCTACAACCAAATTTCCAAATAACAAAGACCAGCTCACCACAGATCCTTGCTGCAGTAGATAGTCTTCAGGTTTTAATACCATCTGCGCGTTTCCTTCAAAAATTAGAGTAACAAAAGGAAAAATCTCACCAACCCTGAAAAAGAACATGAAAGTTAAAGAAGATTAAAACAGCTATATAACAAAAGAGAATCTCAAGAAGTAAATCAATTAGCCACTAAGATATTTTGTCTGAAATACTGGGTCAGAAAACTGGAACCAACCGGCTAAGTGTCACAAAACACTGGTTTCCTCTGATAACACGTGGCTGCACAACTTGCAGAACAGAAGCTGTTATCTGTAAAGCAGATCATAAAATTTAGTGCTAAATGCATCATCATAGCAAACTGACAAAAAAATGTCCACAGATTCAATGCAAATATCTATAAAGAAAAGGGAAACTGTGATCACGTGACTGGTTGAAATTTGAATCGTGTTCAACAATTTTCATAAGCCATTAGAGAAAAAATAAGAAAGAGGTGATGTATTCACACAAATACAGTTCTCGAATTCAAATATCCTGTGGCTACCCTTATGATGACGCACATAAATATTAATTTAACAAGAAAAAAACTGAAGATACTTACAGCATTGACAAAAGGATCATATGCTTCTTCTGCTAAATAAGCCAACGTTGTTCCTGAATCTATAATTGTTCCTTGGGTATTTGATGTAGAAAACACTGATGAATCAATAGGCAGTATCTGACCATTAACAGCAATGCTTCGCAGATTTAGATTGTAATGAGGCCTGAAATTTTGTGTTTTGAAATCAGCATTAAACTTCACAAGAACCTCAATGGCTTTTACGTTATATTTTAGAAATTTTTAAGCTAACAAAAGAATAGAACAATTAGGTATACGTGCTAGACATAAATATATAGTGCCCAAAATATTATGGCCTTCATTACTTGCAGCAGAGTCAACAATGCGATAAAATAAGACACTAGACATTTCCCCTTTGATCAATAAGTATGGAAGATGCTTCTGTCCGTGCAAACTGACATAGACCCACATTAAAGAGAATAGGCACAAGATTATACAATGAATACTCGAAACCAATCAAATAATTAATCCAGCAGGCCAACTATCAAAGTCATCCTTAAAGGTCATAGTAGCGCTTCAGATGAGTAGACAACAAGCAGCCATTTAAAGTGACACAAGGATCAAAATAAATGTCCAGAATAAATAATCTCCATGAGTGACACACGATTCTCACCGCATTATGTAAAGATAAGTCAAATACTCATTTAAACCATTATTGAAGAATATTTAGATATATAGTAACATAATTATAAAAAATATATAGTTTCTAATATTCAAAAAATAGCACCCATACTACATTACTGAACATGGAAAAATAAATCAGAATATGACTTATTTTATTTTAATACTATTAAAATAGAGCATCGTAGAAAGAAAATAGAGCATACTTTGATGAGAAAATTAATTAAAATAAGGACATATATTATGTATACAAGCTAGGCATCATTAGAATAAACAGAAAGTTGTGCAGTCGCATTCATGCTCATGCCACAGTTTGCTATTTGATTGCCCAATTGCTATAGCAATACGCTTCAGCTGAGTGATCACCATATTGACAAATCTTTCTGGCCACACAATTGAGTCAACAAATTTTAAAGAACCTGTGTTCGGCTGAACACACATAAGCAATCAATTGCCATCACACAATATGTATTCCGCTGAAGGCATAACTAGACAGTAGGATGAAGACATTTCATTACGTACATGAGGTATAAACAATTAGGCCCTCTTCTTGAAAATTATGGACAGTTCAAAAATCAACTAATCGATCATTAGCCAACCATTTATCCTAAAAATACAATTTCTCGAAGTCAATGAATCACAATCATCATCCCGAAGTCCCAACATTTTGGGATCATCCAAGTATCTAAGAAATTAAGTGACCGGCTGTCTACCAACTGAGGCCATTTTTGAAGATAAACACATTTTTAGATATTTACTCAGTATCTATCGAGAAACCCAAAGTTTTAGTCAATACCTTTACTAAACGTTACAAATATGTGAATAAAAAAGGCCATCAAACCTGATGTCAATCCAAGGAGGCATTTCAGGGAATTCAATTGTAGGATAAAACTTATTACCGGCTTAGGCAAAAGGTCATGGCACTGAGGGCAATTGATTAATGATACAGAAAAGTAAAGCATAGACTCCTCAATGATTTCCTGGCTAACAAGGAATTCTAGTTTACAGCAAAGACAGATAGTTGGAGCCATTACGCTTTAACAAGTATTTGAATATTAAAATCATGTGCACTGGTATCACAGTACTACACTGTTTAACAGAAAATGTGGAAAACTAAAAGTTGATTTCTTGTTGAGATTCGAAGTACAACTGCAAGGATAACAAGATTTCCATTGGCGATAGCCTCATACAGTTCATTTCGTATAAAGCAGGAAGGCATGAAAACATCAGAAAAAAGGTTTAATTTGGCACAAGGCCACTGTAATCATAATATATGGTAACCATGAAGGTAAGAACTGATGGCGGAAGAATCTGGTGACTATAATCGTAGTCTATTTCACTGTTTGGAGGAAGAATTGACCTCAGATACAGACAAAGAGACTAATGTCAACCATGAAGGTAACAGAGTAGAAGTGACTACACAAAGCATTGAAGAAATTGTTACATGCTGAAACGGCAGATAACCAAAAGTGTGAAATGTGGATTTTTGTGCTCATGTGGAGATTACCTGTTAGATGCACCCATGAGACCGGAGGATCAGAAATATTTTGCAGTTCACGGAACAATAGAAAAAGAGGTGATTACCAATAGATCAAAGGAGATGACAGAGCATGTTCTCAACGGTTAATCCTACAGAACATCAGGAAATAGAGAAACTATATGAAGTTTAAAGATTCATAGAAAAGTTCACGTGGCTGCTAGAAGGGCCTCGAGAAAATTAGATGAATGAGCATCTACTGCTGTTTTAGACAATTCAGGAGATTCAGCAGCAGGAATCAGGTAGTTCTAGAAGTTTGGGACGTAGAGAAATTACAGGAAATTCAAAGACAACAATGTCAAAGTTCATACTGCATGCCTTAAAGGGATTCAAGGCTGCGACCTGCATAGAATTATCAGCAATCATGAACATGCAAAGAGGTTTAACAACTGTAAAACTACTAGGGAATTGGAAGCAAATGCTCACGTGAGATATTGCAATTGAATAGGAGAAGGGATTTCTCCTCCTCTGCATGGAAGAGATATCTCACCATCTAGTTAGATTGGACTCTTCATTGTACAGGTAAGCAGATACAACCGACAGCATGTCATTCATGTAAAGTCTATTTAGTGCATACAAATAATGCGAGCTTGCCATTCAAACTACAAACCTAAACATTGAAGACAATCTAAGGAAAACTCCCGAGTCAATAGGTAATATTTAATAACTCATAAGATTAGCAGGTTCCTCTTCAGACGTGTTGAACAAGAATTGAAATTATTCCAAACCCATTAAAGAGCAGATTTGTCAATGGCTACAGATAGGTTGATTATGAAGATAATCAGATCCACAATTAGTTAAAAGAGAAACTAAAGGAGGACTTACTGGGATTGAACAAGGGGAGAGTAGACAATACCCGGTTCTACAATTTCCCCTAGGACCAGTATGCCTCCACCATTATCTGCACCTTTCAGGCAATGTGAGAAAACTTTCGGAGACACTCCCAAGGTGGACAACTGTGAGATGACAGATGGCCCATGCTGCCCAAATCCAAAAATCCCATCTACTGCTCTGTCAGGCTTGGTTAAGTCTCCTGACTGAAGGTTGCTACATCTGTTTCAAATATAAAGCACTGGAAAGATAAATTCACATGCATAATCAGGAGAAAAACAAATTCGAATATCAAATTAACTCTTCCATGAATTTCAAGTAAACATTCACCAGAATTTTTATATTTCTTAAATTACTAGTTAGTTGAAGCACTAGAAAGCTTTATTCTCACACAAGATAAACCTATATTTTGATCAGAGCCTTACCCAAAAATAATATTTGCAGAAGAGTTAAAAATTTGTTCATTTGAAATAATGGACTCAAAGTGCATTGTGTCTGACACGTAGTAGCCAGATGTGCCACTGCCATCACCATATTGAAAGGCGTAACCACACAGATTCCTCTGGGTTGCAGAAGAAGCACATATTGCATCAGAAGTTTGGAGGAAGGAGCTACATATCTGATCACCACAAGATATCAAAGATGATGTGGGGGATGCAACTGGGTCAAATGATTCCAGTTGAATCTGTCAAGAAGCACGGAGGAAAACGGTAAATAAAAGTGTGACATTTTTTGAAATGAATTCATCTCTGAACAGTAAAAATCCTCAAAGTACTGAAAGACATCATCAGAGAAAGAACTCACATTGAGGCCACTGGATGTGGGACAACCATTGCAAGGATTGCAGGTCACCCAGAGTATGTCACTGCCAGTATCAATCTGCACGTAGAATTCTTTCGGAGGGTTGCCTAATTTCACACGAGTGAAGTAAAGTCTGCAGAACGAATCACATCCAGCAATTCAGTTTAAAAGCAGAAGTTGTAAATTATTTTAGAGGAGAGAAATCGTTCGCAATTATGCAGAAATCGAGTTCGCTGGGAGAACCGATTGCCTCTCATCCGCAAGGCCAAACAAATCATCCAGACACTACCCAGGTAACATAGAAAGACGCACCAAGAAACGAAGAGAAGGACCCCTAGCTATATGAAACACTTGGAAATATAACTCATCGGTTATCTGCAAAAATATTGACGGAGGACAGCTGCCGAAGTTGACCTTACCCGACGCTGAAGGGGTTGGAGGAACCCTCGACAGGAAAGTCCACAACGCCGGGAATAGCCTGTAAGAGACGGCCGTGGCGCGCCTGGTCGTGGGCCTTGAGTTTCTCTAGCCCGGAGTTGAGGGGGAAGGTACGCTCCACCGTTAGATACGTCGACGGGAGGCCTGCGCAAGCCGCGAGAAGAGGCCCGCGCGAGAAGAGGAAGAGAACAAACAGGACAAAAACGTGAAGGGTCGCTGGGGGCGACGGCATCTATGTTCCCCACCTTCTTTCTCCCAACAGAGGGGCTGATTGGGATATCTCCTGCGATCCTGCTATCGTCGAAAATATCCTCTTGTGGGTTCCCGATTTCTTGCTGTTTTTGCCTCGTCCTTGGTGGCGGCGGAGAATTCCCGATTGCCGCAGTTCCCCTCTCCGTTCAAGGAGGGCAAGCGGGAATCTTCACTTCAAAGAATCAAGAAAGGATTATAGAGATGGCCTCGGTACGGGCAAGATCGGCCAAATGGGGGAGCGGGCAGAAGAGGAGGGAATGGATAGCGTGCGTCGGCTCTTCGCATTTCTTCTTGGTACCGTTTCCTACCAACTTCTGTATTCCTCTCAATCTCTCTACCACGCCTAGAAAGCTGTCATGAGAAAGCAAATCCACCTCCGTACGGGCTCTGGCAGCAGCGCCGGTTCCGTACCTTTCCTCCTCAACGCGTCAGCAATGGAAGAATTTCCCCAGGAGCTTTCTCAGCCGCTGTGTCAAGGTGCCACGATCTCCGCATCACAAGGCTTTCAAGGCAACTTCCGAAGGACTTCCCTACCCAAATACCCATTTAATATGACCGCCCACCTACTACTGAGAAGAGATTGGAGCTCGTATGGGAGGAGAACTGCTCAAGAGAAAGGGGTTTCCATCAAGACGTAATTTTTATTTTTGGTTTTAGAACTGAGTGACCCCTACCAAGAAAATTGGTATACATCATGGAATTTCCCGACAAGAAGCGATATTTCTTTAGCATTCTATTGCGCATAAACTGGGCGATATTATGATTATGACGAGGATTTGCATCGGTTGCGTGTGGGTAATGTCAACGGGCAAGGGTAAACTAAAGCCTGGCCCAAATTTTCTACTTTTCAACGTCAGTGACAACCCAACTCTCACAACTAGGCAAACCTGACGCGGCACCCATCCGGATTACATCTGGGCTTTGATGGGGTCTGGGAAAAAAGATTGGAGCCAACTTTTCTTTCCACCAACTCTCTCTCTCTCTCTCATTAGCTCAGCCCATTTTAGTCCTAACTCTTAAGTTAAGTTACCTTTTTCATTGTGTGGATGACTTGAAGTATATCTTTCTCAATGTTTGGATCTTTGTATGCACCTACTTGGCAATCAAAGTAGCACTAGTATTCATCAGTTGACCTAAAACTTGTCCCAATTCATAATGTTTTAATCAATGGGATGCATCTAGAACATACAAAGATGTTTAAATAGATTTAATTATAGAATACATTAACTTTTTATGTGGGCATATTTTTCTCATTCAACTTTTTAAATATGACTATGACGCATAGGCATCAATTTGTGAAACTACCTTACAACTTTGGACTTTAAAAAGGACCCTACAAAGCTAATGTGCTCCCCTACACCCTTGCCACTCACTACATGAGGTTCCATTCCACAACTGGCCCTTTGCTAAACTACTGGCAGCATTTCTCGATGTACCTGATATTTATCAAACTCTCTCCTTGTATGATCTGCTACATTGGCAACCTTAATAATTTTGTTTCCTTTCACTAGTTGTATTATTTCTCAGGGACATTGCACCCAGAACACAATCAAAGAATTGTAAGGTACTATCTTGGAGGTATATCCCTAATATATTATTTATTTAACTTTATTAAGGCCAAAAAAAATGATGGATTTGATTAAAACCAAGGAAAATAGATAAATTATCAAAGTTTGTTTTTTTATTAAGGATGCAAGCAAAATTAACCTCAAGGAGAGATCTATACAACAAGATATGGAATATCTTTCAATTCAAAGGTTATTTGTATGAAAATTTGAGAACCTTGGAAGTAGAATATTAAAATTGCTTCTCTAAGTAGAGATACAATAATCAAAGAGGAAGAATGAGAAACTTAGACCATGTTATCTCTTTCATACTCTGGTAGTACTTTGTGCTGGTCCCTCTAACAATTGCCAAATGGAACAAGAGGTGGGGTGCTCTTTTTCTGTACAAAGGGGGTAAGATAGTATACCTATGTTTGGTTCTGTACAAAATAAGTGACTTGACTCCTCCAGATAGGCTGGTTTAGGTGAGTCAACCTTAATTCATTGTAAAATCTGCAAACAAATATCTTTGTTATAATTTAGGTTCATACCCATTTCAATCTTCTAATAACGCCTCTCTTGAGTTTGACAAATTCATCAGAGTGTCAATGTTGATCACAAAGACATTAACTTGCCCTTACACTATTAGATTCACAATTCTAGTTAGCCTATGTGGATTTAGAGTTTTAGTTGACCAACCACTAGATCCTGAACATCAATTAGTCAAGGAATTAATTCACAAGTCTAGTAAGTCATACATTAGACATTCTACACACCAATTTGTCATTCTATGTTTACAATCGTATAATAGCTCAGGATGTTCCAAACACACCTCCAATTGGTCTCTACCAATATGAACCTTTACAATGACTATACATGAAAAGATTATTCCAACCCAAAAGGTAGATGCTTCCTAAAGAACATTCTCATGAGCTTGGAATGTAGAAGCTTTGGGCTTTGGGGCACAACATGTTTTCACCCATTGATCTTCAATGAATGCTTTGAAAGAATGTAAAATTTTTATACTAGAAGGGCTGTTTAATGAACACAATATAATCTATTTAAACATATTCATTTCATGTTTTTTTAGAGATCAAACAGTTGGAAGAAACCATTGCTCCAACAATAACTTGCACGTTTTTAGTGATTGGTTCATGATACAATAATAATATGTTGGTCTTGTTTGTTTTCTACGAAGTGGTTGCTTTGTACAAGATGAGTTGACCTCTGTGGATTGATGCAAATTAGGTAGGTCAGCTTCTATCTTGAAACTTAGAGAGATGACAAACTATTATGAATTTGATCCCAATTATCTCTGCAATTGAGGTTAGAACAGAAATATGTCATTTTAAGATATAAGATCAAATATAACACTAGAATTATTATTTTGAATTTTTGAATTTTAAAAAAATTAAAAATCATTGTTAACCCAAAGTCAACAATTTGCATCTTAATTGCCCTTTGTATAATCGTCTATCTAACGAAAGAACTCGTTGCTAGAATTGTCTTCAACTTATCATCTACCTTGGAACATGTATTGGTAATGTCTCCTCATCTGTGTCATCATATGCTCTAGTTAACTTATTGCATTCAAAGTTTTTCACCAAGCAAAGAATCAAGTCCACGTATAAGTTGCCATGTTTACCCTTGTAAGAAGAAGTCAATCCAAAAGGATACAAGCAAGGTAGGAGAGATTCAATGAAGCTTTTGTGTTGCATGTGAAATGGATCCTTTTTTAGAATATCTTCACAATAAAAGAAAAAAATAATAAGTTTATATATATATATATATATATATTCTTGCTTCATTAGCTTGATAAAGTACTATTCTTTTAATGAAAACAAAGTAATTAGTATGATGCCTCTAGAACATGTTGTAGGCTTCTCAGTTGGTTGACCAGATCGAAAGGATTATATTTCCTTTTGCAAATTACAAAGCGAGAGTAGACGTCTTTGTTGGGCACATTCAAGGAGCTATCTCACGTGGGCTCCTCGCATGCTTCACCCACCCCGTATCTCACGGGGTGAATCGGGCAGTACAGATGTCTTCTCTTTGCGCAGAATCGGGTCTGATCAGGAGATTTCAATGTTGAATCGGTTTGGCGTCGGCCCGTTTTTAGGAAATCCGCCTTGGCGTGGGCGAGTCAACTCAGCTCGTCAGACAATTGCCTAGTCGACCCGGTCCAATCGGACGATCCTATCCCGTTCCTGAATCGGCCAGACTGATCATTTCTCTAATACAAGGACCTCTCGTCGGCCAGAAGTGCTTCTTGGCGGGGAGAGACTGCGGAGGTTCCCCACCTCCTCTGGGGCGAATGGCGCCGTTCTCGCTCTCCGCGCTTCTGAACCAGCCGCACCCCGCCGTCCGCGTCGGCCTCTTGCGGTGCCGGAGCCGCCGTCCGGCTCTCTCCTCTTCCGTGTTTCGTCGCCCGTTGGCCCACTTCGGAGTGTTTCCTCATAGGTTGGAATCCTCCGCAGGTCCCTCAACAAGCTTGAGCCGCCTCTCCGATTCCTACGTTCTTCCCCAGAAGTCTGGAATCAATGGAAACGGCTTCCTCGTTCCCAAGTCGGGCGCTGCCCACAGAACCTGCCGTCTTGTACGCTGGAGCGGGTCGATTGCTGCAGCGGCGTCAGTTGATAGCCAGGTCGAGTAAGTGTTTTTCTTCTCCATTACCCCGACTATTTTTATGACACAGTTAAGAGTCTCGAGAAAGGAAATTAACAGAATGTAGGGATTCTCCATCCAGATTTATAGACTAGTCTACCGAACATGATTCCCTTTACAAATGTGTATTTACATCCTCTATCATGGACCAAATTTCCTACATTCAACGAATGTAGTAATCATGTGATCGTGTTGAATGTGGCTGAAAATTAATTTTCTTAATCAAGAAGGGCATACTCCAATGTGCGTAAAATTTTCTCAGTCTAATTCTGGGATATGGAAGTAAATGATAAAGTGTTCCCAAAATATTGATGAGTGAATGGATTTACGTCTAAGATCAGTACACTATTCGGAGTTGGGTGTTTCCTGCCTCATATTATTGATGGGAAAAGGTTATATGCGAAATGCCCATCATATTTTGAATTAATAGATGAGAGAGAAAAAAATCAGAAAACCTCGGAAATACCTTTAGAAAGTCATTAAACATTAAATATTTGTTGTCCATTCTCACCAGTTTAAAAAAATGGTATCATGAACTTGGATTTTAAGGTGATAAAGTCAAGCAAGGCCTCCTATAATTGAACTTTTCAATGTTTTTTTCATACTTATGTTTTCATTTTTGTAGTTACCATTTTTTGTTCTATTGTATGAAATTTATAGATTTTTTATGAATTTTATTTTTATGCTTTTTCGTAAATATGGTTTAGACCGGTTCATGCATGGTTGATCCACTGGGTAAAAATACAGCCGAGCACGTATGACATTTTTCTGAGCGAAAGTCACATTCCACATCTCTTGGGCATTTGTGTGGCTCGCATTCAGCTGAATGTTTCATTGCATGTGCGTGAGTTGTTCCCACCCTGACTGCGCATGCACGATTTGGGCACATTTATGATGTCTTGCTTGCTTTCACTAGGTGATATGGCACGTGACATTTAAGATGTCTTATTCCAGGGCTTTGCAGCAAAGATTTAGGCACTCTAACCAGTTCAAGGGTCCCAAGGTGGTTCCCAGTACCTAACTAACCTTATCTTCACTAGGTGATACATTGAGAATCATGTTGGGACCTCAAAATGCGATCATTCGCCTTTTTGACAGAGGGAATTTCCAGGCAAGTTGTAGTATAATCTCTGGATTTTTCATGACATAGATGTCTGCTCTGGGGTGATATCTATATATATATATATATATCATGTGCCAAAGGGTAACATCTGACTCCAATCACGTTTCAGTACTCTTTGGATTAAATCGACTAAATAAATGGACACAGTTGAAGATTTGTTTCAAAGTTTTTTGGTAAAATGAGATACTGGAACTATTGAGTAAATTGCGTGAATGAGTAGCGAGCCAGAACTTTCTTTGAGGGTCGATGGACCTCTAGAAAGTTCTGGCATGCAGTATTGTTAAGTATCTTGATATAGGATCCATTATTTATGATCCAGGAGATGCAAGTGCTAAATAATTCAAGTTGCAAAGCTTACTCTATCAGGGATATACTTAGACTTTTTATCATAAAAGTTATCAAGAAGAATGTCACAACTGCGATGTGAATCATGATCTGATAATTGCTTAACTCCTTAAATGAGTGAAACCTGTGTCATGAGTTCAATAAACATGTAGACCCTATTCAATACAACATTTACTTCACAAATTAACTCCCCCATTGTTATTTGGGAAAGCATCCTTAGCAATGTTTTCCATGGTCCCCAAATTTAAGTGTCCATGGCAAGCAGCGTTTATAGTAGTACATAGTTCTGTTTGACTTATCATGTGATGTTTTTTCCCAGATATGCCAACCTAGTATATAACGACAGATATATTGCACTTCTATTAATTAGGAGCATAAATCAATTGATTCTATACACGTATATGTGTACTGTCAATGACAACTTGATCTACCTGATGGATCCAATGATTCCAATCTACCTTCTGATTTATTAAATATGAGCACCAGCTACTTTCTCTATCAATGTCACAAATTTCTTGTTCAGTGATTCATTTTTCAAAAAAATTGAAAAGGATATGCCTGTCAAATATCCCAAAATATATGTTGGAGGAACATGCAGATTTCTTATGAGAAATTTAAAATTATGCTTACCAATTTGAAAGTTACAAGCGTGCAAGTCTTTTTTTATAACCAAGCACCTTTTTTAAAAGGCCACTTGTTCAACCCAAGAAAGGTTACATTAGTTTTGGGAGTTAGGTCCGAGTACTGACTTCTTAATAGCTTTTTTCCGAAGTTTTTGGAGAGAATTTTTTTTGATGATGCATCACTACCGCAGAAACTTTTGAGGTGACGAGAAAGTTTAAAACCACCCTTCTTCAGGGTACTCAGTCATTAATATTTTCGTTGCTATCATCTCACATGGCATTTTGGCATATTAATCTAGGCCTATTTATAAAATTCTATATTCATGAGTTTCCGTGTAAGCTTTGTAGCTAACTCGGCATTCTTCTTCTTCTTGCTTATTTTTCCTCCTCTTAACTTCTTTTGTTTTTATATATTCCGGAAGTAATTTGTCTTCTACTTTGGTGGCATTATGGTTGTATTCAAAGAAATGTTTTGTATTTTGTTAAGGGTTTAGGAGAAATATTTTTCTGGAAAATCATGGTGCGGTATTTTTTTTTTTTTGAAATAATATGTCTACCTCTTTTTCTTTTAGTTTTATTGGTTCAAGTGCTGTTTAGAAAATGAACATGGATTATGGAGTTTGAAAAAGTATTAAAGAGAGTTTCCCCCTATTCTGCTTTCTCAGCTTGGCACCAACGTACAGTTCGGTCCCGCACAAAGGTCGGATATACCATGAGACATATGGATGCCAAATGAATATTAATGACATGGAAATAGTGTTATCTATCATGAAGAAAGAAGGTTACGTGGAAGTTGTGCAGGACCCAGAGAGTGCAGAAATTATCTTTATCAATACGTGTGCCATCAGAGACAATGCTGAGCAGAAAGTATGGCACAGGCTTAACTACTTCTGGTTTCTTAAAAGAGAATGGAAAAGCAATGTTTCTACTGGAAGGGCATATTCTTCACGTCCTCCGAAGATAGTCGTTTTGGGGTGCATGGCGGAGAGGTTGAAAGATAAAATACTGGACGCAGACAAGATGGTAGATGTAGTTTGTGGACCCGATGCGTACAGGGATTTGCCTCGTTTGTTGGAAGAGGTTGATTATGGACAAAAGGGTATCAACACTCTTCTATCCCTCGAGGAGACATACGCTGATATTAGTCCAGTCAGGATTGCTAGCAATTCGGTCACTGCATTTGTTTCAATCATGAGGGGATGTAATAATATGTGTTCCTTTTGCATTGTTCCGTTCACTAGAGGAAGAGAGAGATCTCGTCCTGTGGAATCAATCGTGAGAGAGGTTGGTGAGCTTTGGAAGGAAGGAGTGAAGGAAGTAATGCTTCTGGGCCAGAATGTGAATAGCTACAACGATGCTTCAGAGCTCAAAGATGTTGAACATGGAAGCAACTGGCAACTTAGTGAAGGGTTTAAGAGCATGTCCAAAGTTAAGACCATGGGATTGCGATTCTCGGATCTCTTGGACAGACTATCCACCGAATTTCCAGAGATGCGTTTCCGATTTACATCCCCACATCCCAAGGATTTTCCTGATGATCTTCTTATTCTGATGAGAGATAGGTATAATGTCTGCAAAAATATTCATCTGCCAGCGCAATCAGGGAACACACTGGTGCTTGAAAGAATGCGCCGTGGTTATTCACGAGAGGCATACTTGGATCTTGTGGAGAAAATCCGGAGTATCATTCCTGACGTTGGGTTAAGTAGTGATTTCATTTGCGGTAAGTATTTGTTCAAGTTATTTTTGTATCATCTTCCACATTTTCCCATGTTTGCTCTCTTATTTATGGTAAAGACCTTCATTTTGAATATTTTCACTATGGGTCGTCTATTTCTTCAAAGCTGTAGCGGGCATGTCTAATATAACTTCAACCCATTAGGGTTTTCCGAATTCGATCTCTTAACAACTCTTTGCTTTATTTTATATCACGAGGACGTGTGAATTGCTTGTATCATGCTGTGCTTCTTTGAAAATTTTCATACATCATAGAAATGCCTTCTCTAAAAGCACAAGGACGAGCCTTTAGCATATCCCTCTGCTTTTATTGATGGTATGATAGATTGAATGGGTACCATGGACACAAAGAATTGCACATCTACTGATATATTATGTATTAGTTCGTCTAGTATTCCAATTTCATAAAACCTTATAATCTCCTACTATATAAGGACAATTTGCAAAGTTAAAATGTTTCCACTAGATCATCAGCAGATTAATTTTTTGAAAAGAACAAACGATTTTTGCTCATTTTTCTCCACCCTTGCAACAGAGAGCTTGGGTTTTCAACATGTGCATCCATTACATCCCCAATCCTTCATAGGGGAATCTTGTCACAACGGCGCAATCAAACTGCTTTCCCTTAGTCTTTTAGTACCGTTTGCATGAAGTGCAGTGCGCCTAATCAGGCTCATATTGGTGTCTGTTGCTGGGTCCTGTTGCTTCAGGATTCTGTGGAGAGACAGAGGAGGAACATGGCGACACCTTAAGCCTTGTGAAAGCCGTTGGATATGACATGGCTTACATGTTCGCGTACAGCATGAGGGAGAAAACCCATGCCCACAGGAACTATGTCGACGACGTTCCAGATGATGTGAAGCAGAGGAGATTGTCTGAGCTCATCGCTACCTTCCGAGAAACCACAGGCCAGTGCTACGACGCCCAAGTCGGAACCGTCCAGCTGGTTCTCGTGGAAGGACCCAACAAAAGAGCGCCGGAAAAGGAGCTGATGGGGAAGAGTGACAGAGGCCACAGAGTCTCATTCCTCAGTGAACCTCTGGAGCACTCGTTTGAGGCGGATGGTATGAGAAAACCTCAGATTGGAGACTATGTGGAAGTTCATATTCTAACATCTTCACGAGCATCTCTATTTGGAAAGGCTCTTGCTCGTACAACCCTCGGCTCATTCCACAATGGGAAGGCATCGTCCTCGAGAGAAAGAACGTGTTGAGTTCTTTGGATCCTCATTTAAACAAGGACTGAAGATCATCATCCCCCTACTGTAATGTGATTCTGTCACTTTTGTTCTTCTTTTTTTCTCCTTTTTTTTATTTTAACTAATCATCGTTTGTTCATAGACTTGAGATGATTTTTTGATTATTTTGATTTAGGCCCATATGTGGATCGAGCTTTGTGGGTTATCTCGATTCGGATCTTCCCTATCAATTGAAGTCAACACCCTTGATTAATTATTGTGATAGGAATAAGAATATTATTTCGTCTTAAAAACTATTAATTTGATTCCATATCGTTCATGAGGAATAAACTTGATGATAATTTTGTATAAAACAATTTATTAAGTAATCTTCAAGATGAAGGACATGGAGGTAATTTTCTAGTTCACCTAGTGCTTTTTTTTGGATAAGGCTTGCTCATTGATTCATAAGATTGAGCCCGTTTTACAACTTCTTAAGTCAAAACTTGCTTAATTATTTTTAAGATATGACTCATTTGTTATAAATATAAGAATTAGGTATAAATTAGACATACGATCCATATTAGGATCAACAGATCTATTTAGTGAGATGATTGAGTATTAGGCATGTTAGGGTGTGAATTAAGCGTTAAGGGGTCCATATTACCCTAAGGCTAGGTATTTTTATGGAATCACCCATTTAACAATATGACTGACTATCAAGCATCAGGCTCTCATATTAGATCAATCGGGCGGTAGAGTACAAAACCCTAAATCAGGCCATGAGGGCTTACTATCTTTGGACTGAATCATCAGGCTAAAGGTTCAGAACTAAATTAATTAACTCATTTAGTAGTAGTTTCAACTAAAACTGGGCACAAAGCCAATGATCGCACGGGTCAGATTATGCTCTACTTTTTAATTTATTCATCAGCTTCTCGGAAGAGGGTTGAGTAATGGGCCGGCCTTATTTCTGGGTAAACTGTACTAATCGAGAAGAAATAGCTGTCATTGTCCTTTTAAAAAGACTGAAATGCCCCCCAACATGTTACGAGAATTTTAGGGCAAATGGGTCATCTCCTACCTTGCTTCGCCGGCTTCGGGTGGACGGTGGAGATGACGGTGGAGCATTGCTTCTCTCTCTTCGTCCTTACTTTCTCTCTCTTTCTCCAGTTCTTTCCTTTTTTTTTTTCTTTTTTTTTTTGTGACTTGAGTGAGGCCTCATATCCCTCTAAGATGGGGAGATACCCATTTCCTGCAGGTGTTCTTCTTCACTGTGGCCCTCTATTATTGTATTATCTCCTGCCAAAACCTAACTAGATCCTCTGCTTCCTGCTGCGAAGCAGCCAGATTTCAGCACCGCCCACAGGCTGCATTCTTTACTCTCGTTCAGTTGTCGGTAGATGAGATATCGATAATCAGTGAGAAACAGCCCAGAATCACAGAGGTGGGAGCTTCCCCAGCGAGCCGGCTCATCAGCCATGCATGGAGCATGCTTACAAGTGCGGCACTTGTTAGCTGTTGAGAAATGCAACAGCTTTTAAAGAAAAGCTCACCGCATGTGACAAGCTTCGTGTATGAACATCAAGAACACAACCAGCCACCGTTGACCACATGTACTGCCCAGTTCCATGCACGTGAGGCTCATAGAGTCTTCATGCACTCTTTCATGTGTATTTATCGCTATGCTTTTACTGGAGCTTGCTACCTAGAAACCCTAGAGACCGACCCTTTCTTCTCTTCGGAGCTCCATGGACTACATCAGGACTCGAGTAAAAGACAATTAGATCGCTATTACTGATCAGTAAATTAATCATATTTATTAAAAAAATCAACTTTATATTCTGTCGCTGAACCATTAATATTGGGTAGCAATCCAAAGTCACATGCGCATTAATCTTAGAATCTAATGATAAGAAGAGAATATATAAATATAATACTAATTTTCTTCATGTGATGGTACCCTTTTTGATAGATATTGCAGGGTGCCAATAAAAAGAATTAAACATGATTTTACGTAAAAATTAATCTCCATCTAAGTTTTTAGGTTAAAAAGTATGTTCATAAGAATGCCGACTCAATAGATTTAAGCATATTACTCATGTAATATGGGGTAGAAGAAGGGGTAAATTTATAAATTTGGCTACCTGATGTCAGGGGTGGTTTGGATTCTCCCTCCTCGCCGGTGGGTTTCGCCCACTCGAAGTACCCACACTCATGCGGATGCGTTAAACCTGTCCGGCCCCCCACCTCGTGGGAGCATGCCGCACTTGATGATGCTGCATGTGATCTTCACGAGTACTGATGCGTGCTCTGCGGGTCCGCCGCCCTACCCGACAGAAACAGTTGGTGACTTGGGCAGCACCCCTACCCATCACCGTCCCACTGCCGGTACAGTAGCCCTTCCACCTCCATATACTTAGTCCAAAAGCTGCAGTCCAGAGAGTCAGGCAGGAGGAGGTGAGGAAAATCGTGATCTCTCCCCTCCTCTCCTTCTCTCACTCGGGCTCCCCGCTCTTTTCTGTTTCCCGCATTTCTGCGGGGTTTTTTTTCAGGTGGGTTTCAATTTTCCCTCCTTCAACCCGCACCCGCCACCTCTTCTTTCGGGGGGAGGAAGTGAGGGTTTGGAGGACGAGGGATCTGTCGTTCTTCGGAATGGGAATGATGGCGTGGCCGGGAGTCTCGCTGTTGAGTCTGCTGCTGTTTTTGCTGCTGCTCCCGGTTGCCCAGTGTGGGGTGACCTACGACAGGAAGGCCCTCATTATCAATGGTCAGAGGAAGATCCTCTTCTCCGGCGCCATACACTACCCCAGAAGCACACCTGACGTATGAATCTCCCTCCTTTTTTCCTCAAATACGAGGACAAGCTCTGGGCTGTTGGGTCGATTTCTGCCGTTTTTTTTGTCGCTGATGGGTTGTTGTGCTGTGTGACGTGTAGATGTGGAAAGGGCTGGTAGAGAAGGCTAAGGATGGAGGTCTGGATGCGGTGGAGACCTACGTTTTCTGGGACGGTCATGAGCCATCTCCTGGCAAGGTGCTGTCCCGAGCATCTTCTTCCTTCTATTGAATGTTCCATTTCTTCTCAGATTTTCTATTTTTTGTCATTTCTGTGGCAATGTAGGTAGATGGTCTTATTAATTTTGCTTTCTTTTGTATATATTCCGGATTCACGGTTCTCTTTCGCCTGTTTAAATCTCTTGCAGTACAATTTCGAAGGGAGATACAATCTGGTGAGGTTCGTGAAGACAGCGAGGGATGCAGGCCTTTATGTTGTTCTCCGAGTCGGGCCATATGTCTGCGCAGAGTGGAATTTTGGGTACCCTCCTCCCGGATCTCATCTCTTTTGCTCCCTCTTCATCTTCTTTTCATATTTTTCTACTACTTTTCTATGTATACTGTTCATTTTGTTCTTGACGGATGATGGGATTATATGTAGCTAGGAAGTTGAAAGTGATGACTACTGGGTTGAGATCATTCAAATTTTTTTATTAAATATTTTTCTTCTCAGTGGGCTTCCTGTTTGGCTGAAGTATGTGCCGGGGATCAGTTTTAGGACGGACAATGAGCCCTTCAAGGTCCACATTTCCTCCCCGTTCCTCTTTCCCTTTTTTGGCCATGCCTGCCATGTAGAAGGATGAGATAGTGAGAAATTACCCGCGAAGAAACAGAGAACTTATGTCCTCTTATCTTCTTCCCTCTTAATCTAGATGTGGTGTTGCAGGCTGCAATGGAAGGTTTCGTGCGGAAGATTGTGGAGATGATGAAGGCTGAATCACTGTTCGAGTCTCAAGGTGGCCCTATCATCCTAGCACAGGCATGTTCTTGGCATCCTCTTCTGTGCCCAATTCGTTTACTCAGATATTACCTACCACTTGTGGATTCCCGGGGCAAATACCAGGAAGGTGAAATAACAAGTCCAGAAGTCAACCTTTTGCAGATCGAGAATGAGTATGGACCAGAGAGCAGATCACTTGGATCCGCCGGTCACACTTATATGACTTGGGCGGCAGAAATGGCTGTGGGGCTTAATACTGGTGTTCCATGGACCATGTGCAAGGAAGAGGATGCCCCAGACCCAGTGGTGAGATATTTTTTTAAAAATTAATTTTCTAATCACCAGGGTCCATAGCTCCTTGTATTTTATACCAGATTATATATATGCCCTTTGAAAAGCATCGTTGAACTAGGAAGATTTCATTTCTGAAGGATATTTTTGTGCTGAAATAATGGCACTAGCTCTCATCATTTGTCTTGGCACTTCAGAGAAATAAGCCAAATCGTCTTATTTTTATTGTTTTTCTGCTTGAAGGAGAGAAATTTTGTGTCAATCTCTCGTCATTCATTTGGACCCCCCGATTTAGGGCCTAGAATTTGCATTCCTTTTTTAATGGACTGTTTGTAACAGTTTACTTACTGAAACAGATAAACACGTGCAATGGCTTCTACTGTGACAGTTTCACTCCCAACAAGCCGTACAAGCCTATGATGTGGACTGAAGCCTGGACTGGCTGGTAAGCTTCTATAAATCTATATATACATATATATCATGGATTTTATTTTCTCTAGGAACTAATTTTCACACAAACCTCAGTTCTTGGTACCCACGATTAATTTCCACATGCATCCAGTGAAGAACGCGGACCCCTCAAGCTAATTGTCCCTCCGTTTGAAATCACAGGTTCTCAGAGTTTGGGGGCACAGTGAAGAAGCGACCGGTCGAGGATTTGGCATTTGCGGTGGCTCGGTTTGTGCAGTCGGGTGGATCATTTATCAACTACTACATGGTCAGAGCTCTTGCTTTCTAAATTGTTCAGATGGGTTTTCTGTTTTCCTGAACAAGACCCGTCGTTACATCGATAACAGTATCACGGAGGAACCAACTTTGGGCGCACAGCTGGTGGTCCGTTCATCACGACCAGCTACGACTACGATGCGCCGATTGATGAATATGGTTGGTTGCATTGCTCATGTTCAGTACTTCAGTACCTTACAGTTCTATGCTTTATCAAGTAAAAGTTTGATGCTGAAGAGCGGTACTCTGGCTTTATTTCATACCCACCAGGCTTTTCATCACTCTGCTTCTTGCGCAGGCGTTATAAGAGAACCGAAGTATGGGCACCTGAAGGAGCTGCATCGGGCCATAAAGCTGTGTGAAGGAGCTTTAGTTTCATCGAATCCAACTGTTACTTCATTAGGAACTTATCAGCAGGTTAGGAATCCTCTTCTTCCCTATTCTGGCATTTGCTTAACAATATAACACAGCTAACTGCGTTTTATGGCAGGCCCACGTCTTCTCTTCTGGGAATGGAGAGTGTGCTGCTTTTCTCTCCAATTTTGACTCTAATGCCGTTGCGAGGGTTCTGTTCAACGACATGCACTACACTCTTCCAGCCTGGTCGATCAGTATCCTTCCTGACTGCCGAAATGTGGTGTTTAACACAGCAAAGGTACGGTCAACGGACCACTCGAACCATTTTTTTTGAGTCCTTCAACATATCCGCTACTTCTTCTCAATTGACTTCATGAGATATTTTGGGTTTTTTGTGCCCTTTGACGTTTTCCATCCGACAAATTGGTGTTTAGCTGCCAAAGATCTATCTTGTTCCCCCCATCAATTCAGATATTTAGTTCTTCGCAAGAATCCATGGACTAAAGTCTTCCATCTCCATTACAGGTTGGAGTTCAGACGTCCCAGATGGATATGATTGAAACCAGGGAACTGTCATTATCATGGGAAAGGTATGATGAGGAAGTTGCTTCAACGGGGGATAACTCCCTATTCACAACAGTTGGTCTCTTGGAGCAGATCAATGTCACAAGGGACATGACTGACTATTTATGGTACATCACAAGGTAAGATCAAGACCAACTTTCATATACTTCCGTCGTGGAAGAATTTGACAGGATTTCAGAAATCTTGTCGCTCTCTTCCTCTCCTCTGTGCATGCACTTTTCTCCGTATTTAGGTGGAATTCTCTACAATTTTGTCTCACAACTTTACTCTCTCTCTCTCTCTCTCTCTCTCTCTCTCTCTCTCTCTCTCTCTCTCTCTATATCAGTAAGAGATAAAATTCTGAAAGATTTAGCCACCAAGTTTCGATCTTGATGGAGTCTGGTTGTTGCCCACCTTGTACCTGAGCGACTAATGATTCGTTATTTATAGATAATGTATAGCAATATATGTTGTATGGTCTCTGTTCTCCCTAGATTTGCAGAGATTCTATTATAGCCGCTAATTTCATTTATTGAATTCCAGCGTTGATATCAGTCCCTCAGAATCTTGTCTCAGAGGAGGAAAACCTCCCGTTCTCAGTGTACAGTCTGCTGGGCATGCTTTGCATATTTTTGTCAATGGACGGCTTTCAGGTGGATTGACTTTCTTCCAATTCTGGCAGATAGCTATTGCTTATTATGCGTCGAACTGACTGTTGATTTCACAACAGGATCCGCCTATGGCACCCGGGAGAACAAGCGTTTCATGTACACTGGGAACGTTGACCTTCGAGCTGGGTCAAACCGAATCGCTCTCCTCAGTGTAGCCGTCGGGCTGCCGGTCAGTACTCCACACGCAACGCATCTGTCTTTTGCTTCAGCCAAAATCTACGAAATGAATAAACTTTTTGCATTGGGCATTGAGCTTCTGTGATGCTTTCTTGCTTTCTTTTTAAAGAATGTCGGAGCACATTATGAGACGTGGAATACCGGAGTTCTAGGCCCTGTTATTCTTCATGGTCTCAATGAAGGGAGCAGAGACCTTTCATGGCAGAAATGGTCCTACCAGGTTTTGTTGATGCCTCCCTCTTCTCCTGTTTCTCACTCTTCTTTCCCTTTTTGAACCGGGTGCATAGTCTAATTGGTGGCGGGAAGAATCTAACGATTAAAGAGCACGATTCACTTTTGCCGCAGGTGGGGCTCAAAGGGGAGGCTATGGACCTCAACTCTCTGGAAGGAACCTCGTCGGTGGAATGGATGAAAGGATCATTAGTCGCTCAAAGCGGTCAACCCTTGACATGGTACAAGGTGGGCAGCAACCAGACTCCATCAAGATCGAATCTTTGTGGCTAAATCTTTCAGAATTTTATTTCTTACTGATGTGTAGAGAGAGAGAGAGAGAGAGAGAGAGAGAGAGAGAGAGAGAGAGAGAGATCCTCCCCTCTCACCCTCCAACTCGCATACAGATCGAATCTTGGAGGCTAAATCTTTCTGAAATTTTATTTCTTCGCAGGCCTATTTCGATGCTCCGGGAGGAGATGAGCCCCTGGCCCTGGACATGGGCAGCATGGGCAAGGGTCAGGTGTGGGTCAACGGGGAGAGCGTCGGCAGGTACTGGACCGCCGCGGCCCCAGACGACCGTTGCGGCGGTTGTAACTATGCCGGCACCTTCCGGCCACCCAAGTGCCAGACTGGTTGTCGCGCCCCGACCCAGCGCTGGTAAGCAGCGCCCTCCCCTCCTCCCCCCCCTCTCTCTCTCTCTCTCTCTCTCTCTCGACTCTGTCTTCTCTCTCTCTTTTAAGGAGCTGTCTATTGCTCTCAGGTATCATGTTCCTCGCTCCTGGTTGCGGCCGACGGGGAACCTTCTGGTGGTGTTCGAGGAGGTCGGCGGCGCCGCCGAGAGGATCTCTCTTGTGCGGCGGTCGGTGGCCGGCGTCTGCGCCGACGTCTCCGAGTGGCATCCCACCGTGAAGAACTGGCAAATCGAGCGTTACGGCAAGCCGGAGACCCACCACCTGCCGAAGGTCCACCTCCGGTGCTCGCCGGGGCAGTCGATCACGGCAATCAAATTCGCCAGCTTCGGCACTCCCTCGGGCTCCTGCGGGAGCTTCCAGGAGGGCGCCTGCCACTCGCCCAATTCCCGCTCCATTCTGGAGAAGGTCTGGTTCTCTCTTTACTCATTTCTCTCTCTAGTTTCTCTCTCTTTTGGTCCGGGTGAATGGAGTTTTTTTTCTTGGGGTGTTCTGTGGGTGCAGAGGTGTTTAGGGCAGGAGAGGTGTACGATGGCGATATCTGCTGGCAACTTCGGGGGGGACCCGTGCCCCAACGTGATGAAGAGGATCGCCGTTGAGGCCGTCTGCGCGCCCGTAAATTAGGGCAGGAGTGAGTGAGCTCTAGCTCTCTCTCTCTCTCTCTCCTTCCCTCGCCATGCGAGCTTCCCCGGCTCCCTTCCTTTCAACTGTACATCACATCGAGGGGAAGAGAGAGAAGGGGTGAAAAGGAGGAGGAGAGGAGAATAAAGCGGAGGCAGGTTGCCGGTCATTCCTCGCGACTGCATGAGTTCCTCTGCTTTGGGGTTTCTGCTTTCTGGTCTGGTCGGCAGCATTGGATTCTGTTGACTTAGAGAGAGAGAGAGAGCATTGGAGTAGGCACGCCATTGTCTGGGTATTTCTTGTCGTTTCCTTCTTGTATCTATGTTGGCAGATGAATGGACTGATTTGCGCCCGTTCGTTTGTGTACAGAGAGAAAGTGAGAGGGAGAAAGAGAGAGAGAGAGAGGGAGACCCTCGTCAAACACGCCAACCAAGAAAAAATCCTCCCCCTCGTTCTCTTTCTCTGCGGCAGCGAGAGAGAGAGAGGGAGCCGAGCACCGTTAATTTCGAAGTGTGCCCTCTTCTCTATGCCTTCAGTCACGGGTTAGAAAGAGAAAGAGAACGAGAGAGAGAGTGATAAGAATAGACACCGTTCATTTAAAGTGAGTCGTCTTCTTTATGTTGCCAGTCACGGGATAGAAAGAGATAGAGAGAGAAAAATAGATAGAGAGAGAGAGAGCGACACCCTCGTCAAACACTCAGACAAAGAAATCCCCACCTCCTCTCTCTCTCTCTCTCCGCAGAGAAAGAGAGAGAGAGAGAAGACTAGACACCGTTCATTTCATGTGAGCCCTCCTCTCTCAGCCTCCAATCACGGGCAAGATCGGGCTCGAGGGAACAGACAAGAAAAGATGGATGGGACACGACAAGACGAGTCTCTTCGGATGCGGCGGCGTCTGTGGGATCCACCCGCGGTGGACCCTCTCCGGAGGTCGTCTGCTAGTTTCCATGATGAAACTGGTCGCCCTTCGTTCTCAGTCTTCGTGAAGAAAATCTGATGAGCTACCTTCATCGACAGTTCCTTTGCTATGAAAAAGTTGAATTTAATGGTCAAGAGAGAAGCCATAATGGGAGGTCCATCTTTCCAACTGTTGTGTATGCCCTTTCTTCAGAAAAATGATTGTCGAAGAGAGTCAACTGACTAGTAAGAGTCAAACTACTAGTACACAAATGCTAAGAGTCAAAAGTGAAGCTGAAAGTTGATCATAAAATAATGCATTATATTCGTGTAGCGTCTTACTATATTGATACTTTTTTTGCCAAGCAAGTTGACTCACGTCATTCAAGTGATATTTTCTTAGTCATTATGACTGTTAATATTCTTCTTACAAAGTTAATATACAAGGAAGTGAAATTATAATCTTTACAAGCAATAATCCTACACAATTAAGACACTTTATCATGAGTTAATAACATATTATCAATTGATAAGAGATCACATTCTTATATTTTGTTAATATGAAATTAATGTTAATATCCTTATATGATATCCTCCTTACCATCTTGAGTGTAGAAGTTATGTTTACCAAGTGAGCTAACACCATTCCTGCATACTATATTTTACAAAGTTTGAGCAATTGTCGTGCTATCAAATTTCATATAAATAAGGAATAGGAAATCTATACCATACAATGACATTCTTTGGTCTTGAAAGGGCAGTTAAACCGCATGCACTCACTACTTTCCCAAAGCTCATAAACTTGGTGTCTCAATTTTCCTAGTGCCTTCAGACTTATTTGTAAGTTGGTCTTCGTATGTAAGCTTATGTTAGGGATAAGATCAATTAGATGTTGGATTTCATGCAATGAAGAATGCTTTGGAGGCAGCTCTTCATGAAAAACATCATCAAACTCATTCATCAGTGATGATACTCATGCATATATTTCCAATGATTTTTCTCTTTCTACAGAAAAGGAGATTATCATACTAAGGACGTACCAACTTTGTCATGAGGTTTCAATGCATTTATTTCTTTTTTTACCTTTTTTTATTAAATGGATGATTCAAATGAAACTTTTTATCATTTTTCCCAAAGATACAAATAATTTGCCTTGTACTATGATTAAGTATTAAGATGTAGCATCGATCTAGTACTACTACTACTAAGTCACACTAAACTTGATCAAAATATCAAATACCTAATTGTGTGAGGAACAATATATTTAGAGTCAACAATCACCTCATTCCCTTTCTTTAGTCACAACAGCTTGTATGGTGTTACTTGCTCCTCAATTGAAAGTTTTTAACTTTATAACTATCTCCTAATGAGATGAAGTTACTAGTGCTATCATCTATTATCACCTTAAAATCTTAGTAAGTGCAATGAATCATTCTATTTTCTTCAATATAGCTATATATAAGTTATTGGATGTATTTCTTTAGTTGTGGTTCTTCATCTTAGATAGGATTCCCATACCTCCCTATTTCATCTTCCTAGATGAAAAACTTTACTTTATCTGTTCACTTATTTATGAGTCTAGTCATAATCAAATGGTAAAAGTATCTCCTAGTACTTATATTTAGATGATTTTATTAAAGATAAAGAGGGCAAATACATAAAAAAAAAATTACAAGCATAAAATTAATTATAGACCTATTAGTGTTCCTCATGTCCACAATAATAGGTGTGATTTCAAGAAAGAAATAAAATAAAATTATGATCTTTTATCTCAATTAAGGTATCTACATGTATTGATGGACTCATCTCATTTCACTTAACAACATCATTGACCTTGACACCAGCATTCTTCAAATATAGATATTCACACTTATGTTATAAAAGGGTGAAAATAGTAAAATCTAAAGTCATAAATGAAAAATTGATGACAAAAAATAAACCTAAAACTAGAAACAATAAATGAGATGAAAAGAGCTAATAAATTAGATATAACCTCCTGAAGTCCATATACACATGCAATGATCAAGTTCTTAATCATATCAAACAGAGTAGGCATGTAGTTTTCTCACAATGAGTAAGAACATAAAAACATGTTTTTTTCTCCATATTTTTTTATGTATCTAATTATATACTCTATTCATGTAAAAATGCAGAGTATGAACCTTAAGAATAACATCACCCCCAAGTGGATGTTCATCATCTGTAGACTTATACAATTAAGACACTAACGGATTAAATAGAAAATCACACTAACCCATATTTTTCTTATTTTAAGTCACAAAAAATAAAAGAAAAAGGGAAACATAAAAGCATCCAATTAAAGTTGTAGAACGACACCTAACCTCCCTTTATATAGAATAATTGCAATAAAGATCATCCCCATCTCAATGATAGCAAACTTATTTTCCACAATAAATAACCTGAAAAATCAAGTTTTGTTGTCAAATTAAGTTATCTATTCATAACAAGTATTGTTCAAATCACAACCTCTATATGGATTTTCAAGATATTTAAACTTATACAACTAACCTACAAATGGATGAAACATAAAATTAAAATTGAATAATAAATCAACAATGAAAAAAATAAAAAATAAAAAATTAAAATAAAGTGTTATAAGAAAAAATGTATACAATGATATTTAAGCCCCCTTAGTCCATAAAAATAAAATAATGATCTAATATTTTCCCATCTAAAAAATGAACTTACACAATGCTATGTAAAATAAGGCAACAACATTATGGTACCCATGTCAAAAGGCATACCATAGGGATCAAAACTAGTCACAATTCATTCACCATATGGTAGACTTATACAATTAAGATGGGGATGCTCGAAAACATAATAAATAAGATCAAAAACAACATCTCAATAATATAAAATAAAAAAATTAAAAGATAAAAGATAAAAAATGATGTGAGAAAATCAAAAGAGTAAGATTTTTGGTGCTAAAATTCATGGACAAAACCAACTTATCTATAGAATGTTAAACACACAATTTTCAATTTGAAATATGGTAAAACAAAACCTACTTGTTTTCCAAAGTTATGAATCTGCCTATAGACAATTTATTCATATACACCTATTAACCTTAAGAATAGCCCCAAACCCTACACATCAACAATCATCTTGTTTTTCCTCATCTTCATAAGTCATGCCTATTCTTAAGACTAGACAACACAAAAAATCATGACCATCTTTTAAAATACAAATCAACTTAGCTGTACATTTATTCACATGAGAAGGAATGATGGCATCCCAAACCCCTACACGGATATCCCTTATTTGTACATCAGTAATACATAGAATAATGAAGTATAAAAAGTAACCCAACTAATAAGATACAAAATAAAAATTTAACACTAGAAAATGAATAAATCATAAAATAGAAACATAAAATGATAGAAGAAAAATGAATTGAATCAGATCTAACAAACAATAATCAAATCCATATACAATGATGGTCATTAGATTAATAACCGATTAAAAAAAATAAATTGAATTTTTTTAAAAGGCAAAAAAGTTTGATTATTTCAATTTATTTATGATTCGATCTTAAACATCCCCAACCCTACATGGATGTCTTGCAGATGTACATTTATAAAATTAAACACCAAATGATTGAAGCACTAAAACTAAGATAATTATAAAATTGAAACAAGAATTTAGTAACAAGAAACTAATAAAAAAATGATATTAAAGAACTAACGAATCAGATTTATCAGTCCTCCTCCATAGACACTAGCACTGATCTAATTCTTCCCCATCTCAAGAATAAGAGACCTAAATTTTCTACAAGAGGTAATGCAAAAATTTAGGCATGCAACTATCAATAAATTCTACTAATGTGAGAGTGAGCACCCATCGGCTATCAGGCTAAATGGTTGAGTTTAATAGATTACACTTGTTTCGATGATGCAAAGGAAAATTCAATTCATTTACATAGAATACAAATATGATAATATATCATATTGATATATTAAGGACTGAATTAGAGGGTGAAACATATGATTTCAGAGTTTTTTAACCTCTAACATATCATGGATATAGTATCACTTGGAGTAAATTTAAGCATGTTGATTAATTACTTATTTTCTATAAGGATATGATAATATTTTAGTGACAAAGTTAAGCTACAGATTTCAGTGTCAAAATAGGTCTTGGAAAGCTAAAGAGAAAAATAAGTTCAACCCTCAATTCAGATTCATAAAATATTAAAATTTACCTTAGTGTATTCTTTTTTTGTACTTCCTTTTTTAGAGACAACCTAGAATAAATGACATGCCACATGCTAAGATACATCATGACTAAGCATATAGGCTTGGTCCAATAACCTCAAATTAAAGGCTTAAATGCTCAGTCTATTGAATAATGCGCTTTCGGTATAATGTCTAGACAAAAAAAGACAAACCTAACATGTGATGAATTGTTGAATCTCAATGCACTGCTAAAGTCCAATACTCTATGTAGCCCAAAGCTGAAAGAATGGATGAGGCTCAAATTGCAGTGCAACTCAAAACACAACTAACTATTGAAACCTACAAAGGAGAGTGGCCCATTCTCAATGAGCCATTAGACAAGATGGCCCAACCCACTATGAACATGATAAAAAGGGACATTTTGCCCCAAAATTAAGGTTAGAAAATGAAAATTAGAAAAACAAAGATGTCATGTTGCATTGTTCTCCTCCTCTATCTCTCATCCACTCACAAAGGAATCTTGTGAAGGACCTCATGGTTAGGACTTTGTTGCCATAGACCTATCTCCAATAAGTTAACTCTACAATAGCTGATTTCTCACGAATCTTTTGTTAAGTTTAATCAATAAAAGATCTCAAAGGTGTCAATACAAATAAAAAAGGAAACTTTCTTTTATATAAGCTTCTAGTCTAATTTTGGTGTTGAGAAACCTTTGTGGTGTACCTACAACTAGGTGAAAATGTTGTTAAAATAGATTTTCTAAGTTAAATAGTCTTGCAGAGTTTATTTTGTAAGGAGAAATTGATCTTGTGAAATCAATTATATTTATGGGTGGTGAATAGTGGAACACAAGGAGTGAGTTTTTAGGAAGTGGATGAAGACTTGGGTTAGCTGAACTACTATAAAAATTCATATGTTCTTGACTAAACACTCATGATCTACAAAAGAAGAGATATATAAGTGGTATTGTTATAAGTAGACTTTTCTATCTAATCAAAAGAAAAATAATCTGTGATTATCTAATTTTCATAGAAATACAATGGAATAGATTCACCTCCCCCTTCTTTCTAGTTCTAAGCATAGTTATCTAGGGATCAACATAAACAAGAGGAAAATTTGATTGTCTAGTTATCATAAAAATCTAGTGGAGTAGATTCACCCTCCCTTCTCCCCAACATAGCTATCTAGGGCCAACACAAAAAACATATCTCACCCCTACATTGATACTCCTCTGATGAAGATATGTTACCAATTCATGTATGTAAGGGTGAAAAAAAAGAGAATAAATAAAATCAAGAAGATAAATATAGTGTGATAATTGAAAGAAAGGAAAAAAGGCAAACCTTGCCTCATAAAGTTGTTTCATGCCAATGGAAACTTTCCATTCCTCATCTTAAAATTAACAAATATATCTCTTAACTCAAGAAATAAGGCACAAATCTTAGATTTTTTTCTATCACAATTAATCTATTTATGAATTCCATTGATGTAATAGGGACTATCTATCAGCCTCAACAAAAAAAACAGCTCCTATGCTGGACTCTACATTTATATAATATATGTACATCGGGGGTGAAAACATGGAAATGGAGTAAAAGACAAAGAGAAGAAATAATTACCAAAATAGGGAAGAAATAAAGGAAAAACATAATATGATACTAGGGATAACACAAAAAACACAAACCAGACCTCTTGATGTTGATTTACAAATAATAAAGACCTTGTCATTCCTATATGACAAGTACTAGGCATGCCTTTTTCCATAGGAAATAAGGGAAGAATAATGAATTTTTCCAAAATTGGGTATTAATTTATTAATATATTTTTTAGATGTGAATGAGGCACATTATTCACCTAGACATTATTAGTCACTATGACCTAAAAAAGTGTCTCCAATCAGCTAGTCAAACTACTTTAGCTCAAAATAGTAAAATAGTCTGACCATATTTGGGTAGTGAATTTAAGAAGTCAATCCCAAAAATCAAACCACACTAGACAACAAATCATTATTAGAAACTGAAGTCTAGACCAAAGTTAAGCTAACTTGTGGAAGACATGCAAAAGCAATAGCCTCCACATTAGATGTTCACAAGTTGCTGCATAAGTTGTAATGTAAGAATTGGTCTTTTTTCTTGTAGAAAAACTGAAAAATACCATCTCATAATATCAATAATATATAAGTTTTTGGCATAGTGATTTGAGTTTGTTGGTTAGATATAAATTTAAAACATTACTCAAATGACCAATGAACTAATATTCTTTTTGGCAAACATCCAATAGTGTTTTAAAATAATAATGTGTAAATCAGTTATAGATAAAATAATAATGTGTAAATTAGCTAAAATAATGGCTCTCTCTCTATCATATTAGCCAAAATAATAATGTGTAAATTAGTTATAGATCCATGGATACCATTAGATTTAGTTTCATGCCTTGTTATTCTTCAAGTTGTAGGTCCCTATAAATTATTTGTAAATTAAAAATTCATCACTTGATTGCTTTGGTTTAGAGTGTACACTAATTTTTCTTAAAAGATAATATTGCCCTCACAATGGTAAAAACTAAATGTGAGGGTTTTATTGATAACAATTACATCTGTTAACATATTTAAAGATAATATCTATTATTGGGATATTTTATTTATAAATTGAATATAAATAATAGGTTTAAGAGGCAAAGATCTCATAGAAATGTCCCACCAACAAATAGAAAGAAGGAAGAGTGGGTTTAAGTTCTTTTTCATTGGCATGTGATAGGTTGGGGTGGTCTACTGGAACAGAAGGGAAAGACATACATGGCACCAATCCAATCTCAAGAGCTCTAATTAAAAAGATCCACTAATTTAGGGCTAGGGGAGGGGGTTAGGGGCTGGGTTTTAGTCGATATTGCCTCTTGGTGGTAAAGTGATACCACTTTAAGAGATGCCATTTTGGGCTTTGCTCTAACCAAAGCTATTGCATCATTTGCCTGCATCTCCGGTCTCATTCATCTTCTAAAGAAGCTCAGTTTTGACTTGACATTGAATTGAGCTCTTTGAGATGTTTAGGGCCATCGTCAACCCATCCTTGTCTAGTAACCCCGACTCACATGTGGAACACATTTAAGCTAAATGAATACAATATTTCAAGAACTTATCAAATTATTGTAACAAATGAATTTAGACATTCCAAATTAATATGTTCTAGATTACAATCTTACATAATCAATTTATTCAATCATGAGAAAAAAATTATACCTTTTCATTTATATAATCAATTCATCAAACTGACTTCATCAAGCCCATTTTGGTTTTAGTTACTAAGAACTCTTGACCAAACTTGAATAAAAATCAATTTTGGTAACACTACTTTTAAACAAATTTGCTTTTCCCATACATTGTGCAAGTCTATGTTCATTTCCCTTCCTCTGGGCATTCTCCATGTTGGCTATACTCTCTTTATAGTGTGCAGCTTTGATCTGATCATATCATGACTCAAACAAGATTGAGCTCTTAAAGCCACCAAATCTTATTCCACTATACTCATATTATACACTCATCCACATACATGTATGAACTTATTATAAGGTGATTGAGATCCTTGAGATTGGATGAGGTGCCATATTTCTTAATGGGTATTTTTGGCAATTAACATATACTCGGTCAACATCAGAATAAGGGCAGTCGATCCTAAATCGAAAATTAGCATAGAGTTATTTGCATGGATGTTTCTCATGGCATTAAGTCACAATGGTGTCCACCTAATTGGGCTTATTCAGACAAGGATCCGATTGAGATCCGATTACAGTCTCAATTGGGCTTGAAGAACCGATAACGGATTGCAGGCGGGAGCGGCGTAGGGTTCCAATAGCGGGGTCTTCCCACTCGAGGTTCCTTCACTCTCCCCGCCCACTTCTCTCTCTCTCTCTCTCTCTCGCTCTGTCTCGTTCTTCCTCTTCTTCCGTCTCTGTATCTCTCTTCCAGCAGCAAAGGTTAGGCTGCTCGTGGGGGCGGCGAATAGGTGGCCAGAATGGCTCTGGCGTTCGACGAGTATGGGCGGCCCTTCATTATACTGAAGGAGCAGGAGCAGAAGACCCGGCTGCGGGGTCTCGAGGCTCAGAAGGCCAACATCGCGGCCGGCAAGGCCATCGCCCGCATCCTCCGCACCTCCCTCGGGCCTAAAGGCATGGACAAGATGCTTCAGTCCCCCGATGGCGACGTCACCATCAGTAAGAAACCCCTTATGTCTCTTCAGTCCCCCCTCCATTTCCTTCTGCCTCTTGTCCGACGCAGGCTTATTTTTCTTAATGTCTTGGTGTTCTTCACCTATAGAGCTGACGCCTCGCTGCTGTTCTCTTCGATGTTTGTGGCACTTTCTGCGCGTTAGGGTTTAGTGATCATGGTATTTATTTGATCACGATACTTACTGTTTTCTCACTTCCATGTTCCGTTTTTCTCCAGTTTTTTTAAGTTGTCTTCTTTGTCCATCCGTCTTTTTGGCTCCCCCGTTGGGATCTTTCTGTCTTCGATTCGGTTCGTGCGGAAAGGCAAGCGTAAAGTCTCATATTTTATGGAGACTATACTTCTGAAAGATGCCTACCTCTGACGCTAACGAGTTGCTGTCATTGTTTTCTGCCCATTGAAGCGTGTTGTTGCATGCTGTTTAGCTTATTGCACTTTTGATGTTAAAGGTTCTTTTACATTTGTGTCGAAAATATGATTGTCTTAATGAACGTATCCATTCAGCAAATGGCATCAACTTTAACTTGTTCAAGCTTATAGATCAGTTTTTTTAATGTAATTGCTTTGTATGTTCTGACAGTCTTTTTGAATTTCTGCAGCAAATGACGGGGCAACGATTCTGGAACAGATGGATGTTGACAATCAGATTGCCAAGTTGATGGTTGAGTTATCACGGAGCCAGGACTATGAAATTGGTGATGGTACGACTGGTGTTGTTGTTTTGGCTGGTGCTCTGTTGGAACAGGCTGAGAAGCTTCTGGAACGTGGGATTCACCCTATTAGGGTAGCCGAGGGCTATGAGATGGCATCTAGAATTGCTGTCGAGCATATGGAAAAGATCTCACAGAAATTTGAGTTTAGCATAACAGATGCGGAGCCTTTAGTGCAGACTTGTTCAACTACGTTGTCCTCCAAGATGTAAGCATTGCTGAGTCTGCTTCCATGCACGAAATATTGTTTTTCCCTTCCAGAATCTTGATGTCAACCTCTGTTGTGCGGCGTTAGTGATCACAATTGATTTGTAAAGATGGTTTTCAATCATTTCCCAGTTTCTACAAAAACAATGTTGGCCGCATATCTTGTATTTAACCTCCTTTGCAGGATTCCTTCGGATTGAACCTCCTTTGATGTTGGTCGCATATCTTGTACTAATGTGAATTGGTGATTTAATTGGTTCTGCTTATTTTAGCATTCAATCACCCATTATAAAATTATGGCAACTGGATACGTTTTGAATTCCAAGTGCTTAGTACTTCCCCGTATTAGTCTTGCTGTCTTTAAAATCATTATGTTTTTTTGACGAATCTCTTGGCTGATATTCAGTCACATGTGTAAAAGTTGATGATGAAACGAATACCCGTTGATAGTCATGATTGATTGATCGATGATTTGATTATTAGTTTATTTATCATTTTTATGAAAAATAAGATCACGTCATGCTAAGCTTGTGCCCATGCCCGTTGATCTTTCCTTGGAGCTGTAGGAGGAGAATTCTGTTTATTTATTAACTGTTTATCTTTTTATTTGAGGACCGTTTTCATGCTTTCTGTGTCCCCGTTAGACCTATGAATTCCTTTCTGTCGGTGCATTATTTTTTGGTGTTTGATATAAAATATCGACCTATAAATATTTTGACCGGAACCAGATGTTTTGTTGAAAACTTAATAGACTCTTGCTGTGTGTTTGGTTGATATACATTGGTTTTTGTTTCTTACTATTATGATTGAGTTGATGCTCTGCATTAGTGTTTCAGTGACGTAATCTGAGCAGCTTTTGACTTAAACTACATGAACTATCTTTTGACTATTTTAATTGTTCTAATATATGATCACACATATAATAAATGTGGCCTCCTGTCCTATATGACTACGAAGAAAATTGGCTTTTTATGGATGTTCCATTGTACTTGAGTAATTACCTAAACCTTACTGTCGTGCTTCATAGATATTCAGCTAATTCTTTGCCACCTTTTCCTCTCGATGCTTGTATTACTGGGAATCTGTTTTCCATTATTAATCTAGTGATTCATATTCTCATCTTATGGCTATATTGACATGCAATTAGAATGATACCTAGGATCGCAGATTCATATTCCATTTTAGAATGATACCTCTCCCATCTCACATGATATACTTTTGTGTGTTGGAAAAGGAATGGGGACGAAGCATAAAAAGCATAAGGTCGCAGATTCTGATGTGTAACAAAATAAACAGAATTCTGATGCCCTACCCAATGTGTAACAAAATAATGCAATTCTGATGTGTATATTTCTTGTTTTATTTTTTATCATTTATTTTTAATCAAAATGCCCTACCCAATGCAGTGTAAGTCGTCGAAAGCGTGATTTAGCAGCAATTGCTGTTGAGGCTGTTCTAGCTGTCGCAGATTTAGAGAGGAAGGATGTCAATTTGGATTTAATTAAAGTCGAAGGGAAGGTAGGAGGGAAACTAGAAGATACAGAGCTGATCCATGGAATTATTGTTGACAAGGATATGAGTCATCCTCAGATGCCAAAGAGAATTGAGGATGCAAAAATTGCTATATTAACTTGTCCATTTGAGCCCCCAAAGCCGAAGACAAAGCATAAGGTCGACATTGACACTGTTGAGAAGTTCCAGACCTTGCGTCAACAGGAGCAGAAGTATTTTGATGAGATGGTTCAGAAGTGCAAGGTAACTCTTTTTTTTTCGTTTTATCTTTTCATAATTGGAGTGTGGTGCAATTGGATTTTGCTTATCATCTAATTTTTTGTATAGGAGAATTATTTTTGGTGTAGTTTTTATATGTAGAAATGGGAAGGCTCATTTCTACTGTAACAATTTTCAATCCTTTTCCACTCTTTAGTTTTTGGATTAGTGGCCTTAAAATTGTCTCCGAAATAATTTTTGGAGTCCTCTAAAGCTTTAAGCTTAGGTGGAGACCCAGATTTTTTTTTCTTATGTGCAGCAATTAGGCTACGTGGAAATTCGTCAACCTTAGTTTTGGTTTCATTGTCTTGCAGGACGTGGGCGCAACTCTTGTAATATGCCAGTGGGGGTTTGATGATGAAGCCAATCATCTCTTGATGCATCGTAATTTACCTGCAGTTAGATGGGTTGGTGGTGTAGAACTGGAATTAATTGCCATAGCCACAGGTTTGCTTCAGTATTTATCTACGCTCTATGATACCATCATTATTCATTATGTGAGTGGTAGATCAAGATGTGTCATACATTTCAACTAATTCTTGTGTGAAAACAGGAGGAAGGATTGTCCCAAGGTTCCAGGAGTTGACTCCAGAAAAGCTTGGAAGGGTACACCCTTGTCTTAGTCAAAAGTTTAAATGTGCTTTCTGTAACTTAATTCATAGCTCATTATTTATGGAATATAATAAGAGAATTGTGCATGTGTTCAATTCAAGAACCATCGGAGTATGATTTCTGATATTGTACATGCACGCTGGTTTACATTAATAACTTTTAGTCTTTTAGCCATGCATAAGGTTCATATGGTTTTTGACTGTACTCGATCTCCTCATCTAATGAAGATATGTAGTCTTATGAAGGGTAGGTACACGAGTGAATCACATTTCGGTTGTACTAATGCACTTCTTAGTTCTCATATGGCAAGGATATCTAGTATGGATTAAGAAGAAGCAAGAGTAAGGAGTAGTTCTCTCTCTATCGAACTTCGATAATAACCTTTGCCAGCAGCACCTTTTTGTGTAGTTGAACGTTGGTGCCTTTCTCACTTTGAAGGAGAGAATTCCAAGAGGCTCAAATTATCTGGGGATGCTTTTAATGATGCATATTCACAGAATCAATTTACTGCAGATCATTTTGTGAAGGAAGAAGTTGGTTGGCTTAAGGTGCATAGGCAAAAGGCATAGGAGAATCGTCGTTGTGGTTGGACCAAGGCATTAGGGTTAAAATATAATTACTTTGGTTGAAAGTAATGGGATAAAGCTTCCAGGGATGCTTTGAAACCTTTTTCAATGATGAGGATTTACTTCTGAAATTCGTGGTGAAATTAGGTTACTATTGATGTTGGAAAAGATAAGGGTTGTGAGGAGAATAAGATGATAATATCTGCTGGTGCAAACCATAGGCAGTGCTTTTCAAGTGGTTGAATGATGAGGGAGAGTGGATTTAGCGATATTACTATAATACTGGAAAATACTGTAGATTGATTGGTTCCTAGCATAACTAAAAAAGTAAGGAAGCTTTGCATAGAGTGTTGCTAGATCAAAGAGTTTCTTATGAACCATGGAATTATGGAAGGCTATTAATTTCTAACTTTGTAAGCGATTTTGCACATCAATTTTCTTTCGTTACTTTTGGAAAGTTGTCACCTTTCCTTTATTTTCATAGTAAGTCGGCTTTAGGAATACCCTTGCTAAGGAAACAATTTTGTTCCAATAAGTCGTGCAAGTTTCTCTATTAGGACAGTTATTGATCAAGTTCCAATAAGTATTTGAAATGAAACCCATTTGATAGGTTCATGTGTTGAAGAGCCTCCTAGTGGGTGATGATTACCCATATAACAAGTTCTTGAAGGAAGCTCATTTAGGTGTCAGATGAAACTTATTCTTAAGCATATGAGATGAGACAGATTTGGGAATGCTTTAGTTCAAGGTTATAAGTTGAACCTGTTTCTTAGTTTATTGGATAAAATTCATTGGGCAAGCCTTTTTATAAATTAATATGACACAAGTCAGTCAACGGTTATATTACGTAAATTTTATTTGACTAGTTTATGGGATAAAGCACGTTTGAGAAGTTTGAGAGAGGAGGTAATTTGATAAGCTTCTGTGATGAGATCCATTTGGATATGGGATGAGGCTTTTAGTATGATTTCTGAATATTGAGTATAAAGTTCACATAATGTTTGAGTATTAAACTTATACACCTACAAATATGTTAAACGAATTCTGTGGAGAACACATGGAGATACTGTTGTTTTTTCATTTTAAGTCTTTTGAATAGTGGCCTGCAAAGAGGTTATGTTCCTGAAGTCCTTGGCTGATGTTTATCTTTGGATCATATTACTAGAATCTATGATCATTGGTAGTAGTGACGACATTAAATGTTGGTCTAAACCTTTACCTGAACTAATTTGAAGACTTTCATCCCTTAGGAGAAATGAGCGTAATTGTTTCCATCTTGGTTACAATCTGGTCAACATCTGTATATCTTTTTACCACGTGTATTGAAGAACTGGATAAATCGAGGAATGGGAGTGGATGCTTGATAGAAAATAGGAAGAATGTTGGAACACATCTCAATACATATTATGTGATGCTTTTATCAGACGCAGCCTTTAGGGGGGGGGGGGGGGGGATAGCAGGGTATAGTGTGGACATTTTAGTCATAGATGTATATAGGCTTACATCTCACACTCAATACAATCTAATGAATGCAATGAAAATCCATAAAAAAAATAGGTGGAGTGGATTATATTTATTTATCAACACCGATGAAGCCTTCTTGAAGATTAATATCTTAGATATCCAAAATATATACTTCTTCCCTCAATATTGTGGTGCAAACTGTACAAAAATGCTTTTTCTTGAATTCGTTGCCAGTTTTATTTCTTTTAATTTTCTCTATTCATGTGAAATTGCTGATCTATATGTTTTGTTTGGACTTAATCAGGCTGGTATTGTTAGAGAAAAATCATTTGGCACCACTAAGGATCGGATGCTATACATTGAGCAATGTGCGAACTCGAGGGCTGTAACAATATTCATTCGTGGGGGTAAATTTTCTGCATTCTTCTGATAAATATGTATTTTAGGATACTATTTGATAATTTAGGTATTGTGCCATTTTGCCGCAATTCCTATTTTTTCTTTGAAAGCATGGTGATTACTTAAGGTGCATTGTTATTTGCTGTTAGGGGGACATGCAATGCTGAATTGTGTGAAATTCCGTCCAATATTTCCGCACAATTTCTTAACATAATCGTTATGTGTTATAACCTTTTGGCCTTGGGTTTTTTTCTTTATAATATTTTTTCTTCTGAACACTCGTTCTTTGCTGCGCTGAATCCCCAGCACGAGTGCAAATATCATCCACCTTTTTCCCCGGCATCACCCCCTGACATGTCTGGCATCTCCTTCCCTGCTAAGCACGCTCTCCATCATTTTCTTTTCCCTTATCCCTAGTAGAAATCCCCTTGTTCTTCCCGTTTTCGTTGTCAAGTAATACTCCCTCACGTGAGCACACCCTTCTCAGCTGGTGGCTAACTACCCCGTCTTTTTCTCCCCTTTTCCCTGGTAAGAATCACTGCGGTCTACCCTTCCTCAGCCTCTCGTAAGCTCACCACCCCTTTCATCTGGTGGTCTTCTTTTTCGTCATCCAGCTGCAACTCCTTTATTTAGTGGACAAGCATCCCTCCCCACCTGGAGTCTGCCTGCCCATCCTGCTGCATCCCTCTTTTCTGCAGTGGCTCCCCACCCACCCTCTCCAATCTCGCATCCATGAGTCCACCTTAGTGAATCTTCATCTTGTCTCTGTACTAATTTAACGGTGGGCTGATTATCCAGGGTTGATAGAGCCAATACTAGGAGAAATTTCAAAAATTTAGAAAGCCAAAGTCCATGTACATTCTGTTTGATGAATTTGAAGTATGGTCTACAGCTTGAGTACTCATTTTCATGTCTTCATATTCTAGTAAACCTAGTCAGTATGGCAGGCTGATAAAGGCCTTGCTTCATGGGGACGAGACTTCTTTTTCGACAATATGTGATGGAAGTTTGCCCTTTTAATGAATGGTTCAGGTAATAAAATGGTGATAGAGGAGACTAAACGAAGTATCCATGACGCCCTTTGTGTGGCAAGGAACCTGATTCGCAACAACTCTATTGTTTACGGTGGCGGCTCTGCTGAGATATCTTGTTCAATTGCCGTAGAGGCAGCAGCTGACAGGCACCCGGGAGTTGAGCAGGTATGAACTAGTTCGCTTTTGCTTGGGCTCCTGTCAGTGTTTTAAGTTTGACTTATATATCTCTTTTGTTCGCCACAGTATGCGATTAGGTCATTTGCTGAAGCCCTGGAGTATGTTCCAATGGCCCTGGCGGAGAACAGCGGTCTTCAGCCAATAGACACCTTAACAGCAGTCAAGGCTCAGCAAGTCAAGGTGTGTTTGATTGATCTTTTATAAGTAAAATTAATCATGATAATGCCTGAATATAAGAAAAGGGTTCAACCCATACAAAGTTGTCTGATTTTTAGTAAAAACATATGGTGTGAGATATAAACATATGAACATCATAGTGTGATATGAAATGATGAACAGTGGAAGGCCAAACAAAACGTTCCTCTTGCTACTGATGCCCGCCAATTTATGTGCAGGAGAAGAACCCCTACTGTGGCATCGACTGCAACGACGTTGGGACGAACGACATGAGAGAGCAGAACGTGTTCGAAACCCTAATCGGAAAGCAGCAGCAGATACTCCTGGCGACGCAGGTGGTCAAGATGATCCTCAAGATCGACGACGTCATCACGCCCTCCGATTTCTGATGGAGGCGACGGCATCAGGTTATCAAGTTTTGGATTCGCGTGGACAGGAGGATTTGGGTCTTCTCTGATTTTGCTTTTTTCTGTGGGGTTTCTCTTAGAGACCTCGATCCTTGGATGGCTGCTGCGTTGAACCCTCGTTTGTTCTTGTGGATTTTGTACTCTTTGACTCCAGTGCCTTTGACTTAATAGGGTCCAGTCTTACGTGTTAGTGTCATCCATGCTGATAAACAAGGGAGAGAAAGGAACAGAGGGGCGGGGAAGACATATCTCTCTCTCTCTTAATCTCAGAATTCTTCTCTCTACTAGCCCACTTTTTCTGCATTTTTCCTAAGAAAAAACTTCCAAAGAGGGCTGAATTATGAGGTTCAGAATAAATTTATCAATATATTAAGCACAAAAAAGATGGGTTTAAGTGATAATTATATTTTTATTGAATTCTGGATTAAAAAAAATAATTTCTAATTGACTTGGGCTACCCCAAAAAACCCTAAGAAAAGCCATTACAGTACACTTTCATGCATTATCTTCATTTGATATCATTCTTTCCCTGCCCAGTTGGGGTCCCTCGTGCCTTCTACACGGTTCTGGCTCAGCAAGAGCTTTCAGTCAAGAGCAGAAAAAGAGGACAATATATCTTCTGTGCAGCCTTCCCAAGAAGAAGAGGTGGGCAGAATCACATCTAGCTCGTTCTCACATACACCAGGTGACGGCGAAGAGAGCTGGCTGGGGAGGAGGAACCGCGCGGGGATCCCCATCTACGCATGTTTTCTTCACCTTCTAGAGAATTTAGTCAAGAGGTACACGAGAAAGAAGCAGAGCAAGGCAAACAAGACGACGTGAAACACATGATTTGAACCCTGCTGGATGATCCGCTTGTTCAACCTCCTCATGTTGTTCTTCAGGCCCGCTTGGGCTTTCAACATCGTCGTTTGCTGTTTGTGAAGGCGATGAAAGAGCGGAATCATCAGAGAAAAACGACGCCCAATAGCCAGCTGCTCCATATGTTTATCAAAATAGATCGGAGAAAAATAGCACCCTACGTCTGAGGAAGGTAAGGCCAAATAACTCACCATGCGGTAAAACATGATCCAAGCTCTCTAGGGACAGCACCAGCAGGAGGTTAGGGGGCGGCCCATGAGAGATAGATATAATGAAGGCCGGACGATCCTGACCCGATTGTGATTTTAACTCTCTCTCTCTCTCTCTCTCTCTCTCTCTCTCTCTAGTTACCAATCCAATTTATCCTGCTTTTTCTTTGGGATCGGTTCCTGTTTGTGTATCCTTATTCTATATTTGATTGAACTCCCACTTTGTACCTTCTGCACAGCTCCTTGGCGATCCAGAGTTTAGAAAAGATGGGATGTAGCTAGATATTTTTATTTTGTTAATAAATAGTCTACGTCGTACAAGATTAACCTTAATTTTTACTACTTGAGGGTTTCTCGGGGGTTTGATTTCTGCCCTACTCCATCTACTTTTTGTCTTCACCAACAGTTTCTCTAAAACCATTCAACACTCAAACGTAGTGAAAACCCTTCTTTTGCAGTTCAAATGAAGAAAGGGCAACTCCCTGACCATATGCTCCGCTTTTCCTGGCTAATCCCCCCACCACTCAGGCAGCAGCCTCCACTCCGCTGCCACCGTCTCCTTCGGCAGCCTTGCCCAAGCCCCAAGAACTGCATAGACCTCACTTTTGCCCAACCTTTGTCATTTCAAGAACTATAATGAAGCCCAATGGAGTGTTCTTGAGGCATGTTCTATGTTTTTTAAACGGCAAAAAATTAACAGGGCTAAAATATGAGGGTCGGGTAGTTTTGGATGACTAATAGCTGAAGGAGAAAAATAAAACGGGATCCATTATTTTCTCACGCGGTAAACCCGTGAAGAGGGGTACGAGAACAAGTGTATATTCACAGTTGACATTTTCCTCGGTCAACGGGCACTATCTTATATTTTTTTGAGTCAAATATGGATCCACTCGTGTAATTGATGGGCAATATACATCACTGACATAATTTCTACTTCATGTTACTTTCCATTGATTTTTGTTTGAAATGGCATGGAACACTTTACCCACTATTGATGACATGGTAAAAAGCTTGATCACGGAAGTTTCTTGGCTTTAAACCCACGAGGATACAAAACCTTGTTTTAAAGTCCGTCTCTAGGGGAAAAAACACGGGAAATAAACTAATTACACGGGTACCAGAGAAATAAAATACAAAAGGGACTTAAGGATAGAACAGGCAATCAAGCTTACCAGTTGTGCCAGCAGGTTGTTCTGAAACTTCGCCTCTGTCTCTATTTCTAGAGCAACCTAAAATAGTGAAGATGAAATAGCACTTGCTGAGTACTAAAAAAAAGAACAGGACGATCGTCTGGGAAAAGAATAACAGATAAAATAATTATTTTAAAAAAATGAAACGAAGATCAAAATCAACAAATCCAAGTACCAAGTAACGAGAAACTGATAGAGTACTTCGGTCAAGACAATCAAACGACAATCCATGTACTGTCAAAATACTAGCAGTACCAATGCAGAAATCATGAATATATATTTAAAGCTAAGGGTAGGAGAATATTCTAAGGGGTGGACCTCTTAGATCGTTTAATGGAATTCCTCTACAGCGAAAATAGGAAATAAGAACAGTTTGTATCCTTGCAGAAAAGCTGCAGATTATTTCTTTGTAATAAAAATTCATTTTTTTCCTCAGGATTCCGTGACTCGCCTCTTCATCGATCCATATGGATCGATCTAGCAATGATGGAATATATATTCTGAATGGATAGTAATCAATTGTCCCATTTAAGTTCGTTAATCCAGCATTGAGATGCTGTGGCAAATAAAAAATCAAGCCTACGAAACCCACTTTCTCTGTACATTTTCCTACATTTCGCTTTCCCGAGAAAAACAAGTTTGTGATGTAAAACTGGACATGATCTCACATGTAACAAGAATATTAACAGAAGATTTGAAATGAAATCACATAAGAATAAATTGGCAACTCACTGTCTTAGCACACTGTCATTGTACATGATCTTTTTCGTTTGAATGGCGAAGTGCCCTCCTCACTACCAAAAGTAGCAAGGAAATGCGATTTGGAAACCAATGCCGTTTCGTAGATTGTTTTTTTTAGGATAGTCTAGAAGGTGAAACCTAGAACGATCGCTCTAAGAATCATCTACAATCACTAAGACACAGAAATGCTGATACCCGCCGACCTTGTGAAAGCATCATGTAGCTACAATAAGAGAAAGGTTCCAAGTTTGGACAGTTTACTCAAATAATTACAAAGGACACTGGTAACGAGATTTACAATTATTCAGCGTTTTTCTTTAGATAGAAATTATCAGGGGGAGAAAGAGTGACCCACAGTTGAAATGGATGAACCGAGAAAAGCAATTTCGGTCCACAAATGCAGAGCCTGCCTGTGAGATAAATATTCATATGCTGGGCACAGCAATGACAGGACAGAAAACATGCGAGGAGGAGATTCTTTCAATGACTGAATAGAGATATAATAAGATCAAATGCGTTTGGTAGATGACGCGTGGCTAAACACCAAATCAAACTTTTGGACAGCACGATAAGAATGCAAACAGGTAGTCATTCACAACAAGATTACCAACGGGAAACCATTTGGTTTCACATTATCAGCCATTTGGTATCTCGTGCGAAGCCTGAGTATACTCGTCAGAAGATGATTGGCAAGAGCGGATTTTCTTGTCACAGATGTGCATTATCCACAGAAACGGCAAGATTGGTAGTGCTATCCTAAGCTTTATGATGGGTAAAGACATAATCTATGGTGATCGAGACACGTAGAGTGTTATATGGATGTTTATGTGTTCTTTACTCCAGTATGGACATAACTTGTCAATACATACGTAGCCTTAAATCATTTCATTAAATTTTCACGAAATGTGACCAAAATAGTGAGCATCACCGATGCCCATCAACCTAATCAAATTTAATTAATTTTTTTTTCAGATTTGGGTTGAATGATCTACTAATTAAATTTTTTCTCTGGGAGTTCTACATCCAAGCGGTTTATTAATTTTATGAACTGTTTTTAAATGAGCCAAGCTATGACATGCCAAATTTTATCACATGAATATTGTGGAAGATAACAGTACATCAAAAATAACATAAGCAAAGAGGATTAATATAATTAAAGTTCGCACCCTAAAAAAATAAAAGAAGACCCCTGCGCCCCAAATGTTCCTCCAAAGTCTTATATTTCCATTTTCTTCAAACAGACCTTTGCAGTCATTTCAAATGTAATGCATTGATAGTTCTAACCGTTAGGTCAAAGAAAAAATATGTTAGTTTTTACCTTCAAGGTAAATATTATATAGAATGAGCTGTTTATTCATCAAAATGTCTACATATCAATTTATGTGAATTCACAATTACATGTGACAGCAAGAAACGGGTCTTTTGGTGGTATATTTGTTCATATTACCACCACTTCGCATATTGTACTATTTAATAGGCTATTTCGATAAAGTTGAGAAGATGCATATGATCATGATGACAACAATGCTGACTATTGCCTTTCAATCATTACAACAATCATTCTCCATGAAGCTATTACATCAATGAATCAATGCTATCGGTAAAACTTAATCACCTACACATAAATTTCCTTATCAAGGGGATGGAATGCGAACTTAAGCAAGAAATTGTTACGGTTTTAATTTAATATTTTTTTCTGACTTAAAAATATGAATAATAGAAAGCACGACACAAAACCAAAAATAAAAACCAACATAGGATCAACAGACTGCTGTGGATATGAAAGCATCCTCAATCGATGGTTGATCAAATCTGTCATATCATTATTGTATCGAATCTAATCATGCTAGGACAGAAAAATGGAACAAAAGATACAATAATATCCTCTTGGAATCTCTGTTTCGTTCGATATTTAACTTTATTAGCAGGAACCTAAAAGAAAATGAAAAAGAAAAAGGAATTTTCTCGGGTTGCCAAAAAATCCTCATATTACTGTGATTTCTTGGCAACTATTACCAAACATGCAGAAAATTATAATTACGTAACAATTCTTTCCTTGAAAGGCACATGATACCGTAAATTAGAACCCAATCCCACGTAAAACAAGAAATAGTTGAGCAGAGAACAGATGATTTTCCAAACGAGGGTACTCACGCCTTTCAACTGGCCGATCTGCCGGTGGAGTTTTGTAATGTGATCATCTAGGTCTGCGTGCATCGGATCTATCTGCAGCTGGACATCTCCGCCCCCTGAACTGCTCGCACTGGCTCTCGCGCTGATACCTTCCCTACAAAAACAAATTAACGAAATTGGGTCAACCAGGGAAGAAAGGAAATATATCACACCCAGAGAAGGAAGCCGCGTAAGGAGTTATCTACCGGAGGTCCGATCTAACCAAGACATACGCCCCCTCAACCCTCTCAAGTTCTTACAACGTTTCAGGGAGAATTACCTCGACCGCAGGGGACCGCCTCCGTATACGCCGGCCTTCTGGAAAGAATTCGACATCCCCGGAGGCGCTCTCGCAGAGGCGGCGGGAGGAACATGCGGTAGGACGTCTCCGAGGGGGAGCTGGGGGGGTGACACTGGAGAGAGAGAGAGAGAGAGAGAGAGAGAGAGAGAAGAGAGGAGCGAGAAAGAGAGGAGAAAGAGGATTGCGATTTCCTCGTTAATTAATATTTCTGCAATTGGTTCAGAAGTTCAAATCCAGTCGACGGTCGTTAACGGGTAATCGGATCCATTTACTCAAGAAATAATATTCTTTTTAAAACTGAAAAATAAATAAGAGTGCGAATCGATTTTGAACCCTTAGTAGTTTCTTCCGTTCGAATCTCGCTTTGAGAATTCCCTAGAATCAGATTTCTTCCTGATGTCCTAAAGAGCAATATAGAAGAGAGGATTCGTGATTTCGAATTTATTTACGAGCGTCGTTCGTTTACAAAAAAGTAGAGAGAGAGAGAGAGAGAGGAGGGAGGGGGAGAGAGAGAGAGAGGGGGGAGGGGGAGAGAGAGAGAGAGGGGGAGAGGGGAGAGAGAGAGAGAGAGAGAGAGAGGGGGGGAGAGGGGGAGAGGGAGAGAGAGAGGGAAGGAGGGAGGGAGGGAGGGGGGGAGAGAGAGAGAGGGAGAGAGAGAGAGAGGGAGGGAAGGAGAGAGAGAGGGAGGGGGAGAGAGAGAGAGGGCTGTTGAACTCTCAAAATGTTGACCCAGAGGCGAGATACTAATGTCCAACAACATGTTACAGAATTATGCACGTATCTTTACAGCATCGTCTCCCATTGCAAAGAAGTAGGGAGAGGGAGAGAGAGAGAGAGAGAGAGAGAGGATGAAGAAAGTCACATGGAGCAGCAGCTTCCTTCATGTGGGCCTGTGAGCGGCATCACAAGAGAGCTCTGGATGGCGTTCTTCTTCCTCCCAGTCAGAGGAATCAGATTAGGGTGAGGCGATCAAGTGAACCTCCCCCGGACACCAACCATCATGGAGAAAGAGAGAGAGAGAGAGCTCCACGCTGGATCACACCACGAAATCGTGAAGGAGCTGCGACGACCCACCGAGCCTCTGCTGCCGCTCCACAAGATTCAGACACTCATACTCCCCCATCTCCGCCCCGAAGGTCGCCGGCGGCGGGTCGTACATCCCGTTGACTCTCAGCGCCGCAGGCCCCTGCCCACGACCGCCGCCGTCACAGTGATGCAACCCCAGTGTGAGGGACACATACTTCCCCCCCTGCGGCGGCGGCGGCGGCGGAGTCAAGGATTCGACCCCGTCTTTCGGCGGCGGCGGCGCCGCGCCGCCCCCGGAGGAGTAGGAGTCCCCCTCGGCGGCGGCGGCGGGGCCGCCGAACTCCTCCTTGTACATCTCCTCCACCATGGGCTTCCACAGCCGCACCCGGGCATTGATGAACCAGTTCGAAACCTGGTTTCTCGTCAGCCCCGTCTGCCTCGCAAGCACCAGCTTGTCCGAATCCTTCGGGTACCTGCAGAAGGAAGAAGACGACTGATGAGATAGAGGAGGAGAGCTCAGAGCGATCTCAGAGAGAGAGAGAGAGAGAGAGAGAGAGAGAGAGAGAGAGGGGGGAGCTTACGGGTGGAGGAAGTGCTCGAAGAGCCATGCACGGAGTATGGAAACAGAGGTCTCCGGGAGGCCCCTCTGGGGTCTCCAGGCGTGCTGCTGGAAGGCCCTCTCCTGCTTGAGCTTCTGGTCGACGTAGCGGAGGCGGTGAATTCCGCCACTGCGGTCCCCAGCGGAAGGTGGCGCGAGCTCCGCCAGGCCTGCATTCGCCGCCGCTCGGATCTGGGCGTCGATAGCGTCCCTCAGGGACCGGAAATGGCGAGAGATCGTCTGCAGGGCAAGCGCAGTGTACGGCTTCGCCGCCCCACTGCCGGCAATCCTGTCGAAGGACGTCACCACCGCCTGCATCTGGTGGTAGTACTGCTTGTACCTCCTGTCGACCTGCAAAAGATGAAGACGATGATTCCCGAGCAATTTGAAGATCACTAGATCGTTTTCAACAAAAAGAAGAGATTCGCAGTAAACCCAGGGAGCTGGCTTCAACTGTGGAGAGTGAGAATGATTGAGAAGACACTAGGATGAGCTCCATGGCTTGGTTTCTAGATGCAATCGGTCATCATCCCATCTGATCTCACAGGGGAGACCACGGTGATATATATTTATATAGAAGGCGAGAAATATCATACTAGGGCTAGAACCCATGAGCTAAATAAGTTGATATTCACGATTTTCTTTGCTCTAAATGAAAATATTTACCAGAGAGAGACCGACCTGCTCCCTGGATAATTTTCATTAAGAGAAAGGAAAACCTTAATTACTGGAAAACGATTGCGCATAAATACTTGACTTGATTATACAAGAACGCAAGAAGATGAAGATGAAAGGAACATACAAACCGATATAAGGAGATGTGCGGAGCTGAGCAGAAGAAGAACCCACCTCATCTAACATATTCAGAAGCTTTGTCATCTTGTTATGAAGTTCCTGCTTGTCGGTCGCCGAGACCTCAGAGACGGAGTTTGGAGCAGAGTCGTCAGTGTTCTGATGCATCTCATCACTCCTTAGACTCGCATCATTCTCCTTTGAGGCTCCACTGGGGAGACTTTTCTCTGTCATCTGCTTCAGGGCTCTCTGAACATTAACAACTTCTTCAAGCAATTGCTGTGCAGCTTTGAGGTACTTAGAATTTGTGATAGGACATGGTAAATCGGAGAGGCCTGGTGGGGGCGGCTCACAATAGATGCTTCTCTCTCTTCCATGGAAGCTGTTTCTTGCAGCAGACTGATGAGGACCCAGAAAGGATATGTCGGAATTGGAAGCATTATACTGAAATGAGGGCGTCGAATATTGTCTGCCGAGGCTCAGAGACAGCCCTTGGCCCCCAATGCCATGAAGACTTGATCCTGGATGAGAAAGCCTCTGCCCATCTACAATGTCGCCCAATTGCATCGTAGATGCGGGGCCACTGACGGAATGCATCATCTCACACTTCCCATCTCCCCACGCATTGAAGAAATTGTCCCCAATGTGAGAGGAAGGCTCGTGAGACAGCATGCTGGTAGGAATAGCGAGCTCAACCAAGGTATGTTGTGCCCGAGAACCTTCGGCCATGGGATCAGAATATGAGCCGGGAGATGGGTAATTTAGATACACAATGTTACTGCTGGGCAAGGAAGAATCGGTGTAGGGATCATGCCCAAGATCTCTCTGATAAATTGCTGGCATGAGATCTCTTTGGCTGGTCGAATTAGGATAGTAGGTCGCCATTTCTTGCTTTCTTCGTCCTCAATGTCCTGTCTTCATGGGGCACAGTACGATGACGGCATGAATGTTCATGCGCAGCTCGTCCTGAGATTCTCCACGGGGAAGGAACCAGTTGGCATTTGGCAAAAACATCTAAAGAATTAGACGAAAAGCAGGCATGAGAGTATGGCAACGACGAGTTAAAGATACAGAGTAACATCTAAGAAACGCAGGAGCAGGTGGAGGAGAAGAAGAGCACGGAAAGTTGCTCAGAATGCCTGTTCTTCGCAAACCCAGGAACAGGGTAGCAATAAATGGAAACTGCTAGTCACAGCAACTCGGAAATAATGAATTTTCCGAGATAAATCTCAAACAGGGCTGCAAGGAGAAAATATCATTCTAAAACGACGAACTGATAAGAGACGCACAGCGATAACCTGTTGCCATCCTCCCCACTGAACAGAGATCTCACTTGGAAGGAGCAATCCTTAGATCAGAATGGAGAAAGTGGGGAAGATGATGACTCCGGTCCTTGAACTGTTCATAAAACTTGGAAGCTACCAAAGGGGGTGGTAAGCTTCAGGAAGGAAAAAAAATAAATCCGAGTTTGCCTCTCGCTGGGGGCTTCCGTTTTACAGAGAGGATTGCAGGAACATGACGATACGCATTAAGAAGCCCTCATCAGCTCCAGAAAGAGAGAAACCGGAACTCTGGGTACCGGGGGAAGCGGATATAAAACTCCAGAGATTTCTTCAGATGGATAAGGCCATAAATTTAAGACCCATAAGAGGACTCACACGGAGATGCTGTGCAGGCTCATAATTCGGTTGAAAGGGAACAAGTTGCTCAGTCGGCCTGCCTTGAAGAAGATGATCAGACAGGGGAGAAGGCAAGGGGGAGGCAGGAAGGAGAAGAAAAGGAAAGAAACTAATGCTGCCGGAGGCAACCCGAGGGGGAAGAAGGGCTACCCACAATGATAGGGGAATTGGTGCTGCCTCTGACGGAAGCAGGAAGGCGAGGAATTCCTCTCCCCCCCTTCCCCCCGCCCGCCAAGACCCTGAGGACAAATCCTCCCAATATATGTCGACAGGAACGATCCCAATGCTTTCAAAGCTGGGATTAGAAAGGGGTAGGCGCCAAGAGAAGAGAAAGAGAGAGAGAGAGAAAGAGAGAGAGAGAGAGAGAGAGAGAGAGAGAGAGAGAGAGAGAGAGGATTATTTTAATTATCTACAGTTTGGAGCCATTTCTGTAGGAAAAATTGGGGGGCAGCCTCGCACGGCACCCATTTCTGTCTTCTTTCGATTTTTCTACCGACGCCCTCTTTCCCACCTCCCCACAATTCCTCTCTGTGTCTGCTCCTGCTGTGTTCCTCTGCCCTTGTTTTATCCCTCCTCCCCAACCCCCCGCGCCATCTCCAAGCCCTCAATCATCACCCGGGTCCTAACATTCTATCCTCCACGTGAAACCTACGCTACTCCGTCTACAGAAAAAACCCTACTCATAGAACCAAAACCTAACTTACAGTAGCTTAACCATTTGCATCTTGGTGATCTAGAAGATGACCCTGGACGAGAGAGCAGAAACGCTCACGCCATCTTTAAGCCCTCAATCATCATCCAAATTCCAGCATTCCATCCTCCACGTCTGCAAAAAAACCCTACTCATCGAACCAAACACTAATTTACAGTAGCTAAACCATTTGCATCTGGCTGTTCAAAAAGACGACCTAGAACCGAGGAGGGTGGGGGGAGGTGGGGAACTGGTCTGAAAGCCGAATTGCGCCGCCGCGGCTCAGCCCGGCGGCTCCGCCGTGGATCGGGATCTGACTGATGGGCAGCGGCGGCGGCCGGCGGTGGGCTGGTCTCCGGCGGCCATTTCCCCGCCGGCGGACCACTCGCGGAGGAGCAGGAGCAGCAGTAGCTGTCGGCTGCTTGTGGCGCCGCCCGTCGGCGAATCTCGTCGGCTTCCGCCAGATGGGTGACCGTCTGCCGATTCTTGTCCGAGTCAGACGATCCGGGCCCAGCCAGGCTGCGCTGCCTCATGGGGGGACCATCTGGACCTTGCCCCACCTTTGTCAGCCCCAATCAGCCCCTCCTATGTTTTGGCTCTTGCTATAAATACCTACTTAAGATGAAATTTTACATTTAACCTCCCTTAGTCGGCACGACCTCGATATTTATAAGTTTTGGGATTTTTTTTTAAGATTCATTATATTTATTTCCCCGAGGGAAACTTCAATGTGGTTTATCGTGGGCCCAAGGGGGATCGATTGATTAGCGCCCACCGAGAGGACGACACGACAGACAGACACGGAATTGGTCCGGCGAGATAGCATCGTCGTCTGGATTCGCCGCACGAGTGAGCATTAAGTTTATTTACCACGTGCGAAATATGTGCACGTGGAAAAAATGTTGAATTAAACTGTGTCCTCGGCTAAATGTTTTGGGCAGAGAGAGCTCTCGAATCATCGTCCAACAGACATAATTGTCTTGATTTTCTATTTTAGGAATTGGCCGCCTGGGATCCGACATTTTACGTTTTTATGGTAAATCGGCTTCGGACCACAGCAAATTTCACCACGAGGCCTTGGTCCCCGTGGAGTTCATTTCTCGAGGATTCGACCCCCTAGAAGAGAGAGAGAGAGAGAGAGAGAGAGAGAGCGGGGCATCGACTGCCGCAGAGGCTTCCCTCTCCCCTCGTGAGGCCACAAGACTCGCATAGAGACAACAGAGGTGGCAGCCAAAACATATTTGGCGAGAAGGATAGAGAGATGGGGACAGAGACGGAAAGAGAGACAGACAGACAGACAGACTGGTATAGAGAGAGAGATAGAGATAGATGGGGAGAGAGAGAGAGAGAGAGAGAGAGAGAGAGAGAGAGAGAGAGAGAGATGTGCTGTATGCAATCTCCTGGCGATTGCATGAGGGCGAACGAGGAAAAAGAAAACTCTAACCTCTCGTCTTATACGTAGGATGGGGGCAGAGAGAGATAGAGAGATACAAGAGGAGGTCCTGTGAGTGTCTGCATGGCATATCGTTGTCGTCGCATGTCATTGCGGTAGCTGGGGGACTTCAGTACTCCGCAGAGAGATGGTTCAGACGGGCCCGCACGGCTCTTCTGGCTCTCCTTTTGGGGCGTACCGAGCTTTACGGCACTCTTCTTAGCAATCTCTCTGGTTTCACGTCGCTCAGTTCCCCAGCTTTGTCTCGTTCATTAACTAAATCCGATATGTTCGCCCGCACACCGCATTAAAACGAGTGGGGGGCCCTCCCCACACTCCCTCCCCCTCGCCTCTTTCTCTCACGCAGCAACTACATCGCCGCCTCTTTCTCTCTCGCTCTCTACATTTTCAGACTGATAGACGCGCATGCGTGCGCATTACGCCGCAGCTTCTGCTACCACCTGCCCGGTGGGGGAGGGAAGTCAACCGGGGGCCTCCCCTTGAGGCAGAGCTGCTGCTCACGAAGGCCCCCAAGGTAGAATCAGCGGCGGTGCAGTCGGTCCCAGGATAACGCTGCGGCGGCCTCACCGCCGGCCGCCGGTTCCTCTCCAGAGTCCATGGTTGCTTCCCACTTCACACTTTGCGGTTCCTCTCCCGCTTCCATCAAGAGGATGCCGTCCAGTTGGGTTTTTTCTAATGGAAAAAGTTCCTGAACATCAGAACATTTTCGTCTTTTAAGTGTTTTGACGTAGATATTTTTTTGCAAAATTTCTCTCACATAGATAAGACGACTTTTAAGAACAAAAAACATAATGGATTAAAACACCACAAAAAAATATATCATATTTTTTACTTATAAAGTTCTAAGAAAAAAAACAGAACCATATAAGAAAAGCTAAAAAACATAACTAACATTTCAAAAGTGAGAGTTGTGAAGATGTAAAGAAAATACATGTCATGACATTGTATATTATCATATGCATACTTGCCATTGACTTGCTAACATAGCAAAAACTAGAAAGATTGATGATTTGATCACATTTCAACTTTACTTAAGTATTTTAGAAGGAAAATGATTACCTTGACTTCACAAGAAACATGATTTTGTTGAAAACTTTTTTTGATATCAATTGATATAGTAGAAATTTGACATAATGACCACTTTGATTGAGTTGGCATAATTAGAGTTACAGAATGTTAAAATCTCATATGTGAATCGACAAAGACTTATTTTCTATGAAAATCATATACCCTAATTCCACAACATGAAGAAACCTCAACCCTTGAGTTCATAAGGGATTGACCCTATGTCCACAAGGATCAAAATAGGCCTCTGAATCCACAAAAGATGTTGGAATTCACTAATTGAAAAATAGAACCTCAAAAAAAGAAAATTTTATAAAATTGATATAAATAAACTTGAATGTCTATGAAGCTACAAAGGGGTCTTTTTGTAGGCCAAAATTTAATTATAACTAACCTAAAAAGGAGTGGGTTATGTTGGAATATTCCTAAGGAAAATAATTTTGTTAAAATGCCCATAAGGAATAGGAACACCTTACATAGAAGAAGAGATTATTTTCATAAATAAAATGTGAAAAAATAATAAATGTGAGAATTGAGATTTTGACACATTTAACATGTGTTCAAATCTCTTATTAGGGCATTTTTATTAGAATTCTAGCCCAATAGAGTCTTCACACATCCTTGGCTTCTAGTCCATTTAAATTAAGTTGAAACTGAGCTTTTGCTCCATTTGAGCATATCCATTTGAACTTCTAGTCCACTTAATACCTTTTCAGATTCCTTGACACATATCCTATTTGTTTTGTCCACCTCAGTCAAAAACCTTTCATTGTAGGTGTTCTTGGACTACATTCACCAACTGGGTGCTTGATGTATACAAATTTTATGATAAATGTGAAAGCCTCATAAGTTACAAATTAGAGACCCTAAAGGGTAAAATAAGATATAATAAAGTATATTTGTCAAAGTGAACTATAATGCTAAAAAGTAGTTCTTTTAGTGGGGTTAGTACTTGTTTCCTTTCACAATAAAATCTTATATCCTATTTTATTTGTTA